GAGAGAGAGAGAGAGAGAGAGAGAGAGAGAGAGAGAGAGAGAGAGACAGAGAGAGACAGAGAGAGACAGAGAGAGACAGAGAGAGAAACAGAGAGAGAGACAGAGAGAGAGAGAGAGAGAGAGAGAAAGAGAGAGAGAGAGAGAGAGAGAGAGAGAGAGAGAGAGAGAGAGAGAGAGAGAGAGAGAGAGAGAGAGAGAGAGAGACAGAGAGAGACAGAGAGAGACAGAGAGAGACAGAGAGAGACAGAGAGAGAGACAGAGAGAGACAGAGAGAGACAGAGAGAGACAGAGAGAGAGAGAGAGAGAGAGAGAGAGAGAGAGAGAGAGAGAGAGAGAGAGAGAGAGAGAGAGAGAGAGAGAGAGAGAGAGGGGGGGGGAGAGAGAGACAGAGAGAGAAAGCTGTGTTGCAACTCGGAGTTTCACGTAGTCACGATCATCAGGCAACTCAGTTGCCTGATGATCAGTTGATCAGTTGCCTGATGATCAGTTGATCAGTTGCCTGATGATCAGTTGATCAGTTGCCTGATGATCAGTTGATCAGTTGCCTGATGATCAGTTGATCAGTTGCCTGATGATCGTGACTACGTAAAACTCGGAGTTGTAAAACAGCTTCCCCCCCCCCCCCCCTCTCTCTCGTGTGGAAGGCTCTGTCCTATATGGGTATTGAGCGTTCTTCGGACAGTGGAGCACACTACTTGATTATCTCAACTTATGTTCAGAACTAATAAGGATTCATCACTACAGAAAGCAAGGTGGTGAAAGGAGAAAGAGACAGAGAATACTACGTGGCAACTGCATTGATGTTACCTGTTACATGCAACCCAGGCACTACACAAGACCAAGACAAACTTGTCAGATAGGGAAAAACTCAAGACTTGTATATCACTCGTTCAGAGCAAGACAAGACAACAAAACAACAGGCATGCGCATATGCATGCAGGAAACGTAAGTAATAAGATAACAACTTATGACGCGTTTGTACAACGCTTGCTCAGATATCACATCCCTCCACCATCAGATGGAAACGACCAGAATAACAGAAATACATAGACTGTGTCGTGGCAGCAAATAATGATAAGACGAACTACAGATCAAGGCGGACAGGAGCCTTTACAGAACGAGAAGAACTGCGCATAGACACGACAGGACTAGAACCACTAGACTGGTTAGGAGTAGATTCAGGAACAGATAAATCAGCATTCTCACGGATCTCATCATGTACAATTGAGCCAGGCAGTGACATAGACTCATTCGGCGGAACACTAGGTAGAGCAGTTGAAGACGGTAGAGCTGTGGTAGAAGGTAAAGCTCTGGAATATGGAAGCTGTGGTGCTGACGTAGCAGTTGAAGCATCTTGCACCGACTCAGCAGGAAGGCGTTTCTTCAGGTGGTCAGAGTGACGCTTCCAGACTCTGTTATCAACAAGACGAACCGTGAATGTTAGAGGACCAAGCTGTTCTTCCACGGTGCCAGCTATCCACTTCGGTGAGGAGTTGAAATTCATTGCCCAGACGGCATCACCACAATAGAACTGGTATGCATTTGCACCACCACGATCATGGACAGTGCACTGTTTGTCCAAGACTTTCTTGCCGCTGTCCGGGAACACGAGATCCAGACGTGAGCGGGGACGATGTTCCTTCCAAAGTAGCTCAAACGGAGAACGACCTGTTGTTGACTGCGGCGTCATTCTGTATTGGAACAGGAACCTGGCAAGGCGAGTTTCCAAATCAGGGCCAGACATCTTGGCCAAGCCAGACTTCACCGTCTGTACTGCGCGCTCGGCTAAGCCATTACTAGACGGATGATATGGTGAAACGAGAGTGTGACGTATGCCATTAGATGAGCAAAACTCACGAAATTCACTACTTGCAAAAGCAGGGCCATTGTCAGAAACAATATTATAAGGTAAGCCAAGCAGAGCAAAGGTCTGCTCCAGCTTGCGAATTGCGACAGCAGCAGATGAGCCAGAGCAAACATGTGCTTCAATAAATTTACTATGACTATCGACAATAATGAAGAGCATCTTACCAGCGATGGGTCCAGCAAAGTCGACATGGACACGTAACCAAGGCTTACCAGGCCATTCCCATGGGTGGACTTGCTGGCGATGCGGCGACTTGGTGACGGTCTGGCACTGCGTGCAACCACGGACGGTCTGTTCGATTTCTGCATCGAGAGACGGCCACCAGACATAGCTGCGTGCCAGGGCTTTCATTCTAGCGATACCGGGATGACCGGCGTGCAACTCGTCCAGCAATGGTGCACGACCCGGTGAAGGAATAACTACCCTGGAACCAATTAGGATACAGTTATTCAAGACAGACAGCTCACTACGACGACGGGAATATGGCTCTAATCCCTCTGGAATGTCTTGGGGCCAGCCCTCAGACACGAACTTGTATACTAATGCCAGGGACGGATCTTTGTTCTCCCCCTGGCCCCCGTCACACAACAACGCGACAATCTGTTAGTTATTGCTGATTTCTTAGTTGATGAGGGCAAAGGAGGAGGGAGTCAAAGGTAAACTACAAAGAACAAAGACAGACAGGACAGTAATAACAGCGCGGACGAATTGCGATGACCAATCAGGGACCAATACATACCAGATACATGACGAAGACCAAGACAACGAGACCACAGACAAATCACTCATCACTCTCTCCTAGACCAAACTAGCACTACGCATGCACGATGCTCACTTGATAGTCACTCGCACACGGATGCAGGTTCTCACTCTCTGATGCCTCGTACTCTTGCATCCGCCACATGTAGCAAGAAGGAGCCACGGGTGTGTGTGTGTGTGTGTGTGTGTGTGTGTGTGTGTGTGTGTGTGTGTGTGTGTGTGTGTGTGTGTGTGTGTGTGTGTGTGTGTGTGTGTGTGTGTGTGTGTGTGTGTGTGTGTGTGTGTGTGTGTGTGTGTGTGTGTGTGTGATCCCCGGTAGCCTAATCGGTAGGGCACTGTCCCGGAAATACAGGGGTGCCGGGTTTAAATCATGCCCGTGGATCTTTTTGCATCACACATACCATATGGGTCACACGGCACACCATACTCACACGTACACTACACCATTTATGACATCGGGCAACAGACTCTACCAGACAAGAACCATATACGTATACGGCAGCGTGCCAAAATAATAAGTGAATCGAATTCCGTTACATCGAGGTAAAATGAGAAAGAACAGCAAAAGCGAGGCATGTGCCTCGGCAAAAGCAAAATGAGCAAAACCCTACGCAAAGCAGCAATCTGCGTGCATCCCGCATAGCAGTATGGTGCGAAGGACAATGCATGCAGGCAGGTAGCAGCAACACAGCAGAACAAAACATGATGAAGGTCAAAGAAACTACAACTACAGTAGAGTGCGGATTATCCGCGCTCCCTGGGTGCGGGCTGCCTCCAGGGGGGTTTGGATGAGAAGAATGTTCAGATTTAAAAAAAGTTATTACGGAAATAGATGTACAAAGTTAGTACCCCTGAGCTTCTACCTGCGTGTAGCATTACTACTACCCTATGAATATCACCAGTGTATGATCGGCAGTAACTAGGGCTTTGGCCATATTGCACTGCTGCTGGTTATGACCACAGTACGAGTTTCGCTTCTTTCCCTTTTTCCTTTTATGAATTTTCCAGTAAGACTGCAGGAGGATTGGTCTTACTTTGAGCTGTATCTACATTGCCCCTGCCAACACTTCCAATACAAGCTCTCGCAACAGTTCATGTATGTAAGCCATAAGTGGCATACATCCGATTCAGACCCCCAGCCCGCTAGCAATGATGGCAGTGGAGGCGGAGGCGGCAACGGCAGCGGCAAGCAAGGAGGAAATGGCAGTGGCAGGAGCAGTGCCAGTGCAGGAGGAAAGTCACGCGGCGGTCATCCACGATCCAGAAACCAGAGCCGTAGCGGGAGAGGCGTCAGCAGATCCAGTGGCGGCGGCAGCAGAGGCAATCACAAATGTGCCGTATGTGTTGAAGGCTGTGACTGTGGCAGGGTAGTGGAGCTCCATGGTATGTCGGCTACAAGTGATCAGTGCAACAATAGCTACCAACTCTCAACTCGTAGCAATGGCGAGTCGGATTCAAGTGAATCCTCGTCCGACAATTCGTCACTGAGTGATGATTCAAAGTGCCAGTGCTGTCGGCAAGCAGTGGTAAGCGTCTACCTGTGTACCACACCTGTGTACCACACCTGTGTACCACACCTGTGTGCCACACCTGTGGCCACACCTGTGTGTGTGTGTGTGGGGGGGGGGGGGGGGGGGTTGCTGCCTATGTTGACAAAATCTCCGGGGAGGTCGAAGGCTAGGTAGGTTCTTTGCGGAGAGGTGGAAATAATTGTAAGTGGGACAGAACTCATCTGTAAGACAGTGACCGTTTCAGTCCATTCAGATAGAACAGCCCCGCTGGCCTTTGAAATTCAGGCTCCAAACTGAGCGGGTGGAAAAGCTAGGTTGCCAGTTTGGGATAAATGGACTGTAGCAAGAGTCCATAACCCCCAGAGTGTGCAACGCCAAATAAATGCCTGTCACGACTCGTTTTCAACATTACCGTATTTTCCGGGGTATAAGCCGCACTTTTTTTCGCTAAAATTCGGACCAAAATCGCCCCTGCGGCTTATACACCGAATATGCTTGCACGAATGAATGCTTAGCATACATCAGTATGCATGCTGACGTCATGTGACATGTCATTCGACTCAGCTTCGCGCCTGTGTTGCTATCCCGGCACTTTTACTAGTTTTAGCAAGAGTTCATAACCCCCGGGGGTTATGAACTCTTGGTTTTAGTGCATCAGTGGCAGCGAGACTGAAGATAGTGCAGATGACATGGAGTGATCTGTAGTCAACACAGCAATACACCAACATCTCTGCAGCAACCTGTGGTGCACTAACACTTCATAATCTGATCTAACATGGTATTTAGCTCCAGAACCATAATAAATTTGTAGAAAGGCCATTTGTCAATGAGTGTGAAAAATCTTGGTTTGTGGGTGCGGCTTATACTCCGAATACCAACTTTTAGTCAATATTTTGCCTCAAAAAGGGGGGTGCGGCTTATACCCCGGAAAATACGGTACGTCATTTTCATGTAGCTGCGCGTGCAGGCCGCGACATTCGCTACATGAAAATGTACATGAAAATGACGTAATGTTGAAAACGAGCCGTGACAAGACCCTATCGCGCGTTGCACACTCTGGGGGTTATGGACTCTTGACTGTAGGTCTTGGGGCTTGTACGCAGCAAACTCTGGCCTGTATCACACATGCAGCGGCACCTGATTGAACTATCGAGTTGATGTGCTTGATCATTCACAATCCATCATCATTGATACAGGCGTGTAGCACGGGGGGCATGTGCACACCCCCCCCCCCCCCCCCCCCCTAAAAATGTTGACCTAGGTTCAGCATGCAGATAATGACCATGATGACATGCACCAGCCATCCTACACTTATGCGGCCGTGCACCCCCCCCCCCCCCCCCACCTTAAAAGGGGGACCAGCTACGCTCCTTTAATGATACGTGGCAATAACTTCCACTGGGTATAGTAGGCGATATGTTGCCATGGAGACGTTGCGTAAGCTGAAATGATGATATTCTTTGGAAGAAGAAGGGATGGCTGGATTTGTATAGGTGTTGTTGCTAGCTAGGCATGCCTTGGATGCGGGTCGGAGATAGGCAGAAGGGGAGAATGCGACTGAGAGGGAGGTGTTGTGATGATTGTCACTGTAGAAAGTAGCAGTTCTTTGGCGTAGTAGGAAAGCAGTGGAAAGTCATACTTACCTGGCACAGGGGACGCCGTGATCAAGAAGGCGGCTCCCTCAGGATGAGGCCCCTCCATTGCACTCAGTTGGGGCTGAGGCTTGCGATTTCCCCAAACGTGGGAAACTCGGGTGCACAATTTATGGTAGTGGGGGTTTGCGTTCGCGCAGCCCCTGCATGAAAGGAATGAAAGGAAGGATTGAGATGAGGTGAGAAAACCCCCAAGAGTGTGCAACTCCTGATACCAAGAGTACATAACCCCCCAGATTGTGCAACACCTGATCCAGCTCTGCGTAGGGTCTTGGTTGAGCGTAATCGGATCTTATGATGTCATGCGTACACTCCACACCAGCGCAAGGCCGGTCTCGAGGCAGGGCACCGTTGTTTTTGATCCGAGAGTACGATCGTACCCGCGGCTCCCCGGGTTCCCCTCAGATGTGTACGGTATTATGACGCAAAGATCCGATTACGCTCGACCAAGACCCTATGCAGAGCTGGATCAGGCGTTGCACACTCTGGGGGGTTATGTACTCTTGCTGATACCCTTTCTATGGGGTTCGCCAACAGCGAAAACTCACATCACGTGGTGTAGTGTCCCAGTTGTACATGTCCAGCTCGTTTCTAGCGAGCAGCAGAGTAATAATAAAAGCACTCCCTCGCAGAACCTCACGGCGCGTATGCAACTCGCCAGCATACAGCAGATTTTCGGATTGCACGCGTGCTATCCTTAGTTGTGCGTAGTACAAAACGTACCTGAGACACGTGATGTGAGCCTTCGCCCTCGGAGGCCCCAAAGGCAGAGTTTCACACTCTTGGGGGCTTATAACTCTTGGTACCAGTAAGAGTACCTTACCGAAATAAATAAATAAATAAATAAATAAATAACCCGCTAGAGAGTTGTTATGTTTGTATGTGCGCGTAAGCACGCTAGGCTCTGCGCATGTTTGCTTGCACGCTATGCTCTGCGCATGCGCACTCCAGTTCAGACTTCCTGTGTCTGAGTTTGTTCTTCTTTCTATCTTGTTACTTTGCACGTCCATTATTCTCTTTGTAAATAATCCTAATACATTCCACAACTGTGTGTTCTTGTGAGTGGGAATGTAACATTGGCGACGAAGATGGAAGACGACAAGCGTCTTCAGAGTTTTGATACGTCAGGCCCAGCTTCCCAGGTGTCCATCCGTTGGCGGAAGTGGGTGAAGTCTTTTGAGTATTATTTAGTGGGCAAGGACATTTCGAACAAGAAGCGCTCAAGAGCATTGCTGTTGCACTTTGCGGGACCACAGGTTCAAGATATTATTGATGACCTACTTGACCCTGACGATGCTCTGCCAGAGGAGCAGAGGACCCCGAATGATAACGAGTACCTGAAATGTAAGCGAATTTTGGACGCGCATTTCGCAGCCCCAGCAAACCCTACCTACGAAAGGCATGTGTTTCGCCAGCTGGTTCCGCAAGCAGAAGAGAGTACGGCGCATTTCTGCAGCCGTTTGCGGCAGCAGGCTAGATTATGTTCCTTTGAGAACACTCGCCAGACCAATGAGGCAGTCCGAGACCAAATCGTAGCAACGGTGAGGAATGTTGACTTGAAGAAAAAATTATTGTCTGAGCCGTCGTTGTCAGTCGATCGAGCATTGGAGCTCTGTCGCGTCTGGGAGGATGCACAGTCACAGTCTCAGATGATGACTAGTCGTGCTGTTTCTGCTGGAGCTGGAGCATCGGAGTCCGCGAGTGATCATGCTGTCAGTGCAGTTACGTACAGGAGAGGCCAGCACCAGGGCAAGGCCAGGGGCCAAGGCAGACACCACCCAGCTGCTGGTACACGTGTCAGTTGTTACAGCTGCGGTCGCAAGGGACACAAATCCGGAGATGCTTCATGTCCAGCTAAGGGACAGGCATGCAGGAAGTGTGGCAAGACAGGTCATTTCGCTAAGTGCTGCAAGTCAGGATCAGCGTCGCAGACTGCCGCCCATCATGTGCGCGAAGTCACGGACTACGAGGTGTCTGATAGTTTTCGTGTTGGCCAAGTGTCAGCTGGGAAGCCAACATCGAACATGCTAATCACCACAGTGCAGATCAACGGTACTCCATTGGATTTGGAGGTGGACACCGGATCCATGTACACTTTGGTGCCGCAAGACGTATGGGAGCAACATTGGACACATGTTGCCTTGCGTGAATGTTCTGTGCGACTGAAGACCTACAATGGTTCAGTCCTGCCGATTGTTGGCGAAGCAGATGTTGATGTACGCTACAGCGCGCAGAATGTTCGTGCGCGGGTCATCGTAGTACGTGAAGGCAGCCATCCGCTGCTGGGACGCGACTGGCTATCACAGTTGAGACTTGACTGGCAGAGTATGTTCAACCGGGTGAACGCCACTGCAGCGAGTGAGCCAGCAGCAGAGGATGCGTACCCTGAAGTATTTCGTGATGGTCTGGGCAAAGTGAGTGATCGTGAAGCTGAGATCTACCTGAACGACGGTGCCACTCCCAAGTGCTGCAACCCCAGACCCGTGCCATTTGCTTTGCGTCCTGCTGTCAATAAGGAACTTGACAGGCTGGAGCAAGAAGGCATTATCAAGCCCGTCAAGTCAGCAGAGTGGGCCTCACCTATTGTGATTGTCAGGAAGCAGAATCGGGACATTCGCATGTGCGCGGACTTCAAGGTCACGATCAACCCGCACATCAACTCCAAGCTTCACCCGATTCCAAATCCGAACGACCTGTTGTCGCAGATAGCTGGAGGATCAGTGTTTACGAAGCTGGATCTTAGCCAAGCTTATGCGCAACTACCGCTGTCGGAACGCAGTCAGAAGTATTGCGTCATCACAACACATCGAGGTCTCTACGCATTCCAGCGCCTTCCGTTTGGCGTGTCCAGTGCCCCAGCAATTTGGCAGAAGACAATGGATGAGATTCTGCACGACATTCCTGGTGTCGTCTGCTTCTATGATGATATTCTCATCACTGGGTGCGATGTCGAAGAGCACGACCGGCGACTCAAGTTGGTGCTAGCGCGGCTAGCAGAGCGTGGTGTGCGTCTTCGCAAGCAGAAGTGTGCTATCCGTGTGGATCGTGTACGCTACTTGGGCTACAGCATCAGCCGGAACGGTCTCGAGCCCAATCAGGACAAGGTCGAGGCTATCCTGAAGGCGTCAGCACCGAAGAATGTTCAAGCGTTGCAGTCATTCCTAGGCTGTGTCAACTTCTACAACCGCTTTCTACCCGACATGTCCAGTGTTCTGAAGCCGCTCAACAACTTGCTCCGCAAAGGTGTTCCGTGGAACTGGACAGATGAGTGTGAGAAGGTGTTCGCTCAGGTAAAGCGTATGCTCACCAGTGCCCCAGTGCTAGCTCATTTTGATGTGAATGAGAAAGTGGTCGTTGAGTGCGATGCTTCGCCTTACGGCATTGGCGCGTGTCTCATGCATGAGTATGCTGATGGCAGCCGTAGGCCTGTATGCTATGTTTCCCGTTCGCTTGCTAAGGCAGAGGCTCACTATTCGCAGATAGAGCGTGAAGCTTTAGCCATTGTGTTTGCAGTTAAGCGTTTACACATTTATTTGTTTGGTCGCTCTTTTGTTCTATGCTCTGATCATAAGCCATTGCTGCACATTTTTGGTGAGAAGTATGGTTTATCTGCCACTGCTGTTTCCCGTTTACAGCGTTGGGCTGTCATTCTTAGCGAGTATGATTATGTGTTTGAGCACATTTCTGGTAGTAGCAATGCTGTCGCAGATTGCTTGTCACGCCTGCCTATGGAGCTGACAGCCGCACAAGAGAGTGCAATTGTCAGTGCTGTCAACGAGCATGCCCATGATCCTACTGAGGATTTGCCAATTGATGCTAGTGATGTTGCAGATGCTAGCAAGCAGGACAGTGAGATTGCTCCAGTACTGCAGTACCTACAGTTCGGATGGCCAGCTGAGATCAGCGAGGCTACGCGACCATACTACAAGATTCGTCATGAGCTGACCATAGAGTCGGGCTGTGTAGTTCGTGGTGGCCGTACCGTTATCCCAGTAGTGTTTCGCCGTTTGCTGCTAAATGAGATGCATTCTGTCCATATTGGCATTGTCAGAATGAAGGCAGTAGCACGCAGCTTTGTTTGGTGGCCTGGCCTTGATCGCGATATTGAGCTTCTAGTGTCATCATGCAGTCACTGCCAAGCTCTAGCTAAAGCACCTAGCAAGGATGCCAGCCACCCATGGGTGTACCCCACAGAAGCTTTTGAGCGTGTTCATGTGGATTTTGCAGAATTCAACAACCAGCAGTATCTCGTCATCGTGGATGCATACTCTAAGTGGATCGACGCATACAAGCTTGGATCCACTGCCACTACTCAGCAGACGATTGACAGTTTGGTAACATTTATCGCAACGTTTGGTATACCCAAGACCCTCGTGAGTGACAATGGTCCTCAATTTACATCACACCAGTTCCAGCGTTTCTGCCGTGAGAGTGGTATTGTTCACAAGTGTACACCGCCGTACCACCCAGCTAGTAACGGACAAGTCGAACGCATTGTCCAGGAGTTGAAGCGTGCTCTGAAGTCCCGTCCTTCGGATGTGTCTGAGAAGACCCAGATGCACCGTTTCTTGTTTATGTATCGTAACACGCCCCATTCATCAACGAATGTGTCCCCAGCTAGTCTGCTCTTCAGGAAATTACCGAGCACCAAGTTGGCACGCTTAAAGCCCAACTTTGCAGCTGCACAGCGTGAACGTCAAGCACGGCCACAGCCAGGTCAAGGTCGTCATTTCGTGGTGGAGGACACTGTACTTGTATTGAACACTCGCAACGGCAGCGGGCCTAAGTGGCTACCTGGCGTTATTGTACAGAAGCTAGGTCCGGTCTCGTACATTGTTCGCATTGGTCAGCAGGAAAGACATGTCCATGTAGATCATCTCCGTCATCGTTCTACAGCGCCACCTGATGCTGTTCTTCCTCGCAGTGATGTTGACACACCGGTTTTGATTCAACCCGATAGTGCATTGCAGCCGTCAGTACCAGACGCTGCCAACGAGTCCGAACCGTCTGCACTTCCCAGTCCGTCTGCAGACCCTGTTGCACCGCGCCGATCAGCCCGTGCACCGAAGTCACCATCTAGGCTTATTAATGAGATGTGACTGCTTTACTGCTACCTTTACGCTATGGCTGTTATTTGAATATTGATCATAATTATCTCCGCTTTACTATTGCTTCTCTTAAGGGGGAGGATTGTTATGTTTGTATGTGCGCGTAAGCACGCTAGGCTCTGCGCATGTTTGCTTGCACGCTATGCTCTGCGCATGCGCACTCCAGTTCAGACTTCCTGTGTCTGAGTTTGTTCTTCTTTCTATCTTGTTACTTTGCACGTCCATTATTCTCTTTGTAAATAATCCTAATACATTCCACAACTGTGTGTTCTTGTGAGTGGGAATGTAACAAGAGTGCAAATCTACTATGGGTGCTGTCCAGACAGAATTTCAAGTTGACCCCACTTTTATGATGCAATGCGCTTTCTACACATTTGGTCAGATGTATCCTGAACCTGTGGTGGATAGATTTCCATGTGACCCTGTACAAACGATCGCAAGGAAACACATGCGTTGTGTTGACACCCCATACAAACGTCGTAAAGCACTTGTGGCGAGGAGCATTGCGTAATGAAAATGACGTCGACTTGAAATGCTGGCATGACAGCACTGTGGGCGTGAGTTGCATGCTATTGGGTGTTATCTACTGTTGTCACCATTACGTGGGTAGTTGAAAGACGAGATCAGAGCACCGTTATATCAGTCCACGCCATATGCTCAATCACGACTCGGATCAAGCACCGCCTTGATCAGAATCTTAACGTATCAAAAACCTGCCAGATGACAAATGCCTTGTCCATAACTACTTCAAAGTATTACAGTCCAGTTCTCACATGCAAGCCCTTGGTCAAGGCGGTGGGGGGATAAGAGAGGTCGATGAGACGGTTGCCACGGTAATATATTGCGGCAACTGACAATTGAGAAGTGGCACTTAGTTCCTTCAAACGGTAGCCTGTGATGGAGGAATCTCCAAGGGCTCAGGGGAAGGAGTATTGAAGAAGTTTTGGAAGCCATGCAGTAAGTAAGAAGACTTTTGCAATGACTGGCACTGGATACTGGTGAAGAATATGCGTTTGAAGGTGAGGGGTGGGAAATTAGCTTTGCGCAGTGGTAGTACCATAGCCAATGAGGTCCAACCGAGGCGTGGTTATTGCTAGTTGAAAACTTTTCCCAATATCCCGCATTGACGACTTGAAACATAGTCGGCTTTGCAATTTTTGAAGGCTCATCTGTGAGCCAACTGCTAAATGAACTCAAAGAAAGAATAGATAGATATGTCAGTTTTCCTTGATCTTACTGTATTCCAGACTTGCCATATTAATCCAGTGGATACGTGAAAATGCGGTGCTGAACCGATAATGCACTGCAGTGCGCAATCTAGTAGCAAGTCCGCCCTTGCACTGTGTGAATCATACTTTCTTTGACAAAATTGCTCTGAGTCCTGCCGCTTCTGTGAAACCAGCTGGGAAGCAACACAACATTGGCGGGTTGGGATCGGTGGTACCGTATTCTCCGGAGTATAGTGCGCACTTTAGATGTGCTATTTTAGGCCCTAAATCGCAGGTGCGCACTATGCTCCGAATGTGAAATGCATGTACTTCAATGAAGATTGAAGTGCGCACCCCCAATGAAGATTGGGGATGTGCGTTATACAAAGGTGCGCACTATACTCCGAAAAATACGGTACTTAACAGCAGCATAAAACACTTTTTTGGTTTGAAGAACACGTCACGACTGCAATGTATTATTGAAAGTGAAATTTCCGTTCAAGGATCCTATCTCAGGCAAAAACTGATCTTCGAGGACGTACATGTATATTTGAAAAGTCGTTTATGGTTAGGTTCCTTTCTCCTGTCATTTGGGTCAATAAGAATTGGACTTTCTTCAAGTCAAGACTGAACACGCACATGTCTTATCTTGACACGGTCATTGGCTGTTGCCATGGGAATAGGACTAGCCGCGAGTTAATGCTTTCTGATTATGTCAGAAAGATGGCTGTCACTGCAGCGAGATTAGTATGTGGTCGTTATGTTTGGGTTGGAAGTGGTGGGCTATGTGGTGTGACATGTATTCTGTGACTACTTCCCCTAAAGTGCAGGAAGTAAGAAGTGGCTTGGCTTGGGTGGTGGCTAGGTCATACTCTGGTTTACCTTCAGCCACGAATAAATCTTTCGCCTTTTACTAAAGATTTCCGTGGAGGTGGACATTGAAGGAGTCTTCGAATGAATTTTTCTTTAGCCCTTGCTCATTGAGCAGGGCTCAATAAACTTCAAAAGAAAGAAGGGAAATTGTGTTGAGTCCTTGTGAGCGGATAGCGTTGTCTTCACTGAAAGTGCTGAAGATACAGTGTAGATGGTAACGTTTCACTGTGTGCAACTTGACATGATTATCATCAAAGCTGACTGGATGAGAAGCCAGGAATGGAGTAGGAGGGAGGATCTGAAAAGTATTGGTACAGTGCCTGGTGGATTGTTTTGAAAGTGCTTTCAAACAGTAGACAAGAACACTGCCATGGCAAGTCTCCGAATGGTTTTGTGGTGTGCACATTGTTGTATGTTATGTGAGCAATACATACAGACTCCCATGATGACCTCCAATAAGTTTGTACTGGGCGTAGAAGACGCCGGTGAGGTGCTTGATGTCAAATCGCTCCACAGGGGGTTAACCCTCCAGGTCCATTGGCAATGAAGATGGCGCTGTTGATGCTTTCAGGATTTGAAGGACGTGCAGCGCTGCATGCACATGACATGCCCGGCATGTGTAGGAGTTGTATTGCCATGGAGATGCCGTAAGCTGAAATAATCCTATTCTGTTGAAGAAGAAGAAAGGATGGCGGGATATACGCGAATAGTACTGTTATTGCCAGCTAAGCATGACCTGAGTGTGGGTCACGGATAAGCAGAAAAGGAGAATGCGGCTGCGAGGAAGGTGTTGCGACGAGTGTCACTGTGACGCGAAACGTAGAAATTACTTGAAGTACTTGGTGTGGCCTTAAAAGCAAGTCTCAATGCAGCTGACTGAGTCAAATCCCTGACCTACAACCAACCGTGACAACCACTTGAACTACATGTACATGAATTTGATCAAGAGTACATGAAACATGTTGTCTTTATCAAGTTCATGCACATCGCGTGCATACCTTTTCGAATCATTGGCAAGAAACAAAAGTACCCAGACGATGGCTGATGTGGCTGTTGTGGCGAACATTCTCTAGCCAGTATGGCAGAGGTTATCAGCTTCTCGATAATTTTGTATTTCAGGTAATGCCTGGAATGGTGCGTAGAAAGTGTGAGCGATGAAATGTCTTTCCAAGCCGTGTGTGTGTGTGTGTGTGTGTGTGTGTGTGTGTGTGTGTGTGTGTGTGTGTGTGTGTGTGTGTGTTTGTCACGTGTGTGTGTGTGTGTGTGTGTGTGTGTGTGTACAGCAGGACAGCGATTCAGATGTAATTGCAATGTCCAACAATTCAGACTCAGTGGAAGGCACTAACTCCTTGACCAGCTCTGACCCTCGTGACATCCTATCACAAATGGCTCGGAAACGCGGGGTTCCCGGAAGGAAGCAGGCAGTCCGGTGTGGCTTGTTCTTGGAGTCTGTCACGCAGGATGATACGTATCCTCTCATGGACTCACAACTGATCGAATTGCCCGAAAGCGAGCGGAGCGCTGGTGTGACGGATGATGGAACTCAAGCAGCCCGTGGCAGCTGCCACCTGTTTTGCAAATGCACTAGCAACCGGCATGCTGAGTTTGATAAGCCCAGCAGCCTTCTGTCATTGCTAGAGTCACTGAATACGTCTAGTCCACTCTGTGACATTCTCAGGTCATGGGACAAGCCTCTACAGGTTATTGCTGTGATGGATGATACACAGCAGAACGAGAAAACCGTCGCAGACGAGGATGGACAGAACACCACCGAGGAAAGAGCAGACTCAAAACCGGGACTTTGCTCCCTGAATGTGTCGTTCTCGCTGGGAGAAGACAGCCTGCAGGTGGTTCTTACACTCAGTGGCTACACGTCAGACATGCTTGGGCACTTCACGTGTTTAGGGCTCATTGCTGCGACTGCTCTGTGTGATGGTTTTGTGCTGCGGACTGCAGTGGCCTTGCCAGAACTAATGATGAGGTTGCTGGGGTCCCTGAATTCGGCATGGAACTTGCTGGCAAGGGGAGAGCAGGAGCTGGTCAGTGCGGACCCATTGTTTTTCAAAGGTGTTCTGTGGATACAAGCTGACCAGTGTTCAGACGTTGCTCAAGCACTGCTGGATCCCACGGACAACACTGACCAGCTTGCGTACTTCTCGAACAGCCATGTGGACACTGGACGCGGCGAAACCGAGATCTGCACGTCACAATACTTTGGCAGTTATCACAATCAGAGGTACTTCCAGGAGAGCCTGCATCGTGTGCTGGCCTCATTGGTGTTTGAGACTGCCGAGCTCTTTCAATATCAGTACAGTGGGATGGCCGCTAAAGAGCATGCGAACAGATCCGACACCACATCCAACCCGATGACGAGAGAAAGCGGAGAATCTGGCTACAGCTCACTGGAACATGACGCCGAGCAGCTGGTTCCAGTTGGCATAGGTAAGTGACAGGGATAGCAATCTGACAACCACACGCACTGCTGCATGTACGCTGACAGGGATAGCAATCTGACAACCATGCTCACTGCTGCATGTACGCTGGCAATTATTGCATTGGGAAAGTTCATTCTGTTTGCTGTTCGATTGTAGAGAGGGCGGTGGGTACCATTTTGGCCTTCTCAATCAGCCAATACTGCATATGAGTCATTATTGTCTGACTAGTGGAGCGATATTAGCTGAAGAACAGCTAAATAAGACCGAACTCTTGGTAGGTAATGAACACGAACGATAAACAAAAAGAAGGATGCAAGACTTACATACCTGAAGTACTTTTGCGGAGATCCCAAGCTGAAAAGCAATACTGTGAACTGTGTACTCTGCATCCAGCTGCTTCACTTCAATGCAAACATGTTAAGTGGACAGCCATGGACCCTGTATTGTTTTCCCGCGTGGTGCCGTTCCCCAAACTGTCTCCTGTCTTGTGTGCATGTTTGACCTGAGCACGGGTGATTTGTGCTTGTAGTCTTCAGTCGCTCTTGCCTGAGTTTGATCTCGGAAAATTGATTGGCAAGTCCAAACTAGTCAACCTCCAAATAGCCGTAATTTGTATTGTATTGAGTATATACGTATATTACTCATATGTCGTGTTGAAAAGGTGGAATAATGGAGCCTGTAACAGTACTCGTAACTTGTGACTGTTGTCCTGTTTTCCTCTTCCCATTACCGTTGTTACCTCAGACTTGAAAGAATGGAGTGTCGTTGCACTACCCTCTGCTGGCATACTCATGGATCAACAAAGAGCAAGTGTGCAGTCAAATTCTCTCACGGAGCCGTACGCCGTTCTGGAAGACTATCTGAATGCGGCAAGTCGAATGTCATTAACCACGCGCAGTGTCGGAGAGGATGCCCGTGACGGGTGCAGTTTCCTACTGGAGGCCGCTGCATTTGTTGGTAGTCCTAGGATCACACTGGACTACTGGAAGCGCCATTTCCCTGGTGTCCTTGATGCACAGCAGCTCAGGATGATCTGGGAGACAAACAGCAGCAACCGGCGGGACTCCATAACGCCCGGCTCCGTTCATGCTGTTCTGCAGAAGGCCAGAGTGGGTCGAAAATGCCGCTGCTACGTGATTGCTCAACTCCCGGCTGACACGGACGATGATGCGGCGCAGCGTATCATGCGACGCGTCATTCAAGTGGCGCCCGTCGTTCATGTCCTGCAGTCTGCTTGTGCCACGGAAGCTCTGAAGAGGTTACAGCAGAATAGCTGTGCGTGTGGCGCGCTGACCGAAAGCAGTGCACCGGTGAAAGCTCACATTTGGCTTTCTACGCAGGGTAGGTCTTTGGAGAAACCTACTGACTCCCAAGTGTGGTGTGATGATGATGATGGCAACGGTGAGGATGGTGATGGTGATGATGGTAATATTGATGATGGCGGCAATGCTGATGATGGCGGCAATGCTGATGATGGTGACGGTGGTAGTGTTGGTAGCGGAGGCAGTGATGAGTGCATAGCTCTAGGCAAGCCGTCAGCTTCCCATCATCCTAAGGCGAATGATAGTCGGAGCACAGGTCGGAGCAGCACAGGTCGGACGCCGATTGTATTTACTGTGCACAGTGATGTTGTGGGGGGTATGCTGGCCACTCATCCCTCCAACCTTCTCCAACAAGTCAACAAAACACCAGAGGAGTTGCTCCATGATATGATACTGGCCGGTTCTTTGACAGAGCTGAGACTGATGACAAACAGCGTACCTGCAGCTCCAGTGATCGCTGACTGCCCTGGCATGAAGGGTCAGCACGCGAGTGACACCAGTCCTACCACTGAAGACAGCCAAGCCGAAGTGCTTCATGCTTGGCAATCCATGTGTGACTTGAGCCCATTGGAGAAGCTCCTTGCAGCATGGAACGGGCCAGTGCGTGTCGTACTGATCCAGCCTGCCCCTGGTGCTACTGAACAGAGTTTCACAAACCAATTGCTTTCGGGTGTGTTTTGTTCCCAGTGTGAGCAGCCGGAGCACCACCAACATACGCCTGCCAAGCCCACGGTACAGAGCCCGGTAGGTGATTGTGATAAGGATGATCCAGCTGCACAGTTCTTGGTTTCAACAGCAGTTTACAAAGGATTGCTGCACATTCTACTTGAGATGAGGCCACTGGAATGGGTACAGCTGGACAACTGCCGGCTTTCACCAGCATGCACAAGACTTCTGCTTGCTGCCATATCTCTTGGCAATGTGCTGCAACTTACAACCCCATCATCTGATATTGCACTGGCGCTCGACTCGTTTGGAAAATCTCTATTCTCTAGCTTGGAACACCTGCCCATCTTATCCAATGCCAAGCAGCTGTTCCAGGCAAGGCTGTTGGTGATGGCAGAGACGCAAGATGGTATGCAGACTGATTTAGATGAGACACTGAGTTCTCCGGCACGCGCAGCACTGAACACCCTCTTTTCTGAGGTGGTGGTGAGCTATTCAACCGACACATGCTGCGTGTGGCCCTCGCTCCTGGGCGCAACAGGTACAGATACCGCCGTCCTGTTTAGGCCTGATGCGGGCACAGCTGCGGGAAAGGATAGCTCTCCTTTCACTGCCAGAGCATTGCTGCAAACATCTGCCTCGGAGCATGGATGTTACTTGAATGGCCGCGCGTTTCTAGATCACCTGAACTTGGCTCTGGCGACGGACTTTTCTTCTATGCCAGTGATGTCTTGTGTAGATGGGTTGAGATTACTGAGTCAACACCAGCAGCTTGCACTGGCATTCCTACAACACTTCCTCATCAATGGCATGGAGAAGGAATATGATGGAGACTGGTCAGTGGCAAAAGTCGACTCTCACCAATGGAATCATGATCTACCCACAAAACTCTCCCTGAGCGTGGTCGAGTCAAACTCTCTCCTGAAATCAGTACGTGCCTGCATTGCCGAAGCATCCAGAAAAGAAGGCAAGACCGCCTCTGAACTGGAGCTGTTTAATGCGGCTCGGAAGATGCTGGATGAGATTGTAAATCGACGCTGCAGTGCTGCTCAGAGGCTGCTCACAATGCCGCAATCAGTAGCATACGCCAGCAGTGATGGCGACCGGCTCCTGTTTCAAACTGCAATTGACGACTTCCGTGCCAAGTGGGAATCCTGCGGTGAAGACTGTGCACAGTGCGCCCATCCTTGCCTGCAGTTACGTGAACACCATGGTCCCTGTGACTGCCTGAAAGGAGTCCATCGCTGCAAGGCTGAGTGTTCGCTAGTGCTATATCACGGCGATGGTGATGATGGAGCGGGATACAAACCATGCAGGCTTGCGTGCATCATGAAACATGATGCACAGGATGAGCAGTGCGAGCATCATGCTGGTGTGGCCCACGCATGCGAGGACACGGCGAGACCGCTGCGCCACCGCTGTCCAGAACGCTGTTCTGAATGGCCGGCACGCAACTGCCATGGCCATTGCGCACTGGTGTGCCGGCATGAGGGCAGTCATCAATGCGAGATCCCGGCTGCTAATCATCTGTGCAATAAGCGCTGTGAACTGTATCATGTTTCTGCTACAACTACCAGTGGAGACCATCATCCAGCCGAAGGCCCGGTAATGTGTGCCAAGCAGTTCAACCATGATGGCGGCCACCACTCTTGTGGTGAGGCACACAAATGCAGCCATATGTGCAGCCAGGATGGGGTATGCTTGGTTGCGGATAGTCCTGCAGAGATCCAGGATGCTGCTGTTCAGATACCAGCTAGAAAGGACGGTTACAGACTGTCTTGTAATCGGATGCTACCAGCTGGAACGACGAATCATGTTGGCAGTCATTCATGTGGTGGCATCCACCAATGCCCGGTTACTTGCCCGCTTTGCCAGCATTTCTGCTGCAGACCTGTTGGACATGCTGGTCTTCACGCTGTCAGCAAGCATGGTCGAGTCGTCCAGTCCGGATCGGTAGTGCTAAACGGCTCAGGGCAGATTTGTCTGCAAGCCGACGAGCAGCATCTCAATTGTAGTGAGCTCTGCCAGGTTGCTGGCCGCGGGCACGTGCACAGCCTCCCAGATCTTGCTGAGTTACATTTAGTCGATGCGGACGTGCCCACAATCAATCCCGTTTCTCACAGCGACTTCTGGAAACATCTCAGCTTTGAGGATCCATGCTCTGAAGCTGAGTGTCAGGACTTCGACTGCTGTCCTGCCATTTGCCCTGCATGCAAACAGGCCAATGGCAGGGACACGTTTTGCCAGCTGCAGCTGTTTCATGCACCCTTTGCTGGCCAGCTTGCCGCTGATCAATTTGGCTATGTCAGCCATGCCCGTGACTCACCAACTCCATCGAGCGCTGGGCATGTCTTCATGTGTTCGGAACACGAGTGTGCTACTAGGTGTGCCTTCTTGGACAACAACCATCCCTGCGAGAGAAAGTGCAGACAGCATCTGGGTCACGAGGAGAGCTGCTCCTGTGGCCAATACCACCAGTGCGGCTCGCAGTGCATGGCTGCTGGTTGCAGCCAACCATGTGCCGAGTCGAGTGAATCGCGGCACACGTGCCTCTGCTCTGAAGCCACCTGCCAGCACGCGTGCAGTGCGAGTATGTGTATGTCCGTGTGCAGTTTACCACATGGGCACTCTACTGGACAGCCACATCAGTGTGCAGAAGAGCACGCATGCGAGGCGATGTGCTCGCAGCAAGGACGGTGTGCAATGGGTGACAATGCCGGGTGGACTGGTAGCGGCACGCTGAAAGCAGAAAGGCAAGGGACTCGAAGTCAACCGCAGCCCCGCCAGAAGTGCAAGAAGCGCAGTCACACTGCAGATAGTTCTGCACATGATGAACACGACTGCGGCAGTCAGCATTTGTGCAACGAGTCGTGTCCACTTTGCGACTGCGTTTGTTCATTGCCCTCTGGGCACAGCTCATCGCACAGGACTGCTCACGGCGACATCACAGACTACAGAGCAATTCTCGGCATTGATGCGGATGGCAAGCGCTTCACCCTGAGCAGATCACTGCCCTGCCCTGAACTACACACCATCCTGAACCTAGTTCAGGTTTGCAGCATTCTGGTACACAATGAGAAGCCATCACTGTGGTGGCTGGGAAAGTATAACATCACGCCACTGTCCTATGCAAACATAATGGAGCTTGTCAGTGGCCACTCACACAAACTGCCGCCGATAGTTGATGATGGAGCACCTGGCAGCTGTAAAATGTTCTGTGGCATTGATGACGAGGAAGATGGTCGAGTGTCATGGCACCTTCGAGAAACTGGTAACACATTGTCAGACGACGATGGAGCAACACACTGTAGAATCTCTTACAGTGAAATTGCCGACTCAGTGCTGCAGCTACAAGAAGAGGACGATTTCCGTGGGTCGTGCACGAGTCCGCTGCTGCAGTTCTACTTTGAGCACTTTGACAAGTTGGGTCTGGTGAAGCAGCAGCCATTGCGCGTCCGCATGGACCAGCGCATGCGAGAGCGGTATCAGCACAGGCGCCTGGACATTGGCGAGCGCGACGGTCTGTACAACGAGGTAGCATGCAAGCAGCTCGAGGCCAGGGGCCTCATGGTGGATGTGTCTGACTATCAGCTTAAGAGCAGACACTGGTTGAGGAGAAACGCGAGATCTGTGCGTGCTGGCACCTACTATACATCGTCGGCCATTGTCAGCTCCATCACGGGTGGCCCTGTTGCCAGCACAAGTGCTCTCCTGGGATCGACTTACACAGGGCACAAGTGCTCTGGATTGCTGTCCGCAACGCACCAGCCCACCGCACCGGGTGTCGATCAACACAACGTCCCTGTCATTCCTACTGGCGAGAACAATTGCAATTGCTCTGATGCCAATCAACACAATTGCTCTGCCATTCTTTCCGAGGAGCACCATTGCTCAAACTCAGACGAGCGCCATCAAGAAGATGGTTCTGGGAAGAGCAATCGCCTCACCAAGCTGTCCCGCGCAATCTCTCAAGAATATCTATCTAAAACTCTCAAACCTAGCCTGGAAGATGCAACATGTTCTGGGCTGGACTTGAGTTGTCCACCATGGAATAGCTCACAGTCTCCAACAACCTATGCCAATGTGCAGGATGGCAGTCCGAGTGAGGAGCATTTGTGCCGGGCAAGTTGCCCACTTTGTCTCGAGAAATGTCATCTTGAATTCGGCCATGCCTCGTCACACCAGACCGTCCACGCGCATGCACAGCCCAGCGAGCTGGTATCAATAATGAGTGCTGAGGGGAAGCAGTTGGACTTTGACGACAGGCACTCGTCATCGTGTGACGAGATCTGTAATCGTGCCGGTCCTGGCCATGTTCACGTCTTCGGTCAGTGCCCTGGTGACGCACTGTGTACTGTGGACCAATGGCGAGTTAGACATGCCAAGCCTGGATGCACTGCTGTCAGCTCTGCCGTATCGCAGAGAGACCTGCATGTCATGTCGCACGAAACCTACTGGAGCATGGCGTGCTTCAAAGATCCCTACACACCCGAGCAAGTCCAGCGTTTCCAGTCATGTAGTGTTGTGTGCCCTGAAAAACATCATCATCAGGTGGACAGTGTGCCCAGGTGTGCTGGGGAAATGTGGCACGAGTCGTTCACAAAAGCAGCTGGTCTTGGCCATCTTGTGTGCAAGAAGGATAAGTGGGCCACGGGAAAGACAGACTTGGTGTTCCACTTCTTCAAGGACGACCATCACCCGTGTTCGAAAACGTGCACCGTGACGTCCGGATGCAACGGACCGTGCAGCAAGCAACTGGGCCACAGCTGTTCCCGGCAGTGTGCTGAGGACTGTGCTGGCGCGGGAGATAGCAACCATGTGCAGGGTGCAATCATCCACGATTGTGGGAGAAAACATAAATGTGAGATGCTGTGTCAGATGGCAGGCAAATGTTCAGTTGAAGAACCGACTGATCTATACCGGTCTGGATCTAAATGGGAACGGCAGCGTTGTGGCATAGTAATCCCGGTTGGTAAGCTGTGTCACTGTGAGCACCAACACCACTGTAGTTCAGAACATACATGCACGGCAACGTGTGGTCTGTGCAAACACGCCTGCCAGAAGCCCTACTCTCACGCAGGTCTCTGTCGAGTCAAGCATGGCCGCATCAAACAGAGCCAGAGCGCGACGGTCAGAACTTTGCGAGGCGCCTTGGTGTCGGCTGAGCACGCTCGGGACCTGACCTGTGACATGCTCTGTGATCACGCCGGCCCCTCTCATGTTCACCTTGTCCCCACTGAAGATGCAAAGCATGCGCAACGCCATCAGTGCCGGGAGCATGATTCGCAGAGATTCGAGCCAATGCAGGAGGTCTCTCACTCAGTGTTCTGGCAATCAATCATGAAGGTGGAAGATCCATACGATGGAACAGATGTCCAAGCCGAGTTCTCAAGGTGTCCAGTCCAGTGTAGCAGTGAGTGTCATGACGTGGACGATGATCCAGTTTACTGTGATGCTGGCCTTTTCCACGACTGTTTGCACCCAGAGGATTTCACTGGCCAGCGTGGATACGTGTCAACAGAGAGACATGGTAATGGTATTGCAGGACACCACTTCCCGTGTGTTCATCGCTGTGGCTTGAGTTGCCAAGCCAGGATTGACAAGGCAGAGTGCACCCGACCTTGCAGTTTGTCAGCTGGTCATGATACTGCCAAGCAGTGCGTGTGCGATGAAGGGAGACATCGCTGCGGCCAGCCTTGCGAGAACATCACCTGCGCATTGCCTTGTGAGCTGGACTCAACCACACCTCACCTGCGCCACTGGTGCAAGGAAGACATTTGTCCTGGGAGTTGCGGTGGATGTGCCAAGCCATGCTCTCTGGGGCACTTCCACCCTGGCCGCGATTGTGTGTGCAACGGCCAGGACCACTGCCTGCAGCAGCAGCTTCACTATGACCTTCACCGCCCAGAGTCTGAGAGTAGTAAATTGATGAGGAATGATGACCCTGTGCCGGCAAAGACCAGTCAGCTAACACCACTGATGCTGAGTGGCTTGTATGCAAGCGACAACGACTCCCATCATCCTGTTCGCTGTACATTCACATGCAGGCATTCTAGCCATGCAGGTAGTGGCACAGATCAGCAGTGTTGGCGTGACTGGCTACATCCCAAGGAGCTAGATTTCCCCGTGCCAGATGGCTACAGGCAGAGCAAACGAGGCTGCTTGTTCCGTTGCGAGCACCGCTGCGAGAGGCGATGCGCGTTTGAGAGTGCAAGCCGGGACTGCGCGCAGTACTGCGCATCGGCATACGACCATCGCGGACAATGCCAGTGCGAGACAGTGGAGCACCGTTGCAAGGAGACGTGTTCTGCGTGCACCTCACTCTGCGCGGTTCTGCTGGAATCGCGCATGCCACTGCACACGCACAGCTGCATGGAGAACAAGCAGTGCCAATGGCAGTGCGAGTTTACACACGATGCAGCTGACCAGTGCGTGACGTGCACCAAACGTTGTGCAAAAGAGCACCACCATGTGGCAGCTGCAGATGATGCTACACACAGCTGTGAACAGCATCAGTGTGAAAAAGGAGCAGCAGCCGTCTCATTAACCGCGTCAAGCCGAGAGAACGTCTTTGATGAATACTTCAATGGCGAAAAAGCTCATTCTAGAGAGGGCTTGGGAAGGCAACTGCGTCTGGTACTGGCAGAGCTGAAAGATGACCTCTGTCAAGCATTGGGCAAGGATGTGGATAATATTGTTGACCATCTTGTTGTGTATGGAGTCCTGGACTGCACGAGTGATTTCCATGCTCGCATTCGTCACAGCAGGCTGCCAAGCAAAGAACGTGTGAGCGAGCTACTGCGACAGTTAGCATACTTGTCAATGGACAATGACACCACAAAACTCAATGGATTTGTTCGTGCACTGAACAGCCTGGGCTTTCCGGAAGTTGCCAAGCAGATTAAAACCAGAATGAAGGAGCTTGAAATAGAAGATGATGTGCAGCTACGCGAGACCCTGGACTGGAGATCACCTTCAGCTGTGGAGAGAGTCACAAGCGATGTGAAGGAATGCTCTGTCATGAAATGTGTGGACAGGTACAAGCGTCACTTGTTGAGTCTGTGCAAGAAGGAGAGGTTGAAACCTGCCGTGCCATGGATCGACAGTTCTGACACAGAATGCACATCGACGTGCAATTTCCGTATCCGTGCACTGCCTCATGCACATCATATTGACAGAGGTCTAGACTGCACCGGAGTGAGTGACACAAGCTGCAAACCATTGGCAGCATTCCCGCTGATAGAACCCCTGCAGCTTCTTCTGAACGAGCCACAGTCGTACAATCCAAAACTTGAAGTAGCACCACTGCGCTCTGCGTTTGTGAGTAGCTGTATGGTGATGTCAGAGGCAGGCACTGGCATAACTACCCTATGCCAACATCTACTCGCCAGCTACACGACACAGCCACCGGGACACATAACAAAACACTTTCCGATGCCCGTTTACATTCCGTGTCGCAATGTGGACCGCTTCAACTCCAAGGACTGGTCAGAATTTCTTGGTGTCAACTCAATGACGTTGTCCGGTCCAGAACAGCAGTCAGTGGTAGACTACCTGTTGCATAACTCTGATCAGGTGCTGTTGATCATTGATGGCTTGGATGAAGCTGGGAGCATGCCATCAGAAGACAGTGCATTGAGCGCTGTGCTAAGGAAGACAGCATTGGAGGAGGCCGCTGTAGTGATAACAAGTCGCCCGTACCAAGCCGCATCAGACCTTGCAACCCAGTGCTCCAATCGGTATAGCTTGGCTGGATTCACGGGCAAGCAGCTTCAGCAGTTCGTCCTGAAACAGTTGGGATGTGAAATTGGTGCAAAGTGTGTTGGTGCACTTTCAGCTCGGCCGCTTGGTTACCTAAAAGAGGCAATCTGCAAAAACCCATTGTTTGCCGCGATGTTATGTGAGATGTACGAGTGGACGGATGACATTCCCAGCAGTGTGACAACTTTGTATACGCAGTATATACAGCATGCAGTGCAGACCTTCAAGCAAAAGGAAAGACTACAACATGGGTATGCTGGCAAAGGCCAAGACAAACGATGCAGTGAAGATGCACCGGAATCGCAGAAAACTGCCGACAAGGATTACCTGCTTTCGCCGCAGTCCGAATTCTCTACCACCAAGGACGAACCCCCAGCCAATTTGCTTGCAGAACTGGGAGCGCTTGCATTCGAGCTGTTATGCCATCGCAGGCCCGTGTTCCCCATTGACTTCTCAGCACAAACACTCAGGATTGCACAGCGTATGGGCATATTGGTTACCTGCGACATGGAAACATGCAACAGTGCACCTTTATGGTGGTTCAGTCATCTGACGGTACAGGAGTATCTAGCTGCACGCTTCGTCTGTAGTGCGGCAGCACCACCCAATGCAATGGAACAGTGTACAGACGTGATTGGCACCGATGAGAATACCTGGAGTTTCTGGACGTTTGTCTGTGCCATGGTGAACACCAACCAACTGCTAGAAGTCGTATCGCTACTCAGCACACGGGAAAAGTGTAAATTCAAATCAAATCGGTCTGCTGAGAAGACGTTTAGACGGTTTCTAGCAACATCCCTGCAGGAACATCAGTTTTATCATGCCATCCGAGACCCGGCTCAGCTCCAAAGAATCTTGACAAGGACCGAACGGATGCATACAATGCAAGTCTTTCACCGGGACACCGACATCGTGAAAGTGAGCCATCTGGCAAACTCTCCGGGACAGGTAGACTGTAGAGTTGGTGAACGACTGTGTCTGGCTGAATCTCCACAGTGCATAACAGTGCCATCACTCCTTCACACTAACAGGACAGGCAGCAGTTCACCTGTCCGAATTGACATGATGGGTGACGAATCACTCCTTCACATTAACATTGCTGGTGACAAGTCGATCCTTTACCTAAACATCACTGGTGACAAGTCCATCGTTCACATTAACACTGCTGGTGACAAGTCAATCGTTTACCTTAACATCACTGGTGACAAGTCAATCGTTCACATTAACGTTGCTGGTGACAAGTCACTCGCCCACGTTAACATTACTGGTGACAAGTCACTTCTTCATATTAACATAAAGGACAGCAAGTCACTCGCCCATGTCAACATGACGAGCAGCAAGTCACGTATGGATATCAATATGATGGGCAACAACCTCCATATGAGCCCAATAAGTCATCTTGCCATGCTACGTCAGCAGGCGATGGATGTGAAGCTACTCCAATGCAGCCGCTACTTGTCAATGTGTCAATGTGATGGATTAACGGCCGGGCTGGTCGGTGATGAAATCAATGCTGGTTTTGCTACCATCGGTTGTTATCGCACCAGCATGTCTGACAGGTATGCTGGATCTCTGTACCACGCACTTCAGAGTTGCTGTCATATCAAGGTCCTGGTATTGAATGATAACAAGATTTCATCTGATGGCATTGAACAGGTTTTACTTGAAGTACAAGCAGGCGCTTTGCCGCACACTTGGCTTTCAACACCTACGTGTCGCCAGGACTTTGTTAGATCCGCGCACAGCGGCGCACACAGATGCCAACCCTGCACGTACAGCTTGGACAACAGGAGCGCTCCGATGGCACAGAGTTCAAAGGACCACACGGCCATTTATCGGCAGGGCCAATCAAAGCTCGCTGCAGGGCTACGCATGGTGAACATGGATACGTTGCTCAGTGTCCGGTCTGCGCTGGGCTGCACGGATGACGGGCCGGCTGACAAGACAGGAGCAAACACAAGGTATGGTGTGCATAGTAAAGTAGATGAGGATGGGAAAGATGCCAGTCGGAGCTTCTCCCATCACATTCATGTGTGTATGTGCGACTGCATCGCTGAAAGGGTTAGCCCTGGAACTACAGTACTGATCAATAAAATCCGATCTAGTCACTCAAGTACGTGCCAGGCCGCAGTTGCGCAGCCCTAGACCTGCGAACTGTCGGCTGCAAAAATGGTGCGAGGCGCTGACTTGACTCATGAGATCGGATTTCACTGAGCAGCACTATACAAATGGTGCACACCAAGCAGTCATGTTTCTTGTTGCCGTGGCTTCAAGCTTGAACAGTATAGATATATTTTGCGCCTACTGTAAAATACTTCCGGAGCTCTCCATCTCGCGAGAGTACCTCGCCTTGATCCACGGCCAGGGAAATGAAAATCGTATGGCCGAGTGCAACTAAGTTTGTACGTTGTAAGAACCTGAGAGCACTAGGGTCGCACATGCATGGCCCTGAACCAACTCACTGTTTATGTGGACCTCACTGTCGCTCGAAAAGGGTGAGTTGAGTACGGGTTTAGTGTACGGTGAGTGCACAGCCTCGTGCAATGTGTGTACAGTGCATGTGCAGTATGACCTGCAGACAGGATTCATTCATCCCACCTCCAAAACACGGCCACGAAGGGATCCAGGGATCCAGGGTGGTGGGGCTCTCATGTGCTACTTTACAGTACTTCTCACTTTTTTCCCCGAGTGAATCCAAAAATGAAGTGAAAAGTTACAATTTAGCATCCCATTATATGATTGTGTGCAGCCAGTTAGCCCAATGAGGTGCACAGCAGTGCATGTGTCGGTTCAACACCGTATTTTGTCGTGTCCACTGAAGTCGCTTCACAGGTAGAATTTCGACAGAGGGTGGAAATTAGAGAGGGGTTGTCCGTGATGACAAAGGACCTCTGGAAAAGTTGATGTCACCAAGAAACCTGGCTGGGCCAAGCTGGGTAGAGTTGCACACTCTTGTTTTGACTGGTGATCAACGAAAAAACTGTGCCTGCGTGTGTGTGTGTGTGTGTGTGTGTGTGTGTGCATGTTTGTGTGCGTGTTTGTGTGTGTGTGTGTGTGTGTGTGTGTGTGTGTGTGTGTGTGTGTGTGTGTCTGTGTCTGTGTATGTGTATGTGTCTGTGTTTGTGTGTGCCTCCTCGCACGATCGTACATGTAGCTTACCTCATCCAGTAGAGAAACCCAGCAACATCCGCAGCTGAAGATACGCGATAACAGTTATCGGACAGTCAAGAACCTAGCAGCTCTGCAATCTAACACGAAGTTGTGATATTCGTTTCTAACCAGACACCATATCCCAGGGCACTAGTATACGCCAGGGTTAATGGTTTCACGCAATTAGCTTTGTGAGTGCATGCATACACCAGGGACTACTGATATTACATACATTCATGTATCATGTCGTTTTCATGTGATCCTCTCCAACAATGTCAACGCATTCATTTTGTTGATGTTGCATGATGCCTTTTCATTGGTCTAATAGCCCTCGTTCCATTCAACATGTGTAGTGCTCGCAGCACAGAGTAGGGGCTAGGGACAAAACTCGGGCATGTGTATTGCATACGTACGTGTAAGTATGCGTCGTATGCGTGCTTGTATCCATGCTTAGCGCATGTCCAATTTAAACGTACGCGTCCGTTGCAGAGACGACTTTCTTGTCTGCATGGCTCATGATGTATACATGTATTTGCAGCTTTTCGTGGTGTTACAATGTTCTGCCTTGTAAACTCCCAGCAGGAGTGCACTCCATCCCGCTCCACCCATGGCGGTCTAGTCCAGCCATGCTAAATTGCTTATTGGCTCCACAGCAACGACTGAGAAAAGGTAAAATCAAAAAGAATAGTTTGCATCTCCTACAATCATCTTGCTGCTTTTTGCTGTCTGCAGTGATTCCATGCCAGGGTTACGGCTGCTGGTTAGCTTTGCTTTGCTGCATGTGTAAACTTTAGTGTGTTTGTTCCGCATGACATTGTATTAAAAGTGTCAGAAAGTGCTGACCTTTCAATAGAATGGCATTGGGGTAGTTTGCGCACCGTGTGTTATGTGTCATGGTTTCAACTAACACTTCTCAATTTGCTGATCATCTATACCGCTCACCATTCTTATGAGGAGTGGTAAAATACCGGTATTTTACTACTCTCTGATTCTTATAACTCTTCTGTATCCATACTGCATCACACTGCTATGATGTTCGTGCACTTTGTAACCTTTGTGGTGCTGGCCAGCTGTGGTGGTCATCTCCAGGGACCAGACACACTCCGTGTGTATCGGTCAAAGACTGGGAGTGGAGTGCTGGAGCAGGGTTTTGGCAGGTGACGGCTTTGTTGACACGCCGAACAGCTCCTGTGTCATGCCGGGTCATCAGCGGGTTGTGAATGTTCTGTGCGACACTTTACTGAATACACTCATACATCGGTTATCCAGACCCCGATGTCATGGGTATTTCGGTCTACCGGGCACCCTTTGTGCGAGTTCCAGTGGAAAAATTACTACTATTTTGGCACTTTTTGTGAAATAGTGACGTCGTATGCCATATCTATGACCATTCCCAATCGAAAATGTACGTGTCTCAGAGTAACGGACATTTCAGAAGTACGGGCAGTGGTCGGCCCCGGACCGCCTGCATATGAGTGTAGTAACAGAAGTGTCCGTTCCCGTCCCAGACAGTGGTCTTGGGCGGTTAGGTTAGCTGAAAAACTCTCTCTATCCAGCAACGATTCTTTACAATACCTACATTCGTACAGCGTGCCCATGCACCAGCATTATACTGCCATGCGAGGTGTCGTCATAATCCATTGTCATGGTAACCAGGATTCTAGTCAGGTCAAAATAGTAGGGGGGGGGGCAGGGAAAACAGTTACCCCGTGACCCATTTTTCCATTTCAAAATAACTGTCTTGCAATGCGAAATGCAACTGACTCACCCCAGACAAATGTGCCTTTATGAACCCTCGACTAGCAAGAGTACATGAAAACCGGTTTTCATGTACTACAGTCCATTCATAAAAAGATGGGCTCTGGCTCTGGCGAGCTCCCGTATTTGGCGATTTTTCGTGATTTCATCGTACACAGTGCAGTGCTGCGAAATTTGAAATTTGAAAAGGGTCCAAAAAGGGTACCTGAACTGGGGTTCGAACCGCACAATGCACTGTTGCAGACAGGGTCAAACGGCCTGGATTTTTATGGTTTTTCCCAATTCAATGCTTTGGGGGCAAAACCTGGCCGAAATCCTATTCTTGTTATGGCTTGCTTTTTGGAGAAAAAAACTTCAGAAACATAATTGGAAGAGGATTCCATAGAGGATTGCAGAAAAAATTCTAAAAAAACTCAACGTTTGACCCATTTATGGCCAAAAGCTAGAAGTTCATTTTTTTCTGAATGGACTGTAGTACTGACTATCGACTGCATTTTCGTTGAATTGCATTAAAAACAGAAAATCGGAAAATGAGTAGGGGGTGCTACCCCCCCCCCCCCCCTTGGCTAGAACCCATGAGAGGAGCTGGTGTGTATTGTGCTCATGTGCTGCTGCCAAAAATGAGAAAGGATGGAATCCTGATGGAATGACGTGATGTGCATGTTCTACATCACGGTATGCGTAGATCGTTGTTGTGTGTGTATGTGTATGGTACATGGTGTGTGTGTGTGTGTGTGTGTGTGTGTGTGTGTGTGTATGTATGTGTATGGTACATGGTGTGTGTGTGTGTCAGCTTCCTTATGCGAACATACATGTACGAGTACTTTATTGATTCACGGGGTACCTGGGGCAAAAAGTGGTACGGTCAATACCATAATGACCGCACCATGTCCGACACCCCTGCCGGATACTCCTCTGCACCCCTCCCCCTGGAGAAGGCCCTGCTCCCTGAGACTGGTGCAGATAACCAGCACTATTATTCTTCTGAGTATACATGCATACCTACTCTAAGACTTACGCATTGCTGTCCGCAGCCTGGCCACAGCAAGGTGATGATGGATGGGCCATGTCACCTGGTCACTGCCCAACTCAGTACTGATTTACACATTCACTGCACGCCGGCCGGGGTGGGGGGGGGGGGGGGGGGGGCTGTACTCATCATCGGCCGTCATGGTAAACATTACTCAATGGCCTAGGGCCCGAGGCTACAAAAAAAAAGTACTGAAGAAGAGGTTTGTAGGAACCTGGGGAGGGGGGATGGTCCTGAACTCTGGCGTAAAACTACTAAAAAAAAGAGTGGCCCCAGTAATCTACATGCCATGGCCGCGCCATGGTCATGATGGTAGCAGCTGCTGTAAACATGGCCTCTGGCCAGGGAGTCCTGCCTCTGGCGTAAAACTACAATACTACAGTGTATTAGTTATTACTAAAAAAAAGAGTGGCCCCAGTATCTACAACGACTACATGCATGGTCATGATGGTAGCAGCTGCTGTAAACATGGCCATGCTGTAGATCTACATCCACACGACATGACAGTAAAAACCAGGGAGTGGTCTACTCCCTGGTAAAAACTAAAAATGGACCAGCAGTGCTCACGGCTGCATGGCCAGCGCCCCGTGGCCGCTTGACTTCGCAACGGATTTCAATGTCCACTCCACTGGCGCTGGCAACGGTCGCAACAGTAGTCAGTAGTCCCCAGCAGGACAATGTCAATGTTGCCTTTGGCTTTGGGCCAGTTTGGCTTTGGATCAGCTGGGATTTTAGTTTGTGCTGGCGAGGAATCCATGGCCCTGGGGGTACTTGTACTTGTAGTATGTGCTGCACGTTTGACAATGCACTCAGAAAAAGTGTGTCCTGTGCATCAGTGCCAGTGTGCCTTCAGGACTCCAATCCACGGGCGATGTATTCGTAGCGAGGGAGTTCTCCGGGTCTGTTTAATTCCGCGGCCTAGCCTGACCAGTACGCTGGCACGGGAAGTGCCCGGCAACTTCTCAGTCTAATTCGGCGGAAACTCGCTGGTCAAGAGCGCACTGACACCAGCTGGTAAGACGGAAAGTGATCTGAGTAGACCTACCATGTACCATGAATGTACCATGAGTACCATGAATGCACCATGAATGCCGACTGAGTCTGTATGCACTATCTATGTAGTCTGTGCAGTCTGTGTATGGATGGGGGGGGGGGGGGGGGATCCCCCCGTATCTCTGCAACAATAATACAATTATAAGGCCAAACTAAAGAAGGTGTGTGGTTCGACTCACCCGACCGACCGTACAATTTCAGCCCGACCGTAACTTTTTTTCGGCGGGCTGTCGTGTGACTGACGTACGTGGACTGAACACGTCCACGTCTACGTGCTGTGCGGCGTGAGTCTGCGGACGCAGGCGGCTCCTTTTGGACTTGACTTGTAGTTGTACTGCAGTGCAGTGCAGTGAGTGGTACGACTGCTGCCTTGTGCTGGTAGTAGAGTCTACTCGATACGCGTATACAGTGTATTTACATGTACTAAAAAATATATTTAAAAAAAAAAATCCGCCCGCCCGCCCGTAAAAAAAATGTCCATGTTAGTCGAACCACACACCTTCTTTAGTTTGGCCTAATTATTATTATACTAGTAGATGGTTATAGTAAGGTCACTGTTTCCGAACACAGTGGTCTCCACCTTGTTATATGCTGTCAACCAACAACATACAATTACTATACACAATCATGTAGTCATGTAGCCTTGACAGCAACCTCACGGTAGTAGAGTTCAATCCGGCCCGGGGGGGGGGGGGGGGGGGGGTGCACAAGCACATGGGTTTACTATAAAATCCTGTTGATCCGCTCCCTGTGGACGTTGTGCCTGTGAAGCGTCTCTGTGCACATGCATACGTCAAACTACGGTGTTGTGTGTCTGGCTTTGGAAACTGTATGTTTCATTGCTATCAGGTTCTGCCTCATTTTCTCTGTGCTGCGCTACTGAGTCCACAAAGGACGGAACAGTTCTGTCCGCAGATTGAGTGTTGTGCGTTTGTGTTGTTTCCGTAAGTGATTGGGTGTTCACGGCGTGGCAGGTGCCGGTTGTGGCGGTGTAGCATTCTGGTTGCCGACATACCCAGCTGATGTGGTGAAGAGTCGACACCAGGTGAGTGGTCTGGGTTTAGTTTTCATTAAAGCGTTTTGTTAGCGCACAGCTCGATTGACTTCTAGTCGTACTCAATGAGATTCGATCTCGTGAACATACTTCAGCTACAGACAGATCCTGCTCCGCACTCCAGGACCACAGTGTCATCATTGATGCCTATTTTTGCTGTATCTTACAAAGTCGACCTGGCTGCCTACCACGAGAAAAAAAATGGTCGTTGCATTTACAGTAGAAGCTGTCAGTGCCTGCACCAGTGCACAGCTCAGTGTTCACAGGTCTGGGATTGCATTGCCCGGGTAATTTGCCCCAGTGCTCACAGGTCCGGGGTTGCATGGCCCCAGTGTTCACAGGTCTGGGGTTGCATGGCCCAGTGTTCACCGGTCCGGGGTTGCATGACCCCAGTGTTCACAGATCCGGTGTTGCATAACCCAGAGTCCACAGGCCCGGGTGGCATGGCCCCAGTGTTCACAGGTGTGGGATTGCATGGCCCCAGTGTTCACAGGTCCGGGGTTCCACGGCCCAGTGTCCACAGGTAGTAGTAGTAGTAGAATTTATTATTTTGATAGGGAAGGACCTACAGACGTTGCCGTCTTGTTACAGGGAACCCTAAGTGCTCTTTACAGAGCGAAACAAAAACGGATAGATGCTCAACCTGACGACACGAGACAGGCAGAGAATTCCACCTATCAGCGCCAAGGAAAGAAATAGAGAACATGCCATATCTAGTGGTAGCAGCGGGCAAAGAAAGTGAAGAGAATGATTGCCCTCTAGTGCGCCTCTCGGTGCAAGTAGCAGCCGACTGGAGGGTGAACATTGAGGAAAGAAGAGGACTTGTAAGCTGATGAATACAGCGGAAAACAAAAATAAAAAGCCTGAAGTTGAGACGAGATTCGAGGGAGTATAACTTAGCGTGCCGCAAAACAAAGACAGTCGGGGTACGGCGAGGGAGACCAAAAACCTTTTTCATGCTGATATGACTTAAAGTAACAAGGCGAGAGTATAAAGATGGTGTAAGACAGTGAGCATACGAGTTGCTGGCGTATTCAAAAGTGGATTGGATGAGGGATAAATAAAATATTCGCTTAGTTGTGTAGTTCGGAGTTGCATGGCCCAGTGTCCACAGGTCCGGGTTGCATGGCCCCAGTGTTCACAGATCTGGGGTTGCATGGCCCAGTGTTGACCGGTCCGTGGTTGCATGGTCCCAATGTTCACAGGTCCGGGATTACATGGCCCCAGTGTTCACAGGTCCACGGCAGCCCGGTGTCCACAGGTCTGGGGTGGCATGGCCCATTGTTCACAGATCCAGGGTTGCATAGCCCCAGTGTTCACAGATCTGGGGTTGCATGGTCCCAGTGTTCACAGGTCCGGGGTGCACGACCCCAGGGTTCACAGTTTAGGGGTTGCATGACCCCAGTGGTCATAGGTCTGGGGTTGCATAGCCCCAGTGTCCACAGATCCAGGGTTGCATGGCTCCAGTGTCCAAAGGTCCGGGGTTGCATGTCCCATTGTCCACAGATCCAGGGTTGCATGGCTCCAGTGTCCAAAGGTCCGGGGTTGCATGTCCCATTGTCCACAGATCCAGGGTTGCATGTCCCATTGTCCACAGGTCTGGGGTGGCATGGCCCATTGTTCACAGATCCAGGGTTGCATAGCCCCAGTGTTCACAGATCTGGGGTTGCATGGTCCCAGTGTTCACAGGTCCGGGGTGCACGACCCCAGGGTTCACAGTTTAGGGGTTGCATGACCCCAGTGGTCATAGGTCTGGGGTTGCATAGCCCCAGTGTCCACAGATCCAGGGTTGCATGGCTCCAGTGTCCAAAGGTCCGGGGTTGCATGTCCCATTGTCCACAGATCCAGGGTTGCATGTCCCATTGTCCACAGGTCTGGGGTGGCATGGCCCATTGTTCACAGATCCAGGGTTGCATAGCCCCAGTGTTCACAGATCTGGGGTTGCATGGTCCCAGTGTTCACAGGTCCGGGGTGCACGACCCCAGGGTTCACAGTTTAGGGGTTGCATGACCCCAGTGGTCATAGGTCTGGGGTTGCATAGCCCCAGTGTCCACAGATCCAGGGTTGCATGGCTCCAGTGTCCAAAGGTCCGGGGTTGCATGTCCCATTGTTCACAGATCCAGGGTTGCATGTCCCATTGTCCACAGATCCAGGGTTGCATGTCCCATTGTCCACAGATCCAGGGTTGCATGTCCCATTGTCCACAGATCCAGGGTTGCATGTCCCATTGTCCACAGATCCAGGGTTGCATGTCCCATTGTCCACAGATCCAGGGTTGCATGTCCCATTGTCCACAGATCCAGGGTTGCATGTCCCATTGTCCACAGATCCAGGGTTGCATGTCCCATTGTCCACAGATCCAGGGTTGCATGTCCCATTGTCCACAGATCCAGGGTTGCATGTCCCATTGTCCACAGATCCAGGGTTGCATGTCCCATTGTCCACAGATCCAGGGTTGCATGTCCCATTGTCCACAGATCCAGGGTTGCATGTCCCATTGTCCACAGATCCAGGGTTGCATGTCCCATTGTCCACAGATCCAGGGTTGCATGTCCCATTGTCCACAGATCCAGGGTTGCATGTCCCATTGTCCACAGATCCAGGGTTGCATGTCCCATTGTCCACAGATCCAGGGTTGCATGTCCCATTGTCCACAGATCCAGGGTTGCATGTCCCATTGTCCACAGATCCAGGGTTGCATGTCCCATTGTCCACAGATCCAGGGTTGCATGTCCCATTGTCCACAGATCCAGGGTTGCATGTCCCATTGTCCACAGATCCAGGGTTGCATGTCCCATTGTCCACAGATCCAGGGTTGCATGTCCCATTGTCCACAGATCCAGGGTTGCATGTCCCATTGTCCACAGATCCAGGGTTGCATGTCCCATTGTCCACAGATCCAGGGTTGCATGTCCCATTGTCCACAGATCCAGGGTTGCATGTCCCATTGTCCACAGATCCAGGGTTGCATGTCCCATTGTCCACAGATCCAGGGTTGCATGTCCCATTGTCCACAGATCCAGGGTTGCATGTCCCATTGTCCACAGATCCAGGGTTGCATGTCCCATTGTCCACAGATCCAGGGTTGCATGTCCCATTGTCCACAGATCCAGGGTTGCATGTCCCATTGTCCACAGATCCAGGGTTGCATGTCCCATTGTCCACAGATCCAGGGTTGCATGTCCCATTGTCCACAGATCCAGGGTTGCATGTCCCATTGTCCACAGATCCAGGGTTGCATGTCCCATTGTCCACAGATCCAGGGTTGCATGTCCCATTGTCCACAGATCCAGGGTTGCATGTCCCATTGTCCACAGATCCAGGGTTGCATGTCCCATTGTCCACAGATCCAGGGTTGCATGTCCCATTGTCCACAGATCCAGGGTTGCATGTCCCATTGTCCACAGATCCAGGGTTGCATGTCCCATTGTCCACAGATCCAGGGTTGCATGTCCCATTGTCCACAGATCCAGGGTTGCATGTCCCATTGTCCACAGATCCAGGGTTGCATGTCCCATTGTCCACAGATCCAGGGTTGCATGTCCCATTGTCCACAGATCCAGGGTTGCATGTCCCATTGTCCACAGATCCAGGGTTGCATGTCCCATTGTCCACAGATCCAGGGTTGCATGTCCCATTGTCCACAGATCCAGGGTTGCATGTCCCATTGTCCACAGATCCAGGGTTGCATGTCCCATTGTCCACAGATCCAGGGTTGCATGTCCCATTGTCCACAGATCCAGGGTTGCATGTCCCATTGTCCACAGATCCAGGGTTGCATGTCCCATTGTCCACAGATCCAGGGTTGCATGTCCCATTGTCCACAGATCCAGGGTTGCATGTCCCATTGTCCACAGATCCAGGGTTGCATGTCCCATTGTCCACAGATCCAGGGTTGCATGTCCCATTGTCCACAGATCCAGGGTTGCATGTCCCATTGTCCACAGATCCAGGGTTGCATGTCCCATTGTCCACAGATCCAGGGTTGCATGTCCCATTGTCCACAGATCCAGGGTTGCATGTCCCATTGTCCACAGATCCAGGGTTGCATGTCCCATTGTCCACAGATCCAGGGTTGCATGTCCCATTGTCCACAGATCCAGGGTTGCATGTCCCATTGTTCACTTACAGTCTCCATGGCGGCGACAGTGACGATAATTTTTTATTCTTTATCTATCTCTCTCCTCTATCTATCTCGTTTCATCTATCTACATGACATGATTGTATCTCTTTCCATCTATCTTCATGTCATATGCATGTCCAGGTCAATGTTGCCGCCGGCAAGCCAAAGAATTTCTTCAGCGGGTTCATGAAAATAGGGCACATATGTACATGGAAGGTAGGCTGCTTGCTTGTTGGAGACAAAATGGTGATTGGCCATTGGTGGGAAGGGGATATCAACCCAACTACCCAACCTTAATCACCATTCTCGGCGACAAGCTCCACCTGAAGTTTCTGAGATCCAGAGTGCGCTTCCTGAAGCTGTTCCTTGATGCCGCCGATAACATCTTCGTGTCATGTTCAAGTGTTTGCTCTGGTCGGTCGGTTAGTTGTTTGAACAGGTTGCATGAATTGTTTTGTTAACTTACTTGAGCTGGCTTCAGTCATTGGTCTAAACAAGCTAGAAGGTGCCAGCGACACGATCATTCGGGTCACTTGTGCTCTCTTATTAAATGGAACAGAAAATGGAAAAGGCGGCATCCATAGTAGCACTGCCAGGCCCTCAGTGTGATCACTGACACCACTGATATCCCCACGTGACGGCCATCAATCATGGCAGCTTTAGTGACAGCTTTAGCGGCGGCTTTAGCGACGGCTTTAGCGGCACCTTTAGCGACGGTTTTAGCGGCGGCTTCAGCGACGACTTTAGCGGCACCTTTAGCGACGGTTTTAGCGGCGGCTTTAGCGACGACTTTAGCGGCGGCTGCATCCTGGTGTGTAACCTGGTTGATGCTCACTTGTCGCCTGGTATTTTGTACATATATAATATAAGGGGAACTATGGGTTACACATGAACCGCATAGCTCCAGCAGCTTGTGAATTGCTCCAGTCGTCAAGTTGTCGCTCCCTTTGGCTTTAACCATGTTATGGTGTGGATGGGCGCTTTGTTTTCTTTTCTGTGTTGCTCTGAACAGGCATGCGTGGTCTGAACAGGCATGCGTGGTGTGTATCGGGGGATAACGCCTTCCCAGCCAGCGGCGCTCTGTTCTACTCCGTTGAGCTAACCCGTAGGATCTCGGAATGAAGGAACTACATGTAGTGTGTGTGTGCGCGTGCGTGCGTGCGTGGTGCTGGTGTCCCCGCTAGACTCGTCCGCATTATTCAAGCTTTTCACGGCAACATGAAGGCATCACTGGTACTGGCGGGAGCTGACGTTGACGCTGTTGATGTGAACAATGGTTTGCGTCAAGGATGCTGCATGGCACCAGTCTTGTTTTTAACATATCTACATATGGGCTATGTTCCGGCAATGGTACAAGGCGATTGCAGACATTCCGGATATCGGGTTTCCTGTGGCGATGAATGCTGGTGGTCGGCTACTATTCCGCAGGTCACGTACGGACGTTGTGAAACGGCACGACGACTGCCAGTTTGCTGACGACTCTGCACTGGTTGCCACCTCCCATGAGTGTGCGCAACAGGCTCCGACTGCTTTTGTGCGTGTTGCTGGTGCATTTGGCCTGAAGGTGAATCTCGCAAAGACCAAGGTCATGCCGGTCGGCTACGGACTTACAGCACATGACCGCTTGCCTTTGATGGTAGTGGGTGATATTATTGAGAGCGGGGCTGACTTCAAGTATCTCGGCTCCAGTACATACGGATGGTCGATTGGCTCATAATATCAAGTCACACATTGCTGGAGCATCGAGGGCCTTTGGGGTTCCAGGCCATGCACAGCTATCTGATTTGATCTCCTTTCTTTCTAGGACCTACCAGATAGCAACGATTTAAAGGTTTTTCCTGTTCTAACACTTACTCATTTTTTTTCCTTTTACCAGTATTTATTTCTTCTAGACCCTGTCAATGCTTGGGATTGTCCCTGCAGCACAGTATTGTTTTTTTGTTTTGTTTTGTTTTGTGTGTAAGGCAGTCTTTTCTGCCTGTTTATATTTTGGAGGGCGGTCAGGTCGCATCCGAGGCCGAGGCGGGGATGGGGGTGGGGTACATTAAAACTTCTGGTGGTGCATGGTGGAGTTGAGACAGGGCAGGTCGTGTGCAGCTATGATAGGTGTGAATATGGCGCTGTGCAGGCTGCAGCTGATGGGAGAGGAAAGATCAAGGGGTGGTACATTTAGCACATGCGATACATGAGAGGCACAGATGATGCATCTACCATTATTGTGGTATTGAACGAGGTGATATAATTATTAGGGGGTGCAGTGGCAGGAGTATGCACTTTCATACTCTCTTGCTTGGCATTTTATCACATTGTATTGCATATCAAAAGTAACAGCTACCTACGTGACAAGAATATAACCCTGTCCTGTAGTTAGCCCTGTAGTGTATGCACTGTTGGTAGTGTATGCACTGTAGTGTATGCACTGTATGTAGTGTATGCACTCTTGGTGGTAACTTTGACGCTTGGTAGCGACAATTTTATCACCTATGTGATAACAAATCGCCAAATAATTGGGTATAAAGAACAGCTGCGTGAAATTTACCCCTTTTATACAGTGATAAACTCTTGCACTCTTGGTTGTAGTGGTGAGAAATGGGGTGCCAGCGGGCCCAACAGGTGATCGCTTCAACGCCTTGCAGCGATGGTTTTAGCACCACCAAAGACGAAGTGTGGAAAAACGAAAATTTAATATCATTCAAGGTATAGTTTGCATGCTTCAGCACCTAGTACTTTGCAGTACAAGGATTGCTGAAGGTGTGGCGAGGTGGTACTAACGTGCCTGGCGACCCACACAGGGGCCACAGGCTACACAGAGCACGACTGGCTGGCTCCAGGAAAATGTTGGTCATATTAAAATAAACATCAATGCTCCCAACAATTAACAGTGATCACAATAAAAGCAGAATCACCAAACAGCCGGCCGTGATTGCTGAGGTTAACCAGTTCCTAAAGGAGAATATAGGATATTTGAAAATCATGAAAATCACAGGCACGGCGGAAATAAAATCGGAGAGCCGAGAGCGCAAGCAAAAGTACTAGTGAGAACAAGAGGACAGTCACGTCAACAGGTTAATAGTCGGTTAAAAATATAAAATAATACCATGCTGAGTTCTTCCCGGTGAATGGCAGATGAAATACAGCTGGTACATGCAGTAACCACGGGAACATAGAGCTGGTACATGAACCACGTGAACATTTAGTACCTAACAGCACTAGGGCACTAACATAGGTATATCAGCTAACTAGAAACGAAGAGAAGGCGCCTAAAAAAATAAGTCGTGGGAGATCGACCAGGGGAAGAGGAGGTCTGCCTATATGTGCACACACGCAGGCAGGAAGTGACTGCTGTGTGTGTGGGTCCGTGTGTGTGTATATGTATGTACATGTGTGTATGTGTGTGTGTGTGTGTGTGTGTGTGTGTGTGTGTGTGTGTGTGTGTATGTGTGTGTATGCATGCGGGTGTGCACATGCTGGAGTCCACTCTAACGCATCAGAGTGAGCATGCCCTGGGAACGCCGCCGCTTGGCCACTAGCGTGTCACCGGGCGTGGGTGTGGGCCTGCCTACGCTAAATCTACGCCGTGACGCTACACCGGTACCCACAAACACGTCCGACGCAGAGTGGCGCACTTGCTCATCATGGCGGCTAAGGTAGCGGTAGCGATCGCCATCGCTGCTGCGATGCACTTTCTCTTTGATGCTAGAGACCAGCTCACTAGAGGCTCGAAGTGCATCGTCCGCACTGTGTCGCAACGGACGGATAGGTCCGGGACTGTCAATGCTCTCACGTTCAAACCTGGGCATGCTAACAATAGGCGTGGCAGACCGGCAGTCAGGAGATACCGGGTAGGGTGACATCTCACTGCCAAAATCAGTCATGACCGACGTGGGAATCGAGTCAAGTTCCGACAGCAAACCATCTGATCCCGCTGAGTCCAGAACAATGGTGGGCTGCAGTAGCGATCCGACAGCCACTGTGTTGATCTTATCCCTATCCGTGGTTCTCTCATCCGCTTTCTGCAGTCGATTCGCTTCCTCCTCGAGCTTGTCCCGCACTGGATCCGTCACGCGGTCAAGCACCAGCGGTGCCTCAAACTGTCCCATGCGTCGATGGTGCGGCTGCGGTCGCACATCCGGTGCTGCCTCGGCACCGGCCTGCAGTGAAGCGGCCTGTAGTGTATAGTCAGCACCGATCAGATGCGAGGCGCGCCGAGACAAATACGTCTCATACACGCGCAGGCGAGGGTGTTTTTTTACCGCCAGTTGGCCAGTGGAGGCACGTTTCTTCGGCGAGGTAGGTTCCTCAGGCACGCTGTCGGATGATGAGACGGACATGGGATCCTTCTTGCCAGTGCTCACACGGCCCATTGATCCTACGCTGGCACTTCGATGACATGCCGACACGGAGCTATCACAACTAGCGCTGGAGCTCGCCGAGCTGATGGAGGTGGTCGAGTCAAAGCGACCCATTTGCTGGCGCAGGGAGCGGGACTGCTCACCTTCGGAGCTGTTGCCCAGCATGCCCCGTGGTGACACGAGGCCGGAGCCAGAACCTTTGGCACTGGCTGAGCTGGACCTGCTGGACACACTACCCACGCTGGCCTGGTCCCAGTACATCTGCTTCACCTTGGTCCATGTGTCATAGTTAGCCTTGAGGCGAGCCAGGACGTTGCGCGTTTCCGGAAACACCTTGTTTAGAATCCTACACAATTTAAAGTACAGACAGAACCGCAGGAGAAGGGTTAGCATGCCACTAATCAGTAGTCTACTGACTAGAACTACTAACTGGACAGGTCACACAAGTCCTTACTTGAACACGGGCATGGCAATGAAGTCGGTGAAGCTGATCTGCTGCTCGGGAATGCAAGCGCTGTTCCTGTCCATCATCTCCTGGCTTTGAAGATCGAGAACTTTCTCCTGCACCACATCACGTTCAGAAAACACAAACACACCGGCCACGCGCCCCGTACACTTCCACACTAAAGCCACACTTTTCTTGAACAATCGTCGAGGAGACAGTAAGAGCAAAACAAAATGGCAATGAATAAAACAAACTGTGCAGTCATAACCATGTACTTTGAAGTAAAAGATATTATAAATGTACTAATTTCCAAAACGTTTTCGCTTGACACTCATCAGTGAAAAGTGCTGGGTTTTTTTACCGCATGAATTTTGCTACGATTGCCACTCTAACTCTCTAAGTGTAAACACTCCCTACATAGTTTGGCTCTATATGTATATTGATATGTATATTGATTGTTTTGGTTATTCTATATGTATATTGATTGTTTTGGTTATTCCTAATTTAGTGACGACTTTCCACTGATGAGTGGCACGCGGAAACGTTTTGGAAATTAGCACATTTATAATAATTATCTTTCACATTGTCATGACTGCACAATTTGATTTATTCATTGCCATTTTGCTTGAAAAAGCTGAAATTGACTCCACAACGTGCAATGCGTGCAACAGTTACAAACTATGCATTGTGTCACCTACAGACATTTTCACAATCTTTCCACAGAATGTTCTTCCTGAAATGAAAAAAAAATTGTTGACAGCACAGTTGGTTCTCTTGTCCTGGATTCAAAAACTACAGTCTCCAACATCGTTTAACCACCCGATCACTGAGCACGTCTTGGAAGCGCCTAGGGTAGCCGAGCAGTTACTCACCAAATCTCCCTGGGTAAAGAACTCCATATAAATCTTACGCTGCAGGGAGACACACACGCATGCACGCACATGCACATGCAAACACACAGGCACCATTATTAACAACACGCTGCAGATGACATCAAGACTGAAATTGCTGGAGCAGTGGCGATCGGTACAAAAAAACACTGGAAAATTACAGTATTCAGTTCTTTATTGCACATCCTTCTCGTGCCTTACAGCGCACTGAGGCAGAGTCCACAGCACATACCAGCATGCATGTATGTGTACACATGAGCATGCTACACTAACTAATGCATACCAGTATGCATGCGCTGTGCACGTGTACATTGTTCCAGTCATGCTCCACTAACTAATGCATACCGGCATGCATGTGCTGTGCACGTGTACATTATAACAGTCCTGCTACACTAGCTAATGCATACCGCTGCTTCCTGGGCATCCTGCCACGGCTTGGTGGACGAGTTGAGATCGCAGGATGTCATCAGCAAGGAGAGCAGCAAGTGTCGGTGCTTGGTGTTGTTCTTGTCCACACCGTCTTAGTACAACGCAAGTAAACAAGTACATAGTCAATACACACAAACTCAGGACTTGGACTTGTAGTCTTTTGGGCGCCGAGTCAAACAGTGCTAGGATGAGGAGAATGTTGTTCACTATAAAAGCCATTCTTTCGGTAATCCCGTTTCAAATAAGTCAGACTTCGCATGTCCACCGCACACTTGCCAAATGACAGCAGTTAACTTCACATAAAGTGTACGCAGCACACTCGGATATCTCATCAACTCTATCTAGCTGCCTTGCCCGACCCAATTTCTTTAGAACTGAACTGCAGTCTGGGGGAGGGGGTATTTATTTTTATTACCGTGTGTCGGCAAATAAAAGACCGTCCTCGTATACAACGCCTTCCTCGAATACAAGGCCGGGGCAGGGGGCGATTGAAAAAAATACAAGACCGTCTCCGATTAAAAGACCGGGCCTACTAAATGAGTCTTACGACTTGTGTTAAAAATAGAAGACGGTGCTCAAACTGTGGGAAAAAAATAGAAGACCGTGCTCAAACGGTGTAGAAGAAAATGGAAGAACGGGGGTAAAACTTTGTGGCGAAAAATAGAAGACCAGGGTCAAACTGGGTTGAAAGAATAAAAGACCGTCCTCGAATACAAGACCGTCCTCAATTATAAGGCCGGGTTAGGACGAGTTTGAAAAAATAGTAGACCGGCCTACTATTTGCGGAAATACGGTATTCGCATTTTCGCGTCGTCTTCGATCAGATGATCCAAGATTTCGCTAATGCTGGTAGTGGTGGTGGTGGTGGTGGTGGTGGTGGTGGTGGTGGTGGTGGTGGTGGTGGTGGTGGTGGTGGTGGTGGTGGTGGTGTTGGTGGTGGTGGTGGTGGTGGTGTCAAAGCTTGGAGAGAGCACGTTGACGGAAGCTCCACTTTCACCAAAGGCTGGAAATGGATTAATGAACTTGCAAACGCCCACAACCGCGCCAGCAAATTACACGACAAGGAGCTAACAAAACTAAAACCACAAACACCATGGACAACCGTTCCGTCCAAACCAAGTGTAATCAATCTCTCTTCGTATGTTCTAACAACGGAACACACAAACCTCTTGGAACTGGGCCTGGATTTCGCCATAACCTCAAGATCTGTCCCAAGAGAGGAACTCATCACACGCACGGAGATGCGGGCTGACACACTACCGGACGAACGCCGAGGCCTCACTATATCCACCTGTAGGATGGTGCACAAAACATTGGACTCCAATAGAGGAATTGCAGTCCTGGACGTCTGGGTGCAAATGTTACGAAATTCGATACGCTTATTATTTACATCCGTTGTTGTTTCTGGTCTCGCTGTCTTGTCTTGTCCGGTGTCAAATATGGTCTGCTGTCTGTACGGGAGTGATGCGTGGTGTGCAGTATATGGGTGTGATGCGTATGACGTGGTGTATGTGGTGTATGCGTTGTCAGAGAGTGTGGATCTGCTTCTGCCTGTGTGAGTGCGTTTGTCTACTAGTTGTTGCGCATGCGTGGATTATGTGGAGCATGCGCTGTGCGAGTCGAGTTCGGGTGCGAGGGAGTGGTGTGATTCGTCCACGATGTTGTTGTCTTGGTTCTGGTCACATGTATCGTACGTACTGGTCGCTCATTGGTCGTTTCGATGTGTTCGCCCTTTCTCTGTTTATAATTGTTGGTTGTTTATTATTTCGTTGTCTTTCTCCCCCGTTCTCTCGCCGACCAGTTGATTATTAGTTCAAAGAAGATATCGTTCAACTCCGAGTAATTGTGCTATTGTGCTATTGTGATGAGTCAGAGGATAGTTGTGTGGCGAGATCGGCCCCGCCACAATGTACTACAAGATTACTGGAAGCGAAGGAAAGAAGTACAAGGAGGACACCTACAAAGACAAACACAACACCGTAACACCGCTCATGGAGGTGATGGTGGAGGACGTCCTACAAATCCTATAATATCGTATATATTTCTCCTATTGCAGATCGGAAGCAAGTTTGTCAACACATGTTCTTCGAAGTATACAGGAAGCCGACGCATACCGGTAAATATATCAATTTCGATTCTCACCACCCACAATCCACGAAATGTGCCACACTATCGTGCCTGGCAGCACAGAGGATCAAACCGGCCACTATCACTACCTTATGTCCGTGGGCTATCCGAGAACATCAAACGAAAGACGAAGAACGCACCATTCCGCATGGTCCACCGGCGATCCACCGCGTTGAAGAACTTACTAACAAGGAAGAAACCCCCAGCTCCACCTACCGAAGACCAATACGGGGTAGTTTATTCCCTATACTGCATCACTTGCGGAGCAGAGTAAGTGGGAGAGACAGGAAGAAGAAGAATAAAAAAAAGACTGGAGGAGCACCAACGAGATGTCCACAATAAGAAAGTAGACAACGGTGTGGCAAAACACGTTTTGGACACTGGACACATTTATCGTACGTACTGGTCGCTCATTGGTCGTTTCGATGTGTTCGCCCTTTCTCTCTTTATAACTGTTCGTTGTTTATTATTTCCTTTTCTTTCTCCCCCGTTCTCTCCGCCACCGGTTTGCATATTGTATAACTGAGAAGTATCCTTGAACCGAATGAGTACCAGAACTGTTGTGTGGCGTGCGGACAAAGGCGTGGGGGGATCTACCACAACAGTGGCGCCCGACGTGACGAGTGGCTCAGCGATTTATTTCGAGCGGGCCGCGAGAGATACTGAACCCCTCTTGTCGTAAGTGTTTCTTGTTTGTCTCGTTCCTGTGTGCTTTTTTTTTGTCGCGTTGTTTCTTTGTTTTCGCTCGCTGGCGCGATTTGTTTGGGGTTTTCCTTTTTGCCAAGGCTTGTCCTTGGGGAGTCGCTTGCGTGTGCCGTCTCCCTTGCTTCTCCTTACTCCCGCTTAGATCGTCACCATGACGGAGCCTGGCCGATGGTTGCTTCCGCGACCGTTTCATGGCCGACCAGAGGAAAGCCTGGCGGCTTACCTGCGGGATTTATATTCCTGCCTGAAGACAAATGGCTACGTCGGCGTTCCGGACGAGGGAGCTGACCCTAATCGAGACAAACTCGAACAAATGAGGATCTTTCTACTCCAACGGGGACTCCAAGGACCTGCGGCTCTTGTCCTCGAGTCATTATCTGACGACGACCGCGACGACCCTGACAAGCTGCGAGCAGCCTTGGTGGCCCGCTTCGGCGATAAGGGCAAGGAGGCAGTACTCCAGGCGGAGCTGAAGGGCAATAGAGTGGCCGACTTTGAACCTGTAAATATTGACGCCGCTGTGCGTAAAGCCGTTGTGCTCGAAGCTAGGACTAATGCGTCTTCATTAGAGCTACACCAAGGGGTTTTGAACGTGGCTGTCCCCGATTCAACTCGGACTGACACACTCACTAACATTAAAAACTACATTTCTCCACATTCTATCCCCTTAATTCTTATCCTAAATTCCATAATGCGCTTTTGAGCATCCTTCTGCGCAGGTCTGGAGTAGAAATATTATGACTATATGCCCCTCACGGGTTCCAGCCCTCCTTGTGCACAACTTTTTCTTCTTCTTTTTCTGCACTGGTTTCGACAAGAATACCTTATATGATCGCCTGATAAAGTATGTTCTGGTGGCCACAGCATCAGAAAACATGGTAGGTACTTTCCAAGCAACCAAAAGAACAACCTTGCCAAATGTGAAGGAAATCCATAAAGCAGTTTCGATTTCCTTGATAGCAGTACAGTGTACTATGTGAATTTACACTCAAACGCCTCTTATCCGGACGCCTCAGATACGGGCACGTCTCTCTACCGGCACCTTCAGCTTGAGTTCCTATAGCACAAATGCGTCGAATTTGGGTTTTTTAAAACTTTTTTCCGTATGTGGAAGTGCTTATGTTTCACTGCCAACCTATGTAATCCCCACATTTTATCAATGGGTTCCTTTTGTATCCTCAACATGTGCAATACGTTCCAAATAAACTTCTTCAAAAAATGATATCATACATGGTAGATGAATTATTCTGAGATACGGGCAAATCCGAGATACGGGCAGTGCCCGGTCCCAAGGTGCCCGGATAAGAGACGTCCGAGTGTACCTCAAAGTCGACAAATTAAGAGCACTGGACAAAGTAGGTGTCAGGTTGCTGCAGAAGGTCATAACTTTGCAGACTCTTTCCATTCCTATCAAGCTACACCTTTGCTTCTTGCAGTGTCCTACATAACAGGATAACTAGGCATTGCACGCATGTACTGTCGTGGACATGGAAATCCGGTCGCACGTCTAGCGGCCCCAGGGCGCTGGCCATGCAGCCGTGGATACTAGTAAGCGGTACATACATGTACATGTACAATCATGCATTTATGCGCTGCAGCGCGCTGGTCGTATACGACCAGCGCGTATCGGATCAGCAAGTGCACTGCACGAAGCGTTCTGAACGCGCTGAGGGCGACGGCCCCGGTCAATCGACTGGATTTCCATGTCTGCTACAGTAGTACAGTAGAGTCGCGCGTCCAAGAACGTTGTTTCCAAGAGGTTAGCCTGGGGCATTCTTATTTTTCAGCAATCTGGCTGCGTTCTTATAGCACGTGCTTAGAGACTATTCGTGCTGGATCATATGTATCTCAAAAGCTGCCGGAAAACCAATGCTGTCGTTCTTAACTTTAGGCTGTGGCGCTCTTGGGCTCAACGTTCTTCGGCGCGCGACTCTGCTGTACGACAATAGAGAGGTTCTGCAAAACGAAAATTCGAACGAAGTTTCGCGACGGGCCTTGCGAAAATGTGTACGTAGTTTCGCACGAACTTTGTGTTCTGCACATTTTCGTAGTTTGCACGCGCCACGTAGACTACGCCATGACCCGATCACACGAAACTTCCCACGAAAGTTCATTTCGCATTCCCTGCAAGTTTCGCGTCCAAAGTTGCGAAAGTTGGTGCGAAGTTTCTCACTTCATGACGTATAGCGAAAGTTTGTACGCATTTTCGTTTTACAGAACTTCTCTAATACTCAATTTTCAATTATTTTTCAAGAGTGAACGTGTTATTGTGAAGTATTTTTCATGGTAACACATCAAATTTTTGGCTTTTCCTTATCACAGACACTATACATTAGAAGAATTGATTCGGCAAGTTTTGATAAAAAAATTTCGGGTCATTTCTTATTTTATGGTCAACTTTACATCATAAAAGAGTCAATTTGTGGGCCCATCTCTGAATACATGTTCTGCTGTTGACATTGATGGAAATCCTGCAAAACCTCGCACAGGACACTTGCTTATGTTACCCCCATGCAATGTACACAGTCAACATGCTTCTCTTCAACAAACTGACCACACAGCTTCACAATAATGTGTTGCCATCCAAATGCATAAATTCGCAAAAATGGGCATATTCGGAAGTCCCATAACTCCCTAATATTAACGGTAAGTGGCCAAGTTTTTGGGTTTTTCATCTATACACACCCTACAGAAGACACTGACGTCTCCGGATGAAGACAATTTTGGGCCATTTTCCAATTTATCACTTCCAGCTACCTTAATTAAGCACTCTTCAATCAAACGGGCTGCCTGTCGTAGCATCCATGCTACGACTTCCTGGACAACACCATCCGAAGCAGTGCCCACAAGACTACAAAGTGTAGTTACAGCTAATTCCTTCTACAAGACGACACATTCTCGACACATTCTCCTCAAATGTGTTCCTCGTCCCAGGACACGTGGAACGGCCGTCAATCCGATACGTGAATAGAGACTCACCCTCTGCCATCTTCTCCAAGTCCTTGACCTTCTTCAAGTGGATGGCAATATCCGTGTCCAGAATCACCTCGTACATGATGTCTAACACCTCTTGGTAATCCTGCACAGTCAAGTGTAGAACAATATTAGAACAGGCTTCAGGCCATGCGGTCAGGTTTAGGACATTCAAACAGATGTTCGGACATTCAAGCAGGTATACGGCATTCAAGTAGACGTATAGAAGTTATAGGCCAATCAAGAATATTTTCATATCTTAAAATTTCACGAATTGATTGACAAAGCAGGCGTCTGAAGGGTCTGACAATATCCCAGCCTCAGCGGAATTGTCCACGCTATAGTGGTGATGTGCAAGTGGAGTGGATCAGCAAAGAGAGCATTGTGGAGTGGTTAGGTGGGGAGTGACTGATTTTTAAACCAATAATCAGCCAGGCAACAGGGAAAGGGCTCTGCAATGGGCGACAGAGCTGCATGAAACAAACAGACGCCCAGGGTGAATCACAAACACAATATAGTGTGCACACACACCTTTCTGTCGAGGTTGACAAAGATGTTGCAGTTCTCTGTGTTGAGAATGCACATTGTCTGCGCAAAATGGTGATGCTGCAGCAACACGTAAAGAAGATGAAGGCAACAGCAACCAGAATCGAACAAACTGAAAAAGAGCAAATTTATTTTCTGTTCCCGAGGGAACTCACAGCGGCTGCTAGCAGCCGCAATAGGGAGGTTTAGTCCCATGTAACGGATACGGGAACGTGGGTGATACACGTAAAGTTCATGCAATGGACCCACGTTCGCAATGTTGTGTTTAGTCACACGGAACAAACAAAAGCATGAACCGAAAGGCCCAAACCTGGTCAAAGGTGAAGCTCATTGAATATTTTGATTTCGTACTTCGGAAACTTCTTCAGCTGAGCACCCTCACAGCTCGCACAACGCGCTCCATTCTGATTTTCACCCACGTTCTGGCGGAACGTGGGTGAGCCTCCATACACGGTATGTCGTGAATCAAAAAACATCTGTACGTGGGTCACTGAGTATCACGTGGTACACACACGTAAAGTACCCACGGATTACGTGGGACTAAACCTCCCTAATGACTGAAAGCAATCACTGAACCACTAAACCACGCTGTGTCTTACTGGTCCATGTGATAGTTCTCGTTTTCACACTTCAACTTGTATAAGAACTTCGATGGTGAGCCCAGGTCAGGAGGTATTTAGAGGAAAAGAGAGAGCACTGCTGTGCTCAAGCTCATGTACTACATGTATCATGTCATTGGAATGTCTCAGTACTCCTTCTCAGATTACTGCTAAATTGTGCACATTGACTGTTCAAGACCTGGTTTAGTTGGTAGATTCAAAATGCACGATACGCATTACTATTAGTCTTAGAGGTCTGATTTACAGTTCAATGATGTCCAACAGAAAACCCCAGACCCCCACAACACTTACAAATACATAGCATTCAAACAGGACATAAAGACATACCTCCATAACAGATCCCTCAGAGCTGTACAGCGCTGCCAGGACAGAGTGCTGATGCAGATGAACACAAAGGCATACATAAAGAATATCACTGCTTGCAAGTGCTTGCCATGTGTGTGCGCGTATGTGTGTATGTGTGTGTGTGTGTGTGTGTGTGTGTGTGTGTGTGTGTGTGTGTGTGTGTGTGTGTGTGTGTGTGTGTGTGACACGTCTTTCTTCTCTTTCTCAGACTCTTCCTGACTTTTCTTTCATTCTCCTGGGTGGTTACCAACAGCCAGTGCATGCCGGAGTATGTGGTGTGATGTGTGTGTGGGGAAAAAAAAAAAAAAAAAATGAAAAGACCAAAAATAGGGATTAACTGGCCAGAAAATGTCACTCCAAATAGCTGTATGGTGTAGACCAGGCTGAATAGTGACGGTCAATTCTTCAGCCTTGCAAGCTGTTGAATGGTGTAATCCCAGCACAAGTTGCTATGGCTTCTGCCGTAGCATTGCTATCATCGCCTCCGGCGATGGGCGTCAAAGGTCAGGTCAGGTCAGGTGTGTGTGTGTGTGTGTGTGTGTGTGTGTGTGTGTGTGTGTGTGTGTGTGTGTGTGTGTGTGTGTGTGCGTGTGCGTGTGTGTGCGTGTACGTGCCTGTGTGATAGTAAGTGGTTATGTAACAGTATGTTACAATAGCTAAGACAGACTGAACACATACAGTTGTGGCAAGTGAAATCCGACACTTGGCGTAAGGGACTGCACCATGCAGTCTGCAGCCCTGCGAACGTACAGTACATGTGTTACATACAACTTTATCTGTCTGATGACAAAACTCGTACTCATCACAGTCAAGGTTCAAAAGGTGCTGGCAAAAATGAATGGGGATTGGATGGGGCTGTGTTTACATACTCCTCATGTGTGCCATATTTGTGAACTGTGTGTATCTACGCTGTGACCTTTCGATCTGTTTGGGATGCATACGGCTCTATAGTACAAATTAGGTGCAGTGCATTACATCATTGATGTCCATTTGTGGCGCTGTCCCCAATGGCAAGTGTCGGGTTTCACTTGCCACAACTGTACATGCATGCACACATGCACACATGTGGGCATAAGCAATACTAGAAGTTGACAAGCACCACTCACCGCATTGACCTGGAAGGCATTGTTTGTTCCACGGTGATCAATGTCATGGCAAAGACTAGCTACAAATAGTCCAAGTACTTCCATATCACTGCAATTCCACACACACACACACACACATACACACACACATACACACACGCATAACACACACACACACACACACACACACACACACACACACACACACACACACACACACACACACATGCACGCAGACACACACATGCACGCAGACACACACAACACACACATAACACACACACACACACACACACACACACACACACACACATACACACACACACACAACATCAGTAAGAGACGGGCGGGAACGTAACTCCACGCAATCATCATTACCCTGGCACCTACCTTAGCGGTTGCAAGTGACCACAACGCCGCCAGAGACAGTAGCAGAAGTGAGCGACAGCGAAGGCATGGTCCCAGTTGTGATACGGCGGGTGCCGATAGCCTCGCTTCACAGTCAGCAAAAACCTAGCCAGATCCAGAGAGCAGACAAAAGACCGCACAGAAAACAGAATGTCATAGCTCTGCATAAGCATGGCAGATCTGACCAAGCCATGATTGACCACTAGTTGTCACAGAAAATCGCGATCAGCCGAACAAAACCTTCACATGCTGTGGCAATGTACAGTTGTGGCAAGTGAAATCCGACACTTGCCATAGGGGACAGCGCCACAAATGGACACCAATGATGTAATGCACTGCACCTAATTTGTACTATAGAGCCGTATGCATCCAGAACAGATCGAAAGGTCACAGCGTAGATACACACAGTTCACAAATATGGTACACATAAGGAGTATTGGTATCCAATCCCCATTCATTTTTGCCAGCACCTTTTGAACCTTGACTGTGATGAGTACGAGTTTTGTCATCAGACAGAAAAAGTTGTATGTAACACATGTACTGTACGTATGCAGGGCTGCAGGGGCTGCAGACTGCATGGTGCAGTCCCTTATGCCAAGTGTCGGATTTCACTTGCCACAACTGTATATTGGAACATGGCCGATGAGGAAAATTCCATCATGATTAGTAAGTAAAATTCCATCATGCTTAGTAAGCCAGCACAGTATAAGTATAGGTTCTACTACAGCAAAGCCGGTGTGTGGTTAATGATAGCTTGCATACCGTCCTACCGGTAGGACCGTGGTCCTACCGGTAGGACCCAAGAAATCAAGCTGCAAAAGTGCTTTTGGTTGAGAATTTTTTTGAAACAATTGTTGAGATGAGGTCTTTGTCAGGCAAAGTAATGGCGCAAAATGCAAGGCTATGTCCAGTGCATTGCGTATGCGCAATTTTATCGATTGTCAAAATGGCCGCACATAATCCTGTCGGTGCGCTAGCAACTCTGTCCAAAGTGAATTTTGACCATGGCACATCAATTGTGGTGAGGTCCTAATGTTTTTATTAGCTTGCCAAGGCCGTGGAATGCATAATATCATACTTCGTTTCCATGGTTACCATGGGTTGTTACCATGGAATTTCGTAGTATGCCTTGTGCGATCACGTCTAAAATTTGTGGACTCCTTCATTAGCCCCTTAGCAACAGTTTAGGGCCAAGTTTTAGGTCAATGTTAGAACAGAGGCTATGCAGCATGTCTGTGTATGATCCTACCGGTAGGTCCTACCGGTAGGACCGAGGTCTATGCAAGCTATCATTAAAAGACAATGGTGACATGGTGACCACTGGAATTCTACATGTACAAACATACCGGCACAAGATGACCTTGGGAATTCTCCAGCGATTGATCAACCCCATCTCATCGAACATACCAACAAGCAGCTGCACGAGCACAGCAATGCACACCCAAAAACAGATTAGCAACATGTCCAAGTACAGTCATGTACATGTACTTCAAGTGCAAGACACTATACGTGCACAAAGTGACTTTTACTTCCATGACAGCAGACGAGAAAGGACTAGAATTAGTTAAGTGCTCAATCTTCACTACTGCATATACAAAGAGTGTTGGAGATCCATATGTAGAATTTGCACTGGCTATATACTCCCGCATGTACTACAAGTTCTTGAATCGGCCACACGCACACACGCACACTTCCACATGCCCATCGCTTCAGCGATGATAGCAAACAAGCTATGTTAGACAAAGCACCCACACCGACACCCACATCTTTGACCTTTTGACGCCCATTGCCGGAGGCGATGATAGCGATGCTACAGCAGAAGCCAAACCAACTTGTGCTGGGCACCATTCAACAGCTTGCAAGGCTGAAGAATTGACGGCCACTATTTAGCCTGGTCTGCACCACACAGCCATGAAGTGGCTTTTTCTGGCCAGTGCACCTCCCCCCCCCCCCCCCAAACACACACACAAGCACACTGACACCCACACATACAAATTCACACTCACTCACACTCACTCACACCCCTCCCCTACCTTCCCCCCCCCCCCCCCCTACACACACACACATAACTGAGCGACACACATGAACGCCTACCTGCATGTTCTCAAGGTCGGGGTATCCTTTGTGAGAAAACTCAAAGCTGCCAATCGCGCGGCGAGCAGTTTCCGGGATTTGGGATGGCATTCGTGCCAGTGCGGCTACGTCATCTTCGTTCGTCTACAATCAAGAAGAATGAAATAGGAACATATCACTGGTGTGAATATTCAAATCTCTCTCTCTCTCTCTCTCTCTCTCTCTCTCTCACACACACACACACACACACACACACACACACACACACACACACACACACACACACACACACACACACACACACACACACACACACACACACACACACACACACACAAACCTTCTTCCATGGCCGAGGTACAAAGAGAACTCGACTCAATGTACCTATGGCATTTACACACACACACACACACACACAGGTAGGTCAAATGACTAGCTTTTCACTGACAGTGGTAGCTGTTGTACTCAGAGAGCACCAGCAAGGAAGGCAACACAAGACTGGGGAGCAGATACCAGCAGGCCTAGTAAGTACCGGCATCACCTACACACATGTGAGCAGCAAAGCAGCAAAGAATGCATGCAATGCTTTGCATTACAGTCCCATAGCTATACATTCAAATCAGTAACTGACTGTAGCCGTTGTTAACGTAGAGTACTGCTCAATGAAATCCAGTCGCACCACCCAAGTAGGCGCCGGGCGTAGCGCAGCCCTAGACCTGCAGACACTGGGCTGTGAAATGGTGCAAGGAGCAAACTTGAGTGACACCGCGACTGGATTTCATTGAATAGTACAGTACCTGCATGTGATAGATCATGAGCTCGGTGGCCAGCCGACTCCGGTTCTGTGCCTCCTTGGCTCGCGTGTACAGCAACGACTGCAGCACATGCCAGCAACAGCACAACACACACAGACAGACACATGCACACACAGATGCACCCATCCACCCACATGCACACACAGATGCACACCCACCCAGTGGCGCCCACACATATGTACACACGGACGCATACCCACCCACACAGGCACAACAACCCCACACACACATGTACACACTCATGCGCAGACACACCCACACCCACACAGATGCACGCATAGAGAAGTTAGTACGACATCGGTGGCAAGACACTCAATAGCAGACAAGGATCCAAAATCAGCCGAGGAAACATGCACAATAGTCACACATGCAAGTCCAGATTAGAGAAAATTCGTTTCTAGGCAAATTTCGTTATAAAGTGTGTGTGCGTGTGGCGGGGAAAGGCGACTGTGACAAGTACACTGTTACGGACTGACCCTTTGGTTTTGATATGATTAGTGCCTGGAAGCTTGGTTGTGGAGCTATGACATGCATGAAACTACATTGTAAGTGCTTGCATGGGCAAACTGGGCAACGGGCCCTTATCGGTAAGGCAGTGCCACCCGCAACGGCAGTACGGTGTGATCCGGTGTAACCTGGGTATACACATTGGTATCAGTATGAACTACAAGTATTTTGGTCATGCGTGGGGTCATGGTCATGGTCATGCCCACACTGTGCTATCATCACAGACTATTGTGATACTACGGGTTGCTCGTGTAGTAAGAATTACAACGGATAGTGCTGCCAGCGATAGTCATGCAGTGAACACTCGGATCACAGGCGAACACAGCTGGCTACTAGGGTCATTGGTAGTGAGAGTTACAACGGATAGTGCTCCTGGTCTGGTGGCGAGTAGAGTCTGTCTCCCTCATGCCCCCACGCCCACACCGACCACACAAACACATCGTTACACCATACAGGACTTACGTGGCAGATGCTGATGCCGCAGTATACAGCGAACGACTTTGCCAACTCCTCGTCGATGTAAGAGAAATTGCCGCCTGCACAACCACCGCACCAATGTCAGCATACACACATCACAGGAGCAGACTATGCACATGTTAGGAGATTAGAAGAAAAAACACTGCGCTCGCTGCAAACCACACAAAAATGATACAAATTGATACGAAATGACACCGCATACAAGTGACAGGAAACGACACATATGAAGGAAGAAGGCAGAAGGTGTCAGCGCCATGAGTGGTGTTACGGTGAAGGAAAGTGTCAGCAGTGTCATGGACGATACAAGGCAAGAGAGGTAAAGGCACCATCATACAACCCTGAAAAGCATCATCCCCTCCATGTTCTTGTTTGCGACTTGAACCCACGCACACAGTCTTGCACACGTTGTAACCGATGGTTTTGTGTGTACGCAACACAAGCCGAATGCACGCAAAAATGAGCTGTACTGATCCGATCGGGTAGTGAGTACGTGGTAGTTTTTAAAAGAGCATGCTGCTGAGTCTGAACATATGAAGAGACTCTAATCATAACCACACACATGCACACACACACACACACACACACACACACACACACACACACACCTTTGACCTTTGACGCCCATCGCCGGAGGCGATGATAGCAATGCTACGGCAGAAGCCATAGCAACTTGTGCTGGGATTACACCATTCAACAGCTTGCAAGGCTGAAGAATTGACCGTCACTAATCAGCCTGGTCTACACCATACAGCTATTTGGAGTGACATTTTCTGGCCAGTGAATCCCTATTTTTGGTCTTTTCATTTTTTTTTTCCCCGCACACACATCACACCACATACTCCAGCATGCACTGGCTGTTGGTAACCACCCAGGAGAATGAAAGAAAAGTCAGGAAGAGTCTGAGAAAGAGAAGAAAGACGTGTGTGACCATAATCGTCGGGAATCGAACCCGCAATCTATCGATTGGAAATCGCTGCACATACCACTGCACCATATATATGGGTGGCACACACACACACACACACACACACACACACACACGCACACACACGCACACACGTTCAGCACAGCACACACGCTCAGCACACACCGGAATAAAACAGAAGCGTTCACACTGCATTCAAACTGCCGCCAGCATCGGCCCAAGCCTGGACGCACCTCCAATTTTATTGACAAGCTGCGCCACGCCCAGCACACTGCCATTCTTGCCCTTGATTGGGAAACACAGTAGGTTCCTGTACCACAACAGAACAAGATGATGAACAGGAGGATGAACACCACGCTTCACACACCAAGGTAAAGCCGGGCATCGTCAAGAGCAGAAAGACACTCACACGAATGCTCTAAAACAATCACATGGGTGCTGCACAGAGACACCGAGACGTGTATGAAGGCTCTGCGCCCAACCTCCTTAAACAGTAAACACTGTTTTAGCAGCTGTTGCTATATGGCTGCACTGACATTAGACGCAGTGACAAAGAGCTGCACACATGACGGATGGGAGCATCATCACCCCACGTCCCAGTCATAAACAATCAAACTCCAGGGGGAACAACAATGGGCATCGACCAAAAATGCAAGATCACACACAGACAGAATGCAACCTTAGCTAACCGGTGTGCACATAAATCACATAAATCCATATCGATAAACAAAAAGTACGGAAAAGTATAACCATTGCCACACGTCTCCTCTGGATACCTGGGAAGGAGAAAGCCTTCAGGCACAACACCAGCCAACACAGGCACTCCAACACCAAGTATCGGTCAGTTAGTCTCAGGCGCGTGCTCGGCGATGGGCACGTGCACCCCCCAAAAATTTTCAATCTGGGTAATTGCAATTGTAATGTATGCAAATATGCTCTAAAATTCAAGAAAGGTTGCAAACAAATTGCAGAAAATTGCCGGGGGGGGGGGGGCTCCCCTCGGCTCCCGTGCACCCCCCTAGTTGGGGGGCCGAGCACGCCCCTGAGTCTCTCATGAAGACAGTCTACAACAAACTGCGACTCACCTCGTTTTGAAGCCGGTCGCCGCATCAACATCCTTGCAGAAATCGGACTCGTCATGGACGTCGGAGACGTTTTTTAGCTCCCCTGCACATCGATATCCAAACCAAAGCAGAGTGGCAACATTTGAGCAGCTTTCGTTTGCCAAGCAGCATAAGCAGTAAAAAGGAAGAAGACAGGAGGAAAGAAAAACTCTTCCCCAACCCTTCAGTTCAGGGATTTCCATCGAAAAAAGGAGAGTGACTTGGACTGTGTGGTATATATCCACATCAATAGATGAGAACAGCAGAGGATAATCACACACAAGGCGTTAGATTTCTCGCATGGAGAGATACGGTTGGCACTATCACTTCACAACAGAGCTCTGTCCCCAGGCCATCATCAACATCAGTATTGTTGTTGTTGTCACATAGTGTGATTTAAACAAGCGGCAAGGTTACACATTCTCATGTTGCGTAACAGCAGCACGCATACTGAAATAACGCCACCATGCAGGCATGCATGTCACCAGTGCTACTACACAATGTCACACAACACACGTAGAGACGCAAGTCATCAGTGCTAATACAAAACGTCACAACACATGCACAGATGAATGTCTCTATGCTAGTCAGTGGGAGCAATACCGTGACCATCGTCGTGAGTGCAGTGTCAATAATGTCACCTACGCAATGACCTATAAAGCCTGTGTCAATAATGTCACCTACGCAATGACCTACGAAACCTGACTGCCAGTGTTGAAATCATTGCCACTCAGATTAGTCAGCCCTATGAAATGGATACACTCCCACGTAGTTGAGAAAATTCACGCAACAGAAAAGAAAGGCCCATTGGTTAGCACTCACATGATACCAGCAAGAGGTGGTACCAGCACTCACATGATACCAGCAAGAGGTGGTACCAGCAAGAGTACATAAAGCAGAGTGTGACACTCCTCTGCATATGGGAAAGCGTAGTTCGGCGCTTACGCCATTGTCGACGGCAAGGCACGGTAACATACAGATGCCGTAGGTCATACTGATGTTGTCCACCTGTGTAGGCCCAATCATGGCCTCCAAGACCCACCTAGACTGACATAAGCAATGGATTCTGCTTTCCCAAACTACTATGCAGAGCTGCACGCTCCAGTTTGCATACTCTGGGCATTAGTGATAGCAATGCATCAAGCACTGTACACATAGCTCACCGACTTACCCGCCGACGCAACTTGGCCAGCAATGCTGTGTGACAGGGAGATGCGCCGTGGTCCCTAGATGCACACACACACACACACACACACACACACACACACACACACACACACACACACACACACACACACATGCGCACGCACACACACACACGCACGCACGCACACACACACACACACACACACACACACACACACACACATATACGCACGCACGCACGCACGCACGCACGCGCACACACACACACACACACACACACACACACACACAGATTAGATGCAATAACAGCTCAAGGGCACAAGCATATCAGGGAGGTATAACTCTAAAGCAAATTGAGTGCTCCACTGTTCTACCAGGGGTACTATGATAATTTGTTGTCACTACCAAATATTGACTTGTACAAATAATTCGTACCATTTGTACTACAGTGGTCCCTCTATAATCCGGCACCATTTGTGCCACGAAAATCTGCTGGATTAGGGAGGGTGCTGGATTAACAAATCTGATTTACTGCTGCAATGTGCATGAAGAGGACATTTTGGCTACTGAAAATTGTGCTGGTTTATCGAGGGTGCTGGATTATAAAGTGCCGGATTAGAGAGGGACGACTGTATTTAACTTGCATGCAACTAGCCAGACAAACATGATTATCCATTCTTGGCATAATACAACAAAATTATCCATTTTGGCATAATACAACGTTTTGCATGGCATGTACACAGTTGTAGATTTCTGAGAAATTCCAATTACACATACACATTTTCTACTAAGTCATAGTATAGGACCCCCCCACCCCCCCCCCCCCCCCCCCCCCCCGCACTTGGGGGCCCCTAGCTTTTTGGTGGCCCACTTGTACTATAGTTACATTTGCGGGTAACCGCCTTTCCAGTATAAATTGTGTTTCATTACTTTTTCATTACACTCCGATGATCTGTGATAAACAGTGAAACCGGTCAGTGAACCAATCAAAGAACTATGTGTTATGCTTGTGTCGGGGTTTTTCTAAACTCCCCCATTATGATTCAGTACTGAAGACTCCCTCAAGCCAACATGGAAACTCCTCGTCCTCGCTCGCTCGGCCCCCGTCATCAAGCAGTCAGCTCTGCTACCTCTTCCGCCACCGCTGCTTCCAAACGCCGCCGGGAAGACGATGACGCTGCATTCACCACCACATCGGAACCGCCTTTCCACACTTCGAACGTGTTGGCTGGCTCCAATCCGCTACCGGACCCCGAAGTAGAAGGGTATGTGGCATGGTGGCATGCCACTCGTGTTGTCACCACCGTAAGGTACACATATTCGGACAATGTTGTAGTCGGAGACAACGGTGTTCGGCTAACCCTTGTTCGCATAAAGACCACCAAACAGTCATGGCACACAGATGGACACTCCACCCTTACAACGCGGATAACTAGAAAGTACCATGTCCAGAACCCGGAACATGTCGACGATCTAGCACCTCCACAACAACAGTAACAGCTGTAGCTGAGTCGTACTCACACTAGTGAGAAGATCATTACTGAGCAGCGAGCAAAGATTGAAGCACTGAACAAGCAAGTCAACTCGAATGATTTTGATGACTTTATAGTAAAGAAATTCTGCAAACTGTCTAGAGCAGCCTGCCTCATCGAGTGCACAGAATACGTCAATTCAGCCATTGTTGCTTGCAATACGAAGCTCGAACGAGCGGAGAAATGCCTTAAAGAGACCCGTATAGATTTGTTCGACTTGGTCTCCCAGTGCTTGTGTCGGGGTTTTTCTAAACTCCCCCATTATGATTCAGTACTGAAGACTCCCTCAAGCCAACATGGAAACTCCTCGTCCTCGCTCGCTCGGCCCCCGTCATCAAGCAGTCAGCTCTGCTACCTCTTCCGCCACCGCTGCTTCCAAACGCCGCCGGGAAGACGATGACGCTGCATTCACCACCACATCGGAACCGCCTTTCCACACTTCGAACGTGTTGGCTGGCTCCAATCCGCTACCGGACCCCGAAGTAGAAGGGTATGTGGCATGGTGGCATGCCACTCGTGTTGTCACCACCGTAAGGTACACATATTCGGACAATGTTGTAGTCGGAGACAACGGTGTTCGGCTAACCCTTGTTCGCATAAAGACCACCAAACAGTCATGGCACACAGATGGACACTCCACCCTTACAACGCGGATAACTAGAAAGTACCATGTCCAGAACCCGGAACATGTCGACGATCTAGCACCTCCACAACAACAGTAACAGCTGTAGCTGAGTCGTACTCACACTAGTGAGAAGATCATTACTGAGCAGCGAGCAAAGATTGAAGCACTGAACAAGCAAGTCAACTCGAATGATTTTGATGACTTTATAGTAAAGAAATTCTGCAAACTGTCTAGAGCAGCCTGCCTCATCGAGTGCACAGAATACGTCAATTCAGCCATTGTTGCTTGCAATACGAAGCTCGAACGAGCGGAGAAATGCCTTAGAGACCCGTATAGATTTGTTCGACTTGGTCTCCCAGTGCTTGTGTCGGGGTTTTTCTAAACTCCCCCATTATGATTCAGTACTGAAGACTCCCTCAAGCCAACATGGAAACTCCTCGTCCTCGCTCGCTCGGCCCCCGTCATCAAGCAGTCAGCTCTGCTACCTCTTCCGCCACCGCTGCTTCCAAACGCCGCCGGGAAGACGATGACGCTGCATTCACCACCACATCGGAACCGCCTTTCCACACTTCGAACGTGTTGGCTGGCTCCAATCCGCTACCGGACCCCGAAGTAGAAGGGTATGTGGCATGGTGGCATGCCACTCGTGTTGTCACCACCGTAAGGTACACATATTCGGACAATGTTGTAGTCGGAGACAACGGTGTTCGGCTAACCCTTGTTCGCATAAAGACCACCAAACAGTCGTGGTACACAGATGGACACTCCACCCTTACAACGCGGATAACTAGAAAGTACCATGTCCAGAACCCGGAACATGTCGACGATCTAGCACCTCCACAACAACAGTAACAGCTGTAGCTGAGTCGTACTCACACTAGTGAGAAGATCATTACTGAGCAGCGAGCAAAGATTGAAGCACTGAACAAGCAAGTCAACTCGAATGATTTTGATGACTTTATAGTAAAGAAATTCTGCAAACTGTCTAGAGCAGCCTGCCTCATCGAGTGCACAGAATCGTCAATTCAGCCATTGTTGCTTGCAATACGAAGCTCGAACGAGCGGAGAAATGCCTTAAAGAGACCCGTATAGATTTGTTCGACTTGGTCTCCCAGTGCTCAAGTGAGAAACTTACAGCTGACTTTGAAACTCTATTGATGTCAAGATACGATTATCTAGCAGGTATGCGAAAAACTGTTGCCTTCGCAAAGACTTTAAAAGCCAAGCATCAGGCAGAACGTTCAGATAACAAGCCCACTGCTATGCAAGATGATGTTGTAACACTTCCACCAACTGCAGAAGAGATTGGCTGCTTAATCAAAAGAGAAGTCGCTTCAGCACTAAAAAAGACTGAAAAGAAGACTGAAAAGAAGCCAACTCCTAAGAAAGCCAAACAGTCAAAACTTGTCAATCGTCAAGAACAAGTCAGGCAGACGAGAGGTTGCTGTCCAACGAAAAACCAGAAAACGCTACAGTAGACTCGTACGCCCAAGAACGCTGTTTCAGAGGGCCAGCCTAGCAAAGTTCTTATTTTTCAGCGCCCCAGACTACGTTCTTATTTCGCGTTCTTACGCGTCCAACATGACCCGTGACGCTCATGTACAATGCACTTTGCGCTACATGTACCGGCAAGAGTACATAAACCGGTTTATGTACTCTTGGTACCGGTTGTACACTTTACATGCACGTGTAGTATGTAGCGCTGCACTGAGTGATGTTTTCAATACCAAAAAATGTCGCGTTCTTAAAAATCTTGGAGTTCGTTCTTAAATCCAGGCTGGGGCGTTCTTAGATTTCCAGCCTGGACGTTCTTGGGCGTACGAGTCTACTGTAAGTGACTTAGGATATCAATATATTTGGAATCTTAGCCTACATACGTAACATAAGCATTCTAGATGCGTTATCGATTCTGGCTTTCATAACCTCTCGCACTTTCTTTCACACCCATTGAAAAACAAGTTTTAGGATATGGCGATAGTTTTCGCCTAACCACACGCTTTCCTCCTTCTGATAAATTGAACTCTGATTTTGAAAAGCTAGAAAAACAAATTAGATGGAAAGATCATTTTTGTAGATCAGCTCCTACAGTGTCTGCTTCTGCATACTGTAAATATACAAAATTTCGGCGCTGCAAAATTTCGGCACTTCACGATTTTTGACATTTCGGCGGCGATCTATTTTCGGCGTGGGGTAGAGGGCATGGTATAGTGCGACAGATGCTGTGAAAAATTTCATCGGCGTTTTAATTTAGGCGTTTTGGTTCGGTGCCGAATATAGCCGAAATTAAATAGCTGCCGAAAATTTGTATATTTACAGTATATTCCAAAATTCCATTTAAGATCTGATAAAGTTCCTCCACCTGCTTTTCCTCACATTGAACTAGGTCTGCTAGAATTTCGCCATAAGTTAGTTTCTAGTTTTTCAATGTTCTCCAAACATCGTAATTGTAATTTAACGCCTGGTGAACTAGAAGCTTATAATACCTTGCGAATTCGTTCTGACATTAAAATTTGTCAAGCAGATAAGAACCTAGGTACAGTCGTTCTTAACCCTTTGAAGCCCAAGGACGAGTATACTCGTCCCTAGCGATTTCCCAAGGACGAGTATACTCGTCCAAAACGCGCACTGTGTACGCATTGCGCATAGATCACTGTACAAAGCTTCGTATCTCCGTTGTCCTTTCTTTGATTTTCACAAACGATAGCTTGTTGGAAAGGTAAGGAAAAGACCTTTCCAGCGGTGTGTCACTTGTGGCAGCGCGATGCGAAATACCCGAGCGGCAAAGACCGGAACGCGATTGAATACTTCTAAACTTTAGAATTTTTAAATTGAGTAGAGCTCGCGTGCGCATGGGGTTTCCCCATGACTCATACCAGTGCAGCCCATGCGCGATGGGTACCAAGATGACCGCTTGAGCTTCAGCAGCACGGAGAACTTTGAATCGTTGTTTTGTGTTGAGTAAAAGTCATGAACCGAAGGAAATTGTCACTGTGGGTGGTGTATCTCGTTCAGGCGCGATAGAGCTGCACTCAAGGGACTTGGAGGCGCTTCTATTGCTTCTGCTTAGTGTCTAGTCTTTATCTTTGGATGGAGGAGATCACAAGCTTTTCAGGGAGCTCCACATCATGAAATTCCATTGCTGGTGAGTGAATTATGAAATTTTGAAGTCGACCATCCGTGGTTGCGTGCAGCGCGGTGCGAGTGCCTGGGAAATCAGAAAACCCAGCTGGGCTTCAAAGGGTTAATATAGAAGACTATCAAGCTGAGTGCTATAGACAACTTTCTGATGACAAGTTTTACAAATTGATTTATTCCTCTACGGATGAATCTGTAGCCTCAACTAATGTTCAATTATTAGACAATCGTTTACAGAACGGATGGAATGACATTTGCAAAGTACATTCTGCCATACTTAGCAAACGAGATGTGAAAGCTTTATTCAATAACTTTCCTTTCAAAGCAGCTAAATTTTACATATTACCCAAGATACATAAACCTCTAGTTAATGACTTGGTCCCAGGTAGACCAATTGTTTCCTGTATCGGGTATTGTACATCACCTGCTTCACGTTTTGTAGACTTCCACTTAAAATCTCTTATTGGCAAACATGCTTTCACGGTGCTTGCTGACACAAATAGTTTAACTTCCCAATTGTCACAAACACAATTTCCACACAACTGTAAAATAGTTACAGCTGATGTTGTTAGCATGTATACCAATATGAATTGGGACGATACTATTGCTGCAGTTAATCATTTTCTTATCGAAGATGATCACCCGTTCAAAACTCTACTGATAGGTTTAATAGAGTTTATTCTCAAAAATAACTTTTTAAGTAGTTATGTCATGCAAAGTCAGGAATGTGTTGCATCTCATGGCATCGAGTCTAGCATTGCCCATCCAGAGTTCTGACCCCACAGCTGCAATCAAAACTCACTGATTTCCCGGAATGGGGTAGCTACATCTGCCCTATGGCATGCGTGTAGTGACTGGCTGTGGTTGGGCGAAACAAACCTAACACAATCATGATAGTAAGAACACAATAGTTCTTAAGAATACCAGCATACCTCTCCAACAATTTCATTGTCGAAGATGACAGCAACGAGCTCCTCGACGTTCTTCTCGTTTTTCTCCAACAAGAACAGCGAACACCTGATGCAGCACACAACGCAAAGATACATCACTTTAGAACGTGTGTAGCCGAGACGTTATAATGTCAAACTGATTCAGATTGGGAGAGCATAATTATGTCGGCTACAAGAACACTGTTATCATACTGTTGACTGCTGTGATTGCTGGTTGCGGACAAACCAAACTATGTGGCGACCACCATGAGGTCTAAAGGAAAGAATGGTGAAAAGTGGCTGTATACCACAGCTAAACCAAAGCGTGCGCGCAGGCAGTAATGTGTATGCGCCGGCGGTAATGTGTATGCGCAGCAATACACCAAATACACAAACGACCAAAGCATGCGCGCGGGCTGAAATGTGTGCGCGCAGCAATACAACAAATAGAATACACCAAAAGGGGGTAAAGGGGCTACAAACTACGTTTCTGTATTCGAAGTGTAGGCGTGAAGTGTGCAGAGCAGCGTGCACGGAAGTCAATGCTGAAGGTAACGTAACTAGCTTCCGTGGCAATGTAACTGTTCTTAGTACAATGACAAGTCTCCGCACAGGGAGTGCGTATGAAGACCGCGCATGGAAGAGACACCATAAACAAGTGCATAGTACAGGCTGAATAGTTACGGAATGCTCGAATGTGGGGTTTATCTATGTTTAGATTTAGAGCACTATAATAAGTGAGGCATGTACGTATGTACAAACATACGTACGAGCGTGCATAGGTCCGATAATGGAACCTAGACATAACGGACACAGATCCATACAGGGCGTGGATCCATAAGGGGCACGGATCCTACTTTGAAGTATATGGGAGTTAGATAGACATAAACGGCTGAATATATTACAACTATAGTACTGTACAAGAAAAATTCGCGAATGGTGGTGCCATTCGCGACAACGTGCAAGTTTGTTGAGTGGATCGGTGGAGAGTGCATTGTGGAGTGGTGGAGTGACTAATAAATCTATCTTAGGTTCATACATGTTGACGACCTTTAAGATCTGTTTGGTGTGATGGAAAGAATGACATGAATCGTGTTTGGCTGGACTTTCGTGGATACAATGACAGAAGCAGTCCAGAGGCCCCAGCAGTGACCTACGCATCAACACAATGTTACATGTATTCGGAGCTTCGGCAGCACTGAAAACAAGCTGGAGATACGAAAGACTGAAGAGCGTTTTCACACCCCCTGGTTGTTGTAGTGAGACCAAGCCTACCTTTCCGCATTTATCAGATGCCGCGCATGGGAGAGAATTTCCTTCAGCAACCGTGACATGTCATCTTCATGGAAAAACAAGCAAACAGGAATTCGAGAATGAAGAGATTTACAACTAGAGCAGTGGAGGTCACAAGACATTGCTCAATCAGCAGTAGTACTACCAACAGCAGCAGTAGCAGAAATAGTAGCAGCAACAGCAGCAGTAGCAGCAGCAGTAGGAACACACAGCTTACCAAGGTGCGCAAACAAGTGGCCAGCAACTTGTAGTAACGACTGGAGAGTTTCGACACAAGCAAAGGCAACAAACACAAACACACACACACACACACACACACACACACACACACACACACATACACACATATGCACACACGCACATATACAACCAGTATAAATGCAACGCCACCCATCGATGGCTTAATCAGGTACTACAGTAAAACCTGCAACGGCGACCACTCGACCATGGCGACCACTTTTCCTTGTCACGGACGCATTCACATTCAAAACAGCTCGGATAAGGCGACCACTCGCTCAACGCGACCGACGACCACCCACCCGCGACCGCGTTACACAGTGCTAGTACATGTAAATGTATGCATTGCATGGTGCACCATGCATGGTAGATCTACACATCAGTGCAGGAAGTGTAGATGTGCATGGTGCATGCACGGCACTTGACAGGTCTGAGGACCCCAGGCACATGAGTCGCGCTAGAGTAGCATAGGTGTGTGCACTGTGATACACTGATCAAAATGATGTATCGCATGTGGATATGGTCACGTGACCCACTGAACCTGGATAAGAAGACCACCTGGCCACGGCGACCACTTTTCTCGTCCCTTGAGTGGTCGCCTTACAATTGTAGACAGGCTTCACTGTATCTGCATAGGCAAATGCCACATCTCGACTGAGGCGGGTCAGTCAAACCGCCTTGCCATATCTTAAATTTTATGAAGGTTGAAATTCACAGACCATGAGGAATTCAGCAGGAATTCAAATGACTAATTGCATACAGCATAAGACACACCACCATGTACGTGTACGTGTTGACCTAGCAAGGAGCAGCTTGATGGTTAATTCCAACTGTACATCCATGCTACGATGATCTGCACAAGGCAGCAATACAGTTCAGCTGGTTATATGCAAAACATGGCACACGTACGTCGTTCTGGAGTTTGGTCAGGGTTACGGAATCGTTGAGCAAAACGCCCAAGTACAGGGGCGTGGCATGGTTAACAAGCCACATAAATATCTTCAAGTCCTTCTCGGAGAAACAGTGCCTGCACAACCACAATCGCAAGCACAACCACCGCAACAGTGGGGAAACATCACACCAAGGCATGCAGATACAAGTTGATTACAGGTCAGGAACAAAAAGCAAATCAACCGTGCAAGCCATGTACACTGCCAAAATAGTAGCATATCACTGTGCTATTCAAGGCCTCAGCATAACTCTGTGCTGAGCACTGTGTTGAACAAAGCCAGTACATTCATCTATCTCCAACACCATGGCAAACACATCGCACCAGACAATCTGCTCCCTTTCTACTGAGTTACAGTGCGTTTTTAACAGACCATTGGGATTTAGGGGAAATCGGTTATTTCCACTCGAAAATTCCCTAAAAATGTTTTTCGCGGAATCTGCGTCGACTCGGGTTTGAATCAGTCCAACAAGAAATTGTGGAGTTACATCAAGAGTGCATGCACATGAAAACCAGAGTGTGCAGCTTGGATGGGTGTCTGTCACGGCGGAATTCCGTGATTGCATCATATTTGGTGCAGATCTGAGGCGGGAAGTGGCGTAGTGCGTACAACTGAGCTGCAGTTGTGCAGAATGAGACCTGCTTGAATCCTGCTTGAACGCACTACATCCCTAAAATGATGTAATCACGGAATTTCGCCGTGACAGCTACCCATCAGAGCTGCACACTCTGGTGTTCATGTACACGTACTCTTGGTTACATGTATAGCTGCATGATGGTCAAGCTAAGTACCGGTATTCAGCCAGGTTTGGGCAAGGTTCTGGCAAGGTCCTGGGAAAGTAATACATTTGAAGTATAATTAAAGGAAAGTGATCCTTCTGCCATGCTCTAAATGACGAAAGTGTTCAATATTTATAATAGTAATTTAAAAAAAATACTGTGGTATTCGTTGGCGCCTGGACAGTTCCTGCAGGAGAGACAGCGCCAACCGACTTACGTATCATAGGACGCGATGGCCATTACTGCCACCTTCTCCCCGTGGCCATCCTCATACTTGGCACTGATGGCCGCGCACATCATCGAAGTGGGCCGCTTGCCGTCCTCACTCAGCAGCAGCACTTCCTGCGGATAGCGGTCCAGATTCTCAACGATGCACGTTGAGTCGGCCTCGACGACATCTCCGTACGGCGATGATTCAATCTGATCACGTGGAAAGAAAAGTGAGAAAACATTCCGCAGGATCTCGTGAAAAAACAAGTTCCACCCATGTGTGTAATTACGTCCTGGTGTACAAGAAAGCCCGAGTAGTGTGGGCACGACAGTGCACAGCATCGTAAAGAAGATTTAGCAGACAGCCGCGCCAACGCCACACTGTTCGGCTTGACTGACCGTTTCAACACTGATTGCCAGCTGGTGAACTGCTTGACAATGCTCCATCCATCATCATGGGTGCCCCCAACAGTACATAACCCCCAGGGTGTACGAATGTGCAACTGTGCAATGAGTAGCATTGCAGCAAAACCCAAACATCACACCGTGCAAGAGGGATCAGGCAAAAAGTTGCAGGCTGAGCAGTCTCACACACACACCTATGATTGCTGTTTTGCACACAGTGTGCCTGTTGCACCCAACTGTGTGTACTGTCATGTTACGACTGACCTGAGAAGTTTGGATACCGCTGCCACAAACCCCAATGCAGACAATGTACAGTTGCATACCTTGGGGGATATGTACTTTGGCACATGTACCAGAAACAATGTAGAAAGGCCAATTGTCGTAAAAAAAATACGTGCAGCTATTTTCATGATGGTCTCTGGTAGCCATGCCAAGTTTGAGTGTCTAGGAGACAACTGCTCCAATGTACATCATATGCAGCCCACACATGCATGTACACACATGTGAACGCAAGCGCGCAAACATACGCGTGCATGCACACGCACACACACACAAGCACACACACACACACACACACACACACGCACACACACACACACACACACGCACACACACACACACACACAAACACACAAGCGTGCATGCCATAGCAGATTGAACAAGGCAGGCAAGACAACAAGACAACCACACGACAGGAGTCATGAGAAGAGCAGACCAGAGTTCGGGTTCACCTTACTGGAAGACACAAGCCAAAAGTCAACAACACAGAATCTCTTACAGGCAAAATGATGTCTTCTCTGGGCACTTTCAGGTTGCGCAGCTGACAGAAGAGAGTGCCGCCATTTTCATTGACAAGAAAGATGGATGAGGCGCCGCGTGTGAGATTTTCCGCCATACGACACAGCTCTTGCGTTAGCACCATGGAGTCGTGACGATAGGCTAGCAGCAGTGAACAAGCAGAAGAAGATTCGGCATTTTCCTAGCAATGAACACTAGACTGACAGACCGCACAATCAAGGAAACCAATTGTTTGCGGGGGGAGGTGCACCATTGAATGAGGTGGAAGTGGACGGTAAGAAAGAAGACTAATTGTTGCATTTATGTGTTAAAAGTAATTCATAGCTAGCATTATAATCTGGAGAAAAAAGTTGTCTTTTTGTCAGATTCGCCGGTTACGAACATGTCATAGATCATGTGCAGCTCCGTTTAATAAACATGCCCCATATACTACTACATGTACTGTTGAGAGTCTCCGGAGATTTCCTGACAGACTCGACACTTACAGAATAGGTGGTAGAAGTCGTTCCAGAGCGCCACCTCGGTTTCCGAATTCTCCCTGACCACGGCCAGGTCTTTACGGTGGCGTGACAAGGCTTCCGTTCTCTCCACGGCCACGGCCAGCAAGCCTTTCAGAGTGGATAGTGGAGCCAATGCGGTTTCGGGACCACCACTGCCCTCTGGAGGGTGGTGACAGAGCATCTATGGGGAGAAGACAGGCAGAGTGCAAACAGAGGCTCACCGGGAGTTTCAGCGCACGTGTGTACGTGCGTGTGTGTGTGTGTGGTGTGTGTGGTGTGGTGGTGGTGGTGGTGGTGGTGGTGGTGTGTGTGTGTGTGTGTGTGTGTGTGTGTGTGTGTATCTGGTGTGGAGTACATTAGGTGTCCTGCGACGGCAGTAATAAGGGTGCTTCCTCTTCTTCTGTGAGTATGCAGTAACTACAGTGTGAATATTGACTGATGATATCAACGGCGGCAGCAGTCTCCTATGGAATTAAAGCATGGCACCAAATCGGGGAAACATCTGTGAAGAGGATCTTCAGACAGAAAGACCCGCCACATTTTTTGAAACAAACAACAACCCAGAGGCTGAAGGTAAAGTGTGCTTTCGAAAAAAAGTGAATAGAAGGACTATTGACAAGTATTAAAGTAAGTAAAGTTTGCACATCCACGATACAACCGGCTATACAATTGCGTTGAGAACACACAACCAGCTTAGGAAGTTTCGCTCGTGCCAGGCCACCACCATGCCTGTAATACCAGGGTGGCAGATGCAGCAAGTATAACTTTTTTTTAAACCTCACCACAAATAATGCCACGACACGACCCTTCTGCTTTCGACCGCGCACTGGGCAGCACTTGAGCACTGTCGCACATAAGATTAAAGGAGTCAGACATCACAGCAAGAGGTTGAAAGGGTTGACACGCCAAACATCTCAAAACAGGGAGGGACGGAAGAGTAAAATTAATTACCACAGTGGTGAGTTCCGCGCTCTAAGAAAGCATCAAGTAGCTCACTGGACAGAGTCAGAGGTGTAGGCAGGGGTTCCATTGAAGTGGTTTCCGCCTTTCAAGCTATCTGGTCCTCACACGCTTGGAAAGCTTGGAAACGCTGCGGTCACACTCACTGATGCATCCAGATCACAACACAAGCACTGCTCCGTGCTACTTCATTGAAGTGTTAACGCGCATCCCTGCATGCGTGCACATGCGCGTACATGTGTGTGTGTGTGTGTGTGTGTGTGTGTGTGTGTGTGTGTGCATTTGTAAGGATGCTTGTACTGTCGTGGACATGGAAATCCGGTCGCACGTCTAGCGGCCCCAGGGCGCTGGCCATGCAGCCGTACACACATGCATTTATGCGCCGCAGCACGCTGGTCGCATCGGATCAACATGACTGTGCACTGCACGGATGTACGCAGCGTTCTGTACGCGCTGAGGGCGCTGGCACCGGTCAATCGACTGGATTTCCATGTCCGCTACAGTAGTACATTGGTCATCTTACCAGATAGTGGCTCAGCGTTGTCAAGATCAAGCAGCTGCCGAAAGGGGCTCTCCGCTGCAATCTCCTCAACATAAACATGCCGATCCTCACCGGTCTCCACGGACTCACTACAACAGCAGCAGCAGCACATCACAGCACATCACACCACGCACAAGTAGCACAGCAGCAGCACAGCACAGCACAAGCAAACAGTCATGGGGAAAGCGTTACTTCCTGAAATCAGCGTCACCCTGTGATGAGCCCCAGGTGCAGTACCATACACGCCAACCATGAGTACTTGTACATGTGGTTCTTTTCTGTTTGAGAATACGAACGGCTCAGATAGGCCAGCATAGCCGGATGGTGTAGATAAGGAAATTCGATGAAATGATCCCCAGCGGGGTTGTACACTCTGGAAGGGGTTTAGCCTTTAGGGTCACTTAACACTAGGTACAAATCAAACTATATTTAAAAAGTCACATTTATATAGAAGTCTCCAAAACGACTAAGAGAATGTGGTGCGAAGCCTGAAAAGTTGCCTTCTCCTTTCAGGCAGAGTGTTGATCCGTGTACAGTACATGTACAAGGAAACATTCCTGCATTTCCCAGTACGTTAGCCAGGCAGTCGTACAAATTTTGTACGACTCCCTGCTTTCACAAAGCTACGCAAGGTCAAAAGTTGCATGTACTGTAAAAGCCAATATTCTAACAAGGCGCATATATAACGACTTCCCACATTTGACTGGTTTACGTGTACCAAAGGTAACGATTCTCACGCATTCTCAACGCTCAATAGAACATGTATCGATTTCTGTACAACGATTTCTATTTTAACAGCAGATTTCTCCTCGTTAACTCGTTAGAATTAGCACTTCGTTATATAATTAACGCAATAAATAGAGTAAGCTGCGCACTCAAGTACAAACACCATTAGCAAAATTTGTTTTCATGTCTAGAAGCTTGTTCCTTAAACGTTCGTTATATACATGGCTTTTACAGTATGCTGCATGTAAATGTTAAAATCTTGTACCGGATGTTTCCCACCCAAGCTCAGACACCACCCGGAATTGTCTGAAAACAAACTCTTCCTCTTACACACATACACATGTACAGAAGTACACACACACACACCCACGTGCACGCGCGCGCGCGCGCGCGCACGCACACACACACACACACACACGCACACGTGTACTCACACACACGCGCACCACACACGCACACACACACACACACACACACGCACACGCACACGCACACGCACACACCATGTATACGCCCGTCGCAAAAGAAGCATGCAAATCTGCAAATGCACTGGATGTGCACCCACAGATTTTCTCTTTATAGCAATGACAGCGGATCTGATTCTGATTGAAACAGATCAAGACAAGCGCCAGATAACTGTCTAATCCACACAACTGGTGAAGCCATGTGAATCGACCCCCCAATGCACACCTGGTCTACACCACACGGAGTACATCGGAATAGGACGGCCAAGACAGCTACCTATGCACACCCTACACTTGCTGGGGTAACCAGTATAGACAGCACGCTGCTTTGATAAAAGCAGACACTGGACGCACACACACACACACACACACACACACACACACACACACACACACACACGCATGTCCTCAACATTGCCGTAAGACGGTCACATGTACACACACACACACACACACACACACACACACACACACACACACACACCTTGAATCTTGAACGCCCATTGCCGTAGCAATGATGGCACACACACACATACACACACACACGCACACATGCTTCTTTGCGACAATTCGCAGGGGCACACTACTTACAGTGCGGTGCTGTCTAACTGCTGCGCTGAATCCCGCGGCGAAATGCTCGCATCCTTGCTGGATGCGTACAGTTGAAGCTCGCCAGTCTCACGATCAAGCACATAGACCAGAGACTGCGCCTATGCAAGAGCAAACAAGATGAACATGCACGATCTATTGCACCGGAAACCAGTAGAACTACACTGGGTGTGACTCGTCTCCCGATGACAGGTTACGGAAACTGTCAGTACGAGAATCTTTAGGCAGTCGGAACAAGCAAGCAACTACAAGGTTAATTTCCGTAGCTATGCAGTAGACGTTACTTCAGTAACGTCTGGCGCTAGCCAGGGTCCACACAGCTTTAATTTGGTATTTGTTTGTTTGTTTGTGTCACGCCTGGCGCTATTCCATATCTGTCCCGTACCGTACCGTACCATCAAACACAGCTGGCCACAAACAGCTGGCCACAATATTCAAATAGGGCTTTCAAATGCACGATCATAACGTGAAGCAACTTGGAAGAATGAGTATGAATGCGAAGTGTATCGGGTAATGCATGTAGGGCGATTGTGCGGGTTCGAATCCCAGGTTATGCCTGAAAAAATAGGAGAATTGAAAAATTTATAATATCCCTATGCTTTTTTGCCTGGGTCATCAAGGTGGTAGACGGTGTCGTGTTACCCTCGACCGTACCTGTCCCGTACCGTACCGTACCATCAAAGACGGCTGGCCACAATATTCAAATACCGATTATAGGCCCCGGGCGTATAGAATAGCAGCCTCGATTTCCTAGGCGTATACAAGAGCACGGGCGCAATTTCGGAACCGGGCGTATACTTGGAATAGGGATAGCAGTAAGTATTGGGTATCAGTACCTGTACATGTACTGGTGTTTCTGGCATACCTGGGCCTATACATGGGCATGGGCGCTATTTTGAAACAAACGTGTTGACTTTCCCTGACTGGGCGTGTACACGGAGGGTGGGCGTAATTTCGAGTGGGCGTATAGGGCTTGAAAGTGACGACGTCAAAAACGGCCAGGGAGTAGTAAATTGACATCAGATTTCTATTTTGGATCCACTAAGGTGTGACTTTGCTATTGCCTCCGTATGTGGGTGCATAGCAACCCACTTATGTCGTATGCAGGGGTGACTTTTACTTTGCCACCAGTTGTAACCCCGCCCCCAGTAGCCAAATCAGTCAGTTTCACTGGTTACATCACCTTGCTGTGAGTAAGACGGCTTGAAATGTGCTTGGATCCATGCAAAAACTGGATCCAAGTGGATCCAATTTATGAATTTTTGAAATTGTTGCTATGCTGTGACGTAGCACTTTCAAGCCCTATACAGGGGCTTTTACGGTAGGGCTTTCAAATGCAAGATCATAACGTGAAGCAACTTGGAAGAATTAGTGTGTATGCGAAGTGTATCGGGGGATGCATGCAGGGCGATAATGCGGGTTCGAATCCCAGGTTATGTCTTGAAAAAAAATAGGAGAAATGAAAAATTTACTATGTTTTTTTTGCCTAGGTCATCAAGGCAAAAAAGCATAGCATAGGGGCCTGAGCTTCCAAGCTCTCTCGTTTGGAAGTGCATTTTCCATAATAGGAAAGTGTGCCCATAAAAGTGAAACGGGGCAGAATAGAGTCAAAAGACAGACTTCGGCCTAGGCCTTCTCAGTTCAGGCTGCTATGAGGCAATAATTTCAGTTTTCCCAAGCAGCGGCCTTCCGGTCAGAGACGCAACGTTTACGCAAGCTGCCTACTGTGCACTGTACAAGCAGAAATATTAGATTAGAATTCATTTTCATCTTCTTCGTCCAAGGAGTTTTCGGATATAAATAAAACTGTGAACGGTACCATTCGGCTGTTGAATAATACAACAAACACTCATTCTCCATGCGTAGGAATTTTCAGACTAAATTAAATGCCGGACTAACATCGATTCGTCCAGCTGTTAAATGTGATTAAATTTTATGGTTCATGGACTAAATCTTCAACCGGATAAACTCCCTTACTTTGGAGTTAGACGAAATTATTCACCGCCTAAATGTTCTGCCCGTTTTTTTTGCTTTTTTACTAAGGCCACAGCTTCCAATCATGACATGCAAAGCAGCGGTGCAGCATCGCAGGCATGAATCGTGGACGTGGTCTGATGTGCTCCACCGACCTACAACTATAGGGTCTCGGCTTCACTGCACAGCAAACGCGTCGAAAGAAAACGGGGGGCTATTAATTATCGCCTGTACAGTATACAGCCTCCATCACGCCCTACGCACACACTCTTGCAGCAGCACGGCGCCTGCACATGTGCCGTCTCACTGTCTTCAACAGCACAAGTAATACATTCCGATTCGCCAAGCAGTGCTGCAACTAGTACCGCTCTGCCAGCACACCACATTGGTCTGGAGCTGTTGTGAACAGTATTGGCCAATGAAAGTCAAACTCATGAGCCGGACTGAGCATACCGCAGCCTTGCATAAGTTCAGCAAAGCAGCAAAAAAAAACTCTGCGTATTTCCTTGGCCGGCACTGTGCAGTCGACAGCGGTGTTTAAGTCACATGATAGGTCAGAGATATGCCTAATGCACATAACACATTGTAGTTGTGCCCTTGACTGGCTAGTACCTTTTCTGGCAGAGTGCATTCAAAATACTAGTACATGTACATGCAATAGGGCATGAAAAGGTCCACTACATGTACTACGGTATAGAAACAAATACACGTACTGTAAATGGCACAGACAGTACAGCCGTGCAGTCTCTTACCACAGAGCAATCTGCTTTCAAACATTCGAGGAAAGCAACAGCAGCCTGCCCAGGAGTCTCTGCTTCCGACAACTCAATAAGTGGTTCTCCGCTACTCGTCATATTCGCCAAATATTCCACCCAATGAATGTGCCACGCGAATTTTCAAATAGCACGGATCAAGTTTACATTACAATTCAAATCTCTGGCTCACAAGAGTCACATGTCCACCATGTTTCAGAACACCGCGGGGGTGACCTGGTGACAAGGGTAACACGTCTCCTACTTTACCCAACACTTGCGTGGCACGGCAGGGTATCTGAGAGGGCCACTCTGAGCATATCAGTGGTAACAACAGCAGTGTCTTGGAGAAAAATTCAAGGATTGTCACAATTGTCTACCCGTACGTGTACCTTGTACCTCGAGATGCGTATTTCTACACTTGTAGACACTCACTTCAACAGCATTGGAACTTCTCCATCCAATAAATTTTCTTCTTTGATAATAATTAATAAACCCTTTTGGACACGACCTGACTGTTTATGACAAAGAAACAAATGCGAATCAGCCCAAACTTGAGTAGTCATGTCATAAACGAAACAGGTTACCTTTGACGGTACGCGGTACGTACATGTGCATTTTGTGCGATCGCGATGATGAAGCTCATGCATTCCATGATCCATGATCCAGGGTCCAGGGACCAGGGCCAGGGCCGATGCTGCAGCCAGTGCACTTATACTTTTTACCAAGAGTAGATAAACAAGAGTGTGCAACTCAGGATCTCTCCTGCACAATCTGCAGATACCCCGCGCCCACGGCGGAATTTTTTGTTTACGTCACCTTTTTTCAGAGAAACGCGGCTTTGCCGCAGAACAGTGTGAGAGCACGTGCTGGGCACCGACCTTGTAGTGTAAAGCCCAGCCAAGTGCACGAGGGAAAACTCTCCAAAAGGCTCGCAGCGCGTGCGTCGTCGAAAAGATTACGTCAACAAAAAATTCCGCCGTGGGCCAATCCATTCGGAGTTGCACACTCTTGTTTATCTACTCTTGTTTTTACTTATAGTGCAGGACGACTGGTACGCGTATACGGTCGGGTTGCATTACATCAGCTAGCTGCAGCTAGCTAGCTCAGCTCAGACCGTATATTAATAATATCGAGGTTTAGTCCCACGTAATCCATGGGTACTTTACGTGTGTGTACCACGTGATACTCAGTGACCCACGTACAGACCACGGGTGTCGACGTTTTCTGATTCACGACATACCGTACCGTGTATGGAGGCTCAGTAGAGAGGTTCTGCTATGTGAAACGTAGAGAAATCACGTAGAGAGCAGGTGTCTGGGTACCCGGGTTAGACTTTAGTCTACGGCTTCGCGTGTTTTGGCTCCAGATTTCTACGCGGAGATGAGGTTCTCTACGTTGTGGCACACGCAGAGAAAATGCGTACGGATTTGCTGGGTATCGATCAACTGCATGCAGAAAACTGCCAAATATGGAAGGGAAAATTCCCAGTACACATTCCACGTGACTTCTCTAGGTGAAACCAAGAGTAGATAAACAAGAGTGTGCAACTCCGGATCTCTCCTGCACAATCTGCACATACCCCGCGCCCACGGCGGAATTTTTTGTTTACGTCACCTTTTTTCAGAGAAACGCGGCTTTGCCGCAGAGCAGTGTGAGAGCACGTGCTGGGCACCGACCTTGTAGTGTAAAGCCCAGCCAAGTGCACGAGGGAAAACTCTCCAAAAGGCTCGCAGCGCGTGCGTCGTCGAAAAGATTACGTCAACAAAAAATTCCGCCGTGGGCCAATCCATCCGGAGTTGCACACTCTTGTTTATCTACTCTTGGTGAAACGTAGAGCAGAACAGCATTTCTTTACGTTACGGGAACGCGAAGAAAGTTCGCGTGATTCTTTGCGTCGCGTTCCCAACACGTAGAGCAGAACCTCCCTAGTGGCTCACCCACGTTCCGCCAGAACGTGGGTGAAAATCAGAATGGAGCGCATTTTGCGAGCTGTGAGGGTGCTCAGCTGAAGAAGTTTCCGAAGCACGAAATCGAAGTATTCGATGAGCTTCTTACTCTTAGGCCCGGGTAGCTTCGTCTTTGACCAGGTTTGGGCCTTTTATTTTCACTTCATGCTTTTGTTTGTTCCGTGTGACTAAACATAACATAATCATTGCATGCAACGTGGATGCCCTTCATCCACTTTACGTGGATCACCCACGTACGCGTTTCCGTTACGTGGGAACTAAACCTCCCTATTATCAGATTATTAGTACCAGGCGGCATGGGTTCAGCTTGTCAAAATGTGAATTTCGCGATGGTCTGGCATTGCGGTATGGCTGGCACCCTGCACGGCTCCCTTCTACTTGTGTCTGTGGTGCCACCTTCTCTGTTGAGCATGCTCTCTCTTGCCCCACTGGTGGTTTCCCGACGCTTCGCCACAATGAGGTACGGGACATCATCGCTGGCCAACTGAAGAAGGTGGCACACAGCGTAGAAGTAGAGCCTCATCTCCAACCCCTCACCGGCGAGCTTTTCCGCTACCGGACGGCGTCCACCGAGGATCAAGCCCGTCTGGATGTGGCGGCGAGTGGCGTGTGGGGAGGACGGTTTGAACGCGTTTATCTTGATGTACGGGTGTTTAACCCTTTCGCTCCTTCAAACCGTTCCTCTTCTCTCGCTGCTCGCTACCAGAGCCATGAGCGAGAGAAGCGTCGCAGGTATGGTCAGAGGGTGCAAGAAGTTGAGCGAGCCTCCTTCGTACCTGTCGTATTCTCAGCCACAGGTGGAGCCGGTCGAGCTGCTTCCGCTCTTCTCAAGCGAATTGCTGCTCTGTCTGCTGAGAAATCCGGAGAGCCATACGCAATGGTGATGGCGTTGCTGCGTTGTCGTCTTGGTTTTGGTCTCCTGCGTGCCAGTGTTGCCTGCCTTCGTGGTGCCCGGCGGATGCGCCGCGTCAATGATCAGTCTGCTGTCCTCGCAAACGCGGAGGCTGCATTGATTTAACTTTCTTTGCAACTCCTGCAGTCTAGGTACCGAGTATCATTGTTATCTTGTGTGTGTGTGTGTATGTGTGTATGCGTGAGTCAACAGCGTTGATAAAGTTATTGTGTTTACCCCTCTTGTTTTCTCATCATTGTGTTGCTTTTTTAATTAAAATGTTTAATCTTGCCCGTAAAAGAGGCTGTTTTTGATGTAAAAAAAAAAAAAAAAATTATTAGGCCTAAACAAAAAATAGGCTTGTTTCCGGTCGGCAACTCCTCAAAAAGGAGACTCGGTCGGCCGGAATGAAACTTTTTTTGGATACTTTTTTTTGGTTCCTCAATCGTTGTGGTATTGATGGACAAGAGCACCTACACATGTACATTGTACATAATATATCATGGCAAGGATCAATGTCAAAGTTGACTGACTCACTGTTCTTGTACAGCATGGGGTGTATTCCTGTTTTCGTACATTCTGAGAAATCAAGCAAACAGTTCGAGTCCTTCCAGCTCTGTTATTCTAGCTCGTATCGACCCCGGAGGTTTTCGAGCCGACAGCTGCGAATCTCTGCTACCTTGTAGGTGTTTCGATTCTGGAATTCGGTCGAGATTTGACTGAGTTATGACTCGTTGAGTGCACTTGCACACATGGCATTGCCACCGTTTGTATACATTTGGGACCAAAAAAAAGTTTCAGAATTTGGGAAAAAGTGGCCCGGTCGGGCGACCGGAAACAAGGTCATTATTTGTTTTGGCCTTAGTACCAGGGAGTAGTACTACGGCCTGATTAGTACAAACGCACGTGTGAAGAGTTTTGCGCCGTGTACCAGGTGTACGGTACGGTGTAGCTAGATATAAGATCTACGCGTAGATCTACCCAGCGCTAGCGTTAACGCGTTATCGCCGCCGGCGCCGCGCCGGCGTCCGGCACGCGCGTCCACGTCCGGTCCGTGCTTCTATTTTTTGCGATCTTTCCGCGAAATTTTCTCCGAGCTAAAAAATAATTATTTTCTCGAAAAAGGCTGAACGTAGAAAGAATGATATGAGCACGTGAATTGAAGGAGAACCCGTTCATATTTCCAAATCTTGATCTTCCCTTTGCAAACTAGTACGGTGGGAACGAGGTCGTTGATGGCTGAGTGAAGAAATGGCGTTGAATTTGTGCCGATCGTCTCTGTGGAGATCCTTCACTTCATCGACCTCCTTGTGGTAAGTTCAATTCTGTGCAATATTATTTTTATTGGCACTTGAGCGCATTTTTGATCGAAGTAACTTGAAGGGATCCATTTCGCATTACATATGTTCATAAATTTCTTGGTGAATAATCACTTCGTTGCAGCTGCAAACGTTTTCACTCTGTGTATACTTGCATCAGAGTCTTTGCTCTAAATAATTCTGGGTTGTGGTGTTACTGGCTCCAGTTTTCTTAGTATAAGCTCCCCTCTTTGTATGGGGCATTGTCGTTTGAAATTTGGAAATTTAACAAGTACTTGCCCTTCAAATGCACAATGATTTTAAGTGGTAGTATAATGTAACATTGGGGGACGTATCTCTATACCAGATAAGGTGTACCTGTAGAGTACAGACTAGTCACTATGTCACACACCAGGACCACCGGGCCGGACCACTTTTCCCAGCCGGATGGTCCGCTTGATTCGTGCAAAACCGGTGTAAAAAAACTTCCGAGGTCAGGACTTGGACTTGGTGCGTGACACAGCTTGGCTTCTCCAGGTCCCAATGGTATAATGTTCGGGACATGTTGACTTAGGTCAGCACCTCACTGCAGTAAAACCTATACATGACAATGCACGACAGCCATTCACCCATAAGTGAGGAATGTGCATCTCTAATGGCATGGTCTGACATTTCCTACGTTTCATCCCACGGTCTGGTTCCTATTGCACACTCTTGTGACACAGCTGTATTTTGGAACCAATTTCAATCATAAAGCATGATAGAGAGAGGGAGAGAGAGAGAGAGAGAGAGAGAGAGAGAGAGAGAGAGAGAGACCGAGAAAGAGAGAGAGAGAGAGAGAGAGAGAGAGAGAGAGAGAGAGAGAGAGAAAGCTGTGTTACGACTCTGAGTTTCACTTTAAGTCACAGTCATCTGTGAAACTCTGGCATATTGAACGCTGAGCTTTGTTGTTGAACGTGATGTGATGCCGGAACCGTAGTTCATCTGTTAGGTGTGACAGTATAGAACAGTCCACTAATTCATTCTCTAAGGGCGCGTTCTTAAATCTCGGGAAAGTTCGAGAAGTGTTCTTATATCCTCTCTGGATTTTAGGAGACTCCAAAGCTCTCCAAGCTGTCCGAACTTCAGAGGTGGTTGAAAATTGGAGATTCCCGCATTTTGGGGTCAGCTCATTCGAACTACTGCGAAAGCCACATGTGGATCATGAGTGTACAACATTCACTACCTTTTCGCATACGCACAGTGCATACTACATTTGTGTGACTCAAGATCGTGGCCTCTTTGGCGCTTCACATTTGCAAAAGATCTTCGAGACCCGTTTCTAAATTATCCCAGTTTCTTCGACCTTCAGGAGAAATTTCTGCGAGAAGCTAGAGACAATAAGAACGCACCCTAAGTTTGTACATAGGCAACTGCATTCATATTTGTCGTAATTGATTTGAGTTTGATTTCCCATTGATTGACTTAGTCCTTGATGCTTGTGATTGAGTTGCCTGTAGTCAGGACCGGGTCCCTTCCACAGCAGTCGTGCCTTGTGACTCTGTTCCCCGGCTGTCCGTCATCCAGACGTTCCGCTGTAGGGCGGTGGTGTTATGCTGTATTTGCAAAAGTCAGTCTGCCTGACCTCTCACGCGAATCATATTACTTTATTCCCGTAGCTATGCAGAAGACGTTACTTCAGTAACGTCTGGCGCTAGCCAGGGTCCACACAGCTTTAATTCCCGTAGCTATGCAGAAGACGTTACTTCAGTAACGTCTGGCGCTAGCCAGGGTCCACACAGCTTTAATTCCCGTAGCTATGCAGAAGACGTTACTTCAGTAACGTCTGGCGCTAGCCAGGGTCCACACAGCTTTAATTTGGTGTTTGTTTGTTTGTTTGTTTGTGTCACGGCTGGAGCTATCCCGTATCTGTCCCGTATCTGTGACTACAAAGGCTCTACAGGATTGTACATAACAGCTGTCCACAATATTTGCGGGCTCCTGTATCTGTCCCGTACCGTACCAATATTCGTCGTATTATGTATACGACTCCCTGATGTAGAGGGAGATTTGGAAAGAAATAGGGAGACGAAGAGGAAATTAAATTAGAATAGACGCCGATTAGGTGATAGGATGCGTCAGCATAAACATACTTTGGAAGAGAGATCCCGTCGTCTCCAAAATAAGCGTGAACGAGCGATTCAGTGCCGGTCACAGGAAACGTCGGAAGAGAGATCCCGTCGACTCCAGAACGCCCGTGATCGGTAGAGTCCGGCGGTACCAGGCAACGTCAGGACAGACATCCCTTTGAGTCCAGAACGCCCGTGATCGGCAGAGTCTAAGCTGATCCCAGGAAACGTCAGGACAGACATCTCGTCGAGTCCAGAACGTCCGTGATCGGCAAAGTCAGCGCCGGTCCCAGTAAACGTCAGGACAGACATCCCGTCGACGCGCAGAAAAACTAAATCTGCAGCCTCTTTTGCCGTCGAACAGGATACGTTTTATATAGGAGACTGTAAATTTATGTAATGTCCAAATTTCGACGTGAGCAGCAGGTCACTCGCGTTGATTTTTCGACGTGCGAGCCAAATAACGCGAGCTAAACTTTCGCGTCGCAGACATCCCGTCGACGCGCAGAAAAACTAAATCTGCAGCCTCTTTTGCCGTCGGACAGGATACGTATTTTAGGAGACTGTAAAGTTATGTGATGTGCTCCACAGGCAACCATGCATTCGGCGTCGTCATTGGCTCAACAGGTCAATGCACATGTATTACTACAAAAAGGCCAGAAAATCCGATCACTGTATTAAAATCAACTAATGTTCGCTGGCGATTTAATTTCGCTGATTTCGCCGCTTGGTACCAACCGGCCAAAGTAAATCGCAGGCCAACGTTTGTCATATAGGCAAATGATGCATGATTGAGCAATGGATGCATGTGAGAGCAAAAATACTGATCGATTTCAAATTTGACGTGAAACTGCGCGTCACGTCGGAAATAACGTGCATCTTAACCTCTCTAATAGAGAGGTTTCTATTTCTCATCGGCCAAAATTTGTTGATTTACAATATAAGGAGATAAAAAGAAAAGAAGGAGCAAAACAAAAGTAGATGATTATTAGAGAAATAACAATCCGCAATAAATTCTGCAAATACTTTTGCCTAACTCATAAGCAAACCGATTGAAACGTTTTTGCAATACAGTGATGTGGCCAATCAACGAAAAAGACATTCCCATCAGTTCTTATAACATGTACGATGAGCTAGGCAAAAAAGCATAAAAGCATAGCGCAGGGCCCTGAGCTTCCAAGCTCTCTCGTTTGGTATTTGTTTGTTTGTGTGTTTGTTTGTTTGTGTCACGCCTGGCGCTATCTGTATCTGACGGCAAAAAAGCATAGGATGTTATAAATTTTTCAATTCTCCTATTTTTTTTTCAGGCATATCCTGGGATTCGAACCCGCACTATCGCCCATACACTTCGCATTCATACCCATTCTTCCAAGTTGCTTCACGTTATTATCTTGCGTTTGAAAGCCCTATTTGAATATTGCGGGCAGCTGTATGTGGCCAGCTGTGTTTGATGGTACGGTACGGGAGACGGTGTCGTATTACCCTCGATCGTACCTGTCCCGTACCTATCCCCTGCCGTACCGTGCCATCAAAGACGGCTGGCCACAATGCATATTCAAATAGGGCTTTCAAATGCAAGATCACAATGTGAAACAACTTGGAAGAATTAGTATGTATGCTAAGTGTATCGGGGGATGCATGCAGGGCGCGCGATAGTGCGGGTTCGAATCCCAGGTTATGTCTTTAAAAAAAAGGATTTTTTTAAAGAATTTATAACATCCCTATGCTTTTTTTTGTCTAGGTCATCAAGGCAAAAAAGCATAGCGTAGGGCCCTGAGCTTCCAAGCTCTCTCGTTTGGTGTTTGTTTGTGTCACGCCTGGCGCTATCCCGTATCTGTCCCGTACCGTACCATCAAACACAGCTGGCCACATACAGCTGGCCGCACTATTCAAATAGGGCTTTCAAACGCAAGATCGTAACGTGAAGCAACTTGGAAGAATGAGTATGAATGCGAAGTGTATGGGGGAATGCATGTAGGGCAAGAGTACATAACCCCCCAGAGTGTGCAACTCCACTATGGGTGCTGTCCCGACAGAATTTCAAGTTGACGTCATTTTGATGATGCAATGCGCACTGTACACGGATTATCAGACGAATCCGGAACCTGTGGTTGACCGAAGCCGATCGATCCTGTACAAATTCTTGCAAAGAAAAACGTGTGATGCGTTGACACCCGTACACATGTTGTAAATCACTGGTGCAAGGAGCATTGCGTCATTAATAATGACGTCAACTTGAAATTCTGTCGGGGCAGCAGGGTATGTGGGAGTTGCACACTCTGGGGGGTTATGTACTCTTGATGTAGGGCGATAGTGCGGGTTCGAATCCCAGGTAATGCCTGAAAAAATAGGAGAATTGAAAAAATTATAACATCAGTAGAAAGGAAAAGGACATATGTCCTTTCTACTTTTATTATTGGCTCAATACCCGAGTTTCAAATTATAACATCCCTATTCTTTTTTTGCCGTCATCAAGGCGGTAGATGGTGAGGGTAATCGTACCTGTCCCGTACCGTACCGTACAATCAAAGACGGCTGGCCACAATGCATATTCAAATAGGGCTTTCAAGTACAAGATCATAACGTGAAGCAACTTGGAAGAATTAGTATGTATGCGAAGTGTATCGGGAGATGCATGCAGGGCGATAGTGCGGGTTCGAATCCCAGGTTATGTCTAAAAACAAAAAGTAGAAATTTATAAGAATTTATAACATCCCTATGTTTTTTTTGTCTAGGTCATCAAGGCAAAACAGCATAGCGTAGGGCCCTGAGCTTCCAAGCTCTCTCGTTTACTGTACATGTAGTGCTGAACAACTTCCTAGGAGAAAAACAAAGACGAAAACAAAAAAAAGTTAAAACCCAAGAAAGACTACATGTACCGTAAAGTACCGCCAGAGCGCCCCGTCTCGCGAGAGCGCCCCACCTTGATTTTACAGTCAGAGGAAGGAAGATCATACGGCAGCGTGCAACGAAGATTATACGATGTGAGAATCTTAGTGTACTAAGGGCCGAGTTCCACTGCGGCTCCGCTGCTCCGCGGCACTTGGCTGCATGCAGCGGAGCAGCGCGGTTCCATTGACACTCGCCATTCGCGGTACCGCGGTCGTGGTCTACACTTTTTGATGATGTTTCACTTGCCTGCGCGCGCGCGCGCGAAATCAAAAAAATTCTCGTGTTCTGGCCTGCGCAACGAATTAAATTTTGAATTTTAAAATTCTGGCGTACGAAACAATGCAAAGTACGGGAAACAGGTCGAGCCGCGACCGCGGCTCGCAGTTTTTGGTCAAGAATCGTAGCAAAAGCTCGCGGTGAGCCGCGGCCTCGCTGCTCCAGCTCGAGCCGCGGTCACTATGGTAATGATGACGTTTCAAGCCGCGAAAGACGAGCAGCGGAGCAGCGGAGCCGCAGTGGAACCCGGCCCTTAGGTCACACTTGGCAGGTTTTTGTGTGGAGCTTGTGTCCGCTCGAAGGTACGGATTGACTGCAAAACGTGCAATATGTGTACAGGGTTCATGTCGTATGACCTACAGACAGCAGACCACCTCCACAATACGACCACGAAAGGATGAGATGGTGGAGCGCTCTGGCGGTACTTTACGGTACTACAAACTTCAAGCACCTTATTGCAAGCATTATGGCATGAGGAATTTTACTGACCAGTTTCCGTGCCCTCTCTTCTCTTCATTTTAGCTTGGTTCTGTTTGCTTGTATTTCACTTGATTGGGTAGCACGAAAACTGGTTTGTGAAATTCTGTACGTCGTAGTGCCTGTGGCAAGAGCTTGGTGTTTGACTTGTAGTCTATCTTGTAATTTGCTGTACGAAGTAGTATGTTGCCCTCCGTGGACTGTACACTCTATATACGGTACTTGAACAAGTTGTTGAAGTACGCTAGCCAGCTCTCTTTTTTTTCTTCCATTTAGCTTTGTATTGGAGTTGATCACTCGGGTCCTTTTTTTTGCAAACTACGTGCCGCCATATGCTGTCTGGCAAAACCGTGAAAAAGGACACGTTGTCCTGACTGTTTGCCTTAATGACTTATTGCATGTACGTGTATTTGTAGTACCACGTTACTGCAGTGAGATGACAGTAGTTGTGGCGAACTCTCCTTGCGGCGTTTTTCCCTTATATTCGTACCGTACGATATAATTATGTACTTCTTGAAGTAGCTTTTGTGAAAGTGGTTGTTACGACGTACGAGCTGGAAGAAGGCAGGTATTGTATTGGTGAGGTGCATGTATTGTGTGTGTGTGTGTGTGTGTGTGTGTGTGTGTGTGTGTGTGTGTGTGTGTGTGTGTGTGTGTGTGTGTGTGTGTGTGTGTGTGTGTGTGTGTGTGTGTGTGTGTGTGTGTGTGTGGTGTGTGTGTGCATGTGTGTGTGTGTGTGTGTGTGTGGTGTGTGTGTGTGCATGTGTGTATGTGCATGCGTGTGTGTGTATGCGTGTGGGTGTGTGGGGGTGTGTGGGTGTGGGTGTGGGTGTGGGTGTTGTATCACATGATCCTCTATGATATTCTTATGTATCTTTTGGTGTGGTACACGGTAGTGGTCGGCGGCAACCCATCGCTCCGCAAGTCATTCTCGCCCGTCACAACTCGACGGCAGAAGAGAAGACTGTCATTCGGCCCGACCCAGTTCCCGGCGAGAGCCCACTGCCACCAAAGGATGGAGAGATGCGCCCGGTCTCGGACAGTGTGAAGCAGATCGTTGACCTTGTCAAGTCGCTCACTCTTATAGAAACAGTTGCCTTAGTAGACCGGCTAAAGGTGAGAGTTGCCATCAGCTTTGGACTGTTGTCCATGAGTAGCTTTTCAGTCCTGGCCAACTTTGCAAGGCTTACAGTCCATTCATTCAAAATTGTCAACCTAATGTTTTGATGTCTCACACGTTTAGTGATAGATATAGTGAACAACTGTACATCCTGCATTGTGTGACCCGTGCAATTCTTCGTTCCCACATTTTAGACCAGAAAAATCCAAGAATAGGGAGTTAGAGATTCGGTCAGGTTTACAAACTTAGGACAGGTGTACAGTGGCAAATGTTTGAAGAAGATCCTAAACCCAGATTTTTAAAATTAAAATGGGCTTAATTCGGCCAGTAGTGGGGTTCCAAAAGGCAACGGGGCTCTATCTGAATGGACTGTAGTCGTGCATCTGAAGGCAGTGCCAACAGAGCAGCAGCAGGGTGAGAATCTGGCTGCTCTTGCTCACTTGAAACTTATTGCTGAATGTGTACATTTTCCCAGCGCAATGTTGTATTGTATTTTTTATAGTTTATGTGTACACTGCAGGAATAACTTAGCCCCTGGCTTTATTGCTTAGCCTCGTCTTGAGGCTATCAACTCTAAGCGATGTGCACATACCAGCAAATATGATTAATTTTTGTGTTGATGAAATTGAATAGGTCGCAAACATTTGCAAGATTCGTTTCAACCGTAATTGACGTGAGGAAATCTGGCCCTCGCGTTGGCTTGGACAATGATGAGCTTGGTTTTTCTAACTAAAGTTGCGGATGTGTTCTGTGTGTAATGTGATTCCTGCAGGCTGAATTAAACATTTCTGATATTGTGATGTCCGGTGGCGGCGGAGGAGGAGCGGCTGCAGAAGAAGAGGTAGGATCAAGTGTGTGCATTGTCTCTTCATTGGCTTTGATGATTCCCAGTGTTTCTGGGTTTTCAGTAATGGATCTAGAGCCTCGCACTGTGTCAAGAGGTGCATCTGGCACCTTGATCCTCGAGAGTGGTTGGCATTCCTCTGGATGCAAAACGTCACTCTAGCTGTAGCACAGGCCACGCTCTAATAAAAGTGATGACTGCAGTTGCGTATATCTCCCTCACGGGCTTTAGGTGTGTGCGTCCCCGGTTGTCTTCGTCGCCATATGCTTGATGTATCTGTGTGTGTGTGTGTACGTGTGCATGCTTGCGCGCATGTGTGTGTCTGTGTGTGTGTACGTGTGCATGCTTGCGTGCATGTGTGTGTACGTGTGCATGCTTGCGCGCATGTGTGTGTACGTGTGCATGCTTGCGCGCATGTGTGTGTGTGTGTGTACGTGTGCATGCTTGCGTGCATGTGTGTGTACGTGTGCATGCTTGCGCGCATGTGTGTGTCTGTGTGTGTGTGTGTGTGTGTACGTGTGCATGCTTGCGTGCATGTGTGTGTCTGTGTGTGTGTGTACGTGTGCATGCTTGCGCGCCTGTGTGTGTCTGTGTGTGTGTTCTGTTCTATGAGGACTATGTATACTGTAGTAGAGTAGTATCCATTATCCTGAACCTTGACAGCAGCCATTCCGCAGGATCCTAGACAGTACTTTTAAAACTGTTCGCATTTATTTCAATGGTCATTTACCTCTCTAGCGTAACTTTCCATGGATAAAGACACCCTTGCAACAGGAGCCCACGTGTGCGCATGGGTGGATTGCATGGAAGAGTGTAAATAGTAAATGCGACACAGGAAATGTGTATCTTGACTTGTATGCAAATGTTTTGAATTTTTCCCTCTCTTTCCCTTTCCCTTTTTGCTGGCTGTACTTGCTGGCTATGCTTCTCTGCATGGTAGAACCTGTCTGAACACTTCAGCCTTTGATATGTGCATGCTAACTGTGGATATATGTTTGCAGGATGAAGCACCTCCAGTCCAAGAGCAGACTGAGTTTGCCGTCAAGATAGAAGCATTCAATGCTGAGAGCAAAATCAAGCTCATCAAGGAAATTAAGGGTAGCATCGAAGGCCTCAACTTAGTGCAGGTGAGATGTTTGGATTGTAGTGTTGACTGAATACTCGAACCTCGTGCATGCCCACATACAGCCGAGGTATGCCAATTGGCAAGTACCGTACATGTAGCATGCGATGTGGTGTGCGCCTGTACAAACTGATGTGGGAAATCTATGGGCATCCAGTGTAGCCTACAGGTAGTGCACACGTGTGTGTTCAATATCAGCTGGATACATGGTACAGGGTAACTTCAGTATAACGTACCCTGGTTATAACATACTTCTATATTTGCATCGGATATAGTACTGTTTTTGAAGACCGTACATATCCCTTTTCAGTCATTTGGCCTTGGATATCGAATACAGTACCTCGGCTAAAACAAAGTACAGATTGTTATGCCCCTATAGGTTCCTTATACTGAAGTTTAACTCTACCCTTATTTATTACAGAGTACTGTTTCAAATCTTTATTCTCATTGTTGTTGTTGTTGTTGTTGTTGTGTAGGGAAAGGGGTATTGAAACATGACATATGGCAAGCTCTTTTCGTGACCTACTTCTTTTCTTCTTCTTTTTTTGTCTCTCCAGGCTCGCAAATTCCTTGAAGCCCTCCCCGCAACAGTCCAGGCTGACTTGCCCAAGCCTGAAGCAGAAGAGCTCGCAAAGAAGCTTGAAGCAGCAGGTGCGACGGTGAAGATTGAATAGGTGACCCCACTCTATGAACGCCTCCAATTGACTTATGTATTTGTTTTATTGCCACTTAATTATTAACACGATGAACCGTGATTAGGAATTTGCAACATGTACAGTTAATGTTGGAATTCAGAAACAGCAGTATAGTTGCCGGAATGACAGTGCGTTTGTGTGTCTGTGTGTGAGAGAGTGTGTGCACGTGTGTGTTTGTGTGTGTGCGTGTCTGTGTTAGCCTGCCTGCTTGGCTGGCAGGCGAAATTCTACTCCCGTTGTCCGCTGCCTGGTTGCAGTGCTTCACAGCCTGTTTGGTCCCAGTACAAGCTTCAGTGGGGCCTCTTGATGGTAGATTTTACCTTGAGCACCTTGCCCACTGAAGAAAAACACTTGGAGATTGTCATAACAGCTATAACACTGAATAGTAGCACGAACTTCAGGCTCTTCAACAACATGGTTTCACAAGTTGTGTTGTAGCTTTTTTTTGTCTCCAAGGAACCTTTTACGAAAATCGAAATTATCATTACTGTACCTACATGACTGTTCGACAGCACAGTCCCGGTTATTTCCTGTGTCCTTGCTATGCATCAAACGGTGCCTGTCCATGCCGAGGTTGCTTGGAGGGGAACAAGGGAGGCTGTTAGAATTTCGTTTTTACACACTTGCATTGACTGTACACCATGTGAGTAGACACCATTGTACGAATGAATAGTCCGTTCTATTGGAGCACAGTTTGACTACTACTAGTACGAGTATGCATGGACGCCGGGGAGACGACACAAGATCATACATAGTCTGTCATAGTACTTGAAAATGATGTGAGTTTCGACCTCAGCTTCGGAACCTCTACGTAATCCGTATTCTATGTAACTCGCAATGTGTTGTCTCCCTTGATGCCACGACTCCCTGATGTACATCATTACAATGTGGTGGTGACTAGTACACTAACTACTTGTGATGCAGTGGCGACTGTGCTTTGACCCGTTACTCTGGATCATGTTCCATGTACTATACTATACACATGTGGGACCTTTGAATCTGGAAATGAACACCGGCACCTGCTGTTGATACCATGGAAACATTAGTGGCAAGAATAAGTCTCCGAAGTAGTAATGCAACCTCAAATCTTGTTGTGGGCTGCGCACACAGGGGTGGTCTTTCGACGGTATCAATCAAGTAACAGTTGAACCGTAATGAATGTCCCCAAATAGAGAATTCTGGGTGGGGCAGCTGGGCACTTGTGAGAAGTGCTTGGCAAAAGTGATACACACAGCCAAGCCAGAAAAATCAGGTGATCGTCTTCTTGTGTTGTCAGTTGTTTATCTAGATCACAATCTACATTTACATGTTTTCTGCATCTGTACTCAAAGCTATGGTAGAAAATTGAGAGTACAGATGCACGAACAGTTTTCGCAGGGTGAGTACTTTTTCATGCAGTACTGAATGCGGTAAGTAGCATAGGACTTGCCCATCCGCCCCTCCCCACCTGGACCTACTTGAAGGGTGGCGGAGGTAGGGGCCCTCTGGCGGGATTTTACGGCACCAATGTTACAGGCAGAAACAATCCTATCAGGCCAAACCTGATGCCGAAAGAAAACACTACCTGACGCAGTACATACGAAGAAAGCACTACATGACGCAGTACATACTACCACCAAGAGTACATAAGAAGTATTCAACGTTGTTACACATACAGTGTACACAAGACACATGTACTTCAAAGAACTCTGAACTGGTACACGCGAAGACGAAAGATATGCAAAGCAGGTGTCTATGAAGAATGAAGAACGCATGAAAGATCAACTGCACAGAGGCAATACAACGGATACAAAGCCACCGCGATAAGACTGTCAACGGCCATAGATGAAGAAATAAAAATGTACTAGACTTGGAGAAGAAGGACACAGACCAGAAGAGACTGATCGCATTCAAAAAGATAAAAAAATCTCCACAAATAGAACGTTTTCCATTCTTAGCACTGACTATAATTATTTATGATAACAAAAACTAGGAAAGCACTGGTTCAAATCAAGGGCATTCCAGCAGTGAGGAGTCTATCAAAACAGGCAAAATACAAGCACACACATAACACACGGTTGTTCAGACTAAAATGCCACCTGGCCAACTACCTCCCAGGCCAATTGCCGCTACCGACAGCCGCCAGGAACTGTCCGCGTCCGCGGCCAACGGGGTTACTATTACCAGTGTTACTACTAGGTGCATTGGTAGCTGTGTGGCTTGGGCTGAATCTCACACCAGACCCTCTCCCTACTCGCAGTGCTGGATCAGGGAAAGGCGGGACACGACAGGGCTGCTCACTAACCTCCGTACGTTCCATCTCCGGACTTGACGACGGTGTGGAATCATAGCTTCCTTGGCCACTGTCCCCTGTCCCGATGCCCATAATCACAGCTCGAGGGTTGGTCTCCTCACGGCCTGTGAAGTTCTTCCAGCTAGCTTCAAGCGCTGCTGGATTGGGCCTCCAGCCAGTGGCTGGAAGGTCATCCATAGGCTTGGGTTGACTCGTCACGGCGGACAGCGGCAGGACGCCCTGAGGCAGAGTGCTCTGCGGCGGATGAGAAGGGCGTTTGGACTTTCCCTTGGGTAGTGCGCTTGGGACCCCCGTGGCATAACGAGCACCAGTCTCCTCCGGCCTGCTCACTGGTGGATGACGCTGCTCAGACACTGCTCCAGATCTTGGTTCTGATTCGGAACGGTCAACATGCTTGGGATCTGAGGATGTAGAAACAGGCACACGCCGAGCACTGATGCCTTCTTGCCTGCTGCTGCTGTACGGTGGACTGTGCCACTCGCTTGTACTACTTGTACTGTACTTGTACTTCGGTGTTCGAGGTTCAACATGTACATGCTGCTGCACTTCATCAGTACTGTACTTCGGTGTTCGGGGTTCTACATGTACATGCTGCTGCACATCGACCGTATCCACAGAACTGCCTATAGCTGAAACAGCTCCAGAATGTGCACCAATCTCCCCAGGTAGGCGTCCTTCTGATTCACGCGGCTTCCATGGTGGTCTGGACGCGGGTTCTGGATGATGGCCATCAGTAGGATCAACAGAGCTGCCCTCAGCCGGATGGGCTAGATGACGAACGCCGGTTTCGCACGGTGTCTTGCATGGCAGGCCATTCTGTGCAAGTGCTGTTTGAGATACACGCTCTGAGCGGGAGTTTCTAGCATCGATGGCATCCACAGAGGTGCCTATACTCGTATCCTCAACACCATTCACCGCTTTGCCTGCATCATGATTGACTTGCACTGCAGGTGAACTTGCAGGTCTGTCTGACATACGCCGGCTATCGGAAATTCGAGATTCTGCCGGAAGGCATTCCTCGTGGCGGTGGTCTTCCTCTTCTGGGTCACTCGGGTCTTGGTCGAACCCGGAGAAGCTCGAAGTCGTGACACGACTGCCCGTGGACCGCAGTGGGAATGAGCCCGCGTCGGCTTGAGACGGCTGCGACTCGGGAACATCTCCATAGCGATTGCGATGGCTGGTGAAGAATGAGTTGAGCACTTCTCGGTCGTGGACTGGGTTCGCGTCAGAGCGCGGGACATGATGCAGGCCGTCTCTCTCGGGACTCGTGGCTCGGCCCGGTGCTGCAAAGTTGCGCGTGCCGGCATTGATGGCAAACTCCCGGCGCAATTGCGGCAGGACATCACCATTCTGCACAGGATAGAGGAAGCGCAGAAAACCCACACAGCACTGTTAGATTGCCGAGGCACACACTAGTTTGGCCATGGAGATGCCTGTTGTATCAAGTGGCATGTTGAAGCAAAACCCAACACATTGGTGTAAGCTTTGAAGGACATCAGATTTACAGAGACATGTAAATTATCTATCTTGTATGAGGGCTATAACTAGAGTCACTCGGCTACGCACCAACATTCATGTGGATTAATGCACCCCCCCCCCCCCTCCCATCAACATTCTTGTCCTTGAATATAAAGATAGTACCTCAGTTGCTGAATCATCATCAGTAAGATCGCGCACTGCGCCCATGTAGATGTCGACGGCGTGAATAAATTCACTGAGCAGCGCCTCCAGCATGACGCCGTGCAGCTCAGGCAGATAGTGCACAGCCCTGCACGCACTGTCCAGCAGGTAGGACTGTAGCGGCCGTGTCAGCCACACATCGGCGTCCTCCTGCACCGCATCCTTGATGGTGTCATGGAAACGAACCTCGTGGATGAACAGCTGGAGGTAGCGCTGCAGGCAGAAGCGCAGCGAATTGACATGAATCGGAACCATCCCGCCCGCTTCCGCACGCCGAATCATCCAGTCCGCTGCCTGCGTATCGAATATATTCAAAATCTTGATGTCTAGTTTGTGAAAGAAGTAGTCACTGAGGTGCCGACAATCATGAGTGACCTGCACAGGAAATACAATTAGGAAAGAAACGGAAAGGAACATACTCAAAGCACATGCGGCCATCCGTGCAGATTTGCACGACCCAGAGGATTTATTAACAGAGTGGAGTCAGTTCACAGTCGGAATACATGTAACCACTGCTTGTGCATTTCGTTAGTATAGCACGCACACGCGCTCACACACACACACACACACACACACAAACATACACGCACGGATATTACCTTCAGGACATGTGGAGACTCCAAGACCTCCTGTATGCCAGCATCCATGGCTTCCTTGACTCCAATTTCGTGCAAATCAAAGAGGAAGTCGCCTTTCCGACAGGACATAGCCAAGAGAGACACCTCCCCATGACGGCTGATATTCTTCCCGAAAGCGGTCATGCCCACTGTAGGACTTTCTGCCAGGGTCAGGATGACCGACTTGAACCGCTCACCGAGTTCCACCACGTGTGTGTAGTCGGCATCCATTGGACTAGGCCGGTGGCTGTTGGCGGCGGGGCGAATGGGCCGCGCTGGCTCTTCCTTCAAGCGCTGGATCCACTCTGCTTTGCTAACCTGCCGGTGAGATTGGTCGCTGGATAAGCAGAGGATATAACAGCATCAGCATAGGACATTATAGCATCAGCATAGGACAAAACAGAATCAGCATAGGACATAACAACATCAGCATAGGACTTAGCAGCATCAGCATAAGACATAACAGAATCAGCATAAGACATAACAACACCAACATAGGACATACCAACATCGTATGTGAAACTGCATTAGCATAGGACATAACAGCACCGCATGTGAAATGAAACAAATCTTCATAAGATGTCAGGTCTTCCTACTACAGTAAAACCTGGTTTAAGCCACCGCCCCATGGTGCGGTCGTTTAAGCCAGTGTCTGTGTAAAACTGTTCGTGCATGGAAAAACGGTCGTTAAGAGCAGGTGGTCGCTAAACCCAGAGGTCACTTACACCAGCTTTTACTGTACATGACATGCAGAAGTTGCTAGCGAATGAGACCCGACCACTGGCTTTAAAACGATGCCACGAGTTGCAAAGTGAATGTGCACACAAAGCTGTCCCGGGGGAAAAACGCGGAAAAATCGCAAAAAAACCGGAAAAATCGCAAAAAACGCGGGGAAAAAAACGCGGCATAATATGGCATAATTTGCGGTGAATATGCGGTGAATATTATTGATATGCGGCAAGTTTGCAGTTGATATGAGGCAATTTTCAGTGAGTATGTAGTGAAATCAATCAGTTACAAGTAGTAGTAGTAGTAGTAGTAGTACAGTCAGACCTCGCTTATCCGGATCCCTCGCCATCCGGAAGAAAATAGCTGGTTGCATATTTACAGCATACTTGATGCATCCAACATAAACGGTGTTCGGTTCCCTCGCCTATCCGGATATGTTTGTGTAAAACAGATGTGTGCGGTTATGCGAGGTCTGTCTGTAGTAGCAGTAGTAGAATTTATTATTTTGATAGGGAAGGCCATACAGACGTTGCCGTCTTGTTACAGGGACAAGGTCTCTGGTGTAAGCACTCGTCATATTTGAGTACAAAGCCGCCACGATGAGACGTTGCTGACCGAACAGTACACTGTGTGTACGTGTAGTGCAACAAAAAGTTCAAAAATCGCGGGAAAATCGCGGAAAACGCGGTCTTTTAAAAATCGCAAAACGCGGGAAAAAACGCGGCCGCGGAATCGCGATTTCCCCCGGGGACAGACACAAAGCTGCATTGTATAGCTGCAGGGCATCAATTCGGGCTTAGACTATCCGGACATCTACTCTAGCAAGAATATCGGCAAAGATACACATACATGAACCAAGAAACTGCAGCTACATGCACGAGAGAAAGTCTGGTCTCCAAATAACTATTACCCCCCACCCACACACAACTAACTGTACAACTATAACATACAATGTTGATGCACGGCATTCGTTCCACTCCCGATCCTCCTGAGACGTTGAAGCTGGAGCCTGGATAGGAGGAAACACACCAAAATAGCTTGATGATGAAAAGCGCTGCGTGCAGGCCTCCCAAACTAGCCATTTGCAATTAGAAATTCACACGACACGTGGCAAGGGATCGTGGTACTAGGTGATCGTCAGGCAAACACAAGCTCATCTGTGCTAGGAAGTGTTTCCTCTTACCCTAGTGATTGGCGGCGTCACGGGTGGCAGCGTCATGGTGCGTGGTGCTGCAGGCTTCCTCAGGCCGGCTGGTACATCCTTCTCCGGCACCAGGAGCTCCACTGATCACCAGCAGGGAATGAATTAGCAGAGAATACAAGACAGGAATCACATATACATTGCATGCGTCGGTAGGGCCTTCCCTATCAAAACAATAAATTCTACTACACGTACTACTACATGTACCACTACTCACTATATAGTACTACATGCATGTGACGTCGTATGCATACTTGGTCATAGTGAGTACATACTATGTATACAGCAGAACACGGATATTTTCTGCTGATGTGGAGTCGCAGAAGCGAGGCTACCACTCCAAAAGATTGGAGGTAGCGGATTGGAGTTTCTGCCGAAGGAAAAGTTCCGCTTTCCCCAGTTGCCATGGTATTTTCTGCTCCCGCGATGTGCTGAACTGGTTCTGCCACTCTCAAGTGCATGTGTGCCAGGTCCCTTATAGGGGCAGAATTGTCTTCATTGTCACCATCCTCATAAGACAATTATCTGTATCTACCAGCTGTACAGTCAAGTAGACGCTAGGTTTGCGGTTCTAGGACTAGGGAACAGCTGTTAACAGGGCACATTGAGAACTGAATATAGGGTCGATGCAACCTCCACAGCAGTCATGAGCAAAGACCAGCAAACGCTTACAGTTGTCTAGCTCTTCACCATAGAAGTCCATTGTCTTCCCGGGACGACTGAGGTTGGTCGACCCTCCATCTGCACAGACAAGAAAGAATAAACATTGACGTAAGACACACGCCAGTGCTAGAGAAAACCACTTTAGACAACAGGCGTGATGATGCGTACTGACGGTACTTGCGGCACATTCAAAGTAGGTTTTTTTGCAGACACCTGGCAATGTGCCGCACAATAAGCTAGTCCTACGAGTATTGACTGCCTGGCGTTCTATGAGACACCACAGAGCCCCCCCCCCCCCCCCCCTCTTAGCAGAGTAACGGCACAACTCATATCGTAAAGTACCGCGACAGCGCCCAACATCAGGACCCCATTCACGGTCGCGTTTTCGAGGTAGGGCGGACAAGCAAGCACGGTCAGTTCACACGACTCGTACATTGTACGATTTCTAGCCCGTATCATTCAGAGGAAAGGTGATAAATGAGTCAGTTTCATGCTCGTGCTTTCTTGTATGAATGTACAGTGCATACTACAATTTCGAACGGATGGGTCGTGTGCGTCGCGTGTGCACATTCAATCCACATTCAACTCGACCCACAGGAGACAGATAGAAATACAACGCTGATTGCAATTCGAAAAAACAGTCGCTCACCTGAACACAGTCGAATGGACACATACGGATTTCCTAATCGGTCTATTCGCTGCACGATGCCAGTGTACGTAGCTCCGTGTACATTTAGTCGGACTAGAGCCCCGATTAGCGGGTCAGCAGTTTCCTGCCTCACAGGCGGCATGGCTGATACGGGTTGAACGTGAGAGAACAGACCTGAGACGGGGGTCCAAACTCCACAGAAACTGGACAGTCAGTTATGTCTTATGAGTTACGCCACCTATGGATAGGCTACGGCCAAAATTAACCTTCTGCTGCCGTTTACAACTTCAGAACAAGAAAGTCTAGCACACGAAAATAAAACACCAAGACAGTGAAGAGGTCTTGAGCTTGTAGCTGCAAGGGCAGGAGCGCTCACATGTCATGCACCTAAAAAGTATCTTCTTGTTGAAAACTGGTGATGCTGTTGATTATTGTTGTTGAACGAATATTGAAGATTTTTTTGAAGCAAAACGCTACGTCGTCTTTTTGGAGTGTATGTATTTGTACGGGATCGGGAGTGTGTTCATACGGGAATGGGTAGTTGCATGCATTGCATATTGATTTGTAGATCTAGATCTACGACTACGGCTACGGGGCAAAGATACAACACTCAACAGCTAGTTCGCGTTCGCCATCGATCTGGTCGCCGGTCAGAAACCTTGGCAACATCAGTCTTCGCTTTCCCGCGGTTTTGGCCTGATTGGTCACGTGTTCCGAGCAGGGAGTCGTAAAATACCGGTAGTATACGACTCCCTGGGTCGGAGGAAGCGGACACAGCTTTCCACATGCACATGATCGATGGTCGATCGCGATCGCGGCAGTGATTTTGCGTTCACAAGGTCAAGGAGACTGTTTGAGGCTGTTCAACCAAGCTGCACTGCATGCACACGGCCGAGGTTCGTTGTGTGCGTGTGTGGGGAGGTGATTCAAAGTGAGTTTCGTGAATTTCGTTTCTTCTGCTCGGAGTTGTGAAGCATTCTGTAGTAAAATGGATGCTGAGAATGTGGACAACATCCCCGAAGATGTAGAAGAGGAGTCGGAAAGCGAAGAGGTATGAATTTCATTTTGACGAATTTGAACTCTGTATTATTATACTGTACCTGGCTTCACTATTCTGGGGTTCAATTCTGCTTTCTCAGGAGCTAATGGACCAAGAGCCCTCTAAGCAACCTTCTAGCAATGATGATGATCCACAAACAGTAAGATATTCTGGAATTCTGTTTGGTACACGCATTTGCTTTCGCGATTGGAACTCGGCTTTCGTTGTTTGTTCCTTTCATTATGTTTTTAAAAAAAATAATTTGAATGATTCTTGCCGCTGGAGAAGCTTTTAAATTCTACTTTGTACGTCTTGGGGTCCATGTTTCCTTTGGAGAAATTCTGATAAGCCTGTTTCAGCTTTTTAATTTGGGATTCTACAGGGTTGCAATGAGCTTGTGATTGGCGGCCATTCGATTGCATATCGTTTAGAACTTTCTGTGTTGAGAGAAATACATGACATTTTGCTTATTATTTTTGTTAAGTTCTCTTGATTTCGTGTTGGGTTTGTAATGACTTTCGCAGTCATCTAAAACACACAACAACACTCAACTTCGTCCTGTTTTCAACTAACGAATTACTAGAATAAAACCTATAGATAAAGTAGCATCAGTTGCCATCAGCATACAGTGTGAATGCCGCAAGGTCGTACGGTGCACGTGCGTAGTATGCATGATGTCACCAGTCAGACATAAATGGCAATGGGGTAGATTAATGTATTAAATGTAGAGCCGAAGGATTTATTGCAATTACATACCAGTATAAAAACCGAGGTCCCCGAGGTTTTTATAACTGGTATGTAATTGCAATAAATCCTGAGGCTACTACATTTATTATGCATATGTTGACCTTCGCTTTCCCTAAAAAGGAGTATTTTATAAACAGTATTTATTGGCCTTAGTAGTATTTTATAAACAGTATTTATTGGCCCAAAAGCCAATAAATACTGTTTATAAAATACCACTAAGGCCAATAAATACTGTTTATAAAATACTCCTTTTTAGGGAAAAGTGCAGTGCTGCATGGAAAAGTACAGTGGTATTTATTGAGTCAAGCAAGTTTATTTGAATTTGATACTGTTGATGGTGTGGTCACTAATGAGTGTGGGTATTTATCAAAGGTCAATATATGCATAGACAAAGGTCAAACACTATAACACAAATATGGACCCAGATCCACTACAGGGTTGGGGGGATGAGTATTGTGTGATGCATGTGTGATGCATGCGGGATGCATGTTGAGTCTAGGACTGAAACGATTACCGTAGTTCCGCGCATATACGCCCATGGGCCTATATCCGGATATAAGCCCACCTCCGTTTATAGGCCCATGGGCTAATAAACAGACCCAAACACCGTTACGGAACCGATAGTACAGCATGTCAGTGCAGACTACATTACCAGTACTTTGTACTTTTTCGCGTGCCAGCTGCCTTCAAAATTCGAATATAGGCCCAGGGTTAAAAAACGAACCATTATTACTGATTTTTTCCCGGAAAATGCATTATTGCGTATATTAGCCCATGGGCTTATATGCGCGGAACTACGGTAGAGATTAATCGTCGGGTTTTGAATACGAAAAGAACTGAAAACCTCTTTTTTTCTTACCATAACAGTAAATCAGCCCGCATAACGTTTTTGCGACAGCTTCAATATTATGCTGGCGCACAGGGTATGGATAGCATACGAAATAGCATGACCGCTCTTGCCTAAGGGTGTCAATTGGCCGAGAATCGGCCTGGCGGCTCGAATTCTGAGCATCCTTTTCAGTCCAGACACTTTCAAGTGCCACTGACGGACAGTGAACACTCCATACAGCAATTCAATTTCACCCTACATTGTCCATGCCGTTCGTTGTATTAACCTTTTTTCCCCCGGTGGGGCATGCATGGCAAATGTGTGCAATCCGCTATATACTGTTTCTCTTGTGGGTATCTAGTGTACTATCCACCCATGCAAGTTAAGAGGAAGACATACACTGTAGCTGTTTGAGGGGAATCGCACCTTTTTCTTTCTGTTTTGAGTAGTGCATTCATGAAACCGTTTGTTGCCTGCGTCTTCTGCAGCACAACCAGCGCTCTGTTCGCTTCGACCAGCTTTTGGAGCAGACACAGATGTTTGTGGAGCTGGCAGGAACCGCTAAACGGCCCAGCAGCCCGTTGAAAATGAAGAAGTCACAAAGTCGCAAACGCACCATTTCGTCTTCCTCCGACACGGCACCTGGCGGAACGGCGTAAGTCACTTTGTAGTTGTGCAGCAGCAGCACCTGTACATTTCCTTGCTGTGCTATGTTGTATATGTTGATGGGTTGGGCAATTAGAGCTGGTGTGACAGATGCTTGCTACTTCTCTCCTTTTTTGCTTCTTCCTTAGTCGCCATCGCCGCACAGAAGAAGAGGAAGATGAGGAGCTGCTATCAACAGCACGTCAAACCACAACAGCGGTCACACGCTTTTCTGCATCTCCATCTTGTGAGTGGCTGCAGTGTTGTGTCATTAGCTGCATATTTGGCCCAGGCCGGTGGAATCGGTCCAGTTGGTCAGGTCATGGCCGGCCACCAATGGCAATGCATGTTTCCTACTTAGGAGGTCATGTGTACGCGCCATATCATACACAATGTATGAAAGGCTAGGGTATGACTGGATCAATCACAACTACTTCTGCTGGTCCCTGTGACCACCGTCGTGGTTGGTTTTATTTCTCACAATGCATTGACAGTGTGACAGCACCAGGCAGGTCTAAACTGAAATGTTGTTTAGCTGAGTGTGCTGCTATTCAGTATTGCAAGTAACTTTATCTCTCCTTTTGTAGAAAATATCGCAAATTGCCATACCTGCGTGTGTGTTTGACTTTAACACTGGGTTGAGATGATGCCTGCTGGCATAGTTTTTGTACCCTTGTACAGTCGAATGTCACTTATCCAGTCGCCAGTTATCCGAGCACGTCGGTTATCCGACAAGCCCGGGAGTGGTAATTTTATGACTCTCAACAGTAAAATTCTAAAAAAAATATACGGTGTAGTATGCATTTACTTGAAGTAGATGTGGTCAAGTATGTGTACATGGAGCAATTCATGATTATGCATGAATATAATTGGGTATTGTGTACATAAATCAGTGAAATCCAGCCTTATATGCACATAAAAAATGATATCAGTTATCCAACATGCCTGATTCCCGAAGTGGTCGGATAAGTGACATTCGACTGTATTGGGAAATGATGAAGTTTCAGGATCATGGCTTGAGGGTTGATTGTTCCTCGTGTCGCCAGTGTGTTGTTGGCTTCTAAAGCTTCTTTATGCTTACTTGCCTGCCTTGTCTGTGCTTTTATCCCCTCTGCAAAGACATCAAGAATGGTGAGATGCGTGACTATCAGATCCGCGGTCTCAATTGGCTGATCAGCCTGTACGAGAACAAGATCAACGGAATTCTGGCTGATGAAATGGTACGCCAACAGAGTTGCTCGCCCAGCATGCGCAGTACCACCCTCTGCCTCTTTTCCATTTCTTGGTTCTTGTGTCCAAGTAAACACAATCCGAGTCCATCCGAAACTAGCACCCTAGCGTTTCTATGTCTCTCACGTAGTGAAAGCAACTGTACATCCTGCACCCGTGCAAATCTTCATTGCCACTTTCGAAGCCAGAAAGGTCAAAGGACAGGGTGGTAGGAATCCGACCAGATTGTATGAAATTAGGACAGGTTTACCATGAGACCACTTGATTTGAGGATGGTGTGTGTAGGTTTTTCATGTAATGAAGTGGCTGCAATGGAGCTTGCGCACATTATGAAAGGTTTACCATGGCAAATGTATAGCAAGGCAGGTCTAGAACCCAGATTTTTGAATTTAACGTAGTTCAGTTTAGCATGAACTCGGCCAAAATCGGGCTTTCAAAAGCCAGCGTGCCTGTTCTATATGAATGGACTGTAGACTACTTGGCCTGATTCCTGGAGGTGCAGCCCAGTACGTGTAGTTTCGTCTACTGCTTTATTGACCTGTGCATGCTTGCCTTCGCCTTTTGCTTTACGGTACAGTTCTCACAAGAGCTTTTGGTTTTTGTTTAAAAAAATTGTTTATTGCCTGTTCTCTTGTTTACCCATAGGGTTTGGGAAAGACCCTTCAGACCATCTCCCTCGTTGGTTACATGAAGCATTATCGCAGCATGTCTGGTCCACATCTGGTCATTGTGCCAAAGTCCACGCTGACCAACTGGAGCATGGAGTTTGAGCGCTGGTGCCCGACCATTCGCACCTGCACCTTGATTGGAGACAAAGTCAAGCGGGTAAGTTCTTTGGCCGGAGCTTTACGGGGAAATTCCAGACCAAACATCACCCTTTATTTCCGTTTCCTTTCAAAGAGGTCCAGGAGAGGAGTTGATTAGTGAAAACCTGACTTGACTTGAACAATGGGAAGGCACCAGCAAGTTGAGATCATATTAAATTACTATTCCATCATGGGGTTGTCATGGCGTAAGTAGATATTTGCTCGAGCATGATGCAAACTGGCACAATGCGTGGTTTGATGTTGAGATTGTGCTATTTGGAAATGAATGAAATGGTTTGCTCTTGGCATGAAACTTGGTGATTGAATGGGTCCAAAGCCCATTTTAAAGAAATCAAGAACTGGGGGGTGACACGAAATTTGGCCCCAACAAGGCCAAAGGTCATTTTTTCTTATGTCCTCAAAATGGAGATTGCGACCCTTGCAGGGAAAATTTTTTAATCGTTACTCCAACATTTCGGTGCCTTTCCTTTGTCCACTTTCACACTGGTTTTTACCAATCCTCTTCATCACCCTCTACCCGAAAGACATGAGCGCATGGACTGGGCTTTCCATTCCAAATTGTGGAGGCATGTCTCGTACACAATGTTTCCTGTGGGCCCGTCCATCCAACATAGTTCTATGGGGTATTTCAACACTCAGTGTGTCCGTGTGGTTGTTTGAGAACAGAAGGGGAATGTGTTCTATTCCCCTCATCAGGCGTAGTGTGAACAGTGCCTCTTCTGCTGCTGCTGCTGTTGTATTGTGTACTGCAGCAAGACTTCATTGACAACAAGTTGAAGACAGAGGACTTTGATGTCATGATTACCACCTACGAGATGGTGCTGAAGGTGAAAGGACCAATCAAGAAAGTCCAGTTCAAGTACCTGATCATTGACGAAGCCCATCGCATCAAGAACGAGAAATCAAAGGTCTGTAAATTGTACTTTGCTGCCTCCTTACAAGTATACGTAGTCTAGTGGATGTGTGTTAGCACTCTGCACGGCTGTTGCTGGATAATGGGATAGTGTGCACTAGGCATGTGCCATGTTTGACATTGTTATTCCTCTACATGTACCTATTTGCTGTGTGTGCTCAGCTGTTGGAGATTGTGCGCGAGTTCCAGTGTGCCATGTTTGACATTGTTATTCCTCTACCTATTTGCTGTGTGTGCTCAGCTGTCGGAGATTGTGCGCGAGTTCCAGACTGAAGCACGCCTGCTCTTGACCGGTACACCACTGCAAAACAATCTGCACGAGCTGTGGGCGCTGCTCAACTTTCTCCTACCAGAAGTGTTCAACTCATCGGATGTAAGTCCGTGTGGTGAATGCACGCACCCGTTGTCCCAAGTTCACCCGTTGGCTGATCTGGCACATCACTGTCGTATCTATTGCCTTAGGGCCTGGTTACAGTACTGTTGGGTGCCGGTGAACTGGGGGGGGGGGGGGGGGGGGGGGGGGGGGGAGGGTTCTAGCCTAGCCAGTTCTTATTTTTAGCGTGCACAGCAGTTTCGTTCTTAGTTGATGGCACAGTCTTACATGTACATTTATGAGTTTTACGTCTGAGTGTGCATTATCGTGTATATTACGTACCGTTTTAGGAGCTGAAAACATGGATGCAGTGAATGGGATTTTCGGTCTTTGACCACTTGCTGGTGAGCTGATCTACTCACCTCCCACCGCTTTAGGAGCTGCATCTGCGCCTTGATCCTTGAAGGGTGGTGGCGTTCCTACGGATGCGGAAAGCCCGGCTTCCAGCCGAGTCTCACGCAAACCGTGATTTTTTAATATATATTTTTAGGAGCTGCATCTGCGCCTTGATCCTTGAAGGGTGGAGGCATTCCTACCGGTGCGGAAAACTCTGCCTCTAGCCGAGTCTGACGCGAACCATGATTTTTTTTACGTAGTTTAGAGATCATTAGAAGCGGGTCGTAGCGTGTGTTTGCATTGAGCAGCTTGCAGCTGGCGCTACAGTAATCTACAGCACACTTTCTGTCGACTTTTCTGGTTCGTGTGGGACTCGGTCAGACTGAACTTTCCGCATCGGTAGGAGCGCCACTACTCAGTGGAGCCTGATCATGCACAACTCAATTAATTAGCTCTGGGCTAACTGTCATCTACAGTCAGTGCTTATTTCTTGGGCAAAAAGTGTATGTCTGCTGCGTTGCATTGAATAGTACAGTCGATTCCTGATATAACGAACACCATTGTGCAGGAGAATTAGTTCTTTATAGCTGAAGTTCGTTATAGCAGAAATGCACTCACACGTCGATCAGCAAGTCATGACAGGCATGTGGCCCATGACAGTATGATTGCACTTGGTTTACATGCGGCCCTACAAGATTTGGTTCGTTATAAACGAAAACTGTTTGCTATCAAGGGTCAATTTTGTATGGTTTCAAACAGGGACATGGACAGTGGTTCGCTATATCACGAAATTCGCTATATGCGAGTTCGTTATAAATGGAGTCGACTGTATTCCTGTGTGCTCCGCTTCCCAACCTCGGCTCTAGCAGACCTGCTTTAGTCAGTTTCTAGCCTGTTTCTGAGGCTCATCGGTTGCTCTGTACTTTAACTTACCACGCGTGTGCTTCAGGATTTCGATGCCTGGTTTGACATGAACAAACTGGACGACGATAACGGCCTTGTCAAGCGTCTCCACTCTGTATTGCGGCCGTTTGTGCTGCGTCGCCTCAAGTCAGATGTGGAGAAGTCGCTGCTGCCCAAGAAAGAGGTCAAGATCCAAGTTGGCCTGAGCAAGATGCAGAGAGCTTGGTGAGACATGCCTAATTTGGGGCCATGGCTTCCTGTTGTCTATCTCTATCTTTTCCTGATGTGGAACTAGTGTACATCATGCAGAGATAGGTACTTGTGTAGGCAGAGTTACACAGTATACCATGAACATACCGTATACAGTTAAATGAGAATGGCGTAACTCCTGTAGCCTCGTCATGATACCGTATATGCTTTGCTGCTTTTCTTTTTAGGTACACCAAGATTCTGATGAAGGACATTGACGTTGTTAACGGTGCCGGCAAGACGGATAAGATGCGCCTGTTGAACATTCTTATGCAGCTGCGCAAGTGTTGCAACCACCCGTACCTTTTTGATGGCGCAGAGCCTGGTATGTTTCTATTCAATGCGGATAACGCTGTTTGTACATGCACTGGGAGCCTGAGGAATTGTCTCGTACATTCTCTCTCTCTCTCTCTCTCTCTCTCTTTCTCTCTCTCTCTCTTTCTCCCTCAACTTCTGATTTCTTAGGGCTGTGCGTTGAGTCACACACTGCGCGTTCTTAAAGGTTTGACCTGGTATGTTGACTATCTGTGCGGCTTATTGCAGGTCCCCCTTACACAACTGACCAGCACTTGGTGGATAACTCCGGCAAGCTGTCTCTTCTGGACAAGCTCCTCCCAAAGCTGAAGGAGCAAGGTAAGCGAGTGTTCCAGCTATGTCAGCATCCTGTACTATTGATCTGCTTGTATACTTGCAATGTGAAACGAGCAGTGATAATTTGCATCCGAATTCTCCTTGCCTAATTTCTTATCCCTGATTTGAATGCAATGGTGGGCATTTGATTATGTGCAAGTTGACTGGCGGTGTGTCACTCTCCTTGAGTGATATCAAACTCAAAGCTTGTCTTGCCTTTGCTCTCATTCTGTGTTGTGCTTTGTAGGATCCCGTGTGTTGATCTTCAGTCAGATGACACGTGTGATGGACATCATGGAGGATTACTTCATGTGGCGTGGCTTCAACTACTGCCGCCTCGATGGTTCCACTGCGCACGAGGACCGGCAGGTAGGGCGAGCAGAATATATGTATGGTACATATCCTGTGTATGTTTGAAGTTTAGGGTTCACGGCTTGCCACTAAAAGCACCCGTCACGTGCGCCTCCATTTTGGATTATGGACGTGCGCTACAGGCCGCGACAGCGCCTATCGAAGTAAAAAAATATTGACTCGAAGTCTAGCCGGAGAGCGTACTTTTTGAATTTTTCCTTGGCTTCAGTGGCTTCACTTCACTTGGGCTTTGCATTTTTGCTTCGGTTTTTTTGACTGACCTGGACTTGATGATGGCGGCGGTGGCGGTCTTGGCAAAAGATCCAGTTCCATCTGAGACACTCTGTCGTCTTTTCTTATCTGCTGAGGTTCTGGCAAAGCGCAGCTGCATCGAACCTGACTAGATGTAGCTGCACGCATCCTTTGTTTGCCCTGCAAATCTCGATCTGTTGCTCTTCTTGCTGTTTGGCCGCTGATGCCAAGGAAGAAAATATTCTTCCTGTAAAAGAGGCCGAAACTGAGCAAGGGCACGTCAAGATATGTAGGGTATACAAAGAAAAAGAAATGTCATGGTCGTTTCAGCAGCTCACGACAGCCAACACGCTCCATCATGTCGGGATTGGAAGTACCCAGCACGGCTGTTCCGAGCGCTGCTGCTCTTGTTATTCTTCTTCTTTAGAAATTCTGTCACCTTGTCGGCCAAAGTACGCGCGCGTGCACGGAAAATAGATGCGCTGAGCCGTTTCTTGTTCGATTTTGACAAATAATGGCTTGTTGTTTTGCTCTCGACCTTGGCTATCCTTCTACCGTTCAATATTTTACGGAAACGCAACGGCTTCCCCTGTTTTTTTAGCCGAACTTTGGCCAAAGTTACTGGAAAACCCGGAACTCGTTTGAAAAAATACGAACGGTGGAAGTCTTGGAACGTCTTTCGTGCGTGTGGATTCAAAAATTCAGGCAGTTTGAGCCAACCGTAATGAATCCCGTAGAGTTGAAAGTGAGTGATATTGATGGGAAAATGCGACTTGAGCACTGACCGATTGTGTGGTACAGTATATGCACGCGCCTGTCACGTGCATGATGTAGCTGGCGACGCATGTCGACGCTAGCATGCCAATCCGTGAACCCTAAAGTTAGAACCACACGTGCTTAGTACGCTATGCTAGTTACATGCGCATGTAGATCACAAGTGAGACACTCGCCTGCGATGGGCCGGCCTGGCGACTTTCAGGATTGTGTGTGAGAGTGTGCACTGCATCTGCAGAGCCGAATGGTGCTCACTGTAGAGATCGTAAACGTGCCGTTGGTATTATTCCCATGCTTTGGTTTGGGTTATTTGCCCAGGGATGTTCTCTTCTACTGCCCCCATGGTCTATCTCTAAGAATAGCCACAATGCTTAATTGACTGCTGTGATCTTGTCGATCTGTACTGGTCATGGACAGTCTTCTCACTGAGTTCAGCGGCTGTGAAAAACTTTGCCCGACAAATGGCTGGAACTGTATGGCACGCCACAGGAGCGCACAACTGAAGAAATCTTCTGACTTGCAGGCAATGTACGAACTGGCATCAGCGTAATGTTGCTACAGCAGGTAGCAATCTATTTTACAATACTCAATCTGCGGACAGAACTGTTTCGTCCTTTGTGGACTCTTCAGCGCAGCACTGAAATGAGGCCGAACCTGATAGCAATGAAAAATAAATTTTCCCAAGCCAGATTTAAACCAGGCTCGAACTTACCTTGCCAGAGTGCTCAAGCTGCCGAGTCAGTGAGACAATATTGCAATAGTAAAGAGTAGCAAATCGGGCTGCATGTGTGTTTGTAGTGCTTGAGTTCGGCTGCTTGTTGTTGCTTCTGTGCCTTAGGTGTCCATCAATGATTTCAACAGGCCGGGCAGTGAGAAGTTTGTCTTTATGTTGAGTACCCGTGCCGGTGGTCTTGGTATCAACTTGGCCACGGCCGATGTGGTCATTCTGTTTGACAGCGACTGGAACCCACAGGTCGACCTGCAGGCTATGGTTAGTGATACAATGTAGTGTCTACCCGTAATTTTGCACGGTGTGTTTGTGCATTGTATGGCTGTGAAGTCCAACTTTGCTTCATATTTTCTTCTCCACACACACACACACACACACACACACACACACACACACACACACACACACACACACACATGGAAAACCATTCAGTTGTTCAAGTTGAGCTGTCCAGTGGCTCTGTTATTGCTTGTAGCTGAATTCCGCTCTACTTCTTTGCATGCCACTTTCAGGACCGTGCTCATCGTATTGGTCAGAAGAAGCAGGTGCGCGTGTTCCGCTTTGTCACTGAGCACACCGTGGAGGAGCGCATTGTGGAGCGTGCTGATCGCAAGCTCCACTTGGACAAGGTTGTCATCCAGCAAGGTAAGCCATTCCGCTCCGTGGTCGGTATATCAATAGCGCTCCTACTGCCTTTGAAGTTGTCACTGTTTCACTTGCTGAACATTGCATTATTGATGGCTGGTGTTGTTTGTTTTTGTTGTCACTTCAGGACGCCTGGTTGATGCAGGTACCAAGGTCGGCAAGGATGAAGTGTTGCAAATGATCAGACACGGTGCCGACAAGGTCTTTTCCAGCAAAGATAGCACGATCTCCGACGAGAGCATCGACCGCCTCCTGGAGCTAAACGAGCAGAAGGTGTGTGTGTGTGTGTGTGTGTGTGTTATTAGGCATACTGCTCTGTTCCGCTGCATTCCGATTTGCCTTGCAGAGCTGCTGATCTCAGTGCAGTGTAGCTCTGTTGCTGCAGGAGCCTGGCTGGGCATGCTGTTCTACACTACTGTAGTGTCTTGTATAGAAGCCTGTTTTGAATACAAGCCTGATTTTTAAGATACACTGTTAGCGCATACGCCTGGTTTAGTGCTGACATACATAGAGATACGTGGGTTGAATACAAGCCTGACTTGAATAGAAGCCTAGCACTGACATCGGCTTATACGGCCGTACGCACCTGCTTTTATACGCGACATTACTGTATATGGCATTGCTCGGCTGTGTGCATACCCACGGTGCTTTTCTCTGCTTGTGTGTTTTTGGCCCCGGTGCTTACTAATTTGTGCTGTCTAACTGTTATGCACATTTGAACAGACTGAGGAGCTGAAGAAGAAGTTGGAGTCGATGGACGAACAAAATCTGCGAGGCCTGACACTGGACACGGATGATTATACTGTATACCAGTTTGAAGGCAAGGATTTCAGAGATCTGCAGAAGGTGAGCAAGTAGGATGCGTGTGTCAACTCCCACTCCCTGGCCTTTGGCTTCTCTAGGCTCCTATTTGGACGGAAAGAATCATATGACCAATCTGAAGGGACTCGATGTTCCAGTGTATCGTAATCATGTTTTGGGGTTAACGTAATACATGGGTGGTACCCTGGGTTGCATATGGTGCGGATGTAGGGTTCTGACTCATATTAGCATCTATAAGGTTTTTTGTTTTTGTTTTGTTTTACTTCTTTGGGCTAAGGTGTGGACTCAGAATGGCATGGGTACTCTGAAAGCCCTGCCGACATATATTTCTCGTATCCATCATTCACGGCGTCCATGATTTTCTGAGAAAACAAGTCCCATATGTTTTCTCTGACTAGACAGTAGTTTTAAACCAGTTTCCACTGTCCTTGCTACTCTTGTAGGGTGCATTCCCGAAATGGATTGAGCCTCCAAAGCGTGAGCGGAAGGCAAACTATGCGGTGGATGCGTACTTCCGAGATGCTTTGCGTGTGAATGTAGAGCCTCGCATGCCCAAGGTAAGTAGCGTGCCTGCTTTTCTTTGTGTGTGTGTGCTCGGATTGCTCGGAATGAGTGATGGCAATTCGCCTGAAGTTTACTTCGACAGACGGTTCCCCCGTGTGGCTCACGATCATCAACTCCACAGCTGTGCAAAGTTTAACAGAACTCTTGCTGGCCGCTAACCCGCGAAGCGTGCTGCGTACCGTACTCAACTAACCAACCCCATGTCTGTCGGGCCCTCGTATGAGGGGACATGTGACCGTCTTACGGCAATGTACAGGTCATGTGTGTGCTTGTGTGTTTGTGCCTGTGCTGGATAAATGTGATGTGATGTTTGCCAGCACATATAAACATTCCGTACTCTCATTGGTGGATGTCGTGGCTGGTGACTTCTTGCTTCATTTGTGCTTCCTTTGTGTGTTGCAATTCATAGGCTCCTCGTCCGCCAAAGCAGCCCAGTGTTCAAGACTACCAGTTCTATCCGCCTCGCTTGTTTGAACTTTTGGAGAAGGAGATCATGAGCTATCGCCAGTCGATCGGATACAAGGTACTGTGCATGTGCCATGGATGGCTGGATCGTGATATGATGTTGTGGAAGTGACAAGAAGACCAATAGTATAGAAGTCATGCATGGATGTTCCCTATTTTAGCTGAGATACTGAGAAGTGAGAACTTCCTATGGCACGATGATAATGTTGCTGACCTTTAGCTCCATCGTCTATCTCTGTGCCTTTGCCAGGTTCCTCTGAATGTCGACCTTCCTGATGCTGAGGGCGAACAGATAAGAGACCAACAGCTCATCGACTCTGCTGAGCCACTGACAGAGGACGAGGTCAAGGAGAAAGAAGAGCTATTGAACGAGGTGGGTACCCTCAAGCAGCACCAGTTACTTGTGCTCTTGTGAGTCCATGTTGGTGTGTACTGACTGACCATCTTCGTTTGGTAGCTGTAATAGCACTGTTTGGGATTCTTCACTCTCCACTCCTACTATGGACTACCTCTAGCTCTGGTGTGCACTGGTTGTCAGTCACGTCTGTTTTTTGGTTGCGTTTTCAGGGCTTTTCTGACTGGACGAAGCGTGATCTGCATCAGTTTGTGAAAGCATGTGAGCGTTTCGGCCGTGAGGACTTGGACAACGTCAGTAAGGAAGTTGAGGGTAAATCCCCAGAGCAGGTGAGTGTGTGCTACTGTGTAGGTGTCTGTGATATGGCTGATGCATGAGACCGGTCGTCTTTGTGTCTCTGCATGCAATAGGTAACTGCCGATAGTGCCTGAAAGTCAGTAAAATTTGATATAGCTCATCAGCCAAAGACGGTCAGGATTGCGATCTGTGTCGTTGTCCAGTTTTTTCTAGCATCCCTAGCCTTTCCCTATATTATACAGTGCTGGCAACCGAAATCCGACCACAGCTCGGTGCTCTCCCATTGCAAAAACCCAGCACGCGCTTGTACACTAGCAAATAGAGATCGCTAGAGTGCACTCGAGCATGAAAATCAGGGTCAGTTGCCATCACTGTAGTTTTGGTGTCCCAGCTTGATCATCTTGTAGTATTACCATTTTGTACAGTGGTCCCTTTATAATCCGGCAGCATTTGTGCTACGGAAATTCTGCTGGATTAGAAATCTGATTTGCTTCTGCAATGTGCATGAAAATGACGTTTTGGCTGCTGAAAATGATGCTGGTTTATGTTAGAGGGTGCTGGTTTATAAAGTGCTGGATTAAAGAGGGACGACTGTATACCATTTAACACATGTGTGATGCTGCTGATTATGTATAGGTACGACGCTATGCCGACGTATTCTGGGACCGCTACACAGAGCTTCAGGACCACGAGAGGATCTTGACCACCATTGAGCGCGGAGAGACCAAGATCAAGCGCCGTCAGAGCATTGTTCGCGCTCTGGAGACGAAGGTCGGTTGTGGGCTGTGTGCTCTATCTTACATGTAGAGCGTACTGTTTTATTGAATGTCGGTATGCGTGCGACGGTCGAGAGGCTTGACGGATGCCTGTTGTCACGTTAACCCACATTGTGGGTCAAGAGGATGATGATGCATGCCACTCACAAGTGTGCTCACATTCTGTACGTGCGTGTACTTGAGCATCTGTGTGTTGTGGTGTGGGTTGTGATAGGAGTTGGACACAAATTGTTGCCGTCCTTTATTGAGTTTTGTAAGCTGACTGCTGCTTGGATGTTTGTCTTTGTGCAGATGGGTCGCTACCGTGCACCCTTCCACCAGCTAGTAATAAACTACGGTACGAACAAGGGAAAGAACTACACTGAGGAGGAGGACCGATTCCTGATCTGCATGCTGCACAAGCTGGGCTTCGACCGGGAGAATGTGTACGACGAGCTCCGTGCCGCCATCCGCGTGTCGCCGATGTTCCGCTTTGACTGGTTCCTGAAGTCCAGAACAGCAGTGGTATGTTGTGTGTAGCAGTAGTACTGCTCTGTGAGGGATATTGAAATCCGATCCCTTGCTTCCAGCCGTTCAGTGCGAGCACCAATTTGCTCGTTCTGTGCGCACTGTGCCACATAGCCATACCATATACATACCATACGTGTGCGTGCATTTTGACACCGGGAGAACTGGATAGACATGCATGTGGGGCCGCAAATCTGAAGAGCTTTATACTCCGGGTGTTGGTGAGAGCTTGTAGGCTTCTGTGGCCGCTTGTATTCTGATTTGTCATCTCATCCTCCATCTGTCCATGTGCTTTTTAGGAACTTCAACGTCGCTGCAACACTCTTATCTCATTGATTGAGAAAGAGAATGTTGAACTTGAAGAACGCGAACGACAAGAGAAGAGAAAACGCGGCAGCCTTGGCAAAGGCTCTACACCAACAAAGGTAAGCCTTGCATTCACCTTGTTGCATACCTCTGGTCATACTCACATTTTGCTGTTGACTTGGCTAGGTCTTGTTGCCACCTCACATCTTACCACTCCCGCTGCCTGTGTAGTAAGGTTTTTTCGGAGCTCATGATCCAGAGGCCCCTTTTCATTGAAGCCTTAAACTTTCTTCCATAGGTGCTGTTCTCTGTTCTATTGGGGCTGTGCCTATTTTGCTGTTTTATATTGTGATCGTGTATTTTTGATTTCTTTTTCTGTGGCAGAAGCGCAAGGCCCCTGAGGAAAAGGAGACGCCAAAGTCGGCATCAAAACGAACGCGGAAGTAGCAGTCGCATGGATCCTTGACTTACACCAGATGATGTCCTTCTGCTCGTTTGGCTGTGCTATTGCTACTGCTGCTGGTGTTGCGACTTATTTATCCTGACTGCCTCCCATTGCAGCGGCTAGCGTGATCTCGTTCGCTGTTTTCTCCTGCTCTTCTATTACCAGACCTGTACAAACAACTGAAATGTGTGTGTGTGTGTGTGTGTGTGTGTGTGTGTGTGTGTGTGTGTGTGTGTGTGTGTGTGTGTGTGTTTGCGTGCCTATGTGTTTGCTTGCATGTGTGCCTGTGTGTGTGCCTGTGTGTTTGTGTGCCTGTGTGTTTGTCTGTCACCTGTACATATCCACCGTAAGTGCTTTATTTGTGTAATTTAGAAAGACGAAAACCTTCCATGAAAGCTGATACAACTTCGAAAAGACTGCTCATTCTGATACTATTCCACATTGCTATTCGTTCCGTCTCCCTCTGGTCTTCTGCAATTGTCTTCTACTCTTTATAGTGGCCCGTGCCTCTTGACCCATCTATCTCGGTCTTCTCTGGTTGTCCCCCATACCCTGCTGTGCCTACCTCCTTTCCATGCTGTTCAGGCTTGCCTTCTTTTTTTTTACTTCTTTTATTCCTCGCCATGCAGATGGCACCATGCTGAATTTTGCAACAAAGAGTGTGTAATTCAAACGCTACAAGATACATGTAATTATGAATTGCTTCTTGTCATTTGGTGCTGTAGCCGTACGCAAGAGTACATAAAATGAAAGTACTCTTGCCATACATGTATATAGTACCAAGAGTACATAACCCCCCGGGGGGGTTATGTACTCCTGTAGTACTAACCAGGGAGTCGTCAAATACCGTATTTGACGACTCCCTGGTTTTCGAGATCAGTCTGGACTTTTCTTCACGCAAAGAAAACTTTTGAAAGATGGTAGTGATTATCATATCTAGTTTGGACCAGGGAGTCGTAAAATACCGGTATTTTACGACTCCCTGGTTTGGACCCAAAGTAACGTTAGTTCTTCCATAATCATCTTCTCACCCTTGGAGATGTCGGGCCAAGAAGGTATTTGACGACTCCCTGGTACTTACGTTTGTGAGGGAGAGAGAAATTCGAATGTGAAAAAGAAAAAATCAGTCCGGGCTGTCGGGAGAGAAGAAAAAAGAGGCCCAAGAGGGAGTCGAACCCTCGATCTTCGGTTTACGAGACCGACGCCTTACCGCTTGGCCATTGAGCCGTCATGACGTGTATTGCCCTATCGGTTATTCTTTACTGCATGGACAGGCTTGTTTGACAGACTGATTTGGAGTGCCCGACCTGTGTGCTGACAAGTGGTATGATGATGTATGTCGACCGGTGATCGGTGCTTGTTCATCTCTCAGTGAAAACAACGGTGGTTGAGAAGTGTTCAGTGTTCAAGTGGCTGTGATTATTGTGAGCTGCTGCCTGTGGCACGCCTGACGGGGAAAGAGGTGAGCCATGGCCGTGGAGAAGAAGAGCTCTCGCGGAGCAAAAGGTAACTCCCCCCCTGATGTTGATTTTTCAGCATTTGTCATCTTCCTCTTTGCGGAGGTAGCTTGAATAATGTTATCGAATTAAATTTAATAAGTCGTTTGTATGGCTTCAAATCAAAGCAAATTTATTTCCGGAATTTATTATACCGGACTTTGATTGACGTGTACAACATGGGAGGCGTTTTTGTGCTATGATTTTGACTGAAGGCTGAGCGTATAGCCGATAGGTTCTACCCATGTGCCGTTAACTCCTTTCATGGCTGAGTCTATTTGCAATGGTTATACAGTATACTACTAGTGGTACATGTAGGGTTGATGACTACAATAGTCGCTGTGGAGGCAACTCTTGACAGGCACGTACTCGGGGTGCGGGGATTATTCCCGGAATAATTTGGGAATACTATCGTTGAGAAAATGTTGGGAATTTTAGGGGAATTCTATCGATCTTTCGCCAGATCCATTGACCTTCAGAAGAGTTTTGGGGGAATTCTGTCAATTTGACCTGCCAGAGCCAACAAGCGCACATCCATGGACGCACGTATATGTACATGCAGCAACACCCGGACAGTCATGTAGACTAGTGTAGAGCCCCACGCACGCGTAGATCTACGCACGTGCAGCCTGAGTACATAGTAGCTGTGTACAGTCATGTAGATCTAGTACGTGTAGTGTAGATCCTGCATGCAGTGATCACGTGCCTGACCGTCCATTTTGCATACTAAAGCGCATGCGCAAGGCACGGTTCGTGCTGGGGTTCTTTTTTTGGGGGGGGGGGGGGAATTCTGGAGAATTTTTTCAATGTTTTGGGAGAATACTTTCGAAGTTCCGCGGGAAATGCCCGAAAGCATAATATCGGGTGCGTGCGAGCATAATCCGCGCACCCCTAGCACGTACACGCATATCAAGAGTAGATAAGTTAATAATATAACCCCAGAGTGTGCAACTCTGCATATGGGGTCTCCGATGGCGAAAACTCACATCACGTGTCTCAGGTATGTTTCGTACTACGTACGAACGAAGGATAGCGTGTGCGCAATCCGAATATCTGCCATGATCATGCTGGGGATTTGCATATCCGCAGTGAGTTTCTGTCAGAGAGTGCTTTTTTTATTACACCGCTGCTCGCTAAAAACGGGCTGGAAACGTACAACTGCAACACTACACCATGTGATGTGACTTTTCGCCGTCGGCACACCCCACAGAAAGGGTATAATGAGTTGCACACTCTTGGGGGGGGGGGGGGGGGTATCTACTTTTGCGCATAATAATCATTACTCCTGTCACATGACATGAGCAGTACAGTTGTCTACACAAAATCCAGTACCGTAAAGTACCGCCAGAGCGCCCCACCATCTCGTCCATTCGTGGTCGTGTTGTGGAGGTGATCTCCTGCCTGTAGTTCATACGACACGAACCTTGTACACATATTACACTTTGTGCAGTCAATCCGTGCCTTCAAGCAGACACGAGCTCCACACAAACCTGCCAAATGTGAACTTGGTACTAAGGTTATCACGCCGTACAAACTTCGTTGCACTCTGCCATATGATTTTCCTTTCCCTGGCTGTAAAATCAAGGTGGGGCGCTCTCGCGGTACTTTACAGTGCTACCGTAAAAGTCCGCAAATAAGTACCTGCCCGAAAGAAATACCCCCTTCATTCTTTTGGCTCTGTCTGTTGAAGTCAAGTCAAGCCCGATAAACATACTGCCCGAAATAAGTACCGGTACGGTGCGCACATGCAGCACGTAGAATGTACATCGACATGAAAATGACTTCTCCACTACACACAAGTCTGGTCCGAAAGTTAGTTCGCGCCCGAAAGTCGGTACCCGCCCGAAAGTTAGTACGGGTGTGGTCACTAAATTCGAAAGTAAATACGTACTTATTTACGGACTTTTACGGTAGTATATCATTAAATTTTGTTGATGGTGCTCCCTTCCATGATCCAATGTGAGAACAAAAAATATTTAAAAAAAGCTTGCTGGGCTGGGTGGCCCTGGACTGCCAACCCTGAGCGATTTGTTGGAAGTTTTTTGGCGGTCTACTTTCACACACCATGTCCAGACAGACACAGACTAGACACTGCAACTGCAGTGTAGTAAAGTAACTGAAATGCGCTGCAGTGTACCAAACTTGTTTGCTGAAAGAGCTGCTTCGACCAATCTGCCCACTGATCAGCGAGGAAAGAAGGGAAGTGAGACATGCAGTCATGAGTGCATGAGCCAGGTGCGACATTTCCAGCAATTCCAAGCTGGGCGTTCTTAGAATCCCGGTCCTCCTGTAGTAGGAAAACGAGGATGGAATGTTTTCAAGTTACTCTTGGCTAGTAGAGAGGTTAAGATGCACGTTATTTCTGACGTGATGCGAACGTTCAGCTCGTGTTATTTGGCTCGCGCGTCAAAAAACAATGCGAGTGACCTGCAGCTCACGTCGAAATTTGGAGTTTTACGCCAAATTTGACATGAAATTGCGCGTCACGTCGGAAATAACGTGCATCTTAACCTCTCTAATGGCGGGTAACGTACACCGGAGCAATGTCTTCAGATTACTTGCATGCCAGCAATCTGGAGAACTGTAAAAGATCTTGTGTGCTGGCTACTGTGCAGTGTTGCCAGGAATAGATTGTATACTACTTCGAAGTAGTAGTAGCCAGGATAGGAATGATAGGAAATGATTGCATTGGTATTAAATCAGACAGATCATCAATAGTGACAGAAAACCATACCCACCACCTGCTGTGTCCAGCATGCCAAGATTGGCTATTTTCACACATGGGGAAATAAGGACATCTCTACTCGCCTGCCAGAGTGTCGTTACAGTTGTACGGAGCTTTTCTGTATGCAGGGCATGTGCCATGGCTGTTGTCAATTATTCTGTAGCGTAGGTCTTGTGCCACCTGACTTTTCAGTCATTTGCTGACGGACTTTTTTGCTTTCATGCATTCTCCTCTGCTGTTGAACAGGGCCTCCGCCAAAGGGCAAGGCGAAGAGCTCCTCAAAGAGCAGCAGCCAGAGCTCTGGGTCAGGCACGCTCATCGCCGTGGCTGTGCTGGGTGTGCTGGTGGCGGGAGTGGTGTACGCGCATCAGGCTGGCCACTTAAACAGCTACGTCGAGGCACTGCAGCAGGGTAGTGCGCCGTCCCAAAAGAGTCCCATTGACGCCGTCAAGGACGAGATCAAAAACGCCGATGCGGAATTTCAACAAGCCGAGACGGAAAAGGATGCCAAGACTCCGCCAACAAAGGATGCTGCATCTAAACCCGCGAAGAAGGTGAATCCCGAAGAAGACAAGGCTGCAGACGACAAGAAGAAGCAGGAGGGTGATGCGGCAAAGAAGGCCAAGAAGCAGGTGTGTTGCCACCCGCTCATGTTGAAATTTTCTTTATTGCAGTGTCCAGCACAGTGGAACATGAAAATCCAGCCACCTTCCAGACCAAACTAAGTGGTTCCCTGTCTGAGGTAGTTTTGGTGTATTTTTGTATGTGTGCATATGGGGCAGCCTTATGCAGGACTGGGAAAAAGTGGTTGTATTTCTGCAGTGGTAGGTAAAAGTAAGGTGGTCGGAGACCAGGGTTTCTCCTCGGTGCATTCTATATTTAAATATGTGGTGTTGTGATTTTTGAGCATGCAGCAGGGTAGTGCGCCGTCCCAAAAGAGTCCCATTGACGCCGTCAAGGACGAGATCAAAAACGCCGATGCGGAATTTCAACAAGCCGAGACGGAAAAGGATGCCAAGACTCCGCCAACAAAGGATGCTGCATCTAAACCCGCCAAGAAGGTGAATCCCGAAGAAGACAAGGCTGCAGACGACAAGAAGAAGCAGGAGGGTGATGCGGCAAAAAAGGCCAAGAAGCAGGTGTGTTGCCACCCGCTCATGTTGAAATTTTCTTTATTGCAGTGTCCAGCACAGTGGAACATGAAAATCCAGCCACCTTCCAGACCAAACTAAGTGGTCCCCTGTCTGAGGTAGTTTTGGTGTATTTTTGTATGTGTGCATATGGGGCAGCCTTACGCAGGACTGGGAAAAAGTGGTTGTATTTCTGCAGTGGTAGGTAAAAGCGAGGTGGTCGGAGACCAGGGTTTCTCCTCGGTGCATTCTATATTACCGGTATGATTGTAGTGTTGTGCTTTTTGAGCATGGATAGAACTGGCCGGATACGGGCGGCTTGGGACCGACGAAGAGTGCCTGGATCTCAGAACACTCAGCCATACATATGTGCACGGGCATTGGTTGTTGAAGGTTTCTTTCGGTGAACTTTCTATTCATCGTTGTGCCTGTGACCAGGCATGTTATCATGTCAACGGGTCCACCAAAGTACCCGCTAGACTGTTACCCGATCTGGGTGTGTATCTCTCTAGCTTGTGCAGTGGTTTTGTTTTTAAAAATTAATAGGAATAACTGAATGGAATTGTACTCGAGAACCGGTACTGATTATTATCTTGTTGCAGTACTGTAACAGTAGTAGTCAGTTACTCAGAACTCGTACCCCGTGTGTCCAGTTATGTCTTGTTGAGTGTTCTTCCATCTCCATATCATGTAGAACCTAGGCAAGTCATTATGTTTCTTTTGTTGGTTGTAGAAGAAGCCAGTGCGCATTCTTCAGGCCAGCATCGGTGCCAAGGAGGCGGACTATGAAATTCGCCAGGAAATCCGTGCCGCCGATCGTCTCCACACCAAGAAGAAGTACCAAGAAGCTTTGACCGAGTTCCGCCGTTTGCTCAAGGGCAATCCGAAGTGCATTCGCTGTAAATACGGGGAGGGAGCAGCACTGCATGAACTTGCTGACAAGCAGAGGAGCAATAAACTTGTTCAGGAGGCCATTGCAGCTTACAAAGAGGTGAGCAGTTGTGATATGCACCCGTGTGGATGTCTGCCATGCTGAGGTAGTTGCAGTCCTGATTGTTTTTAGCTGTTGCCACATGCATGTGCATTGAAGCCGAGAACAATGGCTACTGCACGTCAACGTCTAAAGAAAGAGAGATTTGGGGGGGGGGGGGTATGTTAATACAGATATTTTGTAGAGTAGCATCTGTGCCTTGATCCTCGAGTGTGGTGGCGTTCCTATGGATGCGGAAAACTCGGTCTAGCCGAGTATCACACGAACCATGAGGTTTTTTTGTGGATTACAATTGTTTGAACGAATGAAGTAGTACCAGCCTGCTCTATTGGATACCACTAGCCATGCATCGACTAGCCGCCATGCGCGAACTGATGGTGGTTGTGGTGAGAAGGAGAGCTCTGTACTAGAGTAACCTTGCAGCTTAGAGAGCGTGTGTGAGCAGGCGTGTGTTTACCGCCCTATTACCAGGTGTGTATTAACAATTGTTTTGCCTGAACAACCTTTGCTGCATTGCCCTGTTGCAGACGTGCACATGGTCTGGTGGACGCCGCAGCGTACGTGTAGCCGGCTGTTTGGCCATGTCTGGACGCATGAGCTTCATGGGTCAGTCACGCCAGTCCGTCAAGCTGCTCGATACCGTCCTCGCTGATCTCAGTGAAGACGTTAAGATCCTGGAGGAGATTGGACTTCAGGTGAGACCAGGGCAGCGTGCTGGTACATTGTATGTGTGGTGCTTCGACGTGTGTGGGAAAGAGGCCGTCAGCAGGCCAATGAAAACATATTGCAGGTGTAGGTGTGTTGAAAAACGTGGCCTACTGCACCATCCCAAACGAGTGTACAGTACATGTACCACAGTCAGACCTCGCTTATCCAGATCCCTCGCCATCCGGAAGAAAATAGCTGGTTACAGATTTTCAGCATGCGTGATTCATCCAACATAACCAGTGTTCGATTATCCGGTTCCCTCGTCTATCCGGATATTTTTTGTGGAAAACAGATGTGTGCGGTTAAGCGAGGTCTGACTATACAAGGGTGTAACGAATATTCGATTTAAAGTCGGCATCCGATATCAGTTCCAGAATATACAGCCACACTTGCAGCCAGAGCTGCTTCATGTACGTGACAAGACCTGCTCACATGGCAGCGAAGACACCTTCTCGTTGCTTTGTGGGTTGTTCTGACCTGTGGTAGCAGTATCTCAGCACTCGCTATCCAGGTTATGACCTGTTAGAGAATGGGGACAGCTGGTCAGGGAACAAATTGATTTGTTGAAGTATGTCTCTCGTTTTCAAGGAGAATGGTCAAAGATTAGTCCGTTCGTTGAATTGGTATTCGCCGGTTTATTAATTTGTGGCATTTGCCGTTCGTTGCATCACTAGCGTTGGAAACTTCTACACTCTGTGAGTTGAATGTTGTGTGTGTGTGTGTGTGTGCATGCGTGTATGTGCATGTGTGTGCATGCGTGTATGTGCATGTGTGTGTGTCTGCATATATGTCTGCTTGTGTCCATGCATGTTTGCATTGCCAGTGCCTAATCAGTGCTATGAATAAGAAGGCAAAATCTGCGCTCACTCGCCTTTTGGAGCTTGACCCTGAGAACGGCTTTGGCCTGGGTCATTTGGGATTTGTGTACAAACTGGAACTGCGCTATGAAGAGGCTGTTCCGCTCATGTTTGCTGGACTCCGCGGTAATGATGACCGCTCCAGAGAACCCCGGTTTTACTATCACCTCGGAGACGCTCTTCAGAGACTTAACCGATCGGATGAGGTGAGCCAGACGAGATATGATTCAGCGATGTTAGAGAGAGATTGTGTGTGTGTGTATGTGTGTGTGTGTGTGTGTGTGTGTGTGTGTGTGTGTGTGTGTGTGTGTGTGTGTGTGTGTGTGTGTGTGTGTATGTGTGCACGCTGGGTGTGTCTGTCTGTGTCCGTGGGTACTATATCTGTCAGTATGGGTGTGTGGAGAAGGGGTGTGTGCGTGGGTGATCTGTTGTAAATATGATTGTGTGTTTGTGTGCGCACGCACGTGTGTGTGTGTGTATGTGTGTGTGTGTGTGTGTGTGTGTGTGTGTGTGTGTGTGTGTGTGTGTGTGTGTGTGTGTGTGTGTGCGTATGTGTGCGTATGTGTGTGTGTGAGTCTGTCCGTGTGTCTGTGCATGTGTGTGTGTGTGTGTGTGTGTGTGTGTGTGTGTGCATGTGTGCATGTGTGTTGGTCGACCTGCTCCTCTGTCCTTGTGCAATGTTGGATAGGCGTACGAAGTTTATTCCCAGGGTGCTGATAGCGGCAACTTCAACAGTATGTACCAGCGCTCCACCTACAATGCACCTAACCTGAAGGCACAGCCGTGGTGGACGCCCGAGGAGACACCATATGCCGCCGATATCAAGCGTATCGAGAAGCACTGGAAAACTATCCGGGACGAGGGTCTGGCTGTCATGAACTTGAATCAAGGTCTGTGCCTTGAGCAGCTGTGTTCATCCTTTTGTGTTTTAATCAATTTAGTACTGTTGCATCAGTGTACATGTACATAATCTACAAACAAGGCGCTCGAAGCAGAGTGCTCAATGCACAAATGTGCAAAGCAGTACTGTAAGACATGTTATTATAACGAGTCGCAAATTTAACGATTGTCCAAAATTCATAGGTTAACGAGAAGATATGTTACCGATCTTGCAGTATTCTGCCATATCCACACACAGCATATATAAGCAGTACGGCTTCAACGGATCTTATTATAACGAAGAAATGTCGTCCGTTAAAACGTTAGATTTGCTTCCTCGTTATGTATACATGTCTTACAGTATGTGAATGCCAGATGCCGCTGTCGGGCGATCGCTGAAATGTGTGAAGCTTGAAGTTACAGCTGCACAGCCGTTCGCCTCCGTTGTATGTGTGTGTACACAATCTAATGGTCAGTGTCAAAAGTACCTGCCCGCTTGCCAAGCTCGCTACTTCGAAGTACATCTCTGTGAGAGAAAGATCATGAATATATGCAGGGTTGTCAAGTGACGACAGCTCTATTCTGTTGCCACTACTTGTTGTATTCAGATGATGTATCTCGGCACATGTTTGAGACAGTATGATTAGCAGCTGACTCAAGGTGTTGTTCTGTAGCCAACTGACCAATCTTTGACTTAAGGTGGCTGGGGCGGTACAACTTTTTAGGGGTCATTTTGATCACATTTTGACTGCATTTTTTAGTTTATCGGCAAGGTGGAGATGAAATTTGAAAATGTTTTCTGGTGAATCTTTGGAGAAGAGCCTTCTCTAACCTCCTACAGTTTTATTTTTACTTTTGGACAAAATTTGAAAACGTTTTATGAAAGGTCCGTGAAAAAATAACACAAACCTTTCATAAAACGTTTTAAAATTGTGTCCAAAAGTAAAAATAAAACTATAGGAAGCTAGAGAAGGCTATTCTCCAGAGATTCACCAGAAAACATGTTCAAATTTCATCTCTGCCTTGCCGATAAACTCAAAAATGCAGTCAAAATTTCCCCAAAAAAGTTGTACCGCCCCAGCTTTTAAACCATGCACTTGCATAGAGGCCATCAATGACTTAGTGATTGGATTTGTTGTTCAGAAAAGACTACATTGCACCCTTCATTTACCAAGATTTATAGTGTGTGTGCGGAACTCTGTGTGTGTGTGTGTGTGTGTGTGTGTGTGCGTGCGTGTGTGTGCGTGGGTGTGCGTGCGTGTGTGTGTGTGTGTGTGTGTGTGTGTGTGTGTGTGTGTGTGTGTGTGTGTGGTATGTATGGATAGGGTAGCTGATCCTGGTTGTGTGGTGTCTCTACTGTAGGTGGCTTTGACAAGGAGGAAGAGAACTTGCGCAAGGAAGGTGACTGGGGACAGTTCACTCTCTTTCAGCAGGGCCACGTATTGGAGGACAACTGTCGCAAAGTGCCTAAGACTTGCAAGATCATGAAAAGCATCAAGGATGCTGCTGGTTGCAAGCGTGGCCAGGTAAGCTTAGATTTTATTTTTATTGTCTTGTCACCGCTCACTTTCTGTGTGTTGCCAAGATGATGGTGAGTGACGGTGATCTTGCACCATCATAACAACAAAAACTCCAGTCCGAATTCTAGTACTGTACCGACATCTGTATCTTCTTCGGCAATGCCTGATTCACGCGCTAAACACACACAATCAACTAATAGAATGAAAATGTAACTTGGTGACATCTTTCTTCGACTTCTTTGGCTTCAAATCTCTGTGTTGGTGCCTAAACGGAAGCTGCGGCCCATATGAGCCATCATGCCCCGGTTAAGTTGTTCACTGTGCAGTCTTGCATTGTCTGTGCTTGGGTGACTAGCCGCGAAGTACTTTGTGATTGTCTGTGCTTGGGTGACTAGCCGCGAAGTACTTTGTGATTGTCTGTGTCTGGTTGACTAGCCGCGAAGTACTTTGTGATTGTCTGTGCTTGGGTGACTAGCCGCGAAGTACTTTGTGATTGTCTGTGCTTGGGTGACTAGCCGCGAAGTACTTTGTGATTGTCTGTGCTTGGGTGACTAGCCGCGAAGTACTTTGTGATTGTCTGTGCTTGGGTGACTAGCCGCGAAGTACTTTGTGATTGTCTGTGCTTGGGTGACTAGCCGCGAAGTACTTTGTGATTGTCTGTGCTTGGGTGACTAGCCGCGAAGTACTTTGTGATTGTCTGTGCTTGGGTGACTAGCCGCGAAGTACTTTGTGATTGTCTGTGCTTGGGTGACTAGCCGCGAAGTACTTTGTGATTGTCTGTGCTTGGGTGACTAGCCGCGAAGTACTTTGTGATTGTCTGTGCTTGGGTGACTAGCCGCGAAGTACTTTGTGATTGTCTGTGCTTGGGTGACTAGCCGCGAAGTACTTTGTGATTGTCTGTGCTTGGGTGACTAGCCGCGAAGTACTTTGTGATTGTCTGTGCTTGGGTGACTAGCCGCGAAGTACTTTGTGATTGTCTGTGCTTGGGTGACTAGCCGCGAAGTACTTTGTGATTGTCTGTGCTTGGGTGACTAGCCGCGAAGTACTTTGTGATTGTCTGTGCTTGGGTGACTAGCCGCGAAGTACTTTGTGATTGTCTGTGCTTGGGTGACTAGCCGCGAAGTACTTTGTGATTGTCTGTGCTTGGGTGACTAGCCGCGAAGTACTTTGTGATTGTCTGTGCTTGGGTGACTAGCCGCGAAGTACTTTGTGATTGTCTGTGCTTGGGTGACTAGCCGCGAAGTACTTTGTGATTGTCTGTGCTTGGGTGACTAGCCGCGAAGTACTTTGTGATTGTCTGTGCTTGGGTGACTAGCCGCGAAGTACTTTGTGATTGTCTGTGCTTGGGTGACTAGCCGCGAAGTACTTTGTGATTGTCTGTGCTTGGGTGACTAGCCGCGAAGTACTTTGTGATTGTCTGTGCTTGGGTGACTAGCCGCGAAGTACTTTGTGATTGTCTGTGCTTGGGTGACTAGCCGCGAAGTACTTTGTGATTGTCTGTGCTTGGGTGACTAGCCGCGAAGTACTTTGTGATTGTCTGTGCTTGGGTGACTAGCCGCGAAGTACTTTGTGATTGTCTGTGCTTGGGTGACTAGCCGCGAAGTACTTTGTGATTGTCTGTGCTTGGGTGACTAGCCGCGAAGTACTTTGTGATTGTCTGTGCTTGGGTGACTAGCCGCGAAGTACTTTGTGATTGTCTGTGCTTGGGTGACTAGCCGCGAAGTACTTTGTGATTGTCTGTGCTTGGGTGACTAGCCGCGAAGTACTTTGTGATTGTCTGTGCTTGGGTGACTAGCCGCGAAGTACTTTGTGATTGTCTGTGCTTGGGTGACTAGCCGCGAAGTACTTTGTGATTGTCTGTGCTTGGGTGACTAGCCGCGAAGTACTTTGTGATTGTCTGTGCTTGGGTGACTAGCCGCGAAGTACTTTGTGATTGTCTGTGCTTGGGTGACTAGCCGCGAAGTACTTTGTGATTGTCTGTGTCTGGGTGACTAGCCGCGAAGTACTTTGTGATTGTCTGTGCTTGGGTGACTAGCCGCGAAGTACTTTGTGATTGTCTGTGTCTGGGTGACTAGCCGCGAAGTACTTTGTGATTGTCTGTGCTTGGGTGACTAGCCGCGAAGTACTTTGTGATTGTCTGTGCTTGGGTGACTAGCCGCGAAGTACTTTGTGATTGTCTGTGCTTGGGTGACTAGCCGCGAAGTACTTTGTGATTGTCTGTGCTTGGGTGACTAGCCGCGAAGTACTTTGTGATTGTCTGTGCTTGGGTGACTAGCCGCGAAGTACTTTGTGATTGTCTGTGCTTGGGTGACTAGCCGCGAAGTACTTTGTGATTGTCTGTGCTTGGGTGACTAGCCGCGAAGTACTTTGTGATTGTCTGTGCTTGGGTGACTAGCCGCGAAGTACTTTGTGATTGTCTGTGCTTGGGTGACTACACTGTAGGTGAAGTATTCTGTGATGCAACCAGGCACCGTCGTCTGGCCACACTGTGGCCCCACGAACTGCCGCCTGCGCTTCCACTTGGGTTTGGTTGTACCCGATGATGTGCACATCCGATGTGGAAATGACACAAGGTAAGCCACACGCACACACACTCACACACACACACACACACACAGACACAGACACAGACACACACACACACACACACACACACCATATAGACAGCGTGCTGCTTTGATAAAAGCAGACACTAGATGCACTGGTACCTTGAAGTGAAATTGGAGTTATTTTACCAACCAGCCTCGGCAACTGGGTACTGGGAACCCAGGGCCAACAGACGTACCAACAACCTCAGCCATGAAAGCTATAATACACCCCCCCCCCCCCCCCCCCACACACACACACAAACACACACACACATGGTACAATTTCTGCGATCTCCTTTTACATGTATATCGTCTGGGAGCAGTATGTCCAGGTGCTGTGACCTTATGTAGTATGTTGGCTTTTTAAAGTGAGTTTAGGGAGTGTCATTGCCATACTGGTGCTACACTTGATGGCTTCTCTTCTGTTGGCGACTTGAACTTACACATTGTTTGGTGACTAAAACTCTGCCTGCTTGCCTGTGTGCGTACGCGTGTGTGTTTGTGTAACGTTATGCGTGTGTGTGTGTCCACGCCATTGTGCATTTGACAGGACTTGGTATGAGGGAAAGACGATAGTGTTCGACGACTCGTTCGAGCACGAGGTCTGGCACCACGGCAAGAGCTTTCGCATGGTGTTTATCATGGACTTCTGGCATCCCGACCTGACCCAGAGGCAGAAGGAAGAGCTGAGTCCTATCTAAACTCTGTGCTAGTTGTGGTGACAGCCACTTGCATACCAGCTCAACCCTGCCAAACATGTTAACATCTCATCGTGTTGCCATTTTTATAGTCCCGTGATGGCCCCGCCAGATGAATATCTGAGTCGAATTCCTTTGCTGCACCTGCTGTTCTAGTATATCTTTCTGCTCGTAGATAGATATACCCTGCCTTTCGCTAACGCTGTTTTAAGGTTACATGTATGTCGATTCCGACCACGCTGAAGATTGTATGTGCTTGAGATTGGTATCTATACATCGCATTCCACATTCTCCTGTTTCTGGTCTATGCTGCGGTATGCATTCTCGTCGCCGTGATTATTCTCGCCGAACACACACATCATGCATGCATGATGCGAACAACTTGCATGTACTTGAGAGCGTTTTGGGACTGTGGTTCCAGTAGGGAGGCCACAGTGTTGAATGCATCCTGTTTTGACCTAACACTAACAGACTAGCTCTTGCCAATCGTATTGGGCTACGAGCCAGGGTACTGTAAATCGTGAAATTATTGCGATGGTCTAATTTCTGCGAAATTCGCGGCCGCGTGGAAATCGCGAAATTTAGACAGCGCGAAAAGGATATCCATGAAAGCAAGAGTCCATGGGTGTTATGGACTCTTGATGAAAGCAAGAGTACTCTATGTACTCTTGATGAAAGGTTTAGCAAGAACACCACAGGTTTAGCAAGAATGCCATTCTGCAATCGCAAAATTAAAACCTCGCAAACCTGTCCGGATTCTGAAAACGCGAACTAAAAACGCCGCGAAAATTTCACGCTTTACAGTATGTACATGTAGCTCCACACCTATCACTGTGTAGGTACAGGTGTAGGTACAGGTGTAGGTACAGGTGTAGGTACAGGTGTAGGTACAGGTGTAGGTACAGGTGCAGGTACAGGTGTAGGTACAGGTGTAGGTACAGGTGTAGGTACAGGTGTAGGTACAGGTGCAGGTACAGGTGTAGGTACAGGTGTAGGTACAGGTGCAGGTACAGGTGCAGGTACAGGTGCAGGTACAGGTGTAGGTACAGGTGTAGGTACAGGTGTAGGTACAGGTGCACGGCAAAGTTCGTTGTCCAGGTTGTCACGAAACATTGCACATCTAATCCCACCTCGGGCCGTAGTTTAACGATAAATCCAGATAACAATTCCAGATCGCCATTGGGTTACAGTATCAGACATGCAGTAATGCTCAATGAATTGTGTGCCTTTGCGACACGGGCAGACTAGCCAGGTGAACACACAGCACAGGCAAACCACCAGTCTATGACCTGCAAATTTCATTCGGGGGGGGGTCCCCAGGAGCTGTGCAAAATCCGGCTGGATTATCCGGGTGTTCGTCGCAGTCGTGGGGGGGGGGGGGGGGGGGGGCGGAGACAATAATTTAATTTGTAATTTTTTCCACACTCTGGTGATATTCTCTTGCTTCAAACATCTGCACTGGGAACGGAACACCTCTGCTTAAAACGCACAGTGAATTTGGCGATTCGAATCAAGTCAACTTGACGGTACACAGTTGGTGGCCATCAACAACGATAACAGTTAGAAGAAAAAAACTACTTTGAAGAAAAACTAATAATTATGAAAAAGTACATACCGGTGTACGCATTTGCATGCGTACACCGGTTGATAACGTCAACAGTAGTACCAGTCAGTGGGAGTGAATGCAAGAGCATTCACCGGGAAAATGTCAATGATTGTTGCACACTAGCTACTTGGTACTACCTACAACAGTGCACATGTGCATGAAAAACCTGCCATGAGATTGACTGAAGTGCCAGGAAATCTGCCAATAGCATGGACGCTCGTGATCGATTGTTAGCATTATACAATGCATTCGCATACGTGGATCTGACGGTCGCCTCCGATGGCACACAGGGGGAACGTCGGGTGCCAGCTGAGGCCGCCAGCGACTGGGAAGGACTGCGTGATGGGAACCTGTGCAGAAGCAGTGGAGAAATGCACACAGAGAGCAGCTTTGAGTGGTTGCACGACAGCACAGTGGGTGGTCAGACCAGTCAGCAGCTGCATGCACACGAACTCGTATCTAGTAGTAGTGTACTCAAGTGAAGGTACACAGGCAGATCTGTTGGCCTTGTGAAGCTCTGCTTCACAGTTTCCACCAGCAGCCACAAAAAACGGCCAGCATGGCAATAAGGCGACACAATAACCACTTGCTAAAGCATGCATACTCATAACCACTTGCTAAGCATGCATACTCAAGAGTTACAGACATAGCGTAAAAGCACATACGAAAGCAGCGCCACTGACTTGCCACTCAATACAAGCAAGTGTGCATTAAAACCAGAGAGTGTAGCTTCCGTATGGGTGTCTGTCACAGCAAACACTCCTCGATCACATCAGGGTGGTGTTGAGTCAGGCTCGCTCGTTCGCAGACTGTTAGGCAACAACTGGACGGGTTCTGAGTCTTATCTCTTACTTAGAGTTAGGATATCATGATCTCAGACAATATTACAAAACAAAAGCAAAAGGGAAAACCATCGACGAGTCTTGACATGTGATGATGTCTCGCTTCCCGACCGAACAGGCAGACACCAGTTTTCTGGTCGTGCAAGCGATCTCCTGCGCTGACGGTCTACTCCCTGATTAGCGACGCAAGATAGCCGGCAAGACAGCCCAGGACGAGACGCTATGTGCAGTGCACCAAGGTCTCCTGACTGACTGACAAATGGCCGTCGACCTCCGCAGTAGCACCGTACCGCGCTCTTCGCCATGCGCTGAGTGTATGGCCATACCCTAAGGCTGACGACTTTGTCATCTTGAGAGAGGAGAGGTTAGTGATCCCAGAGTGCTGTGTGCCCGAGGTACTCCAGCTAGCACATGACGGGCATCCCGAAAAACAAGCCATGCCTGCAAGAGTCGGTGTGGTGACCTGGTTGGGCCAACGCAGCGAAGCGGCACGTTCAAAGCTGCGAGCCACGTGCCCTCGAAGCTCGACCAACGAAGGTACCTCTGCAGCCCAGAGAACTACCACCACGGCCCTGGCACAAGGTTGCCATTGATATATTCTATTATGGTGGAAAGGCGTTCTTGAATGTGACGGATCTGTACTCCCGCTATCTCCTGGTTGCAGAACTGACCGGCGAGACGTCCTCGTGGGTGGTGGCAGCTTTTCGCACTATGTTCACCATGTTCGGCTATCCAGTACGCGTCATCTCGGACAATGATCCTATCCTCAGTCTGTCAGTACAGAGATTGCAGCCCAGCTTCGTGGCTAGGGCATCCAGCACGAGCGCATTGTCCACCCCCCCCCCCCCCCCCCCGTACACCCCAAGGCAAAACCCTGGGGAACGATTGCACCAGACGCTCAAGCGCCATCTCCGAAAGTCGTCGCAGATGCATGAGCGAGCCCGACTCAACAGATGGATGCAGATTAGTGGCGAGAAGTTGCGGAGTGCAAACAAAAGAGATGCAGTTGAGTCCTGCTTGTACGCACTGCATCAATAAATCGATGCAATCCAGGAAGTTCACCGTGACAGCAATCCATTCGAGCTGCACAGTCGAGCTTTTACCTACTCTTGATACACAGCATGATTATGCAATGATGTCATTCGCATAATAGTCAGACCTCGCTTATCCGGTCCTCTTTTATCCGGAAGAAAATCGTCGGTTACGGATTTATAGCATATGCCACGCATACAATGTCACACAGTATGTGTGTTTGATTACACACGGAAAGTTGGGTGTGGTCCATCTGTCTGATGATCGCCACAGGCGTGAAACTCTGAGTCACAGCCAACCCAAGCTCCGTATCCCATTCTATTCTTTTTGTGTGTTCGATTATCCGGTTGCCTCGCCTATCCGGATATTTTTGTGGAAAACGGATGTGTGCGGCTATGCGAGGTCTGACTGTACCCTCCCTTTATCTGTTTATGCAAGGTACACAGTGATGCATTATCAGATCACAATCACATTCTTATGTGTCTGTCAACACACTGTTCAAAGCTGTCCCACTTCTATTCATATTATTAGGGCAGGCATGCTTCAACACAATTCATGTATACAGTGAAACCTGTCTAAGACGACCGCTCAACGGACCTCCAAAAAGTGGTCTCTGTTACCAGGTGGTCTCCTTATCCAGTGCCATTTGACTGGAAATAGCATCCCTTGGTCCTGGCTGCAGTGGTCTTCTGGGACAGGTGGTCTTCTGGGACAGGTTTTACTGTACGTATACACATGCCTTTACGGTACAGTTGTCCCTCTCTAATCCAGCACCCTCTCTAATCCAGCACCCTCTCTAATCCAGCACCCTCTCTAATCCAGCACCCTCTCTAATCCAGCACCCTCTCTAATCCGGCACCCTCTCTAATCCAGCACCCTCTCTAATCCAGCACCCTCTCTAATCCAGCACCCTCTCTAATCCAGCACCCTCTCTAATCCGGCACCCTCTCTAATCCAGCACAATTTTCAGTAGCCAAAATGTCCTCTTCATGCACATTGCAGCAGTAAATCAGATTTGTTAATTCAGCACCCTCCCTAAGGCCAAGTAAAAAAAATCCTAGTTTATCGTCCCCGCCCGCCCCATTTTTCGAGGCCGCCCGGAATTTATTTTTATTTTTTAAATTTAGAATTTTGCCAAAAAGCTTGATTTTTTACGTCGGCTAAGGCTTGAAAACACAGCTTCGTCTTTCTGCCGAAAGTCCGTCTTCATCCTGTCGAGACCTCGACAGTTTTCCGTTCTTTCCGTAGTTGCGACTTTGTTGAGAAGCGACATGCCGTTTGTTTTGCTGCAAATCCGTCGCGGGTTGAAAGTTCTGAAGTCCTGGTATGGCTGTGTTGTCTCTGCGTCTTCAACTCTCTCGGACATTTTCACCCAGTTCAGCGCTGGCGAGTTGGACCATGGGGATCCCGTACTACTCTGCTGGGTATCCCACTGTATGCTGCTACTGCGCTTCAGGAGAGGGTCTAGTCAATAATGCCGATGCGTATCCTGTGTGTGGTGCTTGCCAGGAGTCTGGGAAGAGCGCCATGAAGAAGCGTACCCGCACGCATGTCCCTCAGGGGAAGAAGTGAATTGTATTCCAACATGTTCCCTTTATGACTGACTATTGGTTACTGTCCTGACTGGTTCTTTCCCTTCTGCAGCTTTCTATCATTTATCTGGTGGTCTGTGTGAACCAAACAGTATTGGGGTTTGTGTCTTATGAGTGGAGTGACAATCTGTCGATCCAAAGATTTTGCATGTAATTGTTTATGTACATATAACTGTTATAGCATTGTGTATTCCATACACTACCACTATTCTGTTGCAGATTGTTGCACATGATGTGTCATTGTTTACCAAGAACTATACTAGTCTGTAGCACATCAAAAAATAAAAAATAAAAATAAAATCCGCCCTCCCTCCCCGATTTTTGTGAAAAAAAGGACGATAAACTGGGATTTTATTTTACTTGGCCTAATCCAGCAGATTTTCCGTGGCACAAATGGTGCCGGATTATAGAGGGACCACTGTATATCTATTCATTCCTGTTGCTAGTGAAGCATTGCAACACACTAGTACCTTTTGTGAGCCTGTGAGATGCACCTTGAAGTGATGTGGTGGGTAGCCCAGCGTGGCAAACTGTTGCTCCGCCGTGCGACACCATCTACATGTACACAGATAAGGGAGAGGAAGGAGTAGAGTTCAACACCGATCAACCACACCAGCTGCGCACACAAGACCACGGCGCATGACAACACAAGGGGCACTTACAACTACACTACAGAAGAATTGCAAGATGCAAGAGGTAAATGTCAGGGAACAAGACACTGGCGCAACGAGTGGCAAATAGACGAGGGCTTTAGAAGGGCCAAGGAAGTTGGCTCACCTGAATTTGACAGCACCATCGTTGTGAACGACGCGAGTTTCTTGAGGTTCGCTGCGGGAAGACAGAATGCACACAGAAAAATAGTTTACATTAGGCAAAGTCAATGAAAGGGCCATGTAATTCGCAATTCTGCAAAACCTCCCCTGTGAACCTGAAGCCATTGACAGCGGAAACTCTTCTCAAGAATGACTTCTCACAGCACATGTATCTACACATTGTGTATAGGTGTCTTAAGCCTAGGTCACATTCGACGGGGCGAGACGTAAGGATCGACAGGACGGCGTCCAATGCGAACACCAGGAACGGGAACGCAACCGTACTACCGTACAGATCGGGAAGAGTTGAATCAGTTCAACTTTTCATACCGTAGATGGGGACGCAAGCGAACAAAACAGCTGCAATTCGAGCGTGAACAGGAGACGGCGTTGTGTGCCGACTACTCCCGAATTGTACTTGGAAATTTTTAGCATGTCGAACACTACGCTTCCCATGATAACTCACAGAATGGCTAACACGACTGAAACACCAAAAAAATTGTGAACCACGTGTCGCGGTCGCAACGAGTCGCAAACAGTTGTATTGTGAATCGGCCTTTATACTCCGGAAAGTATGGTACATGTACTAACCTTCCCATGGAAGCATCCCACACATAGGAGTGATTACCGGCAACCGCGCCAAACAGATTGTTGTTCACTGGCGACCAGTCGGCGTCCACTAGTGCACCTGCTCCCATGGTCAGTAGTGTCATGATGGGCTGGCAGGAGACCAGGTCATAGATAGTCACGGTGCCCTGCCGCTCGGCCACCATCAACTGAAGACAAACAACAGTACATGGCACAACAGCGTGTGAGCACACTGGAACAAATCAAGGCAGTACCGTGACCAAGTCACCACACTTCCATGATACACAGCAGCACAGAAGCAGCAGTTGACAAGCCATAATGTGCACCAGTACAGTATCAGTTACAGTCCATTTCAAAACTATAGACGCGTACCTAGGCAAAAACCGTTATGCCAGCATCTATACCACATAAAATCTGTGATCACTTTGTGCATAAATTTTTCCAAATTGGGCGACTGTTATCCAATCGTTTAGAAACTATATGAGAGTAATTGTGGAGCGATCCTGAGCAATATTCCGAAAACTATTCTCAAAAAGTTCCAGCCAAATTTGAAATATTTCAAAAACCCTACGCGTCTATAGTTTTGAAATGGACTGTAGTTCACCAACCTTGAGGGGATCGCTGGGATGCCACCGCACCGCCATGCCGTAGGAGCTCAGAGGCAGACGGGATATACACTGCCCGGTAGCCACATCCCACAGGCAGCAGGAACGATCATCTGACATCATAAACACCAAGCAAAGCACATACAGGTGAACTACCCGGTATGAGTGCATACAAGCACCACAACAGAAATTATCACACCCCTTTACATGGATTGATGTCTGAAGTACTTGAAGTACATGCGGGTGTAGCAGAAATTACACATCACTTAATTAAGTACTTTCCCTTGCTACTCAGCAAGGCTTACCAAGAGTCTTCACCAATGACCACGGCAGCACAATCGAAGGTAAGAGCGCAAAAAACCAAAAAAATAGTCCATGTTACTAGTATTGCGAGAACAATAGTAACGATCACCAATGCCACAATCTGGGCACTCAAAGCAGGATGATAATACATTGTACACGTATCACTTACCACTAACAGTCGCTACACGAGTACCTTCCAGCGGCTCGTACGCACATGCATTCACATACGACGTGTGGCCATTCAACGACTGGATACAAAGCAGAGCACGTGACCGATACACAAGGAGAGATGATCAAGAGCGCACTATCACAGGGTACCATAGCCTCTGTTACAAATCACGTACTAGTAATGGGTTTACAACAACAGGGAATGCTTCCACATGAGCTCAGCTAACGCAACAACTGTCGAAGTCCCGGGAAAGCATCAAAAAACATTCTGGATACAGTTGTGCGAAGGAAACATTCCTTCACGTTCTGGGTACAGTTGCTGACAAGGAAACATCCCTTGGCCTTAACGTAAGAAGTTTTCACGAAGTCCTAGTGGGCCATGGCTGTGTGCATGCACCGGTACCAGCTTGTGTAGCTCCTCACCTGAACTGTCTGCTGATGGGCATCTCCTTGGTAGCACCGAATTACATGATCACTGCCTGCAGTGCAGAAACTGCAGAGCAAATGCAAGAACGCATATGTACATGTACAGGCACGTACACCATTCGGATGAGAGAGAGGGAGAGAGAGAGAGAGAGAGTGAGTGAGTGAAACAATGGCACCAACCACAGGATAAGTAGACATGCCCAGTGGTATCTCTGTCGCTCTTTCTCTCTCCAGCTCACCTTAGCCGCGCCTGAGGGATGTCCGTGTTTGTGCACGGAGACCAGGCAATCGCACTCACAGCCGTATCGTGACGGACATTGATGATTGACTCATACGACAAAGATGAAAGTGCCGAGCAATTCTGAGTTGCAGGGTCGACCTGCACGACATTCAAATTGCAAACATTGCGTAATATTGACAATGTTTCCCATGGAGATACATGTGCGATCAAGCATGTGATTTCGTATGTTTCATGAGCACATTGCCATAGCTTCCCAGATTGTGCAACTGCTGATTGGTAGCTGGCACGACTCGTTTCCACAATTACATTGTACACCATTAATTCTTCATGTGACCAGCTCTATACATATGCGTGCGTGCATTCGAGATGCAAGATTGATCGTGCACAAAGCGATTCCATGTACAGCCGCCAGGTGCGTTGCATAGCGAAAGCGACGTAATTCTGCAAAACGAGCAGCGCCGGAGGTTTATGTGGAGTTGCACACTCTAGAGAGTTCTATGCACTCTTGTGGATAGTAGTAGAGGCTAAGTGAATATCATCGCACAGGTATACTAGTATGCTTTGTATTTGCATCTGCTATCTGTTATGAGTGTTAGTAGCAAACCAGTGCTGGTGAATGTGGTGATGTCAATCAATGCAAATGACTGGGTTGTAAATGCAATCTGAATTCTTGAATATGCAATGCAATCCTAGCTAGCACCCTAACCACTTGGTTGTGCACTGGTGCAGGCTGCTGACCTATCCATTTGGTTAGAATTCATCGAGCACAACAATACAATGTACATGCACAATGTACAGACCTGGGTCAGACTACAGGTCTATACCATTGCAGACGCTCAATGGATTTTCAGGAATCCATACTGATATGGACACAGACTATTGGTATCGGGTGCATACGTGAAGCAGTACTCAAATGAAACATAGGCTTGGGCAATACCATTGAAAGGGGACTGTACTATTTTTCCTCCAAATGATATTCAAAATAATTTAATTGTCTGAGTTTTGTGACTTGTTCAATTTCAATAGAATATTTGTCACTGTTTACAATAGTCGTTATCTGACATGTGATATTGGAGAGAAACTTGCCTCTGAGGTCTGAAATTGTCCGATGGCTACACGTGTGTCACCACCTGCTGCTATCAGCGCTCTGTCCGTGTCACTCGCCAGAGGACAAAATTCTACTGTGCGGAGAGGCTCGAAGCAAGGAAACGAACGGAATTGGCCTGATGTGCCCTGTGCAACCTGCGATACATCAGGCATGGTGAACGAATTATTATACTTCTAATACCACAGTGTACTGTTATAGCAGTCTTTTCAATAGCTAATATCCCGGAATGCAGTGCTAGCTGTGATACCCGTTCAAAATAGTTGTAAAAATACTGAAATCGAAAGACCACTTTTTTTGGTTCTCGCGGGAAAGGAGTCATGCAAAAATTAATTCACGACGAAAAAGTTTTCAAATCCCGATGGCGCATGGCATGCACGCTGCATGCATATGCGCATGCACTGCACAATGCAAACAATCATGTGTAGAATTAATTATTTTGTCAGTGGCCTTTCCACGTTCCACAGCTTGTTTACCATGTTTACGTTTCTGCGTCAGTGATTTTGGTGTTGTTGAGTTGAAACCAGGACAGGATCTTTCCCTTTGAGTTGAGATTAGAGTCTTCTTGTTGAGATTTGACGCAATGTCGAGCTTGTTACTTCCCATTGGTAGGCCAATGCCGACAATGCTGCGGAACGCTGTGCGTTCCTTTGGAAGCTCAACAGCAGACAGGAAGAATTTCGTGTCAAGGATTCTCGATCGCTATGAAAGCCCAACAGAGCAGCAGAATCCACCTCGTGAAACTGTTTACGAAATGCAATGTAAACGAAAATGCAGCACAGACTAGTAGAACGTAGTGTTGTATGCTTTGCTTACTGAGACCATTGCGTGTGTGTCGCATGCCACTACAGTCCATCACCTTCGTCCTGGGCAAATTGAGAATTACCTCCACGCTGCGTAAGTGGACACTTACATTGTATATCGTTCAATGATTTTCAGCACCAGCCATCTGGCCATACTCATGCTCATGGACATGTTCATATCACAGGTACAGACTTCAGTCGTACTCAATGAAGTCCGATTTCATATCTAAAGCTAGTTATAGTGCCGTGCACCCGTGCTCGGTGAAGTGTTCGCAAGTCTGGGGCTGGGATGCATAGCGCCGGATGCTGTGTCAAGTCACGGCGCGAACGGGTTTCATTGAACACACTGTGGTATCCAGAGTTACTGCTTCAGGTGCAGTGCATGTTGACCCGACGGTCCGCGTTTGAAAAAAGTAACGGGAGCCCATAGGCAAATGCTTACTGTAGCTGCAGGAGGTGGTAGACACCGTGTGTTCCGGTGAGCTCGGCATAGTGAAGGCGGTTCTCATCTCCCTTTCTTCTTTGCCACGTTGTTCCCTATACATAAATTTGGACCGCGCAGAAGCGTTGCAGCAAGTTTGCAGATTCTGTCCTGAATATCATGGGTCTGGGTCTGAGCTGGTTTGGCTTTCATCGTGATCGCACAGAGTGGGTCTGTTTACATGAGTCAGTGCTGTTTTATTCATAACGCCCCTTCAGACACAGTGCAACACTGCGCATAAGCAGCTTACACATGCACATGCCTACTTCGGTGTTCTCGAGATACAGGTGATTTTGTACAGTAATTCGTCCCAGCAAGATCGAGGCCGGTGTGGAAGCTGCTGTTCTGTCCATCATTGGTGTTTTTCCAGTTTCAGGCCAGGAAGTTTCATAAGCCTTCCTTGTTTAAAAACCAAAGCACGGTTCACAATACACGCATCACTTTCCGCGATGCGACATACGACACTTTGCGACAAGGAAACGCCCGTCGCACCCTGTCACAGAAGAGTTGACCAAAGCTCACATGTTGTGACCGGTGGCATGCAACGCGTAACAAGCACAATGTTCTACGCTGGATGCACATGCATGTACTATGCACTGCATTTAGATATAGCAGAAATATAAATAATAAAAACAACATTGTGAATCGTGTGCCGGCGGTCGCAGTTGGCATGCTGGCATTCCCGACCTACACCCTGCTTTCTAGTATGTAGTGCTTGTGTTGTCAACATACATTCTGCTCACGTGATTAGTGCTGGCATTGCCAACCCTGTTATTCAGCCTGGTCACTGCTGGCATTGCCAATCCAGTTTTTCAGCCTGGTCACTGCTGGCATTCCCTGACATCCTCCAACTGTGTTCGTGTGTGTGTGTGCATCTGTAGTGAGGAAGAGCTGCCACGGATCACCGAAAACGAGGCCATTCCGCGCCACTTGCTGGCAAGCTGGACTGTGGACATAGGCGCTCAGGACACTGCTAGTGAGTCGTCTTCGTACTGTGATGTATATCGATATGCTAGTTAGGGGCAGTGCTTAGTTTTTAAATATTCGTTTCTGGGCTCTTATGGTATTCACTGGTTTGAGGGAAAGACGCAAACAGGAAAAGTCTGAAGAAAAAATTGACTGTCACCACCAGGACTCGAACCAGGGACCCTCGCCTGTAGCCTGTAGCTCTTATAGTGTTCAATCATATGGATATTCTCAAGAATGAGGAATGGTATTGGCCTGAGCTTCCTTTTTGCTGGCTGTATTGTTCCCGCTGCTCTTGCTTCTGCTGTGTGTGTGTCTGTCTGTTCGTGCATCCTTTTGCTTTTCCATTAGTCCACTTGTGGAGCTATCCTGCAGGATTCAAGGCCGTTCACGAAGCTAAGAAAGTCCTGGGAGAAGATAAGGTACTGTATCATAAAGACTTGTATAATAAAATTATAAAGCATAGTTTTGTATGGATGTATGATTCCAATAGAAGCATCGGGTTTGCATCATATAGTGGCTTGGTATGCGACTCTGCTGAAAAAGATCAATTGCGGCCTGTTTTATTGCCTCAATGTCGACATTGCATGTTGTAGTGAGTCCATGTGCTGTGTTTCTTGGTGGACTTTTTCCTCTGCCTACTGTGTGTGTGTGTGCTTGTTGCTGTATTCTCTCTCTCACTCTCTCTCTCTCTCTCTCTCTCTCTCTCTCTCTCTCTCTCTCTCTCTCTCTCTCTCTCTCTCTCTCTCTCTCTCTCTCTCTCTCTCTCTCTCTCTCTCTCTCTCTCTCTCTCTCTCTATCTCTCTCTCTCTCTCTCTCTCTCTCTCTCTCTCTCTCTCCCTCTGTGTGTGTGTGTGTGTGTGTCTCTCTCTCTCTCTCTCTCTCTCTCTCTCTCTCTCTCTCTCTCTCTCTCTCTCTCTCTCTCTCTCTCTCTCTCTCTCTCTCTCTCTCTCTCTCTCTCTCTCTCTCTCTCTCTCTCTCTCTCTCTCTCTCTCTCTCTCTCTCTATCTCTATCTCTATCTATCTACCGTATCTGTCTATCCATCCATCCATCCATCCACCTATCTATCTATCTATCTACCTATCTACCTATCTATCTATCTATCTATCTATCTATCTATCTATCTACTCAATCTGCGGACAGAACTGTTTCGTCCTTTGTGGACTCATCAGCGCAGCACAGAGAAAATGAGGCCGAACCTGATAGCAATGAAAAATATAATATTTCCAAAGCCAGCTATCTATCTATCTATCCATCCATCTGCCTATCTCTTCCTCCTGCTGACTGTTATTTTTTCTATCTGTTTTTCCCTCTCCTGCCAATTCACAGCAATACGTTGCTTACATCAGGCGCCAAGCTGAGCTTATGCGTGACCGCCGGAACCAGATCCTTGTGGAATTCTCTTTCTGGAATTGTGAGGACATGATGGCTAGCTGTGAGCCCGGCGGTATCTTTGAACTGCGGTCATACCAGCTGAAGGTGAGCCCGTGTTGTGTCGACCTTTCCCCGAGCATGTGCTCAAGATCGATGAACATGCGCATTGTCATGCGAGAGCAAGAGTATGCTCGCGTGCCCGCAAAAAGACAGACAGTAGACACACACACACAAACACACACACACTCTCTCTCTCTCACTCTCTCACCCACACACACACATACACACATGAGAACTGAGACCTTAGACATCCATCCCCAGAGATAGTGAAACTGTTGCTACAACAGAAGCCATAACAACATGAGCTGATGTCCCATCATTCAGTAGAAGGCTGAAGGACGAATTGACCGCCGCTATAGTCTGGTCTACATCACACAGATTTTTGAAGTGGCAAACACACACACACACATCCTGTACATGGTGGCTGTGTTCTTACATGTTGCTATGCTGTGTCTTGGCTCAGGATTGATACATGCTGCTTTCTTGTCCATCGCATAATGTTCACTGTTGTCCTCACCCACTTACTGAGGTGTGGTGAGCCCATAAGTGGGATCCTTTTCAAGTCCACCCTAGAGTTTGGGGATTTCAGGGGGTGTCGCCCGTTGGGCGATTCAATAGCCAATTGAGTCATCTTTCCAAGATTCCTTTTGAGTCTCTCTCCCCTCTCCCGGGGAGACCCACGGGACCAGTTTTGGCAGTGAGCAAGTACTTAGTACAAGTGTGTGTGTGTGTGTGTGTGTGTGTGTGTGTGTGTGTGTGTGTGTGTGTGTCTTCCCTTCAGCCTGGCACATTGATGGACTGGGGTCATGAATGGTAAGACTGAATTGACATCCCTAGATGAAGCGGTTTTGTGGTAGCAACTTGAAGTGCTGTTAGATCCCGTAAATTAGTTTGTGTTATGGACTGGTTTTTGAGCCTGAAGGCTGAATGTCCTCTTATAGTTGCTGGTGGAAAAGCTTCAGTGTTGTGTTCAGCTTCTCTCTTTTCTCACAGAACCCTGCAATGACCTTGTTGGCTCTGTTCAGGTAGGCTGTCAGAATTCTGCACTTAAATACTCATGGACCAGGTGCTGTGTTGCATATTGTACATTTGTGATGTTCTCTTTAGGTCTCGTGGAATCGTGAAGCGTATGGATGCTCAAGACAAGCCGGTCGGCGGCTGGTATTCACAGATCGGTGATCTCTACATGGTCCATCACTTATGGTGTAAGTGCAAGAAATCGAGTTTATTTGAATGTTGCCATTGCCCCTGCCTTGTACCGTAAAGTACCGCGAGAGCGCCTCACCATCTCGTCCTTTCGTGGTCGTATTGTGAAAGTGCCCTCCTGTCTGTAGGTCATACAACACAAACCTTGTACCCATTTTGCACGCTGTGCAGTCAATCCGTACCTTCAAGCGGACACGAGCTCCCCACAAAACCCCGCTAAGTATGAACTTCGTACACTAAGGTTCTCACACCGTACAAACTTCATTGCACTCTGCCATACGATTTTCCCTTCCCTGGCTGTAAAATCAAGGTGGGGCGCTCTGGCGGTACTTTATGGTACTTGTAGTATTGTTTGGTAAGCTAGTACTTGTGATGTCACTACTTCATCCGCCCAGGCAAAGTTTTCGCTTATCTCCTTCAGCCCAATGACAGGTGTCTGACAGCAATTTTGCATCTTGTGCACTTCACCATCACACAAATCTGCTGGTTCAGGCACACCAGTTCCAAACAAGTCGGCGAAGTCGGCAAAGAGTAAAGAAACACCTAGAGTAGAGCGCGTTGAACGCGAGTGAACTGGTAAAAAAGACACGAAGTCAGTCACTGGTCAAGGTGGGTGCTGCTAGAGCACCACTGGAGTGCAGAGCAGAGGTGTCATGTTGCGAAAAGCCAGCGTGTTTGTTTGCATCCGGCACAAGATGCGTGTACGGGAAAATGCACGTGAGCTTGAAGCTGAGAAAGCCACTTGTACTCAGCGACGCTCGCCCACATACTGCAAAATGAATCAGAATCGGCGCTGGGCAAAACCGGGGAAAAGAAAGGCTTCGATGACAGGGTTGTCACTCACCCAGCTTGTTCGCCTGATGTCAACGTGAATAATCCTGCAAAGCGACGCTGAGCTCGTCAGCTTCAGCTGGTAAGAAACACGACCGATCGTACTCATGAAGGAGGTGAAGCGCTTGGAAAAGTGTCGATACGAAATATTTGCGCTTCTGGAAAGTGCGAAGTACTACCCGACAACAAGTGCTGCGTCGGCTGATGACAAAGGATGACTTGAACATTTTCGACTTGGAGAGTTTCTCTTGATGTTCAATGACTCCTCAACTCATTCTGAGTCGTTATAAGCCGTTCTGAGAAACTGGAATGTATCAGTAAAAAGTGTAAAGATATTAAAGCGAAAATTTTGCTTGGGCGGAGGAAGTACTTTTGAAGCACTCAATTATGATGTCATCGAATGACTTCATTATAGACATTGGGTCGGTTGATTGTCTTTGATCTTAGCACGTGACGGTGTGATGGTACGCCAGTCTTTCACTGAGTGGATATGGTGTGCAGTGTATGTTATGCTACTTCTGCCCTGCCCTATTGATGTGTGCACCACTGCAACAAAGCTCTCTCTCCTCTTCTCTTCTCTCTCTGTAGCTTATCAGAATTTGCAAATCCGCAAGGAAGTTCGTGAAAGTGCCTGGCAGCAACCAGGCTGGGAAGAAGTTGTCGCTAGAACAGGTAGGAATCTAATTGCTGCCACATGGTATCTCTCTTCCTCCGTTCTTGTGATATTTTGATTTCAACTGCGGAATGGAGTTCTTGTTATGCGCATACAGCATGTACTCGTTTCTGAAAGCATGTATGTTTGTCACTAGCAAACGCTCACCTGGCAAGTATACATGCTTCAATGTGTGTAATCACGTCACATGTTCTGTGTGATCCACACTTTATCTCTGCACCTGAATATGTACGAGCTGCCCAGGCCTCACAACCACTGCCGTTTCTGTGCTGCCTTCTTTAATACATACGCATGTACACTGTATATGTGGCATTATGTGCACATTCACATATCTGAAGGTTTGTGATTTTCAATATTAAAAAGAAATAAAAAAAATGTACTTCGAAGTACAGTACATGATTGTTATGCGCCCATCATCATACATTCTATATCATGTGCTTGGTTAGGGGCCATCCGGGGTTACCGATAGTTTTTACAAAACGAAAAGTTTTTTAATATATTCCGAACCTGAGCCTTCCAAGTTGGAAGGTTGTTGGTTTGCGCCTTTGAGAAGTGTTGGAGCTAGGTGTCAGGTCGCCGAATGTCTCAGTACTCCTTGTCAGTTTTGTGCCATTTTGTCGCACTCGCTGACTGTTTAAGATCTGGTTACGTTGGTGGACAGTTAGTCATAACTCGTAACATTTTGTCCTTCTTCTTTTCACAATTATTTAATTGGCTCACCATCCGAGTTACATTTTTAATATATTATTATTATTATTTACTATTATTTTTTCAGCCTCCACCCCACCCATCTTTTCTGCAGGTAAAACGAATTCCAATAAAATATTTGAAACTCGGATGAGCCATATTGTAGAAAAGAAAAGGACATATGGATACGAGTTAAGAGTAACTCTCCATCACTGTAACTGGATTATACAGTCAGAAAGTGCAATAACTAGGCACAAAACTGACAGAGTACTGAGACATTCGACGTTCTGACACCTAGCTTCAACACAATCAAATTGTCAATTTTCGACACCCAGAAGTAACTGGACATTCTCCATCTGCATGCAATAATTATTTTCAAAATGAAACTCCATCAAACCCACCCACCCCCAAAAGAAAACTTTTCGTTTTGAAAATATTATTGGTAGCCTTGGACGGCCCCTTAGCCTTAGGTGTCTGCTTACTGGACTAACTGTGTGCTGTGAATGTTGCTGTGCACGTGTGCATGCGCACTGTGTGTGTGTGTGTGTGTGTGTGTGTGTGTGTGTATGTGTGTGTGTGTGTGTGTGTGTGTGTGTGTGTGTGTGTGTGCGTGTGTGTGTGTGTGCGTGTGTGTGTGTGTGTGTGTGTGTGTGTGTGTGTACAGTGCCGCTTGTTCGGTGGATGGAGTCAAGCATCTTGACCCCTACGTCGTACTCGCCACTCCGATAGGCCCCATTTCCTCAGCTCATCACCCAGCCTGTGCTCTCATGTTCATAATCAAGCTCTTAGTAACACGCCAAGTTTATCTTTCATGTACGCTCACAAGTGTGCCTCAACCGTACCAAGTTCCAGACTGTTCACTGGTTTTAGTCCCCCCCCCCCCTTACTTTAGGTCTAGTCGATTAGCTTTTATTATGCTTCCCTTATGCTTTTCTTCATCATAGCTGTACTGTTCTCTGCACTGCTCTTTGCTCAGCCATGCTCACTGCAGCTTGCTGGCAATGTTTATCTATTTCAGCCTCTACTTTAGCTGTGCGCCTACATGTGGCATTTGTTATCACGCGTACATGTATACGTCTGTTTCGGACTTGGAGGCTGGCCGCGAGGTGTATCGTGTGCTGGGACTCTCCCTCTTGTAGCCTGTCCGTGCTTTTCTTGTATGTATTTGTATGCCAGTCCATTGTGTTTACAAGTTCACTGGTCTGACTGTACACTGTATTTAATATTCTGTACGGCGTACTGGCGTTGCTCAACTGACTATGACTCTACTTGTAGCTCTATGCTGTTCGAATTATTTTGGCTTTACTTTCTATTTCCTTGTTCTAGTCTGTGTGTGTGTGTGTGTGTGTGTGTGTGTGTGTGTAGTTATCCGTATTTGGTGTTAACACATGTATTATCTTTTTCCTCACATCATGTCTATCAAGAAATGTAGTATTATTGATGGATGAGTTAATTGAGAAATCGTTCTCCACTGCCCTACAATGTAGCTCTCTGACTCACCGTGATTCCAGTTCATGTCATGTTCATGTGCCTCTCAGCTGTCTTGTTGTGTCTCACCGGAGACCAGGACGCTGCATGACATTATACTGATGAGTGATGTCAATCACCCCCCCCCCCCCCCCCCCCCCCCCCCCCGTCCCCTCAGCCTTCTGACTTCTGTCATCATGGTCGTTCAGCTGTAAAAAAATATTTACCGTACCGTTTAGCGTCAGGGTAGCGTCGGGAAATCCCCTCGTCTACCTCGGTCAGGGTAGCGTCGGGAAATCCCCTCGTCTAGCTCGGTTGACCAGATCCGATGACGCATGATGATGAGTAGACCTCGAATATATGACTTGGGGCATGAGTCACACTTGCCGGCTCTGATTCTGAATCAGTTTTCGAGATCAGTCTGGACTTTTCTTCACGCAAAGAAAACTTTTGAAAGATGGTAGTGGTTTCATATCATATCTAGTTTGGACCCAAAGTTCGTCCATAATCATCTTCCCACCCTTGGAGATGTCGGGCCAAGAAGAATTGCGTACGAGCTTCAGAGTGTCGATGATGTTTGTCTGCTTGCGCAATTGCCTAATACCTGTATTCTGAACTGTTCAATTTATTATATTTTTTGTTTTCTTATTACTATTAGTCCTCCTGGAGAGGGTGCTACTACGTTTTGGAGGGGCAGATACTGACGAGAAGCTGGAAAAATCCGTTGGTCGCTTCTTATGCCCCGTCTTGCTGAAACTAGGCACCGAACGCAAAGATGTCAGAGACAAGGTACATGTGCCCACGCATGCTAATCGTGACACATGTACATGAACATGCATTAATTTTATTTATACAGTTGAACATCGATTATCCGACCACCTCTGGGCAGACAACTGTCAGGCGGTGTTCAGATAAGGCAAATGTTCCGGATAAGAAAAAACTGTCACTCACACACTTTCAGTGGTTATTATTACTAGCCGCACGACCTTTTTATTTTTACTTTTCAAATTTTTCGTATTTTTTGAATGGCTCACTACATGCACAGTGCGTACTCTACGGCACGTGCGCCCAAAAAAACTGTTACGGATAATCGAATGGTCGGATAGTCGATGTGCGGATAATCGATGTTCAACTGTACCATTTTATATCATTTTATATCATTCTGCTATGACTTAGTATCAGTGTCATGCCAGACATATGAAATACCGATTCCATGGCCACACGTACCCTTTCGTTATGCCGTAATAAGTAGTAATAACCCAATCAGTTGATCGACCAATAATAGTTTATCCAAGTATCCATTCAGCCACACACGCTCACCTTCGACGATAGAGTTAGGGGCGATGAGAAAATAAGCCCGGGCTTATTCGCCTCGGGCTTATTTTCCAACCGTTTACATGATGGTTGTACGGGGCTGAGTTCAGGTTGGTGACTGCGAACTGTGCGCATTTTATTTTTCAAATCGCACATGAAGGTAAATGTTCCTGAATGATGACATTCGGATCAAGAAGTTCCTGCTCACGCTCCTACTGCCTTTCCAATTTTCACTTATTTTTCAAAAAGGAAGCCTTCACTGAACAAAACGTCAGAAGAAAAATTGCCAAGAAGAGAAACAAAAGAGACGCACTGTCCACGACGATAATACTCTCAGGTTCACGAGGCAAAATCGATAAACGTGAGAAAAACACTCGCAGCCCAGGGCTTATTTTCTTGACCGTTTAGATGAGAGAAAATGGGCTCTGGGGGGGGGGGGGGGGGGGGGGGGTGCAAACACATGCACACGTGTGACCAAGATAACACTGGCAAACCGTGATCCAGTTCACACGGTGCTGGGCAAACTTAAAATGCATCAATGTATCCATAGTGACCTGAAAGTGCCGGGAAATTCAAATTTTGAATTTTCCTTTGTTCAAGCACTGCATTTGCAGTATGCACTTTCAACAACCGACACTTTTCTGGCGTGCAAAGTATAATCTTGAGCACAAGGGCCCCGGCCAAATTCGAAAATCAGTACGTACACTTAGACCATATATGACATCAGACACTGGACTCCACAAGACAAGAACCAAATACAACAACATGCGTAAATCATAGTCGAACAGAAATCCGCAATATTGAGGCTTGATCTCAGCATCGGTGCTCCCATCGGCAGTCATCAAGCACCCTGTGCGGTGGCCAATCATCTCAAAGTCAAACGAGGAAGTGACTTCGCTCCACGCCTCACCAAGCCACTTGGTGATGAACGCATGGCGTTCCCAGGCTGGAATGCCCTTGCTCCATCTTTCCAAGTTCTCGTCAATATAATCTAGAATGGCACAACACTGAATTCGAAGAGCTGGGGTTTGGATGACTTTAACACAAAAACTACAGATAGGCAAGGGAGCTGGACGACATAAAAACTTGCAATATGTTCCAAGTGTTTACTGTAAACCCACTCCTGCTAATTGTCCGTGGTTGGTGAAAGAGCCGATACACGAGTGCTTGATACGAGACCCGAGGCATTGTGTTTGAAAATTGCCTAAGGAGCAGATCTACTGCTCCCATCCACTATTGGCGAGTTGGAATTTGATATGGAGTAGTTTCATATCTTTGTCATGTGACTACACTTTGTAGAAAGTAATCCTGACATGTGGACAATGGAACCAACATGGCCGATTGTCATGTGGCCCATGGATGCAGAAGTTGAGTGGAGTTGGAAGTTGGAACCAACATGGCTGTCCCCTACGTAATAATATGATTAGGGCTGAAACGATCGTGAATTTTCACGTATCGATTACTCTTTAGCTTAACGATCGAGTTATCGATTATAATCGTTAGCAAATAGAGTCATAATTCTGTGCAAACATTACTCTGTTTCCACAAACTATGCCTTCATAATACCAACAAATCTGCATTAGTGAAAGGGTAGCTCCGAAACATGGCAGTTTTGAATTCAATTTAACCTCAGAACATGAACCATACCCCTGGCAACTGTATACTCCCAGCGGAAACTGGTTCAAACTTCACAAAACGAGGGTTTACAGTACTTTCTGGACACATATTTAAGAAACGCAAAATAATCGTAATCGGTAATCTAAACGATTGCTCGATCGTTGGAGTTATCAAACGAGTACTCGATTATTCGGTATAATCGTTTCAGCCCTAAATATGATCATGTGATAGACGTGCAACGGCTCTACTGCTGTAGTGCATGATCTCACTGCTGTGTTTTAGCTGTTATCCAATGTCATTACTTGCTAACCTGGCCTGTGCTGTCCAATATTGCCCGTCTGTCCTAGACTTTGGAAGTGCTGACGCACATAAGCAAGCAGCTGAAGAACAGACTGAAGCTGGCCATGCCGGTTGATGCTTTACTACAGCAGTATGAGGTGGGGTTGTTGTGTTATGCTAGTTTTGGACAATTGTCTTGGATGCTGCAGTATTAGTACATGCACTGTGTACATACATTATTGTACTCAGATGGAGAGCCAAGGTTTAATTTATACAAAAGAGAAAGACCAAGGAACTACAAGTTACTGTTAGCCAGTTAGTTGTAGAACGTCAGTACCGTCGGTCAGTGTCGTGCAATGTTATCGCATGAGCTGATTGTTTAGTAACTGGTGGTGTTAGTGGACAGTATAGCGTAACTTGTAGTTCCTTGGTCTTTCTCTTTTGTATACATTATTGTATTCAATTACCATACCCGAAACTGGACAGCAGCATGTTAGGTCCTAGGATTCTCAGGCGCGGAGTAATGACATCAGCGAGGCCTCCACAACTCTGCTAAGAGCTGCTTAACTATCAGCCTCTTATTCCGGGCACAGTTGTCTATATCAGTCAAGTTAGCTCATTTCAAATTGGACAAATTGCATTAATGGCATCCATTGATGAAGTCGATGATACGACAGGATGACTGATTTCACATGCTATCTGTCCGTATGTGCTTGCGTCAAGTAGACTGTCTCGTCCAAGGAAATTTTGGAGGGATGAAAGTCACTAGCCTTGGGCCCTCCTATTCCTCACTATAGTACAGACTACAGGTTTGTGGCCTCCCTACCGTAAGAACCCCCCCCCCCCCCCCTCTAAAAATTGCAGGGAGCAGGGTTCTGTGGAGGAAATTCTTCTCTTGCTATAGTATCTCGTCCTGTTGTCAGCAGTGTCCTTGCGGAATAAACCAAGTACACGGTGATGTTTTTAGAAGCATCCGGCCCTAGATCCTTTGAAAAACAAGTTTCTTTGTCAACTTGCCTTGTGTTCTTTGGTGTGCTTTTGGCGTGCAGGACTCGACGTTGTCTAGCTTTGTTCACGTAAGTACCACTTTTAAAACAAGTCCTATGGAGATGCCTGTGCATTCGTAAAGAGTTGATAATACTTTGATAATTATACTAGTACATGTACATGTAGCTGCAAACGTTACTACGAAGAATAATTAACTGGTTTTCTCTCGACCAGTGAATATATAAAAACTTTAAAAAGGTTTTCAACTTGTTCCCTGTGACTTTAAATTAGTTTGGTACAAACTTTAGTTATTTTGTGCCCCCTAACTAATATAGCGAAAGTTAATTCCAAATGAAACTTTGTACTTATACAGTACCGTATTTCCCCGTAAGTTAGTTCTCCCCAATGACTTAGTACCCACTATAAAAAATACACTTTCCACTGCCGAGGTTATCACCCCGAAAGACAGTTCCCCCTGAAAGATAGTAAGTTCGTACCCGTCCTACATGTACAGACACCGTACAGTACATACATCATATGCACGGACACTAGAGTTGCGCAGGCTTCCCACTGCGTGTCATTTACCCCCGATAAAAAAGCACTCCCTGAAAGATAGTACCACCCCCGAAAGTTAGTACTCATGTGGCTGCTAAGTTCGAAAGTTAGTACGTACTAACTTACGGGGAAATACGGTACTTTGAAGTACATTGCGTGCTGAGAGCTGGGAGAAGCTGTGGTGACCATGCTGGCAGTCAAATCCCTTCTGTAGACCAGTGAGCAATGTGGCAAGATTCAGAAAGGAAGAAGAGAGCGGGAAGAATACATGCACCAATGGCAGGCATCGTGCACATTTTGTCTGAGAAAACTGTACCGCCACTCCCATTTTTAGAACCTTTTTTTGGTAAACAGTGTTTTTTTGGATTTATCGTGCTATTTTTCGTTCAGCCACCCTGGTTTGAACTCATGACAATAAGCACAAGTGTACCATCCTACATTCTACGCGCTGTGCACTTTTCTTTCAGAGGCTCTGCTAGTGATCAATTAGCGATGAGTTGAGTTTTCTCGTAAAGATTGTGCTGAGGTGTGCGAGAGTTGGTTGTAGTTTTCTTGGCATTAGCACTACTCTTCGCACCTACTGGATCAAATCTGACCGCTTTTTGTGGCTTCTGTTGTGGTGCTCTCACTTGTACTTCTTTCGGTTCATTATAATTGTCACTGTTCATAATATATTTGATCATAAAGCTGTGACAATTGTATAGAACCGGAGGAAGTAGTACTTTTGAGTAGTATGCCTGTATGCTGCGAGTTCGAGAAACCCTCCTGTTGTGAACAGTACACACTGCGGTGATGTATCGTTGCACTTTTGGATGATAAATTGTGCTAGGCGTTCATTGTCATGTAGTTTTGCTGTGTAGCTAAACAATCTGCCCAGAATAGCCTTTGGCCATTGGCTGTGGACATGATGGTTGGGAGTCTGCTCTACTGTTTTGAGCTAAGTACCTAGGTGTAGCTTACACACGGAAAAACGGTCGTCTGATGATTGCAGTGGCATGAATCTTTGAGTGACGACAAATCCAAACCGGGCCTATTTCTCTTTTTCCGTGTGAAACGCTCTGCACTTTGCCTGCAATTGCCACATTTCTCCTAGGTATAGCTTAGGTAGTTCTTTTTCTAGCCTTTCTCTTAACCGCTTCTTGACATTCATTTTGGGTCATGTCTCTGGTGTTGCACCTGTTTCTTTCTCCAGAATTTCACTGTTGTATATCTCAAGATGGCTCTGGTGCGCATCACGCGCGCCGAGCAGCTTGCTCTAGTGCCGCGCCTGCTCTGCTGTCTTGAAGGCAGACCCGTGGCGAATCAGAACACGTAAGATTGCGATGTCCGAGTGCTAGCCCACATGTTGATGCATGCGTTGAGTCTCTATCTCTGCAAGCTTACCGTTTACTTGTACAGTACCGTATTTTCCGGAGCATAGTGCGCACTTTAGATGTGCTATTTTAGGCCCTAAATCGCAGGTGCGCACTATGCTCCGAATATGAAATGCATGTACTTCAATGAAGATTGAAGTGCCCACCCCCAGTGAAGATTGGGGGTGCGCGTTATACAAAGGTGCGCACTATACTCCGAAAAATACGGTACTGTAAGTCAACAAATATTCGGCGCATATTTATTTTCGGCTATTTTCGGCCTGGTCATGTTTGGCCGAAAATTTGTTGCTACCGAAATTTTGATATGCAAGGTTCAGAATGACAGTGTATACAGGCAGCAGCAGTACAAGCCGAAAATTTAGTGCAGCCGAAATGTGTTTTAGCCCTGGGAGGCCGAAATTTGAATGGGCCGAAAATTTGTCGACTTACAGTATTCTGCTGTCGTGGACATGGAAATCCGGGCAACTGTCGCGGGGCCCTCACCCTCAGTGTGTACTGAACGTTGTATGCAGTGCACGTGTTAATCGTATGCGTACTCACGGCTGCATGGCCAGCGCCCTGGGCCGCTTGACCTCCGACCGGATTTCCATGTCCCACGGCAGTAGTTCATGTACTTCGGACCAGCTTGCACTTCCCTGTTATGTGCAGGGACCAGTATGTATTGTTGGTCATAGTCCCTAGGATAGATTCATCTCGGGACTATACCTGTGGACACCTGGCAACTCGAACATCGAGGAATCAGGGCTATTTAAAAGCTCCTCATATGTGAACACCCCCGGATGATACTCCTCTTGTGAGCAATCACTCAGTCTTGGTCCCATAGTGTACACAATTGTGTGTGTTGTGTGTGTGTGTTTCTTTGCAGCCTACTACGTGTAATAACTCCGCTCCTTGGCTCTGTCGAGCTGCCAGAGTCCCAGATAGACCGAGCGAGCTGGTTGATGCTGCGGCAGAAAAGACGAGCTGTTGGCAGTCTCCTGCTGGAGTTTCTGATCGACTTCCTGCGTTTGCCGTACAAGTAAGTGTGGCTACATACAGTATGATGTCTGCTGCGCGTATTTCCCTGTCTCGGGGTTTCTCACTCTGGTGTCAGTTTCCTACAAGACTCTTTGGTATCCATGTGTTTTTGGATCGCCGGTACTGTAACAGCTTATTTCCAGCCGTTCTTGCTGCTTTCTGTCGCGGATCCATCAGCTGGGAAACGGCTGTTGGTCGAAGATTTGTGGTGTATTCTCTTGCCTCTATGTTTCAGGAAGCCCTCATTCACTCCTACGTCTGAACATGGTGAGAATCGAGGAGGCTTGCAGGGCCTCACTCATGCCTCCTATCAGCGTGCATCAGCCGACTTGATTGTGTCGAATGGCTATTTCGACAAGCTGGAGGAGGTGTGTGACTTTGCGTAGGCAATGCGATTACCTTAGTTCTTACTAGAGTATTGTGGCGGATGCGGAAAACTCGGCTTCCAGCCGAGTCTCACGCGAACCGTGAAATTTATTTATTTTTTTATTTATTTTTATTTATTGTGATCCGGTGCTAGGTCACTGGGTTGCGCTTCGTGTGTGTTCAGTACATAAAAGGAGTCAACACATCCTCGCATGCCTGCATGTTTGTAATAATCCACACACGTACATGTACCATAAATGATAATGCACTTGCACTACACACCATCTACTTGACATAATATCTTTATTCAAGCTCAACAAAATGTGAGAACAGGAAAGAAACACAGGAACGCAACACATTCACATTCACCTACTACTTCACCCCAGAAACTAAGCAATGAAAAAATATTCGTGATTTTTTAATCACGTTGTAAGGAGTTACTGTGCTCAAGAAATTTGTTTCAGTGGAACAAAAACACTTCAAGCCAATGGGTGTATAGTCACTGGATACACTTCTTTGGAGTATGTGTACTGTTATACAATTGAAATTGCCACTATTTCAGTCTCAGCTGGACTGGAGTCACCGTCGCTCGATTCCTCAGAGCTCAATGCCCCAGAACTGGCAGATTGATGAAAGTCGCGATTTTAATTTTTTTTTTAATTTCTCCGAAGGAAGTAGTATACAAGCCTGGTCCTGTGCAATGTGCATGACTTGTATTGTAGTTTCACACAGTCCTACAGGGTGTCCTCCGTGCAGTTATCTAGAATATCTGACAAGCACACAGACGTTCCCCGCGTTCTGAGCAATGTCTTACTCCCTGTAAACGCCTCCATTAGATCTGCACTACCACTCCCCGTGAGTATTATGTCTTCCGGCACTGTGTTATGTGTGCCCAATGCAGATGAAGCTGGGTGCTGTGGAGTTCATTGCATCGGGTATATTCGCCGAGGAGGACGTGGCGTGCCATCTGCTTGTGGCGTCCGCCGATACACACCACAGGTAAGGATGGAGGACATTGTAGAGACCTTTCAAATTACAGAGAACGGGTTTTGTCTATCTCCTGGCATGCAACATGAGCTGTAGCTGAGCAGAATGGCGACGGTGTGGCAAAAGTGCAGGCTTGTCTGTCACCAGTGTCAACAGTGTGTGCGTGGTGATGCCTGTTCTTGAAAGTGTTCTATACTGCTCTCTGTATGCCCATGGTGTGTAAATGTTTTTTTCTTCTCTTTCTCTATCTTTGTGTTCTAGCGTGGCTGATAAAAGCGACTCGCATCTAAAGCGCATGGTTGGGTAAGCGTTTGCGTGCAGCTATGTGACTAAACTTATCAGTGCTCTTCGGTAAAACTGCCCTTATCCGAACTCCGCAGATCCAATTGTAGAGTCATGATGGGAAGGCTTCCCAACTGAATGACTGATACATTATTAGTAGTGTCCTTAGCAAGGGAGCCAGAGCCCGAGCAGTTGTGTGATGCATGGAGTGTGCACATTTCTGCATGTGTGTGTGTGTGTGTTTGTGTGTGTGTGTGTGTGTGTGTGTGTGTGTGTGTGTGTGTGTGTATGTGTGTGACTGTGTGCACGCACGCGCACACACGTGTTGGTTGCGAATCTCTTTACCCGCCTCTTGTTTGTTTTGTTTTTTGCTCCAGTCCAGATATCTGGGAGAAGGCGCCAGTTATCACGGCTGTCTACAAGCTACTGTTGGGATCCACAATGAATGTGCCGCTAGATGTAAGTAATCAGCCAAATACATGTACTGACTAGTTTTTCGCTTTCATAACTCAGGCAAGGAGATGGTACACAGAGAGGGCATTTGTTCTATTCTAGTCGGTAGTTGCTGCAGCTGTAGCTCGGCCTGCTGTCTCCGCTGCATATGCCTTCTGTATTGTATTGCTTGTCTGAGGTGTCTAGTGTAGGGAGCATTTCCGATGCAGTACATGCTCTTGGTGATAAGAACTTGACCATCTATTCGTGTGATGTTCCGTGTTTTGGTGATGTGTTTTGCTACTGTTGTCTGTATTGCAGGAGGTCATGTTAGGTAGCCAGGGTGATACCAAATCACCAACACACTGCTCAGTGGCAAGGGATTTCGTGCTGTTGGCAATCCTCACCGTACTGCAGCGCTCCAAAGAAGCAGTGGATCAGATTGAGTTGGCCGTGAAGGTACAGTGTTCTGTGCCTACAACGTACTGCGTCTGTCTGTGTTTGGGTGCTTGTGTACATGTGTGTGTGTGTGTGTGTTTGTGTGTGTGTGTGTCCACGTGTGTCCGTATGTGCATGTTTGGGTGCTTGTGTGTGTGTGTGGGGGGGGGGGGGGGGGGATGTTTGGATGTGTATGGATGCTTGCGTGTATGGATTCTTGTGTGTATGTTTGGGTTCGTACGTGCATGTGTGTGTGTGTGTGTGTGTGTGTGTGTTGGTTGGCTGGCTGGCTGGCTGGCTGGCTGGCTGGCTGGCTGGCTGGCTGGCTGGCTGGCTGGCTGGCTGGCTGGCTGGCTGGCTGGCTGGCTGGCTGGCTGGCTGGCTGGCTGGCTGGCTGGCTGGCTGGCTGGCTGGCTGGTTGGCTGGTTGGCTGGTTGGCTGGTTGGTTGGCTGGTTGGTTGGCTGGTAGGTCCAATTGTCAGGTTTGAAATCCCTCAGACCTCAATCAATTCCTAATGGGCCGCAGTGTGCCATGGTAGCATTGTACTCACAACCCATATCAGGGCCGTCGGACACGGTACGGTCACTACGGTATTGACCGTACCCCTTTTTGCCCCAGGTACCCCGCGAATCAATAAAATACACTGATCTGGACTCTAAATTTCCAAAATTTTCGGCTCAGCCACCCCTCCCTCGCGAGTAACTCGTACTTCAGATGGCTGACCGTACCACACTAAAATACCTTCCGACGCCCCTGCATATCATATGTGCTACTGAGAATACTGTCGAAAATAGCAATGGCAACTCTACTAGTCTGTCTCTACTGCTTTGACAGTCATGTACGAATCTTCGGTGTACAATACTCGGGATAAAACATAGTACTATTTTTGTTCATGAGTTGAGGAAGTTGAAAGGGAAGTAATCGGAAGATGAAAGTGACTGTCACCACTAGGACTCGAACCAGAGACCTTCGCTATAGTCCAGCGGTGGTCCTGACCACTATTCTAGTTTTGTACTTTTTTGAAAGAACTATTTTTGACGATCCTGCATAAACAGTTACTCTACCGGCCATTTGACCTTGGAAAAAAGTAGCTTGGCGAAAACGTACTGGTCTTGACGACCCTCGGAAGTATGGTACACTGAAGTTTTGCTGATTATGCAGTCTGTTGCTGTTGTGTGTCTGTCTGCCCATGCACAGGCTTGTGCAGTCTGCCATTACAGTACTCAGCTGAAGATTCGAATTCAGGGCTTGCTTCTACTACAGCACATCTGTGAACAGTATGTTTTTGCTGCTGCTGTTTTTTCACACTTACTGTATAGTATAAACTAGGGCTGAGTCGGGTAGCATTTTCTTCGGGTATCGGGTTTGGGTAGTTTTCCACGGGTAGCACTGGTACCTGATCGGGTAATGTTTCCATGGTAACACCCCAATGCACCCCTTCCCTTACACACTTGGTAGACACGCGGAGTATTACATGAATTTGTACACGTGCACTGTACATGATGTCATCTGCGACTTCGGGTTTCGGGTACTATTCTGCACCCGTCTACCCAAGGTCCTCACGGGTAGCACGGGTACCCGACTACCCGTGCACACCACTAGTATAAACCCGGAAACCTTTGCGATCCAGAATCCTTCGCGGTCTTCACGATGGTGTGAAATCGCAAAAGTAAGCCGGCGCGAAACGTAGAACTGCAGTAAAAAAAACCTGGGGAAATTGACTCCAATCGCGAACGTATTCAGGTGCAGATTTGTCTGTGCTAATCGCGAACTGTAAACAAGCACAAATGTTCCCGGGTTTACAGTGACTGGTAGGAGGAGGACGAACTTCAGGCCCTTCACAAGCGACGTTTTCGAAAGTCTTACCCCACAAGTGTAATTCATGAGTCAGTCGGTGTCCTCCTGTACTGTGGCTAGCACAGCCCATGCACACACACAAAATCAGATGCAGTGCACTGACTCTAGCTGTCTGGAATTTTGCATGTCTACCAAGCAAAGAACGAGGCACTAACTGCACAGATGAGTAGCACATGACACAAGTAGAACTGACTAACGCTACTTGAAAGCCTTGAAAGGGGCTAGCGGTCTCGTTCATGTGGTTCAGTGAGCCCTACGCATACAGTCGAGAGTTTAAAAGCTCCCAAGAGTGTGCAACTCCTGATACCGTTTATATGGGGTTCGCCGACAGCGAAAACTCACATCACGTGGTGTAGTGTTACCGTTGTACGTTTCCAGCCCGTTTTTAGCGAGCAATGGAGTTGAAAAATATTGCACTCTAGACAGAAACCCACTCAGCTTTGTGCGTGTCACCAGCTTGATCAATTGATCATCGCAGATACTCGGACTGCGCGCACGCTATCCTTTGTTGTACGTAGGACAAATCGTACTTGGAACACAGGATTTGAGTTTTCGCCGTCGGGGACCCCGTATGCACGTTCTTGGGAGCTTATTTGCTCTTGATACGTCATGGACCGACTGATCGTGTTTCTTGGCCGAACTGATCGCACGTTTACTGAAAAATGTGAAACTTTGTAATTTGTCACTTCCAGCGGTGGCATCGAGTACTCGATTACTATCGGGTTGATCATCTAGGGAGCAGTTTCTCCAGTACCCGGGCTACCCGTTTGATCACTATGTTTTTCCCGCTGCTGTGTACAGTCCATTTCAAAAATATAGACGCACGGTATTTTTGAAATATTTCAAATTTGGCTTGTGCTTCTTGAGAATTTTTTATCGGAATGTTGCTCAGGTATGTGGTATAGATGCTGGCCTAACGGTTTTTTGAAATCACGCGTCTATATTTTTGAAACGCACTGTAGTGGCACTAACATTGCGTGCACATGTGTAGATAGTGCACTTGAAAAAAAAAAGCTGCTTTTGTGTGTGTGTCTGTGTGTGTGTGTGTGTGTGTGTGTGTGTGTGTGTGTGTGTGTGTGTGTGTGTGTGTGTTCACTTGTTCACTTGTTCACGTGTGTGTGTATGTGTGTGTGTGTGTGTGTTCACTTGTTCACGTGTGTGTGTATGTGTGTGTGTGTTCACGTGTGTTTGTGCATGTACATGTTTAGTTCATCGGAGGATAATGCAACAAAGTATGGTGCTAGCTTGTTCTCCTATGTCTGCGAGCGAATCATGGAAGATGAAGAGGTACGTACATGTATGTTAATGTCCTGGCGTGCACACGCCTGTGTGTGTGTGTGTGTGTTTGTGTGTGTGTGTGTGTGTGTGTGTGTGTGTGTGTGTGTGTGTGTGTGTGTGTGTGTACGTGCATTTGCCTGTTGTGTGGCTTAGACAGTTATCTGGTGCTAGTCTTGATCTGTTTCATTCGGAATCAGATCCGCCGTCGTTGCTATAAGAGAAAATCTGTGGGTGCACATCCAGTGCATTTGCAGATTTGCGTGCTTCAATTGCGACGGGCGTATACATGGTATACATGGTACACATGGTGTGTGTGTGCGTGCGTGCGTGCGTGCGTGCGTGCGTGCGTGCGTGTGTGTGTGTGTGTGTGTGTGTGTGTGTGTGTGTGCACCACTGGAAGATGTTTTCAAGCTGATTGCACCTTTTTGCCGAGAGGCTCCAGATTCAAGGTGCATTCCCATCATCCCATTGGATATCGTATTTTGCCTATCATAATTATGAACGCTTGTGGCTCTGAGTTTGTAGTTGTGGCTCATCCAAAGTATTCCTCAATTTCCAGACTGGCCTCTGACCAACTCCTGTAGATTGGTAGCATGTGGACTTGTGGATTATTCGGTGTACCTCCCATGTTGAGTTTGTTTGCTGTATGCATATGTGCGTGTGTGTACGTGTGCGCATGTGCGCATGTGTGTGCGTTTACACTCGTGCAGCCTGTTGCTTTGCGTAGCCTGGCCCTAATCGCCCTTGGCAAGTTCTCTCGGTAAGCTCTTGGCAGCACCTTTCCATGCCCCCTATTTCAATTTTTGCTGTAATAAACATTTGGAAATGCTTGCACAGCGTATTATGTGTTTGCTTCAAGAACCAGAGCTGCACTACCATGACTACCCTAGGCAGGTGGCCAATGAGAGTGCAATATCCAAGCTAGGACCATCCCCCAGACCAACGACTGGCTGGAGCAACATGATGTCTACACTTGCAGTTGTAGGCAGAACGGCCGGCATCTTGGATTGACGTTCACAACAGTGCTGTGTTGCACATACCTTGGCACTGGTGATGTCTTCATACAGTTCCATATCTTCCACATCACATGGAAGTTCGTAAGAAACATCAACACAAACATAAAAACATTACGGAGAGTTTCCGGCAGTGTGAAAGGATAGCAGGGGAATGTGGGGGAGGTGGACTAACAAATACCTGGACAGTGTGTGCATCAATATGGATTACTTAACTACCAACTTGCATTCTTTGGAAGAAGCAACCAGCCAAAGTCTACACAATGTCGTTATGAATGCAGCACTACTGTACTGTACACATGATGTGTTGGATTTTATTTGTGATGGGTAAACTGCTGTGTCTTGCTGCGTGTGCTTAGGACGGTGCCAGAACACTTTCGCAAGCGCATCCACCAGAGGTCTTCTCCGGAAGGAGTTCTGCGTTACATGTTCAAAACATTAGAGGAGGTCAGAGCTACTGTCATGTGTGCTGTGCGTGATATTAGTACTGTCCTGTCATGCGGGGACAGAGGACGGTGAAATTCCAGTGTAGGACAGGCGTGCTCTTGTATGTGCTGGTGCATGGGCGGGTTTGGGGAGGGGAGACTTCTGTTCAAGTGTTTGTGTTTGAAGCTGGTGCTTTCCATGACTACAGTCCATTCATTGGAAACTGGCACCCTAACGTTTTGGTGTCTCCTGCACATAGTTGTAGATATCGTGAAAACAACAGTACATCCTGCATTGTGTGACCCGTGCAATTACTCCTGGCCACATTTGAGGCCAGAACAGGGAAATAGAAATTCAGCCAGGTTTTACAAAATTGGGACAGGTATGCCATGGCAAAATGTATGGAGAAGCAGATCCCAAACCCAGATTTTTGAGATTTAAAGATTTAAAATCAGACTTTCGAAAGCCAGCGGGACTGTTTCCGATGAATGGGCTGTAAGTTTTTAAAATACATACTAGTGGTCAGGATTTGTGCCCAAGCGTTTGTCAGCTGAGTACAGATAGCGTTCTATCTTGCTCGATTCCTGGCTTGGAAACTGAGTGATGGCAGTCCAACCCAAGCAGCAGCAGCACATGTACAGGTTATCGGATGGACCCGTGTTGGCCTCAAAAGCTTCGTTCTCTAATCCAAGTCACAGGCTCCTGCTCAAGTGCAGGGAATGCAGCTTTGTATATTTGGGGGGGGGGGGGGGGGGACAGTTTTGGCCAAAATTTCATTTAGAATATTCTCTTCAAATTCCGTAGATGTGATGATGGAGAGTCTTCGGATTCATTCTGTGAAATAAAAATGAGGTCCCCCCCTGGGTTTTACTACTGTTCCATTGATCCAAGGGATGCGAAGGTTGCCGGAATATCTGTGTGTGCATGTGTTCATGTGTGCAGACTGAGAGCGAGGATCTGCGGCAGAGCTTTTACGACTGCATCATGGCCTTCGCGCCCGCACTCGTGCCATCAGCCAAGGCGCACTCCGCCGAGTATATGAGTCTGCTTGCATCGTGCCGGAACAGCGAGGTGGCCAAAGTGCGACTGCTGGGCGTGCAGTTTGCCATCACCGTGCTCGGTGTGAGTGACGTTGCCACCAGTTTTGTACTGCTAGAGCACTCGGCTGACAGGTAAGCTCTACTTGCTACATCAGTATGTCTGTGTGTGCGTGCATGCTTGCGTGTGTGTGTGTGTGTGTGTGTGTGTGTGTGTGTGTGTGTGTGTGTGTGTGTGTGTGGAACATACGGAACATAGGAAGTTGAGAGAGAAAGACAGACCCTTCTAGCTCCTGATCAGGTAGAGGGCTGGCGCCAGCCAGTATGTTGGTGACGTCTGGCAGAGAGGAGTCATCTTCCCGGCATCGTTTCGCAGAGGCAGCGGCGGCAACAGACGGCATAGTAGTGGACGCAGGTGGGTGACGAAGACCGAGCACACGTGGGCGAGGCGTTTCCATTGTAAGAGTATAACTACCTGAGGGGGTCCAGCTGGCCAGCTGGCCAGAATCTGCTTTGCTGATCCGGTTTGTTTTCAGCACACGGCTTGCTTCCCGGGCACTGCAGACGATCGCTCATTATTTTCCACCCTTCATGTGGTCTGTCAGCAGTAGCTCAGAAGCCGTTGTATATGCTGTGAACAACAGCTCCAGAATTGTCTGAGTCAGTCTATCATTGCTATGTAGTGTCAAACACTGCGTCAACTTTCAACATAGCTCCTGGAAAAGGTCGAGCAGAGCCCTCCACCACTGATGACTCATCTCCTGATCACTCGGGGAATGGCTGAAGTAAGCGCTGGTACTAGGCACTCATCTCCGAAATAGATCCTTGTGCCTCCAAGGCACACACAAAAGACCAGTAACAATCTTCCGCAGCAGACCAAGTACACGGCAGCCTGCAAGGAGTTCATCCCCTTTGAGCTCTGCAAGGACTGATTGAAGGAGCTTGTTTGCTATGCCATTCGCTTCGCTAAAGAATTCTATCGGATACTCGCGAAGGAACCAAACCTCGGCACCATTCAGAAAAGTACTGTTGAACCTGTATCTTTGAAACCCAGTCGAATTTTTGTCGATGCCACAGTCTTTTCAAAATGCTCTTAAGAGTGCATGGCACCCTGACTGCTCGCTGCCATGCTTTGAATCAGCCTTACACAGAGTTCTTACGTATCCTACAACTGTACTGTGCTTCTCCTTTGGGATGATGATATTTCGGCCACGGCCCACTGGGAGGTAGTGTTCTTATCCAGCGTGAGATTTGATGGTCGGAGTTGAGTGTCCAGCGAGTTTGCTGGACTGCAGCATAGGTTGACTTTCAATTGACCGCGGTTGGAGTAGTTTATAACCGAGACGTAGATGTTGATTGGGATGGTGGATTGCATGTGTCCATGGTACTGCATTGCAACCTGGTGACGTCTGCTCTTCACACCTCCATGGTTGGCATTCATGAAGATTCTTGTCCCGCTATCGGTTTGTTGTCCTCGCTGCATGGGGTAGAAATTCGTCTTTGCGCAGCGAATTATATCCGCATCTAGAGAAGCTCTGAGACACGGGATGGTCGTGAAGATACCTTTCAGGATCTGTTCCGTGCTCTCGTTGATCTGCAGATACAGGTTGGGCTTAGGCTCTCCCGTCAAGCAGGGTGCGGCCTCCACACGCGCAGTCAGAATAGTACCCATAGGAAAGTATTATTTCCAGCTCGCACCATCTTGCGCTAAGTACGTCTCTCCACGCTTCACATAGTTCACTTGAATCCCTGAGAACAGCCCTTCAGCGATAAGAAGCTTCACAAACGGTGCTGTTGTGGGGTGAGGATCAGATCCATTTCCTTGGGCAAGGGTGGCATTTCTGGTAATCTGAATGGTTTTCCTTCCCAACGTTGACACGTGATGCATTGTTTCAGACTGTTCCTTACCCTTGCTCGTCTCCTCGGCATCCGTGTAAGCTTGCAATAGTATTATCCTTTTCAAGGAGTGCTGTTTGCACTTCACACACTAATCATGTCAAGCTGTTCGACCCGCACATTCTTCTGTCACAACCGCAACCTGCATCATCTGAGATCCTTCTCTTGGTGATATCCCACCCCGTAAACACAGCATAGTGAAATGGTGTGCTAAAGTACTTATTCCGAATGAAGTGACAGAGGAGAGGGTGGATTTTGGATACACACTCGCAACTCGTATACATTGTACAGGAACAGACGGTAGCCATTTATGCACATCGTCCTGTATTGCTGTTTCAGTCAACTCGTCAATCAGTTCACACCAGCCAACACGGTTCAATCCAGCAAAGGGATTAGTCAATACATGCAATAAGAATAAATACAAGGAAAGGGTTCTGGATAATAAATTAGGACAATATGGATCTGGCCACCATTCTCGGTCTCTCTCTCTCTCTCTCGATCTCTCTCTCGATCTCCTCGACCTTGCGCAAGCATGCGCAAATATGTACAATGTAGCTAAAACAAGTATCACATGAGACCTACGTCACTGGTCCAACACATGGCACTACTCCGGGCATGCCGAGTATGGGGAGAATGCGTACAGCAAGAACAGAGTACATGTCGTATGATTCTAGTTTACTGAAGGCTTATCAATGACTGAGACCAAACATACATTACATCATGAATCATACACATTATTAGATGAGCCGAGCCAAGCTAAAAGGTGGCTTAGGCATAATTTTTGGAAATTTCTTTTTTCATGCCAAAGTGATGTCTATATATCCAACTTCCATCATGGAAATTTTGGTGCCCATCTGAAATGTATATGTGCCATAAACAAGCATACATTGTGCACATGTCACAGAATGGTTGGTATCAATGACACTAAGGATTCCAAGACCTTCCCAAACTCCAAGAAAACATGGGACACCAAGTGGAGACAAAGCTTAGCAGGTGTGCAAGCAATACAAGAAGAATGAGCACTTGTGTTCTAGAAGATCCAAGAAAGAATTAATAACAGATGTGCATAAAATTTTCATCATGACTCATGTCATTTTATCACGCAATACGAATTTTGATATCCTTCATCATGATGTTGTGACTATATTTTTCGCTGGGTTGGGGAACGTGGCATCTTACCAAGAGAGTCCGTCATACTCTCTCCAATCACCTATGCCGGCAGGATGAATTAATCCTTTCATGTAGCTCGTAGTGCTGTGACAGAGATCTAGCTCCATTGGTGTACTGTCCTCGCACCTACATATACATGTAGGTCCAGTAGACTGGACATCGCTAACAAGCGTCACTGGTTCTTTGTCCGTCCTAGTCCATGTCATTCTCCTTCCCTGCCAAGGATACTGGTAGAAGGCGCCACGGGACAATATGCTAGCAGGTAGAGTCAATGCATCGCTTCGTCGTGTGGCACTATTTCCTTGAAACGAGGAAATTTTGGAATCCAGTACGCCACGTCATGAACACTAAATTGAAGGTAGCCGAAACAAAGTGAAACATCGCAGCAAGAGCCAACTCACCAGGCCGCTTGTCAGAATGATAGTCGGAAGGCTTGTAGACGTCTCCCCATAGCTATACTCGCCGCTCTAGTCGTGGCCACGATAAGAAACACAGCCACTATGAATGAGCGACTCTTCCTCGTCAAGTAGGTTTGGGCGCACACGGATACAGAATGTCATCCTGCTCACCTCCAAATTCTCTAGAAGCTCCATTGCGATCTCTGGCAGCGCTGAGGAATCCCCACAACGATGAAAGAGTGAACACTGAAGAAGTGTTGCTCAAACATAAAAAGGCTTCTCTCTTCATCCGCTTGCAAACTTGAAAGTGAATATTTTCGCGATTGCGCTCGAGTAGAATTTTGCCAACTGTGACGTTTTGGTGATTTTCTCGATTTGTTGGCAAAACACGAAGCCACTTTTTAGCTTGGCGCGGCTCAGATACAGTTCAGTGGGACTACCACAATTGCGTGCAAGTTGCTCAGTCTCCACGTATACTCGGTATGAGATGCTCGTAATGAATTCCACTTAACAAGCGCTACGTCTTGCACATCGAGCACTCTTCAGGCAGTTGGCCAAACCTTTTCTATGCAGTGACTACATAGAAAAGGTTTGGCCAACTGCCTGAAGAGTGCTCGATGTGCAAGGCGTAGCGCTTGTTACGCATGATAGAGAGAGGGTCCAGGTGGAAAATGCTGTGACTTTAAAAAATTGCATGCCAACGCAAAAGTCAGATCTGAATTCCACTATAAAGTTTTTTTATAAGAAGAAATGAAGACCAAGGAACTACAAGTTATGCTATAGTATAATGTCCACTAACACCACCAGTTACTTTACAATCAGCTCATGCGATAACATTGCACGACGCTGACCAGCGGTACTTCCGTTCTACACCTAACTGGCAATCAGCTCTAGCACTAACTGGTGACTGGTAAACTAACTGGTGGTGTTAGTGGACATTCTAGCGTAACTTGTAGCTCTTTGGTCCTCTTTTCTTCTTACTTGTCCTTGGCTCTCCACCCGAGTCTAATAGGTGGAAAATTCTGTGACTTTTAAAAGTTTCATGCTGAAGCAATCATTAGATCTGAATTCCACTATAAAGTTTTTTTTTTTTGCTGTGTGTGCACCTACTATGCTGTGCAATAGTGATGAAACCGTGCGTCGCGCCTGTCAGCGTGCTATCTACGGTGTCGTCGAGGACCAGTCTGCACACGGCCACCTGACCATCATTCCCAGCCCGGAGCACCTGACCCCGGTCGAGCAAATCCTCCAGCACCTCAACAGTGCCGTGAGTAATCCGCTTTGTTCACCTGTGTGTGTGTGCCATCCTATGGGTCTGTTACCATAGCAATCATATTTGCCTTGACTGTTACCTGTAGCAAGAAGGAGCCATTGGCGTGTGTGATCCCGGTGGCCTAACTGGTAGGGCACTATCCCGGAAAGACAGGGGTGCTGGTTTAGAAGTAGCCATCATGTTTTGGTTGCTGTCATGGCAATCATGTAGCATAATTAATAATATCCTGACTGTTGACGCACAGCACGAGAGTTGACTCAGTGCAGTTGTGTGATGCTCAGCCAAGTAAACGTAATCATGTCAACAGCGCCATGTACACAAACTGGTGATCAGCTCATTGCCATTTTGTTCTGCTGTGGGCGTGTGTTTTGTTTGTTTTCGTCTGCTCTGTGCCGTCTGGTAGTCTCGTACAGCGCTGAGTAATGACAAAGGCTACCGTTCGGCGGGAGTGATCTTGCCGTTCTCACCCAAAGTCCTGCAACAGGTTAGCATCGGTACAGCAGCGGCCATCCTTAGTGTTCTCCTTTGCCATTACACCAACATCTATGTTGTGTGCTTATGGATATATTTGTGTGCGTGCACGTGTGTGTATGCATAATGTGTGTGTGGGAGGGGGGGGGGGGGGGGCATTTGTGTGTGTGCGTGCGCACATTGTGTTTGGGTGCATGTTGTGTGCTCCATACCACGCTTGCTACTGGCTGGCGTTTACTTGTTTTGGAATATGCTGTATCATTGACTGTATGATGTGTGTGTGTGTGCATGTGTGTATGTGTGTGTGTGTATGTGTGTGTGTGTGTGTGTGTGTGTGTGTGTGTGTGTGTGTGTGTGTGTGTGTGTGTGTGTGTGTGTGTGTGTGTGTGTGTATATGTTATGGTGTGTGTGTGTTATGGTGTGTTATGGTGTGTGTTATGGTGTATGTGTGTGCATGTGTGTGTGTGTGCGGATGTGCTACATGTTTTGTTGCAGATGTTGCTTTACTGCCATGCGGCGTTGCTCAGTCAATACGGTATCACGCAGGAAGAGTTCACTCTAGGCAACTACCAACGACAGCTGCTTGAGACCTACACTAGCAAGACCGATCACTGTAAGCCAGAATACATACATTATTATGTAGTGCATGAGTCACAGAGCATCACATGTCTGGTTAAGTTGTAACTACAGTCAGACCTCGCTTATCCGGTCCTCTTTTATCCCAATCCCTCGCCATCCGGAAGAAAATAGCTGGTTACAGATTTACAGCATGCGTGGTGCATCCAACATAACCGGTGTTTGGTTATCTGGTTCCCTCGCCTATCCGGATATTTTTGTGGAAAACGGATGTTTGCGGTTAAGCGAGGTCTGACTGTAATAGTATCATGCCATATCCTGGCAGTCCTCAGACAGCTGAGCACTGAGCACTCTACTGGACCGGATGACTCCACTCTCTGTAATTTATGTAAGTTGTTGCTTGGTATGTGCAAGCCTGGTTTGTGGGTTGATCAGGTACGTTTGTACATGCATGATATTGACAGCACGTCACATGATGGAGGACGCGCTGTAAGGAACAGTGCTCGTGACCGCTACTAGAAGCCGGTTGGTAGGCTGCGGATGCTGTCCTATCGCTTCATATGGTCGCACAAACCAATGCCCCACCAACCGTTTGCAGTCAGAAGCACTGTTCCTGTTGGTGTGGCCTCCTCTTGCAATATGCCGGCAGTGCCATACCAAGTTCTTCATTGCGTGTGTACTATGCCAGTGTTTACTGCCTTTCCATTATTCACTTCCCTACTTGCATTGGTTCACACTCTCTTTTGCAGCACAACGGGTGGCAAAATGGACCGAATCTTGGCAGCTGATGGAGTATCTGCTAGCAGGCAAAACACTCGGTATGTGGTGGTGGTGGTATTGTGTACGTGTTGATGGCGGTACCGTACATTATAGATTTATAGTATACCGGTAATATGTTATGAAGTGCTCAATGTACATGTATGCGTGTTTTAAACTTAAAAAAACTGTTTCTATCGTCCTTGTAATTGTGCGCAGGAAGTGAGTTCCACGTCACTACTTTAGCCTATCTTGCCGATCTTATTTTGCTGGTGCCGCGAGATGTGGAGACTCATGTTCGCGAAGTCTGCTTGCCACACATTATGGTAAGCATTGGTAGTGCTAGACTGTGCGACTGTGCCTTCTGACATCTGAACCTGCAATGCCTGATTGTAAACATCCATGAAAGTTGAGTTTGGACACGTTTGCTCTCTGCTTTTCTGACTCTAAATGTTGCATTGTGAATCATCCAGTAACAGACCCATTGGAACTGGGGTATAGTGAGCATTCTTGTTGTCCATACTTGTTATGTGTGAAGCAGACCCGTGTGTCGGTGTTAGGCAGTTTCTTCTCTGCCTGAACTATTCTCTCTCTCTCTCTCTTTCTTTCTTTCTTTCTTTCTTTCTTTCTCTGTGGCTGGCTGGCTGGCTGGCTGGCTGGCTGGCTGACTGGCCGTCTCTTCCTCTCGATTTCCTATGTTCTGTATGTTCTACATGTCCGGCACTGTGTGCACACGTTGCTCTTTCTGTTCTCCTCTTCAGCCCTACGTGACTAGCTCTAATGAAGAAGTGCGTGGCCTAGCAGCCAGGGTACTTGCCTCCTGCACTATCTGCTGCAGCCTTGAACTGACAACCATCACCGATCAACTCATGGCGGAGATGCATAAAAAGGTACATGTACTAGGAATCCTAGGCATGTGTGTTTGTTTCGCTGTGCTGTGTCTTGCATAATCTGGCCCGGGCACAAGAATAGCACTGTATGCTGCAAAGGACAACTCCCTCAAGCTGGAATATAACCCCTAGCCATGCATACATTGATGGCATGCTCAAGCTGACGATTCAACTGGCGCCACCCTGCAAGGGCTTTACCACAGGCCGGGTAGTCTCTGTATGTATGTATGTATGTGTGTGTGGGGGGGGGGGGGGGGGGGGTTCTTCCTTCTGTACAACAACGACCGGATTGTGTGTGTCTGTGTGTCTGTGTGTCTGTGTGTCTGTATGTCTGTGTGCGTATGTGTGTGCATGCACGTGTGCACATGTGAATGTGTGTGTGTGTGTGCGCACGTGTGTGAGGGAGTGCATACTTTTGTATTTGTGCGTGTGTGTATGTGTGTATGTGTGTATGTGTGTGTGTGTGTGTGTCCCATATGGTGCAGTGGTATGTGCAGCGATTTCCAATCGATAGGTTGCGGGTTCGATTCCCGACGATTATGGTCACACACGTCTTTCTTCTCTTTCTCAGACTCTTCCTGACTTTTCTTTCATTCTCCTGGGTGGTTACCAACAGCCAGTGCATGCCGGAGTATGTGGTGTGATGTGTGTGCGGGAAAAAAAAGAAAAAAAAAAGACCAAAAAGTAGGGATTCACTGGCCAGAAAAAAGCCACTTCAAAGCTGTGTGGTGTAGACCAGGCTGAATAGTGGTGGTCAATTCTTCAGCCTTGCAAGCTGTTGAATGGTGCAATCCCAGCACAAGTTGCTATGGCTTCTGCTGTAGCATCGCTATCATCGCCTCTGGCGATGGGCGTCCAATGGTCAATGGTCAATGGTGTGTGTGTGTGTGTGTGTGTGTGTGTGTGTGTGTGTGTGTGTGTGTGTGTGTGTTTGTGTGTGTGTGTGTGTGTGTGTGTGTGTGTGTGCGTGCGTGCTTGCATGCATGCGTGTATGCGTGCTTGCATGCATGCGTGTAGGATCTTGAATGTAAGCATGGCGCCATGTTGGCACTTGGTGCCATCATTGCTGGCATTCCATACAGCGACCGTGCCAGTGAGCTAACCTCGGCCGTGTGCAATGGATTCCTCAAGGAGTTCTTCCTGATTGTCTGTAAGTGTGAACTGTAGAGTGTAGTGGCTGTACAGTAGAATGTTTCCCCTGTTTCCGCTGTCCACACAGTGCTCAATAACTTGCTGCCAGAGTGCCCATACGTGTGCAGTTGCGCTCGGTGAAATCCGCCCCCAAAGTGCGCATTTGGCGCCCTCGTTTTCGCACAGGCCTTGACACCCTGGAAGTGACATGAATGCGGCTGGACGTACACACATGAACCAATACAATGATGTAATCGGAACTGGTGCAGGGTGCCAGTTTTGTACTTTGGGTCGGATTTCACCGAGCGCAACTGTACATAGAGGGCATTACAAGTACATGCTTTGTAGGATTCGACCCACACTGTTGAGCATGGTCTTCTGATGACTGTGTGCTACAGTGTAGTAAGATACTCTTGAGTAAAGACGTGCCGATGTTCTTACATTGGACTGGACATTGTGTACATAGAATGTGGAAGCGGATATAGGTGGACTGCAGTTGCACACTGGTGTGGTTAGGGGTCGTCGCAAAAGTGTGTTGTTGGAGCGTGCGTGTGTGCGTGTGTGCATGCATGCATGCATGCATGTACATGTACAGTTGCGCTCTGTGAAATCCGACCCAGAGTGCACATTTGGCGCCCTGTTTTTGCACGGCCCTTGACGCCCTGGGAGTGGCACGAATGCGGCTGGACGTACACATGTACAGATACGATGATGTAATCAAAACTGGTACAGGGCGCCAGTTTTGCACTTTGGGTTGGATTTCACCGAGCGCAACTGTATCTGTATCATGTACTGCTGATGTGCACATGCAGGTGGATTTCTAGACAGCACATCAACATCAATGTACTTAGCTGCATGTCAAGTGATCACGGATATTGCCAGCACAATGTCCCTGGAGATGGTACCTGATGGAGAGCTGGAGAAAGAAGCTGAAGGTAAGACCGCCACATGCCATGATTTGCTGTGGCGTTGCATGCGTTGTAGCTGTAGCAGCCACCTCATTGCACACTGAACCCCCCTCTGTTTTAGGCTGATGGCCTTTGAAAGCAGCGCACTAGTGCATGTATGGTGAAACAGGGTTTGATGCCTAATACAACCAGCATCCAAAGATAGGCAATCTCCTCTGCAGTGTGTGGTGGTGGTGGTGGTGGTGGTGGTGGTGATCCCTGTGCGATAATGAGGCATTCCTGATGTACTCCTGTAGTTGAGCTGACGTGCACACAGTCACTGGTGCATGACTTGGCGTCTTGAGTGCATGCTACATGCCATGTGCTGGGAGCAGTGCATGCTACATGTCGTGCGCTAGGAGCAGTGCATGCAGAAGTACACCATGCGCTCACTCTCCGGACAGCTAACTGTTATGCCCCTACTGTTTCGACCATGTTAGATCTCATCAGGGACTCTCAGCGTCACCATGGTCACTGGCTGAACCAATCACAATAGGGTCTAGTCAACAACAAAGCACTTTTTAAATCAAAGTCAGGGTGCGCTCTAAGTATGAGAACACAACGAGCTTTGCGCGACGGCACATGACTCTGACACTAACCAGAGAGAATATGTATGTGTTTGTCTTTGCACGTGGCCTGCAGAGTCGGGAGGACCACCTGCTGCCAAGAAAGCCAAATCTCCCCAAGGTAAGTGCCATCGACTCACTTGACAGCAACACACAGCAGCCATGGCTGCATTGTGCCTAATAGCAACTTGCCCCTGATCCATCAGTGGACATTGACGTGTGTGTGTGGGGGGGGGGGGGGGGGGGTTGAAATATTACCGATGCTTGATAATAATAGCTGGATATGCTGATAGACTCGTGGGGCAAACTGTAAATATGTAAGGTACAGTGTGACTAAGGCTACTAGTATCTGGCACTTGATGATCTTTGGGCTGGCTTTATTTGGACTGGACTTCGTAGGCCTACTAGTAGTGTACACTTAAGCAGTGTGCATGATGATGATGATGCATGGTGACATCGCAGACATGACGTTAATTGTATGGTAGTTGTGATGATTATACTACTGGACTGTGTTAGGTATCTGGTCACATTCCCTTGTCCAAGGTTCCAACTTCTCATGCCGCCTAGCACAAGCGAAGCCGTGGACTCCGAATCCCGCTAGTTCACTTCAACACGAGCATGCAACATTAAATAATAGAAGAGTCCTGCCAAAATACTTCCTGGGGTGCTCTTGTCAAAAGAGGCCGGTAAGCAGAGGTTATACTGTGTGTGTGCACCCTAGCACTGTCGGTATGCTATCTCATTTAGCCTGTTGCTGCTCACCTCTGACGGTGCTTGGCCGTGCTTTTTTCCGTGTGCTTATTTTCATCTTGTTAGATCGTGAAGCCTGGACCAAGGCCGCTATTGTGCAAGCTCTGGGCATGCGAATCAAGAAAGGCATGGAGTCTAAGGTAATACCACCAAGTGCCGGTAGCTTTTCATTATTTTGTAGACTTCAACGCAGTCATTTACACCTTTTTTTAAATGAACAGTCAATTCTTTAATTTTCACCCTGAAAATGAAAAGTTGATGTTTATAGTCCTGTTCGCAGCGGAGAGATTGTTTAGGAGGGAGAGTGGGAGAGTTTTGAGAGAGATTGTTTAGGAGGGAGAGTGGGAGAGTGGGAGAGTTTTGAGAGAGATTGTTATGGAGGGAGAGTGGGAGAGTTTTGAGAGAGATTGTTTAGGAGGGAGAGTGGGAGAGTTTTGAGAGAGATTGTTTAGGAGGGAGAGTGGGAGAGTTTTGAGAGAGATTGTTTAGGAGGGAGAGTGGGAGAGTTTTGAGTAGTGGGCTAAAGTTGTTCTCATTTGCTTGTTCTTTTTGTGTTGGGTGTAGATTTTGGAGAAGTCGTCGTTGACATTGGCCTCCCTGTTGGTTGGGGATAGTGGCATGGTGCATCGTCAGTACATCCTCGACAAGCTGCTGTCGACAAGCAAGGTAAGGTGAAGAAGAGTGCATATCCCCTAGAGTGTGCAACTCCAGCCTAGGGGGTCTGCGAAAGCAGAACTTCAATCAGGGTACGACCCCGTAGATACTACCTCAGGTATCTGCACCCTGTGCATGATGGCTACTGGGCCGTACGCAAGTCTACTTTGAAAGCAATCTCTGGTTGTCACTTTGCACTGTCTGCCAGTGTGACCTAATGATCCGGGTGCGATTTGAAACTCTGCTGTCACACCACTGGATAGACATGCTGGTAGTACAGGTAGTTGCACACTCTTGGGGTGATGTGGTCTTGGTAGGGCAGATAGCAAACTGCAACACTGGCAAACGATTGTGTTCTGTGCATCCCTGGCCACCTAATAAGGGGGGGGGGGGGTTGCCATGACGTACATGTAGGTGCTACGGTCACTACAGCCCTGCCTGCTGTCGAACCTTGTGGGTAGTTTTGTGTTGTGCGTGTGTGCACATGTGCGTGTGTGCGCGAGTGTGTGTGTGTGTGTGTGCGTGTGTGTGTGTGTGTGTGTGTGTGTGTGTGTGTGTGTGTGTGTGTGTGTGTACGTGTGCACGTGTGTGTGTGGTGTGTGTGTGTGTGTGTGGTGTGTGTGTGTGTGTGTACATGTATGTGTGTGCGTGTGTGCGTATGTGCATGTTTCTCCCTGCACAGATGGCGCAGGCAGAAGTTCACTTTGTCGTCGGCGAAGCATTGTCGTCCGTGGCTGTGGGCCGTACATCGACCTCCGCTCCCGTCTCCCCGGTGAAATACTCCATTGTGTGTTATTCTGCTAAGTCAGAGGACAAGGCAACCACTGAACTTGCACACCTTTCATCCACCTTGTCAGCCATCATGAAGCTCAGCAAGTCAGACTTTGAGTCCAGTCGACAGGTATTATTTCAAATTTGGAGATTATGACATGCTGTGTGTAAACAATGAGTTTTCTTGGAGATAAGTAAAAAAAAGTAAAATGTACTGTCCCTTCCCAAGGCAACTCATGGTGGCAGCTACCACCCTGGGTTATCCTTGGACATGAGATAGCAATTGCTTATGCAATGAGTTAGGCATTGTGAGCACACAGATTGCCCTGTTCCTTGTGTTCATCACTGGAATTTTCAGTTATGCCCAATTTATCGGCATTGTTTATTTCTGTTAAGCTCCGTATGTCACATATTGTCCTCAATTTGGCTTTGTCAGCAGCAGGCTGAACAGGGCCTAAATACAGATGTCTGACACATGGGTTCGCATTTTCCCGTCCATTTTGGGCTCTTTGAGACCTCGACTCGCTCACGCTCCACATCAAACTAATGCTGGTATTCCGTCCTTGTCAAGGAAGCCGCTTCTGACACCCCATGTCATATCTTTGCAAACCGAAGCACCACGAACGTAACGTGGGAAGAGGCAGGCCATGACTAGCGAACATCCAGCTAATCAACGAATACATGAAGCTTCACGAAGTCAACATGACAACAAGAAAGTAACAACAAAATGATGAACAACCTGGCAGTCAATACGCCACAGGCAGACGTGTATGTGTGTGGGGAAGGGGGGGGGGGGGGGGTAGGAGTTACATGGGAGATTGTTAATTGTGTGTTTGACATGAAGTGCTCCTACTCCTTATGATAGTTTAGTGCAATGAACGTGCTTGCATGTCTCTTGCACACTACCGGTACTGTGCTTCACTGTCAAAGCTCTCACTGGTACACTGTGCTGCTGTTGTGTCTCTGCAGGCTGCTTGTGTCTGGCTGCTGTGCATTGTCAAGGACTGTGGCAGCCTGGATGGCTTCAAGGTAAGGACAACGATGCCATTGGAAATTAGCACTGCTGTGCACCTTATCCAGTGTGCTCCCGGACTTGTCTATGCGAGTGAGATCTCTGAATCAATAGTATCCCTTGTCTAGCATTGTCTCTGGCTAATCGATGCATACGTGTGCTCTAAGTGGGGTTGCAAGGCAGTTTTCTTGGTGTTGATGATTATTCTGGCCGTGTTGCACGTAACAGTGTTTTGGGACATTCTCGATCCTAGGTGGATTTTGGAGGTCACTGCGAATGAAGAACAAGTTGAAATTGCTTCTGCGTTCATTTTATGTTTGATTTGACGCATATGCATTGGTCGGTGATGTTTTGTCTTTTGTCCAGGCGCATCTCCGCGAGGTCCAGGACGTGTTTGTTACCATGCTGACCGAGCGAAATGGTACGCTGTCCAAAACTCTGTGTGTGTGTGTGTGTGTGTGTATGTGACGGGGAGGTTTTTTCTTCTTCTTTGGTGTGAATGACTTGACGTGCGTGCAAGATGTTGTACACGTACTGCATTGTACTCATACTTCACCACAACAAATATGTTATTATTGTTCATACAAAAGAGAAAGACCAAGGAACTACAAGTTACGCTACACTGTCCACTAACACCACCAGTTACTAAACAATCAGCTCATGCGATAACATTGCACGACACTGACCGATGGTACTGACGTTCTACAACTAACTGGCTAACAGCTCTAGCACATCTTGGATGCGCACTCCAACAACCTTCCACCTATTTCTATAACTTAGAACCTTCCAAGTTGGAAGGCTGTTGGAGTGCGCATCCAAGATGTGCTAGAGCTGTTAGCCAGTTAGTTGTAGAACGTCAGTACCATCGGTCAGTGTCGTGCAATGTTATCGCATGAGCTGATTGTTTAGTAACTGGTGGTGTTAGTGGACAGTGTAGCGTAACTTGTAGTTCCTTGGTCTTTCTCTTTTGTATAAATTATTATTGTTCGTTAGCCTTTTGTTGTGCCATGGCCTGTAGGCGTGTTATTCACTGACCTCCAGTGTTGATTTGCACGGCTGAGCTATACAGTCAACTTTGCTAATAACGACTGCGGTTATAACGACAACTCGCGAATAACGACAGAATTTCCATGCCCAGAGCAAAGTCCCATCTAACTGTAATGCATAATTATAATGAGACTTCGGGTATAAGGACACTTATCTGATGCCCCGCCGAGTGTCGTTATACGCAAAGCTGACTGTATACATTTTTTTGAGGTTGGGTCATGACAACAATATGAATTTCACAATTAGGTCTGTTGTGTTGTGTCACTTGTGTGTAACAGACATTGTCCAGGAAGTCGCCTCGCGTGGCCTCTCACTGATGTTCGAATACAGCCCCGCCGAGGAACGCGATCAGTTGCTGGAAACGCTGCGCGAGACCTTGCTCAAGGGCCGGAGGTATGTACTCAGCTGCGTGGAGTTCTCTTTGAATTGCACTGAAGCAGACTATCGCTGTTTGAGAGGGATGAAGCTGTGGTCTGGTTGTCACCGACCCTATATTGATGTACCCAGATATAATTAAACTAGGTCACCCAGAATTACTGTGTTGTTATTTCGGGTCACCCGACTCGCTGTCTTTTCCAAGCAACTGTAGAAATATTTCTAGTCATGCGCATGTAAAAGAGGTTAGAATTACAACTACGAGTTTTCTACACTTGAGGTGGTTGTTGGCTGCATTTGTACATCTATGCACATGATGTTCTCAATCTCCAGACGGCTAGCTGTTTCAACCTTGTCAGGTCTGGTCAGCAGAGCTCAGAGTCACTGACCGGATACAATGTAGCTGCCGCCTGCTAGTTTGATTTCCTGTTGACATGAATGTTTTGTTTTGTTCGGTACCACCGTGTGTGTGTGTGTTGAAGATCTGGTCGCCATGTTGACAAGAAGACCAAGGTTCTGGATGCAGATGTCATCGGCAAACAGCCGGATAGGTATGTGGCAGTCCAATTTTCATGAACCCCACCCGGTTAACGCGGTTGATCACACACAGTTTCGATTGAAAAACAAGAAAAAAGAAAGAAAAAAATTGATGCGCCCAATAAGGGACTCGAACCCTTGACCCTCAGATTAAAAGTCTGATGCTCTACCAACTGAGCTAACCGGGCAGCTATGAAGGAATAGTGTTTGCTCCCTCATTTAGCAAGAGCACCCTGTCTTGATTGAGGAAGCCTTCATCCGCTATTACCGTAACTCCGAATTCCATCTTTGACTAGAAACAGGTTGCAGTCTACTGCGAAACGTTGCACTATTCTAAGCCCCACTGAGTTCCCAAGAAAGTGTACCTGGCCCCTCACTTTCTCTCTGTTTTCTTGTACATGTATTTTGTGACCCTGTACATCGCATGCACAATGATGAAATGTGTACAACCCTGTAGAACGCACCAGGAGCGTGCCCTGTTCAGAAATCCGTAGAGCACCCGTTTCTTTTTCATGCAAAACGTGCACGGATGACCTCACACTGACACGGTGTATGCTGTCTATCAAGATAACTGCTCTCGTGCAAAACAGTCCCTTTCTCTCTATCTCCTTTGCTTTGCCTGTCGTTGGCGTCGCCAGTTCTAACCCGACAACGTATGAGGAGCTGTGTGCGATGGCGGATGACTTGCAGCAGCCGAATCTTGTCTACAAGTTTATGAACCTGGCAAATCATCACGCTATCTGGAACTCTAAAAAGGTCAGCAGACACTTTGTGTATGGCATCGTCGTACAGGATAACTTCCGTTAGTCAACATCATGATCTCCCAATATAGGATATGCCTCCACATTCAGGACACATAAGTTCAGCGCCAACAGTTCACGTTGAAAGTTACCTGTATTGCATTCTGTAACGAGGCTACGTCCGTGCTCAGTGCAGGTCTGTATACTTGGTCCTGTAGTTGTCTCGCAGTTGAAGTGTCCCACTATACTCATAGTCTCATACTGACCGTGTGCTGTCTTGCTTGTCTTGTGGCAGGGCGCAGCGTTTGGTGTGTCGCTCATCGCTCAGCATGACAAGGAGGCATTGCAAGAGCACATGGATGCCATCGTACCAAAACTCTACACGTGAGTCCCAGCTGCTGGCACCTGACAACCGTTATTGCTTTGCTGATCCCTAGCTTACTGGAATGGCCCTGGGCATGTGCGCTGCTCAATGAAATCTGTTGTGTGTCAGCTAGTACCGGGTGCTGTCGCAGACCTGCGTGCACTGTTGCTGGGTGCTGTGCAGTCCCAGACCTGTGCGACCTGCATGCAATGTGTTTCTGTACGCGGAATGAAGTGTGAAGCAGGCTTTATACATACAGCATTAGCCCTGTTATCTGTTTCTCCATTCACAGCTTGTGTGCTGGTCTGTTGGTCTAGGGGTATGATTCTCGCTTAGGGTGCGAGAGGTCCCGGGTTCAAATCCCGGACAGACCCAATTTTTTTCCTTTTTTCCCTTTTTTTCTTTGTTCGGGCCCTCAAGCTTCATGTCCTTGATAGTCCACAAGCCAAGGTGCCAAAAAGTGACTTTTCGCTCCCGTTCAAGGGGGACAAAGGTTTGCCATGTGCAAATGATAGAGAATGCGTAGAGCTTTCAGGATCTGTGTGACTTGACCCAGAAACATGGGGCTTTGTTGACCAAATCGACGAAATACTTCTTGAAGAGTGTTACCATAGCAACCAAAGTGATAATTCCCAATTTAGGTATCTTGCAGATTAAATACTAACAGTGTTGCTTTGGAATGAAGTAGCCAAGGCCCAGACCTAGCTGTGTACAAATTTTCATGATGATCGGAGGTGTCTTACTACCTCAATAGCATTGCTTGGAATCTAACACAATAGCGTCAATACACGGAATGCAACATAAGTCACATTTGAGAAAATATTTACAAACAAGGAGCCTGCACAAGATAGGAAATGTTGACAAGTAGTCAAGTACTCTACATTTATGATTTCCTAGCATGAAGGCTCTGATTATAATAGTACTGGCATAATGGATCGGATGGAGAGCCAAGTATAAATTTATAGTCAAGAAAAAATGGACCACTAAACTACAAGAGAATGAAGTTGAAGACACCACTGCAGCTGTACTTATGGTTGATGAAATATGGTGGTAAAGACACACCTGGCAATATGGCGGTAAACACACGCCTGCCCACACACGCTCTCTAAGCTGCACAGTTCTGGCACAGAGCTCTCCTTCGCACCACCACCACCATCAGTTCGCGCCTGGCGCCTCGTCGATGCATGGTTAGCGGTATCCGACATGGCAGGCTGGTACATCAAGTAGCGCATGGCACATAGAAGATGACACAGCAACGACATAGCTCGATTGCGACGTACGTTTCGTCCCCGCTGGACTCATCAGGCAATCTTCTTCTTGGATGTCTTCATACGGAGCTTAACTCGGGAGAATGAAGTTGAAGACACCACTGCAGCTGTACTTATGGTTGATGAAATATGGTGGTAAAGACACACCTGGCAATATGGCGGTAAACACACGCCTGCCCACACACGCTCTCTAAGCTGCACAGTTCTGGCACAGAGCTCTCCTTTGCACCACCACCACCATCAGTTCGCGCCTGGCGCCTCTGTGAGGGAGGAGGAACATCGTTTTTGCTGGGTTCAGCGTCATGCGCTTCCCTTTCAGGTAGGCAGACAGCTTGAGCAGATCTCCGTTCAACGTTCCTATGACTTCCTCAGCAGAGTCACCAGCTGCGTACATATTCACATCATCCGCAAACTGCAGAACTGTGGAATTGTTCTGCAGACCACGGACATAGAGGCTGAATAGGACAGGCCCCAAAACAGACTCCTGCGGAACACCCTGCGTGCATGGCACGCGTGGCAGGCCCTCTGGTGCAATGAGCTGCTGCGTTCGATCACTCAGGTAGCTTTTAAACCATGCCAGAGCCGAGTCACCAATCCCACAATCAAATAACTTATTCGACAGCAACTGGTGATTGACGCTATCAAACACTTTCCTGACATCAGCAAGCACTACGCCAACAACCTTCCCATTATCCAAATCTTTCATCCAGCTATCAATTATAACACAATTGCAACAGTCAGGGCCTCCTTACACGAATGATATCGTCTGTATGCAAATTGCTGGGGTGGAATGTCAGGATTCTCTTGGAAGGCTGTTGGAGTGCGCATCCAAGATGCGCCAGAGCTTTTAGCCAGTTAGTTGTAGAACGTCAGTACAGTCGGTCAGTGTCGTGCAATGTTATCGTATGAGCTGATTGTTTAGTAACTGGTGGTGTTAGTGTACATTATAGCGCAACTTGTAGTTTAGTGGTCCTTTTTTTCTTTACTATAAATTTATCCTTGGCTCTCCATCTGAGTCCATTCTTGCACACCTGATGAGCCGTCCTTATCTATACGGCGAAACGATCGTCGTGTAAAACTGCTGCTTGTTACCCGCTTCTTATTGTCCATTATTATTATTATTAAATTTTTGAAAGGGCGAAGCGAGAAACAGATGTGCATAGGCGAAACTAAATTGTCATAGTTGAAGTACAGTACTATTTTACTGAGGCATTCGGTTTTGCATGATTCTTGTTCGCATACATGTAGCTTCCCATTTTATTGATCGTCGCATCTTTGAGCCACACAAGTTGTGTGGAATGTTGCTTTGCGTCCTTGAATCGTGGTTTGACCGTATTGTCCAGTGGTCTTGCCAGTATCGTCATCGACATGCATGAACATCCGCCAACGACGTCCTTCACAGCTGAGACTTTCCGCCTTCATGCTAGGAATCATAAAGTATCCTTCTAGTGTGCTTGACTACTTGTCAACATTTCCTATTTTGTGCAGGCTCCTTGTTTGTAAATATTTTCTCAAATGTGACTTATGTTGCATTCCGTGTATTGACGCTATTGTGTTCGATTCCAAGCAATGCTATTGAGGTAGTAAGACACCTCCGATCATCATGAAAATTTGTACACAGCTAGGTCTGGGCCTTGGCTACTTCATTCCAAAGCAACACTGTTAGTATTTAATCTGCAAGATACCTAAATTGGGAATTATCACTTTGGTTGCTATGGTAACACTCTTCAAGAAGTATTTCGTCGATTTGGTCAACAAAGCCCCATGTTTCTGGGTCAAGTCACACAGTTCCTGAAAGCTCTACGCATTCTCTATCATTTGCACATGGCAAACCTTTGTCCCCCTTGAACGGGAGCGAAAAGAGCGAATAGTCACTTTTTTGCACCTTGGCCTGTGGACTATGACGTCTTGTGGACCACTGTTATGTTTTTTTAATTTTTTTTACGGGCACAATAAATCAATGAGAGCATGGCTGTAGTCATTGCAGTCCATTCATCTAAGGGTGCGTTCTTGAATCCTCTCGGAGAAGTTGGAGACTCTCCGAAAAGTTCGAGAGCTGTTCTTATATCCTCTCCGAATTTTAGGAGGCTCTCCAAGCTTCAGAGGTGATTGAAACTTGGAGATTCCCGCGGTTTGGGATGCGAACTAGGCTAAAAGCCACGTTTTGATCATGAGTGTACGCATTTCCCTTTTCGCATACGCACAGTGCATACTACATTCGTGGCACTCAAGATCGCGGCCCTTTGGCGCTTCATATTGCTTGACATGTGCAAAATATCTCCGAATTCTTCGAGACCCGTTCTTAGAGTATACCAGTTTCTTCGACTTATGTTTTCTTCTTCTCTGAGAAGCTAGAGAATACAAGAACGCGCCCTAATATGGTCCCACTTGCTTTGAAAGCTTGAGTTAGGCTCGAAAAGTTGACAGGTACAGACTTTAAATTAGAAAAACCTGGGTCTTGGACCTGCTTCTCCATACATTTTGCCGTAATAGTTATAATATTATCTGTCCTAATTTTGTAAAACCTGGCCAAATTCTAACTCCTTCTTCTTGGTTTTTCCGGCCTCAAGTGCAGCAAGAAGGAATGTTCACGGGTCATACAATGCAGGAGGTACAGTTGTTTTACCATATCTAATACTGTGTAGGTGTGAAACACTAAAAAGTTGGGGTGACAGTTTTGGACGAAGGGAATGAAATGATTGCTTTGTGCCTGTGCTGGTTGTCTGCGTGTTTGTTTGCTTCGCCTAGGTATGGGTTTGATCCGAACGTCAAAGTGCAGCTGGCCATGGCCAATATCTGGAAAGCACTGGTTACAGAACCACTCAAAATGGTATGGTGTTCTGCCCATGGTGGTGGGGGAGGGGGGTTCTATCATCTGGCTAGTTTCTTGCTAGCTGTGTGTAGTGTGTAGTGAGTTGTCAGTTTTTCTTGCTTCCGAGTCCCCATTGGACAGCCTCACTTATCTCAGAGTGGTGGAAGAGTGACGTAGACCGTAGTCCAGGAAAGGACAGCAAAAGACAGTGACACATTCATAGCCTGCTAGTTTCTAATACAGTCACGAGCGCATAGGCTAGAGCTAGGATATCGTGGGCTGCGAAGGACCACACACGGCGGAATGTTTTTGTTTTGTTTGGAATCAGTATGATCAAATGCATACTTGTTTTAGGTCCCTAAGTTTGTATTGAAAAAGAGCTGATTTTTTTACATCGCCTGTAGGTACTTGTATGCTGTGCTGGAGTTTCACTGTAGTACTGCACTGCAGTAGTATGGGGTAGCATGGACATGTCAGTGTGTAGCACATACAGTAAAACCGGTCAAGGCGACCACTCGGATAAGGCGACCACCTGTCCTAGAAGACCACTGAAACCAGCACCAAGGAATGCCGTTTCCAGTCAAATGACCCTGGATAAGGAGACCACCTGGTCACAGAGACCAGGTTTTGAAGGTCCCTTGAGCGGTTGTCTTAGACAGGTTTCACTGTACTATTAGAAAGGTATCACATAGCTCTTTTCCCTGCAATACACTCGATTGTATTGCACTCCCAATGCCAGGCGAACAGCAATGGCTGCTCACGTATTCCAAGCCGTTGTTCTTGTGCATTTGCAATCCCCATGCGTTGTGTGTGCTTGCCACTGCACAGATAGCCAAGCACTTTGCCGCCATCCTAGCGGAAATCATAGGCGGACTGACCCACGTGCAATGGAGAACTCGCCAGTCGAGGTGAGCTTGCGTGTCATGTGACCGGGGAGAAGGTGTAGAGCGCGTCCCAGCTGGTATTCATACCATAGTCTGATATCCCTGTTGATGAAATGTATTGCATATTCAAAACGCACCGTGGCGCGCCTGAATCCGTTCAATCCTTTCATCCTTGGATGTCTAGTACACACGTATATGACGTCCCCCTCAGCCGGGCTCAGACTCGACCAGAGTGCCTTCTCTCCAATGTGTCTAGTACACTCGTACACGACGCCCCCCCCCCCCCCCCCCCCCCCTCAGCCGGGCTCAGACTCGACCAGAGTGACCTAACCCTAAAGCTGCCAAGTGGTCCTTTCCGGACCTCCCGACCCATTGCCTTAGCAAAGGCCGGTCATGTTTGAACTTTGCAGGCATCTTTCATGTCTCGTGCCTGTTGTATTCACATGGAGCAATGTTGGAGACAGGGGAGGTGCACGATTGTTGATTTGACTTATCTGATATTACATGAGAGCGGGAATTTAAACTTCTGTGACTGAAGAAGTGAGGAAAGAGCCTACAGATTTCACTTAAAATTTGCCGCTTGGCCGAAAACGTAGCTGCCCACAATCACGCTAATCATGTGATGGGCTCACATTGACGTGCACACATCCACACCTGCCCACAAGGATATAAGAACCTGGTTTTGGAATACAGTAAAACCTGTGAGTAACGACCGCCCCTTGGGGCCAGAGAAAGCGGTCTTTAGTGGCAGGTGGTCCTTAGTTAGAGGTTTGCACCGCACAACCATATATGAATGTGAGACTGTCCGTGCGTGGCAAAGTGGTCTGTAGTACCAGGCTGGTGGCTAGTCACGGTGGTCTTTAGTGACAGATGTTACTGTAGTTCGAAGTAGTACTTACCAGCTGACACCAGATTTCCTAGGAATTGTTCGCCCCACTACAGACGAGCATGTCATAGTGCCGCTGTGGGTTTTTTGTTTGCCGTGTCAGCTGCTTGGCTCTATCAGACCTGCTACGTCGAACGGACATCCGGCGAGAGCTTGTGGAAGCACTGCCGTTCATCTGGGAGCAGTGTATGCGTGTGCGAGATGACATCAAGGTGCGTTGCTATTAGGAGTGTTTCTTTGTGTCAGTCAGTCGGTCGAGTCCACTGGTTGTGAATGACTGCAAAGCACTCTACGTACGGCTCCTTACCTCAGTATAATACCGTATATGCTCTATTATAAGCACAGGTCTCCATTACTAGCACAGCCTCTAATACTAGCACACTGTGAGCACCTTTCGAAACATAAGCACAGTCTCCATTACTAGCACAGTCTCAGTGGAATTCCATGTTGCCTGCATGATATCTAGCATGTATTTATTGACTTTTCTTCTTGCTCTGTATGGATGTATTGGTTGAAAAATATAAGCACGGTCTCCAATATAAGCGCGGTCTCCAATATAAGCGCGGTCTCCAGTATAAGCGTGGGGTAGGGATGTGTTGAAAAAATATAAGCGCGGTCTCCAATATAAGCGTGGGGTAGGGATGTGTTGAAAAAATATAAGCGCGGTCTCCAGTATATGCATGGGGTAGGGGTGGGTTGAAAAAATATAAGCACAGCGCTTATATTAGAGAATATACGGGTAATTTACCTTACGGCTTTTGTAAGGCCCGCTGCAGACTACGTACATAGAAAGTCCAGTAGGAAATGACGTAACACCTAAAAGGCTTTTTCTTCCCCACCGTGCATTCAGAGTAGATTACACGCGCAGCATACAGGCCACTTTTGGCCTTGGTCAGAGTGTGAAAATGCGGGTCAATCTTAAATTTTCCTTTTGAAGATTGTGGCACTTTGTGTTGTCATTTGAGTTCTTGAGCCTTTTGAGGTTCTTGTTCAGAAATGGATATTTGCGATCATTCTGCTAGGAGTACAAGACACCAGCAGATGGCCGCAGTCGGGGACTTGCCAAATTTAGATGCCACCGCCAGCTATCATTTTTCTCCCCAAATGGTGATCCTTTTTTCCCCGGAATGAGCAGCCCACTGTCAGTAGTCGGGATATTTTTAACTACGGTATTTTTGCCCATACACGTGAATGTCAGCAAATGAAGAACAAAGAATACATAGGATGTGCTTCAAGTTTGCTTTAATATTGTAAAAGGTGTAGGCAGGCTCATTGTATACGAGGTATATCGGTATGAATCAATAGGGTTGTGGGGAACGTTGCAGAATGCAGGCGACTACTCATAGTTCTTTATTGCAATAGCTCAGTACAAGCCATAGTGGATCATGTTATGGTAGCAGTGCACTACTACAGAGGAAAAGGCAAGCGAAGATCATTGATCGCCTCTTTGAGCGTTGTCATGACGTTCGCCGTCATGGCAGCAATCCTCATGTTGGTCTCGGGCAAATAAGTATGCCATAAGCCTCGCTTGAAATGTCATTTGGCTCTGGACCAGTGCCGGTGTGGTCTGCCGTTGCTGCAGTGCCTGGCTCTGTATCAGGGCCTGGATAGGCTCCTGATGCTGCTGCTGGATAAGGGCAGCTGTAAATTGCTGCTGACCTTGTTGCAATTCCCGCTGCTTGGTGGCAAATGCCGCATCTAATGCCTCTCCAACATCTGCGATGCTTGCCGCATGTTGGAGGCAGCACATCTTTGGTCTACCGGTACCAGAAGCACCGGCAGTTACAGCGTTGGCCGCCGCTTCTTGGGCAGGTGTGGTAGCAGCGTCTGCATCAGGCTGGTCAGTTAAATCTACATGATTGTATATCATTGCCACCAACGTCGGTATCAACATCACTACTGGTGGCCCTCCGCTTTTCTGAAGCAAGCAAGCACCCTCCCGGGAGAATAAGATACTGGTTTTTCCTTTGGCTGCGGCGAGTTGCTTGAAGAGCCGAACAACAATATGTTCATATTCCGCCTGTCGTCAACGTCACTATCACTGCCAGTTGCACAGTGATGGACTGGCGCACTTCGGGACACTGCACATACAGAAGCAACAGACAACGATGCAACAGCTGTTGTTGTATTTGAAAAAGACTGAGATTGTTTGCAGGCACTGCTTGTGACGCAGCTGCTGGTTGCGATTGGCTTCCCACATGCACTATGGTGGCACTGCAAGTGCTTTGCAGTAGCCCAGAGCCAGGAACGTCTTTAAATATCCCGTGCCAAGTGCGGAAATTAGTCCACGTGGCGTAGCGGCGTTCAAGTTGTATGCTGCATCGTCCCCAGCATCACCTGCACACACACACAGACAGACATGTACTTCTTTGGAAGTACATGAACACGAGCAGAGACAAGCCACCTATGGCCACTCCCAAGATCAACCGTTACTTTTGCCCCTCTCACAGGACTATCCGGCCAACGTATAATCCATTTTAGGGCGTTTTTTGGGCTACAGAACTCTCTGCCTGCAGATATCAGTGTGACTCAGTCTGTGGATTCATTAATGTCCTCTTTCTTTCGTCAATCTTCGTCACCTCAACTATAGCCTTGATTTCCTTGCTCTATTGTGTGCTTGAACAGTGCGCTTGCTTTCTTCACTTGACCAGAGATGAAACGTGCAACCAATCCATAATTTCAGTCACTATACTCACACATGCCAGTTGCCGTCATCCTCCGGAACTTCTTGTAGTGGTCCTTTGCTCTGGCCTTCAGGTTGTCTATCTTGTGGTGGACGACCGAAGCGTTGAGCTCCAGTTGGTGCTGTCTTCTAGCTGGAGAGTGAATAGAGTGAGAGCCTCACCGATCTCTTGCCTCACACTGCTCTGCACCATCGCCCCACTCTTGTTCTTCACGTAGTCCCCCCAAAGCTGAATCAGTTTCGCCTCAATTTCTTCAGAGAAAATTTGTCGCGACATGATGAACCTGAGGAAAAATTGAGAGAAGACGCTCACATACACAATCACTGACTCCTGATTGACTGTTGATAAGGCAAAAATATGCGATGAGGCAAAAAACAGAAAGGTGACTTGCAAACAGGACCTGCAACTGAAAATGACGACTCGAGGGGGGAAATGTCCTCAAACTCTTCTGACTGAAAGTATAAATGCAGGAAAGGATTCAAATGATGCTTGGAAGTTGTCTTGTACGAGGGTGTGCGGCCTGCATGGATGTGTGCCGGTACGATAAATGCAGGGATGTTGCCTTGTGCAGTGCTGCTCAATGCAGCCAAGTTTGCGCCCTGCACTAGCGCACATCCCAGTCCTGGCAGGTCTAGGGCTGCAAAGCACCCGGCATGGCATTGGCTTGCTTGATCAGATTTCACTGAGCAACACTCACTGCGCAAGGGTCAACACTCTGCCTGAAAAGATTGGGCAGCTTTTCAGGCTTTCCACCAGATTGTTGTAGTTATATATCTCGGAAACTTCCGCATAGATGTGATTTGTAGGCTGTTTTGCACCTAGTGTGAAGAGGGCCTAAGCTGATACCCTTTGCTCATTATGCCTGATCTGGTGCGTTGCTGCTGGTGCGTTGCTGCTTTTGCTGCTACTGGTGCTGTCACTCTGCCCCCGCTGTAGGAGAGTGTCCGAGAAGCTGCAGACTCAGCCTGCAAGTCTCTCAGCAAGGTAGCTACTGTGAATTTGTGTGTGTGTGTGTGTGTGTGTGTGCGCGCGTGCGTGCGTGCGTGTGTGCGCGTGTGCGTGCATATGCGAGCTTTGTGTGCGCGTGTGTATGTGTGTATTCATGCGGGTCTGTGTGTGCATGCATACATGCCTAGCCTTAGTACTGCCCTGCCCGTGGCTCTTTCGTTCTCTTTTCTGGCCTTATCTGCATGACTGTGGGCACCGGGTGTTATAGAACATGTTATAGAACATGTTGTAGAATGTGCTAGCTGTACAGGAGTATCTATGAAGTTCTGAACCACACACTATGTATATGAGTATTTGTGAACTTCTGGCATGAGCCGTACACTGGGACTGGTGACAGTGATCTCGGGGGTCTTTTCTTCCAATGTTGTTGCCAGGTAACCGTTCGTATCTGCGACAGTAGCCGTGGTGAGAATGGTAAGATGGCAATCGCTACCGTCCTGCCCGTCATCATGGACAAGGGCATGCTCAGCTCAGTGGCAGAGGTCAAGACTTTCAGGTACATGACTGTACTACATATAGTGGAGTTTGGCCAGTGGTCAAGTGGCGACTAGGTACAGTGAACTGTATCAGTGCATGTGTTTTCATGGGTCTTGTGGATCTGTACTAAGTTACCTGCCCTTGTGCAAAGCTCACCGAGTTTCTTTCGGTGTGTGCGTGTGCGTGCTAGTATAGTGGGTTTGGGATTTTCCAAGTTGTGTTGTTCGGTTTTGCTGAGTCCTGGCTGTGTTCTGGTATGTGCTCGTTTTCTCTGCATCTAGTATTAGTGTGTTAATGAGTGTATATTCTTGTTTTGGCTCGTTTCCTCTCTAGCTTGGCTACAATTCTCCAAATTGCCAAGAGTGCTGTAAGTTGTATACATGGAAAGCACAGTGTCTCCTGCTGTCCCCTGAGTATCATGTATTACTTTTCTTCGCTACTGGTGGTGGTGGTGGTGTTGCTGCTGCCGGTCCTATTGTTGTTGCTCGTATTGTTGTCTTGGTGACAGGCTTAACGGTGTGCACATAACAATAGAGTTGAATGCAGCACATGTGTTTGATGTAGTAGCCCTTGACTCTTCCCTGGTTTGCCTTTTTCTCATACATGTACAGGGTGATTTGCTGAAGCCGCACATTGCCAAGCTGATTCCCCTGCTTTTGGAAGGCCTGACGGAGCTGGAGCCCAAGGTAAAGGGGATGTTCTGTACATGATGTGAAGCACAAAGTTTTTTAATTACATGTGGATGGTGTTGTCGTCTGTGTACTAGATATGTCTTGTTTGACACCAGCTGATATAGATGATGGATTACCGGTACATTGTCTTTGTTAGCATTGGAATCAACAGTGAAAAGTCTTTGAAATACAACATGTGTGCCAACGTGGTCTTTACTGTACAGTAAAACCTGTGACTAACGACCACCCCTTGGGGCCAGAGAAAGCGGTCTTTAGTGGCAGGTGGTCCTTAGTTAGAGGTTTGCACCGCACAACCATAATTATATGAATGTGAGACCATCCGTGCCTGGCAAAGTGTAGTACCGGGGCTGGTCACTAGTCACGGTGGTCTTTAGTTACAGATTTTACTGTAGTTGTGAGTATACCGATTTTCACACTGTGACAAATTGATATAGCCCTTGACTCTTCTCTGGTTTGCCTTTTATGGCCCATGGAGGGTGTCGGGTTATCCATGGGTGCAATGTCCCATGGATAACCCGACCCTGTTCCATGGATGACCTGACTTATGAGTGCGTTGACTCGTGGCCACCCAACACATCTGGCCCTGTCTCAATTCAGGTCTAATCTAGCGCCTTGTCTGATGCTACCATGTTACATGCTCTGTGCTTTCTCTGACGAACACAGGTGCTAAGCTACGTGGCCCTGCATGTCGGAGCAGAGAACGAGGAAATGCAAGATAAGGTATATCGCATAACTCCTTTAGTCACACATCTGTTTAATGGACACTCGTATTCATACTCTTTGCTTCATTTTCTTACACCGAGCTAGCATATATGACTGTGTGGTGGCCTTTTGTAGTGTTAACTTTCCTTGGCGATATCAGGAGCGCGGCGAAGGAGAGGTGACGTAATTATAATCATATTGCAGGAATTGCAGGAATTATGTGTGAATGTGTGTGTGTGTTTGTGTGTGTGTGTGTGTGTGTGTGTGTGTGTGTGTGTGTGTGTGTGTGTGTGCGCGCACACGTGCACGTGTACATGCATTTGTATGTGCGTGGTTGCACACCTATGCGTGTGCGCGTCTTTCCCATGCCTGCTGCAGTTGGATACAGCACGGATTTCAGCATTCAAGGGCTCACCACTGATGGATGTTGCAAACCAGGTATGGCCAGTAGTGAAGACTGAGAAGAACAGTGATTTCTTGCAAGTGATGAGCAGATGGGCATTCGTATGGAATTTGTCCGTTAATTCAAATGTCTTGGTGCGCATGTATGTGTGTGTGTGTTTGTGCGTGTGTGCATGCTTGTGCATGTGTGTGCATGTGTGTGTGTGTATGTGTGTTTGTTTGTTTGTTCATGTATGTGCACGGAAATTCAAAATGTGCAATATGGTTTCCAGTGTTTGTACCATATCGACAAGACTGTGTTGGACGGCCTTATCCCAGCGCTTGTCATCGTCCTGAAATCTGGTGTTGGCCTCAGTACGAAAGTAAGTCCTTGAGTCTTTATTGTCATGCAGTCATGTGTGTTCACCCTACCTACGGTGAACAGGCTTTGGAGGAGATTTTCCCAGCTCTTCTGGTAGTCATGTTCCTGTGCCACAGCACCTCTCTTGTTGTCTTCATGGCAAATACGACAATCCATTACATGGCCATCGTAACCCCACATCTTTCCAGCATGATGGCCAATGAAGGCTCCCAACACCAACTGGACTGTTCATGGCACGACCTCTACTCACCTCTGTTCTGAGACAGTGTTTGTACAGGACGGGGTGGGGTAGCACCTGCGTTGGATGCATTCCGCACTCTACTCTTGTATGTTCCCTGCCAGTGGCTGTATTCCAGTCCAAGCCATCTCGGCAAATTCTCTACACCAACATGAGCTAGTGAGCAACTAACTTAGCTTCTTCACATAATTCGAAGGCCGCTGAAGACATTTAACCTGAAGGAAGTTCAAAAAAATTAAATTGAGATGAAACGCGTGACCTCGACTCCTCCGAAAGCGATGATTAATCATGACATCGCTCTACGCCGCAAATGCGAGCATATTCTGAAGTCGCTTTTAAACTTTCTGGCCACTGTTAGTGTGATTGTGCCAATTTCATGCATATCTTCGCTCACACCTGAACTTCATGGAAACTAAAGTGCACTCTGGATGACAAGATCCCGTACGTTTCTTGTTGCTTTCCCCCAGGCTGGCTGTGCTCAGTTTATTGTGTCGCTATGCAACCGCTGTGGTGACGACATCACACCCTATGCTGGTGAGTCATCTATTTACCTATGACATCATCATAGCAAGTGCTATAGTCGAATGCCGTCTTTCATTCTATGACATCGTAGCAAGGGCTATAGTCGAATGTCGTCTTTCAACACTGGCTATGCATTTCTCAGCAGTGCTGCGGCCGTTGTGTTGTGCTCCTGAAGCCGACGAATGCCGGACAGACCCTGTCCTGCATTTGAGCAGCATAGGGTGGTGGTGTTAATTGTACAGTTCAGCACACAAATACTGACCCACGATCGGGCATGTGAAAACTGTTGTTATTGGTGAGTTGCCGTTATTCGCAAGGTTGAACGTACGCTGTGCGATGATTTCTAGGTGGTCTGAAGATATTGTCGTCCTTCTCAAGTTATTGTTGTATCCAAGGTTGTTTTTCATGAAGTTACTGTACAGTGAAACCTGTCTAAGGCGACTGCCCAAGGAACCTTCAAAACGTGGTCTCTGTTACCAGGTGGTCTCCGTATCCAGGGTCATTTGACTGGAAATAACATCCCTTGGTCCTGGTTTCAGTGGTCTTCTAGGACAGGTGGTCGCCTTATCCCAGTGGTCGCCTTGACAGGTTTTACTGTATATTGTGTTACACCATCCAAGTGCGTCTTTTTTTTTAAATGTTTCATTTTACGTGTAGACAACAACGTTACCTAGCTCAATGGGTATGATGGGGCGATATGTTGTTCGTCTTTCATCTGTAACTTTATTTGTATGTGGGTATACTGTTGATCTTTCAGGCAAGCTGTTGGCAGCGCTGCTTCATGGTCTTGCTTCACGGAGCTCTGGCGTCCGCCGTAGCTATGCGACATGTACTGGACATGTTGTCAAGGTAAGCTTGGCATCTCTTTCTGTCCCTTTCATTTGCTTCTCTTTAAATATATGTATCTGTGCATTTGTCAACACGACCACCACCACAAACAATAACGATAACAATAACAACGACGACGACGACGCCACCAACAGCGACAACGACTATGGCAGTAGTAGCACCAGCAGCACCAGCAACAAACAGATGCCAGCATACACAGATACACATGCTCTTTCTTCTTCTTTGTGTGTGTGTGTGTGTGCAGGGGCGTCGCACACGGTACGGTCACTACGGTATTGACCGTACCACTATTTGCCCCAAGTACTCCGTGAATCAATAAAATGCACTGATTTGGGCTCTAAATTTCCAAATTTTTCTGCTCAGCCACGCCTCCCTCACGAGTAAATTGTACTTCAGATGGCTGACCGTACCACACTAAATTACCTTCCGACGCCCCTGGTGTGTGTATGCATGCGTGTCTGTCTGTCTGTCTGTCTGTCTGTCTGTCTGTCTGTCTGTCTGTCTGTCTGTCTGTGCCGGTGTGACGGTGTATCTGTGTTTTTTCTGTACCCGTATGTAGAATGCCAAGGAGAGCAGCGTTGCAAAGCTAGTTGAAAAGATCACAGCCTGGTATATAGAGAAAGATGGTAGGTTGTGTCTTGATCCAGCATCATCATGGCCCAAGCCTTGCCGGGGGTGCTAACTTGCAGAGACGCTTCATTTCCTGTGCGACAAACACCTCGTGAATACCAGAGTTGACACACAGACACACACATGCACGTGTACACGTACACGTACGCACCCCCCCCCCCCCCCCCACACACACACGCATGCACGCACACATGCATGCATGCACGCATGCACACACACACACACACACACACACACACACACACACACACACACACACACACACACACATGCACACGAATACACGCACACATACACGCCTGTGTAAAGTTCCGCGAACCCGGCCTATCTCAGTTTCCTACATCGCATGTCATCATCACTAGCCTTGGGTAACACTCAGTGGGAATTCTTGTGTTTTTCTTCTATTTTGCTTACGTACCATCCAGAGGAAGAGCTACAAATCTCTGCTGCTCTAGCACTGCATGCCATGAGTCGTCATTCTCCGGATGTGGTCCAACGGCACTCCTCTGCCATTCTGCCTCTCGTGTTCCTTGCCATGCATGCCAAGACCAAGCCACCCTCAACTCAAGGTTAGACTGGCTAGTAGTCCTTCTGGATAGCAGAGAGAAGGTGTGTGTGTGTGGTGTGTGCGTGTGCGTGTGTGTGTGCATGTGTGTGTGTGTGTGTGTGTGTGTGTGTGTGTGTGTGTGTGTGTGTGTGTGTGTGTGTGTGTGTGTGTGTGTGTGTGTGTGTGTGTGTGTGTGGTGTGTGTGTGCCCCATCTCCCGGAAGAGCCAAGTTTGAAAGTTTGAATGTGTGTGTGTGTGCACGTGCGTGCACACGTGTGTGCGTGTGTGTGTGTGTGTGTGCATGTGCGCGTACGTGTGTGTGTCCACACGCGTGTGTTCTTGTGTATATCCCCTCACCCGGGTAGACCCACATGGCCAGTTTTGGCCATGAACAAGTACAACAAAATATGTGTATGTGCGTGGGCATACGAATGACGTCATGCGCGTGCTTGCATTTGTGTGCACAGTAACCATGAGTTTGCATGCTCTCAGTGAAATAGCTTGAACCAACGACTCAACTCCATATCTGCTGGGGGTTTGCGTTTTCCTTTTTTTCAGATGAGCAGAACTCGCTGGACACGGTTGCACTGTGGAAGGAGATCTGGCAAGAGAACACACCCGGTTAGTAGTAGTAGTGCACCCTACAGCACTGGCAAGGTCTAATGTCTAATTTGATCCTAGTTCAAAGTATGACTACTTCAACTCCATGGCTGTGCGGCGGGAGCCGGAGATCCACACATGCATGTTGTGTGCGGAAACGGCCGATTACAGAGCCTGTGTGATCGGAGTACAATGTATCGCCGTACTCTCCAACCTAGAACATTCAACTTAATACCTCCAGGACTAACTTTGCATGTTCTGAAAAGAGAATGAGAGGAGCCAATTGCACTGCATTACAGAGATTAGCAGTAGTGGGCTTCGTATGTAAAATAGCTTTAGCCCACTGATGACTGCATTTTCGCTTGTTTGTGTGTGTGTGTGTGTGTGTGTGTGTGTGTGCGTGCGTGCATGCGTGCGTGCATGTGTGTGTGCGTGCGTGCGTGCGTGCGTGTGTGTGTGTGTGTCTGTGTGTGTGTCTGTGTGTGTGTGTCTGTGTGTGTGTGTGTGTGTGTGTGTGTGTGTGTGTGTGTGTGTGTGTGTGTGTGTGTGTGTGTGTGTGTGTGTGTGTGTGTGTGTGTGTGTGTCACTGTGCAGTTCATTTGAATCGCTTATTGTGTTGTTTGCTGTGTTGTTTGCTGTGTGTGATGATGGTACAGGTACTGAAGGTGGTGTGCGTGTCAATCACAGCGAGATCATGCCTATGCTTATTGATGTGTTGAACACATCGTCATCGTGGGATCTGAAGCGTCAGTCTGCAGCTGCAATGTCAACGGTGGCCACCAAGCTAGGTGAGCGACTACTGTGTCTGTGTGTGTATGCGTGCGTGCATGTGTGTGTGCGTGCATGTGTGTGTGTGTGCGTGCGTGCGCATGCGTCTAGGAAGGGGCTATCTTGGTGGGGAAGTGGAGCTGCTCGGCAGCTCCTGCTAACATCACAGGCGGCATAGCTGGGAGTGGCTTGCAGTAGTCAATAGTCAACGCCTGAGACTTGGATGGCTTGGATGGCTCAAACATGACTTTCCAGTGTGCGCCCCAGTCAGAAGCGCTGTTCATGACGCCTTGGCGCTGCAGTGTTGAATCGGCTCAAACTGCACCTTCTGTTGTGTGCCCCGGTCATCCAGTGAGCGCTGGAGTTCAGCCATGGCAGGAGTAGTCGATTCACGTGACCGCAATGCTGGTCAGAGTCATGTCATCAGCATGGACGCCAATCTCAGTTCCGCCGCAGAGAGAGATGTGCCTGCGTCGTTCATATGCATGAGAAATAGCGTCGTCCCCAGGATGCCCTGAGGGACTCCACCTGTGATCGTAAATGGAGATGATAGCTGGATACAGTGCATTGTTAGCATTGAGTGCACTTTCTTCTTTTGAATACTGCACATGTGTACTCACATTCATTCATTTTCTCCCTCCCTCTCTCTCTCTCTCTCTCTCTCTCTCTCTCTCTCTCTCTCTCTCTCTCTCTCTCTCTCTCTCTCTCTCTCTCTCTCTCTCTCTCTCTCTCTCTCTCTCTCTCTCTCTCTCTCTCTCTCTCTCTCTCTCTCTCTCTCTTTCTCTCCCACTTTTAAAGGGGAAGTTCACCCTAAAATGAAAACTTCACAACCTGTAGCGAAAAATGCACTGATTCCAATGGTGAAGGTCCGAGGTTGATCGGAGCAGCCGTTCCTGAGTTATACCAGCTTGAAGTTTGCACTAAATTTGGTGACATCATGATGACGTCATTAACTGGCCCAGACCAGGCCGGATTTATGACGTCAGAGAGATAGACTTTGTATGGGAGTAGATGGGGAAAAACCAATTTCTTTCTTGTTTCTCTGCAACAATGAATTTCATACTAGATTTTTTTCCAGTTGGGATACCGGTAGGGTGTCATGTGTCCCATACCGAAGTTTGAAAAAGATCCGACTTCTCTGGGGCGATGGAGAGCCAAAATACTGAAATTTCCCCATCTACTCCCATACAAAGTCTATCTCTCTGACGTCATAAATCCGGCCTGGTCTGGGCCAGTTAATGACGTCATAATGATGTCATCAAATTTAGTGCAAACTTCAAGCTCGTATAACTCGGGAACGGCTGCTCTGATCAACCTGGGACCTTCACCATTGGAATCGGTGCATTTTTCGCTACAGGTTGTGAAGTTTTCATTTTAGGGTGAACTTCCCCTTTAACGTCACTTTGCTCTTTGTACCTGTGTTGTGTGTAGGGACTGGCCTTACTGATGCAACAAGGGACAATCTCATGCTATCATTGATCTCGGCACTCGACACACACATGTGGAAAGGAAGGGTACGCTACCACACTGCTCTGTGCCATGGATATTTCTAGAGTGTGTTTAATATGACTATCTGTTTGAGTGGAGTGAGGAATGAGGAGGATGCTTTTCGACGTGTCACTTTGCTGTAGGCGTGGATATAACCAATCAGCCTGCTCCTACTCTAGTAGGGTGTAGATGTTGGCGTTCAACACGCATGTGTTTGTGCATGTGTGCATGCGTGTCTTTATGTATCTCCAGCACGCTGTGTATCAAGCTGCAACGGATCTTCTGTGCGTTCCTCTCTCGGAAGAGTAAGACTCAAAGATGTGTACTGATTGATGCTCGCTGACCGGTTATTGTGCACCAGGGGTGGATCCAGGAGGGGGGGGGGGGGGGGGGGCTAAATTCCGGAAATGTACTGCTAGAAACCATATGCATGTACGTGTACATGTATCAGCTATTGAGTTTTGGCTAAACTGGAACCCCTGTAGAGATCGCTGGATCCGCCGCTGTGCACACACGGGAAATAGTACAATCATGTAGTGTGCTCGCGGTGCTTTGCTCACTACCCTCTTGCCTGCGCATTGGAGAGCTGCAGTCGTTGATACAGTATCCCGGTGGCTGATTTGGCATATTGCGCTACGCTCACGCTGTGTTTGTCCCGGTGGCCTGGGATATGGTACTGTCTGTAAATTTGAGATATCTGCTCCTCCGAATCACTTCGGGCACATACCGATGGGGCGAAACCACAGTGCAGCAAGTAGTCGTATTTATTCATTTATTATTGACACTCAATCTCCCAACAGCTTCTAGTAGCTGCTTCAACCTTGTTTGAGATTGTTACGTTTGCCCTGTTGATGTACACAGGCTTGTATGTTCACGAGTGTTAGGAGTACCTGATGCTTGTTCCGTGCCCTTGCTGTTAAAAAGTAACATCATTTCTCCTGTTGCTTGTGGACTTGGTTTCTGCAGGAGTAAAACACCGGCCAGAATGGAAACAGTGGGCAAGGTATGTTAAGAGAGAAGCCAGTGGTGGTCACATGCTATCTCTTTTTCTTTCCCCCGTTCTCTCCCTCTCCCTCTTTTCTTCTCCTTCTCTCCTAACCACTTCTCCTTCTTTCTCCTTCTTTCTCACTCCTTTTTCTCGCTCCTCCTTCGTTCTCCCTCTTTCTTCCACTCAGTGTGTGATAATGTAGCAGTTGCTCACCAAAAACAAATTTACATCACTCCCACTTCATTGAGCTTGTAGTTTCGTGCCTTCCGCTGAAAGTTAGCTTCACCGGGTGTTAATTCTTCCATTTGAATTCGGAGCTGTCTTGGCTCATAAGAAAGTGGCTGCTCCAAATGTCAGAGCTGGCGCTTCCCTGACGACTGACTTGACACATAGTTCATCTCTTGGCTCAGTCTCTACTACCGAGTTTGGAATTTGAAGTTTCTTATTCTGGTGTTTTGACACCTCCCTTGTTGTTCTTGCAGTTATTGGATTCCATGCTGGCGCAGTGCAAGAAGAAACGCTATAAGAGAGAAGCTGTGCAGTGCTGTGGGCAAATCCTGTCGGTCGTGTCGCTCGATCGACGGTCGACTGTTAGCAGCATTGTCGCCCCCATCATCGAACAGGTGCGTGTGTCACTGCTTGTGTATGTTTGGGGAAGGGGGCATGTTTATTTGGAGCTTGTGTGGGCTGTTGTTTATGAATCCCTGCACTGGTCAAATTTAACTACATCGCCAGTAGTGAGGGTACCACTCATTCAATTCCTTTTTCAATACGAGTGCTTCTTCTTCCAAGTATAAGACACCGCCTCTGTACATGTACAAACATTATTTTAATTTCATGCTGCAACGCACAGGACGCAACAAACAGCGACTCCGACGACGGTGCAACGACTTCGGAACGAGAGAGCCAGCGAGAGCAACTGCGCTCTGCGGCCTTCACCCTGGCTGGGCAAGCGTGGCCCAAGGGCTTCACAACGATTGGTAAGACGGTGTGCGGCTTGAGCTTGTAGTTAGTGTGGGTCATATATGGCTGTACAGTGGTACTGTTTAAACGAAAGTCCAGTGAAACGAAAATAATTATTTGTAATCCTAACTCAGAGTTTCATTCTTTTAAAAGCAATCATCAGGATCAGGAGACTGAAGCTATTTTGCAGGATAACGCGGTCTTATTCACTACAGGGAGTGGATGTTGGTCTTGCATCGAACACTCCGACCAGTTGTCAAGGTTCTTCTGTTGGTACTGTTTCTCTTAAGTTCCTCTTAATTCATTGCCCAGTCAGTGCATAGTACAGTTGTATAGCTATCTAGAGGATCATGCATACAGAGAGGGTACGGCTTAGAGACCTACGTATGCATGTGCACATCTGACATGTCACAGAGTGGTTGCATGGGCATTGGTTTGCTATGATGGTGAATTAGACGTACACAAATATGCCCTGGTGTATTTCAACTGTGAGTTTCTAGAAGTAATGTGTCACATTTGATATGTGGGTGGGTATACCGTTATTAGATTGGAGTGCGGCAAGGGAGCTGCATTCACATCGATGTCTGCTTGTTTGCTTGTGCGAAATCTGGCAGATGAAGGCAGCAAGGACATCATGGAGCGTGCTATTGCAAGTTTGGAGATGTCGCCATGGCGCGTGCGAGTGGCCATCCTGAACACTGTCTCTGAATTCTGTAGCAGGTAGGTCTCAAGCAACACGCACAGGTGCTACTTTCAGGCTTCCATGCAATGGCATTAGTAACACATGGTTGTTGCATTCAGGTTTCCATGCAATGACACAGTAAGTAATGCGAGTGAAATTCTATTAATTCACTCACAATAAACCCAGACTAGGACTTCTAGTTGTCCAGATAATACAGAAAAATATGGGTGCTTGGCA